GCTGCACCACAGCAACACTCAAATCGACCACGTTGACCAAGCAATGTGGCACACCAAATTTAATAGCCCCTGTACCCGGGCGCGGCACTCACGGGATTCCCCAGATCGCAGCACCATGGAGTACCAGCACCTGTTGCCCTGCGCCGGTGTTCCGCAAAAGCAAGGCTACGTCAACCTTATTGCTCCTATGATCCTTGCGACTGCATTTTGAGCTGAAATATAACCAATTCTACCAGATAAGCCTTTATGCAGTGCCCCCTCCTTGACATCACCCATCAATATTGGCTTTTGTACACTCTAACACAAGGTTTTCCTTAAGTATGTGTCGCACGCCAGACATTATTTCTTTACAAATCTTCCTTTCGGTGTTTCTTCTGTGCGAAACAAAATAAACTTATCACGATTTTTCTCATCCGCATCAGCCTGGAAGTTATCCACCACAAACGCAACACCGCCAGCGTCCACTCATCCTACCCTATCACGTAAGCCTCATGTTTGAGAACTTGAAGGCATTTATCCGCCATGGTAAACATGCCAACGAAAAGCACAGCATGTCCGGTTCGTTCTCCGTGCCTGTTTCCAGTGCCAATAATAATGGGAACGCCAGTGCCAATTTTAACCTTCCTGTTAGTGCTACGATTAGCAGCCAGTTGGCAGACTTGCCATCGCATGACCTGATTCTGTCAGGCTCGAATAGTGACCCTTCTGATTCCACGTTGGTGGGGCTTCATTTTGACGGCAGCTCGTCTCAGATTGGATCTTCTACAGCAGGTACTTCCGAGAACGACTACAACAAACAGCCTACTCATCAACAAGCGGCGTCTCATATTGTGGAACAAGAGCTTCTTCAACGCAAAAAGCTGCAGTTGTACCCCGGACTTGAAAACTATGAGGTAATGGAACAGTTGGGAGAGGGGGCTTTTTCAGTTGTCCACCGAGCCCGAAATCTTACCACCAACAACCAGGTGGCCATCAAGATTTTACGGAAGTTTCAGATGGACCAACCGCAAAAGCAAGCGGTTCTCAAAGAAGTGACGATTATGAGACAGTTGCATCACCCAAATATCGTGAATTTTATTGAGTTTATTGACTCTGAGCCTTACTACTATATCGTTCAGGAGTTGGTGACAGGAGGTGAAATCTTCTCGGCTATTGTGAAGTACACATATCTTTCTGAGGACTTGTGCCGGCACATTATTACCCAAGTGGTGAGCGCCGTTAGATACTTACACGAAGAGGTTGGAATTGTTCACAGGGATATCAAACCTGAAAATTTACTTTTTTATCCCATCGAGATGAAACCTTCTCCGAACCCTCAAGCAAGATTGCGTCGGTCTGATGATCCAAACACCAAGTTGGATGAAGGAGAGTTTATACCTAACGTTGGAGGAGGAACCATTGGCCTTGTGAAGTTGGCTGACTTTGGATTATCCAAACAAATCTGGGAGCACAATACCAAGACTCCTTGTGGAACTGTAGGGTACACTGCACCTGAGATTGTGAGAGACGAAAGATACTCCAAGGAAGTGGATATGTGGGCAATTGGATGTGTTTTGTACACGTTATTATGTGGGTTTCCTCCCTTTTACGATGAGCGTATTGACACTCTTACGGAAAAGGTTGCAAAAGGAGAGTATACTTTCTTGTCTCCCTGGTGGGACGAAATCAGTTTGGAAGCTAAACGGTGTGTTACAAAATTATTGACGGTTGATCCTTCTCAACGGTATACCATCGATGAGTTCTTGCAAGATCCATGGATCAATAAGGTACGTACGCCCATGGCCCATCCTGTGCCTGTTGCTACAAATAACAGAAAACATCCAATTCAAGAATTCAACAACAGGTACTCCAAGAAGTATACCAATGGAATGTATTCTCCTGCTGCAGTTGCTTTAAGAGATGCATTTGATATATCTACAGCAGTTCATAGAATGGGTGAAGAAGCAAAGCTTTCAAATCCTTTACAGCTTCAACAGTTCATCGAAGAAGAAGAGGAAGATGAAGCAGTAACAGGTTCTGGCCGTGTGCTTGAAACTATTCCTCATAAAAGACACCATCAGCAACCTGAACGAGCCAGACAAGGCTTTGAATTGAATTTGGGTGGTGCGTCCATCTTGGAGAGAAGAAAACACAAACCCATAATGGTTCCTTCATAAGTATACGGTAGGAACTTGCCAGTATGGTATTAGTTTCTTTGATAGAAACTTTCTTTGGTGCTCTACCACTTGTTACGTTGTCTACGTTTACTCAAATATCATAGATTGAAATAAAACACTTCTATTTAACATACTTTTTTCTTGCGCGATCACTCTATCACGGGCATTATTTCCGATAACACTTATCAATCATGGGTACACTAGAGATTGGTGGGATCCACCTCTTACATGCCAATATTACCAGTTTGGATAAATTGGCACATGGCGAACACACTACCAACTCTAGTGCTAGCATAAAACCGTCAACAACAACACAATTCAAGGATTACACAAATAAAGATCTCAAGAGCTTGAAAATCGAACATTATAAATATACTCGTGGAGTGACAGAAATCCACCGACAGAACGAGCACACTGATCCTACGCTGCTTAGATACCGCTCCTTTAACGAAATTGTCAACCGTAGGCTCGTTTTGAAAGCACATTTTCCGTATCAGCCAACAATAAATTCCAAACCATTAATGATCCCAAGTACTGGAACGTATTCGTTTCAAACAAAACATATATCACTCCTGATCCCCCGTGACTCACACTTTCTATCCATTAAGAACCATAAAGTGTTCAAAATGAAGGAAGAATCCCTTTTAACGTTTAATTTGGAAGAACACCAGGAGGAAGTGTTGTATCTTCGCCAGGAGCTTTTGCTACTTCAAAACGCCAATTCGAAGTCCAATTACACCATTCAAACAGAGTCACCACTGGTTAAGTTCTCAATAAACCTTAAGGACAAAACTCTAGAGGCAGAGATTTGCTATAAAGTGTTTTATGGTCCCTATGTTAATGAATTGGTTCCGTTGAATGTGTCGTTAAAAATATCACGCTACTTGAACTGGAATGTGAAACCACTTTCATCTGCAGATACATCTACTTTCCCAGATCCTCTGACTCCAGTGACAGCACATCTTTTCTATGATTCCATGTCTGAACATGCAAAAACCCTTCCAGACATTGCATCACAGTTTGAGCTTCCAGAGCTAGAGACCAACTTACTTCGGTTTCAGTGCCGGACTGTTAACTGGATGCTCACAAAGGAGTCGGTGCAGTATAACTGGAGTAGTAATCGGTGTGAAAACAAGCATCTCATATCTTATGAATTGACTGAGAAAATCCAGAGTTTCTTTGATCACCCAGATGGGGCTTCTCCGGAAGAAATGGAACTGATTGATACTGAAGTAGGCCAAGCTTTGGGAGGTCTCTGTTTTGGATGGGCAAGTGTTATGTTTCGTGAAGAAAATTTCTGGTATAACAAGTACACCAGTAATTTGGTGGACCGTGTTTCCATGTACAGATTCATTTTGAACTATCACAGCAGCAACGACACACCAATTATTCTCCCAGCACAAGGATTGCTTGCTGAAGAAATGGGACTAGGAAAAACTGTTGAGGTCACAGCATTGTCATTACTCAATCCAAGACCCACGGACCAGATTGATGATACCATTCATATTCAGTTGACAAATTTTGGTGACCATAAGCCTGTTTTGCAATCCAAAACAACACTTATAATTGCCCCTGACTCTATTTTAAAACAATGGGTAGAAGAGATTTTGAGACTAGCACCATCATTGGCTGTTACTATTTACAAAGGCTTGAACAAATACCCAAAGTTGAATAATAATCCGAGGTTGATTGCAGATTACTTGAAGATGTTTGACATTGTGTTCACTACTTATTCGACTATTTCCAAAGAGTTGGATTATGCATTATATTCATCTAGGAACAAGAATACAAGAGCTTCTAGTAGAAAGAGATCTTCCAGAACCCATGGTGATACTGAAAGGGAAGATGATGGTCAGGAAGCGGAGCACTCCGATGGGTCCGTGCACTTTTCAGAAGCTGATTCCAGTAATGAAGACGTTAGTGAAACTGAAGAAGTACAGGACCCGAAGCAGGAAGCGGGGGTTTATGATCAAGATGCATTATTAAAGGATTACCGATCATTATTTCAGCTTTCTATGCTGAGCAAGAAGCCCAAGATTGCGAACATGAAGACTGACGAGGATCAAGCCCAAACTGACTACGAAAAGATTTTGGAAGACGAGATTCAATTGGCGTTGAAGCATAATAAGCTTCCTGACCTTTATCGTAATTCCAGCTATGAATCTCCTTTGATGTTACTTCAGTTCTGGCGAGTAGTTCTTGACGAAGTGCAGATGGTTTCCTCTAAAATCTCAAGACCATTCCAGTGTGCTTCTTTAATCCCAAGGTTTCATTCATGGGCAGTCTCAGGTACTCCCATCAAGAAGAACTTGAACGATCTACACTCTGTATTGGCGTTTTTAAGGTATATGCCATTTTGTGGAAAGATTGGCAAGTCATCTTGGGATCTTTTGACAAACATTGAGGTCAACACAAACGAGGATTTTATCTACTTATGGAAATCCATAGGTTTGAGACATACTAAAGCTATGGTGCATGATGATATCAAACTACCTCCTCAAAATAGAGTGCTTATGTCTATTCCATTCAATGTGGTCGAACAAGAAAACTACAACCAAGTACTTGAACAATGTCTTGCGAGCATTTGTTTAGACGTTAACGGTACTCCAGTTATGGACTCTTGGGAGCCTACTCCCACTATTGTTTCTTATATGAAAAGCTGGTTAGTGAGGCTCAGACAAATATGCTGTAACCCTCAGGTGGGTCAGTTGAATCTAAACACTAGAAGGTACAGAACAAGATACTATTTGTACAATAACAACTCTAACTCCAAATTTGTGCAGACCGTCCAAGTTCTCAAAACTTTGGAAAACGTCTTGGATGATATGTTGGAGTCAGCTGCAGCCGAGATTATAAAGACGGAGAGAAATTTGATGGGTGCTTACACTGATCTTGCGTTTTTGTGTGAACTCACGTTACACCCAAAAGCTGCAAGAAGGTATTTCAACTTTGTTTGCCTTAGCACACAAGGAATTCTCGCTAGAACGAAGGTGATGCTAGTCAAAGCTAAGGAACGAAGAAATCAATTAACGAAAGTGGCCGATGCCGTCACTAATGTGGATGATGAAGATGTGTATGAAGATGAAAATGTGATCCCTCCAGAGCTGTTGGATTTGACTGATCACGAAGTTAGAGAGTATGAGAAGGTCAATGAGCTCATCAAAACCTACACTTCGAGACTCAGGCTGTGGTCTTTAACGTTACATAAGTGCTATTTTCTCTTGGCATCGTCCTACTTCCAAGACTATGATCCTGAGTATATACAGAAGATTGAAAAGCAGCAAAACCCGGTGTACCTGTCTTATATTAATAATCCATTATTAGAGGACCGTTTTTCTTATGATTCCCAGGATCTTGCAACTTTGTTAACTGGATCTCACCTAGAGTTTCCTCTTATTACTGAAGAATCGATTTTGGACTCATACACGGAACCAGAATCGAGCGAAGAAAGTACAGAAGTTTCCAAGTTGAAATATTTAGAACAGCATTATTACAACTTGGCTGAACATACTAGACAGCTGCTTTTGAAAGGTTCTACCAATAACGTCAAGAAAGCGGTAAATTCTAGGATCTTGAGCAGGGAATACTTTGCTCGAAGCACCGACAACTTTGTTGATGATGGTTCTTTACTTGTTCCAAAGACCACAAAGAAGTTTTTCAAGCAGCTCCCTCTCATAAAAGTTGCTGACCTTGCCCAGCAAGTAATAGGAATGAAAGTGTCACTTTACTTCAACAGAGTTCAAGCACTTGTGGATCAATTGAATTCTCAGGCCAAAGTGATAAATGATTGGATGAACGAATTAATTAAAATTCTTTGTTCTCCTTTGTTAACACTTGATCAGGATCCCAATGGTCAAGAGTATGAGAAAACAATTGAAGATCAGGACAAAGCCTCTTGTTATTTGCATTTGTTGACCAGAGTATTGGCTGATAGATCTTCAGCTATTGAAGGAAAGGAGATAACTACACGGATTGTCAGTAATGCCAAACAGCAAGAGCAGAGAGACTTCGATGTAGAATTGGAGAGAGTTAACGACAAAGAGTTTTTGAACTTCTTAGAAGCTCAAAGATTGGAAGCCAAACCCGTATCCAAATTTTCATTCAACGACTTGGTTCGTGAAATCAAAGATATCCAATCTCAGATCAATGATGAGAAGAGTATTGGCTCTCAAAGTGCATCTTTGGAGTTACAGCTACTTGATGCGGCGGCTCTGAGTATTAGACAGATTTTTGATAATCAGAAGCTATCTAGTGTGCTACTTCTCAGAGAGTTGTCTACCAATTGTAACTTTGTTTTCAATGCCAGAATCGACTATTTCAAACAGTTGCAACAAATATCAGATAGTGTAAGGATGCCTGAGTATTTCCAAACTGATCCCGAGCAAACTTACAATCCAGCAATTGAGTACGGATTCCGTCGTTGCTTTGAGAGTTTGAAAACTATTCCCATTGCTATGGGGAAGTTGGTTACAAAATTCAAGTATTTACAGAGTTTGAGTAGTCCCGAGCAGTCGTCTACTGATATTGATGACAATCTCATGTGCATTATTTGCCGTACCACTATTACTATTGGATCATTGACGCCTTGTGGGCACAAATATTGTAAGGATTGCTTGGAACAGTGGTTAAGCAATCATAGAAGTTGTCCCGTTTGTAAGAGTATTATAACCACATCCTCCATCTACAACTTCACTCACTATATTCCTGACTTAAAGGCCAACCGAGTTGAAGCCTCAAACACATTGGAAAAGGACAAGAATTTGTATTCCATCTACAAACATATGGACGATATGGTTGTCAATGATATCCAAAAAATTAAACTCAAACATTCGTATTCATCCAAAGTAGATATGATTGTGAAGCAGGTTCTCTATTTGAAGCAACAGGACCCAAGTGTACAAATCGTTGTTTTCAGTCAGTGGCAGGACTTGCTTTATATTCTTGCAACTGCCTTCAAACACGCGGAAATCTCATATCTCGCTTCGTATGGAACCTTAACCGCGGAGGTTGGTGCTGGAAGACCAAGATCTAAGTATGATAGTGTGGAGCGGTTCAAGGATCCCTCCAATGACATCACATGTTTCTTGTTGAATGCTAAAGCACAAGCCAGTGGTTTGAACTTGATCAACGCAACCCATATATTTCTTTGTGAACCATTGGTAAACACTTCTTTAGAATTGCAAGCCATCTCTAGAATTCATAGGATTGGCCAGACTAAGGTTACAACTGTGTGGATGTTTGCTATTGAGAATTCAGTGGAAGAGAGCATTGTGGTGTTGTCCACAAATAAACGGCTCAACTATATCCAAACTCTATTGGAAAACACCAGTGGTGTGCCTACTAAGGAGAGCACGCCGGCAGTCAATTCCAATCCTCGTGAACCTTCAACCAGAATATCCCAGGCAAAAGATTTGTCGAAGGCTGAATCTATGACACTAATGAAAAGTGGAGGAATTGACACATTGGTGAATAGAGGTCAAGGAGAAGGGGAAACTGTTTCCAACGACGACTTGTGGGATGCCTTCTTCTGTGCCACATCCTCGAAAGAAATGAGTCGAACTATGAACTTGGATACTATGACCAAGATCAACTAACATATGGTATATTACCTATTACAAACAATATCACGTACAAAACATTCTTCGAAACATATATAGTTGACTCAAATAGCCAAAAACGATCTATCATCATAGGCAGTGTAGAATCTTCCTTCCTCAACAAGCTTGGTACAAATCACAAAGGCTTCGTCCGCAGTTATGTTCAACTTCTGAGCAATCAATTGAAGTGGAACACCTTCAGGCATACTAGCAGCATTCAGACTCACAGTGCTAAACACCTGTTCTTCCTGCAGTCCCGCCGAATGTGAAACGTCGTCGTTGCCCACAAACAAAGCATTCTCACTCTTCTTAGTGATTCCTTGAGACGTGATATGAACACTAATAGCCGACAAGTTGTGATAGAGCACTTGGTTATGGTCAGTGACCTCGGTGATATTGGCGTTTTGAACTGCCTTCTTCAGACTGAATTCCTTCAACGATCCAGTCACATACACGTATTTATCCTTCATATCCGCGTACTTGGTAGATTCTTCAGATACACTGGAGGTATTATCATCAATCCATTTTCTCACCTCCAAAGCACCAGTTCCATCTTCAATCGTCAATGTGGTGGCCGAGTTCCCATTATCCACCTTACGAAGAACACCAACAAATGACACCATATTCAAGTTAACTCCATTGATTTGGAAATCAGCATCTGGGAGAGGTTGCGAAGAGTCGTTGATCTGTTTGATGGTCACAGGAGTCAAAGAAGATCTCGTTCCTTGTCTTTGAGAAGATTGTTGATCTTGTTGAAACGAGGTTTCACCTTGATCGAAACCTCCATCTCCGTAAGCACCGTATGAGCCGTAGTCTGCCATAGTTTATTTAAAGCGACGCGTATGAAATATCGATTTTTATTGATGCGAACTATTGACATTTATGGATGCGAATTGCAAACTATTGATGCTCTATTCAATTAATACAGATTGTCGCAGTTATATAAAATACACAAGAGGATGAAGGCTTTCGTTTCTAATCTTGATAGTCATCATCCTCATCATCATCTATTTGGGCTATTTCATCCAAATCTTCGTGGAAATCAGCATCTTCGTCATCATCTGGCTCTTCATGCTGCTCTTCCACATCATCTTCCAAATACACCTTCATCTTCTTTGACGCATTAACATCACTGTAGTCGACTGTTCGTTTCCTCGAAGATCTCGCCTCCGCTCTTAAACTCTCTTGTTGCTTTAAGAGAGGTAACATTCCAAATAGGTACTCGTACAACGCTTTAACAGGTTTGTAGATCACCGATGATGATGGAATGATGGAAACAATATCTCCTGTAACAGAGATACCTAATTTGGCTTCCAAATGCATGACAAATAATTCTAGCTGTTCACTATTTGAAGCTACCTCATAGTAATGAGAGTCTATCGATTCAGCACTAAGCTTTTCCAGAGTCTTTTCTTCGCCCGACTCGGTAAACTCAATACCCTCTCCATTGAGTCTATCCACAAGTAATTTATGCGTATCTTGGACGTAAAATTTGAACCTAGAAGCATAAGATGCTCGCATCAGGCTCAAATCAGACCAAATATGTTTCATCTTCTTTACAGAACTGACACCTCCATCACTTTCATTTGAAACTCGAACAAAGAAGAATCTGCCAACATTAAACCCCACATCACCAGCAATCATCTCATCCAATCGAAGACGCAACGGATGGTCCATGGGATCTGCTACTGGTTCCACATATCGAGCCACCAGCTCGTTGTCTTCACTGTACTTCTTTTTAGCGATTTTATTGTTAATTTCTGTGGTCAAATCCTCCGTATGCTTGAATCCTTTCAATACGGCTCTAGAAGCATAAAACGTCTCCTTGTCACCAGGAATATCTTGTTTCTGAAGAAAATCTACTATAGCTGCCTTGATCTCATTCGACGCTGTCAAAGACCACTGAGCAAGGGTTCTGAGCATAATTAATCTGTCAATTCCACTACTGATTCCTGGAAAACCAAGCTTCTCAAATCCTTGCTTATCATTGAAAGGATTCTCATATACATATGGTGGCTTGAACACGTATCCCTCTTTAATCAAAATGTCGGGATTACTTTCATCCACAATATTGGCAGGGTCCTCTTCAACGGTGAACTTCTGGTACATTTCGTTGGAGTCTTTCCACTCATAAGGAAGACCAAGACTGGTGCAGACAGCTTTTAATTCTGACACAGCTTTTCCTTGGTACTTCGGATTGACATCTGGCTTTCTATTGAGTACAAGGGTGACGAGTCTGCAGAATAACTCGTTCATTAATGGAGACACTTCTTGGGGTTCTTCGGCCTCATCTTCTAAGCATATACCTTTCTCAATATCTTGAGGTCCTATGTTTCCAAGGGCAATTATATCTTTGAACTTGGAGATATAGGAAACCAAAAAGATAACGTCGCTTGCATAGGGGGCTTTCTTAACATTGAACCCAAGAGCAAGTTCCTCTGTACTGGCAATCTTATTTTCAGCACTATTCATGACATTCTCATCATAAAGATCATAGTACAAACCTATCACAGGTCCCGGAAACTGCCTCGTAAGCTTATTTCGACCGTTCAACACTGTTGTACGGGAAGCTGAAACCACATGTTTTTCCTTGGAGGGCTTTTTCTTTTCACCAGACTTGGCAACTGAGTTGTTTGCCTTTTTTGGTGCTTCTGTTGAAGCAGATTCTGTATCAAGGGCCACCACCAGCTTTGGGTTTTGTTCGACTTTCACTATCTTCTTCTCAGGTGCAACCACACCTTTTTCAGTGGTGACATCTTTATCAATCTCTTCCTCATGGGTGTCTTTTTTTAGAAGCTTAATACCTGTACTTCCAAACGACAACTGGGCCTGCTTCTGCTTCCGTTTGCGTAACGTATCGGACGTGATCTTCCCCTTCTTCTGGCGGACATCACCCTTACCGCCACGAGAACCAGGTCCTTCAACTGGTTGATCGTCAAGCCGGTACAACATGTACTTTGACTTTTCCTCATTCTGGTTGGACTCTTCCGGTGACGTCTTTATGTTGTTTAGCACATGGTTACGGGGCCGGCCAAGCCGTTGTGCTTTCTCTTTGTGCTTATACTCCACAAGCTGGATCAGCTTATTGGGGGTCGACAACGGCACCGATGGTTTGGGGTCCACGAGGCCCGTAGACTTATCGCTAGCATCATCACCAACGCTGAAGTCGATCATCTCAAGCTCGTTGCTCTCACCTCCGTCCACTTCTTCATCATTATCGCTCTTCATATATTCGTTGAGGGTAAACACATGGTCCAAATTCCCATCTCCAGGAGCATCGGAGGATGTTACCACGTGACTATCCACCGGAGACGTATTGGTGTCCACATCCTCGGTGGAGTTGTCCGAATGATGGTGGTGTTGAATATTCGGGTCAATGCTGAGATCCATTTCAACGATATTTCAGTAGGAAGACGCGCAAACCCATTTAATTTCATCGCAAATGCTGCAAATTTAAATTAGCTTTTTTACTCATACGTAGCGCTACACAATATAATACATCAACCCATCCAGAACCACACTTTTTCGGCAAAGTTCTTGGGGATTCTCTCAGGCTCGGCTGCGTCTTCGGCCTCAACCTCGGCCAAGCCGGTGATCAAATCAATTTCTTCAGCAGGATAGTACCACCTGGTGTATCCGTGGACAACTTTCATATAAATCTTGTGTCCAAAGTACAACCCAAAAAACAAAGGTAAAGTAATGTAGGCGGCCACAAAGTCGGACCCGTTAAAGTCAAAGAACACCGCATAACCGTTGGTGATACAAACAATCGTCACAAACACAATCACAAACCACGTCAAGTATGGCTGGAATGGTGCCTTGTATGGCAAGGTTTCATAAATTCCTTGCACAGAACAGGCCTTTCTGAATCTCAAGTAACTGATTCCAAGACACACCCATCCAATTAAACCTGAAATGGTACAAATATTGGAGAACCAGTTAAATGCTTCGGCAGAAGAGTTGCTGACGTTTAAGTATGCCAATAAACTGAAGGCCGCACATGGAATAATAGTGATGGGGACTCCGTATTTGTTGGTTTTATCCAAGAACTTGGGAGCGTAACCCTCTCTGGCCAACCCCAACAAACTTCTGGTGGAAGCATACAAATACGAGTTACCAGAAGACCAGGCTGAAGTCAAGATAACTGCATTGACGATATGGTCGAGAACCTTAATTCCAGCGTTTTTAATACCAATAACAAATGGAGACGAGGCACCATTTCCACTGCCACTCAAAAGGTTAGGGTTGGTGTATGGGACAATGACACCAATAACCAAAGCCCCCAACACGTAGAAGAAGATGACTCTGTAAACAAAAGTCCTGGCTGCAAAAGGAATGTTCTGCCTAGGTTTTTTGGCCTCACCAGCAGCCAAGGCCACCAATTCAGGACCTTGGATAAATGCAAAAGCAGATTTGATGATACTCGTCCACACATCCAAAAACTTGGCAGTGTTACCTGACGCCAAGTGCTGGGCAAATGAACCAGGTTCATTCCAATATCTGAATCCCAAACGGTCATGAGTAGGTGCTCCACCAAAAAAGATGACAATACCGGTGACGATCAAACCCAAAATACAGAAAATCTTTAACGAAGCAAACCAAAACTCGGCTTCTCCGTAATATTTCACAGCAAGGCAATTCAATCCCACAATCACAAGCCAGAAGATAGTGATCCACACTCCAACCGGTACCTTGTCAGTCCAGTATTTCACAACAATACCAGCAGCGGTGATTTCGGTGGGTACCAACATGTTATACGAGTACCAATAATTCCAACCCATGGCGAACCCCAATGACTTATCCACGTATCTGGTTGCAAATGTGGAGATTGAACTTCCCTTCAAAGGCAAGTAGGTAGCCATTTCGGCTAAATAAAGCATCACCCCGTAGATGACTACAGACATGATGAGGTAGGAAGTCAATAAGGCAGCAGGTCCACAGGTAGACAAAGCTGCCCCTGACCCCACAAATAACCCGGTTCCAATAACACCACCAATGGCAATCAACTGGATATGTCTGGGTTTTAAACCTCTTTGCAACTCTGCTCTTTTGCTGGCATCGACGTCGATTCCATACTCCAAGTCATCATTTGAGGTACTCTCGAGATTCGAAGTAACAACTTCAACTTTATTCTCCTTTGACATTTCAAATTATTTTCTCCACTAATTTTTGGTGACAGAGAACCTTATATTTATACCAATTCTTCTAGGTGCCTATCTTGCATCTTATCATTGTTCCTGCCATTTTCTCACTATCTGGTTGGCGATTTTCATCCACCATGCAGGCGCAAGAAAAAAGCAACTGCAACCAGAGAAAACAGATATATTTTCCACCGCTGCACAAAACCGTCGCTGTGGCATACCTTTCGCTACCGGTACCCTGCGATACGGAAATATCCTATGCTTATGCTTGGTTTATCCCATCACCATTCTTATCTGGCGTGATTCTATTTGCCGCTAAAAGTGCAGCGACAGCCAAGAATCTACCCTTTCCCATTTTGGATTTTGCACGGCTATCTGCAAAAACTTTTCTAGCAGATCGTGTTTCGAAACATTTGAGAGGGGTCCAGTTCCGTAGCTAACCGCAATTGGATAGCGGGGCCGATACCAGAGGGTCATATTAAACAGTTAGTAGCCAGACCAACACAACCGCTTGTGATTTCTAATGTAACGTTAATTAGGTGGTGGTAATCGTATCTACAAAATCGTCCGATAACTGATAAAGTGTTCTTTTTCAGCCAATAATTTGAGGTTCTGGAAACAGTCCAGGATGCCTTAAAGTCGCAGCCGCTAATGGAGAATTGCGCGCGTCCGGGCATGAAGTCCACGGCGACCGGTACGACCATATACAGGTCTGTCGGCGAAGACTGCCGTCCTGGCCAAATAGCATCTGCTTCTTCTGGCATTATTAAATTACCTACTCCACCTTTTTTCGTATATACTGGCCTTTGTTCCCATAAGGGCTCCATTGACGATGACTCCACTTTTATTGTATCTAGGTAGTTTTCCCCGGTGAGATTCTACCGCTCAGGATGAGTGTTTTTAGAATATTTCTAGCATCCGGACTATTATGGCACAATACCCGTCAATTCTGCTGATGTTCAGAATGCTTGTCCTTCCTGATTGGTAGATTGAAAATGGTTAGCGCTAAGCACCGGAGTTAAGTTAGGTGATCTACAAGGTAGTGGTCGTGGCTTTTATTACAATACTTAATCATCATCAGGAATGATGTTCAGAACTTGGTGGTGCCTAATAATACATCGATTTTTTCTTTCAACACGTCTTCGTGGTCTTCAAAGTATTGGGCTCTTCTGACCACTTCTTCGTCGTACCCTTCATCGCTCTTCAAACTCTTGAGGGTTTCCAGCTGAGTCTTGGTCCACTGTTTAATGAACTCCACAGGGTTTTCGTTTAACTCTTTGTAGAAGTCTCTTCTCGTGTCCAAGTTTTTCAACTTGCTAACACCCAACGCTATTTTACTGTTCAAATCGGCAATTTGTACGAGCGTTTGAGCAGATTCTGCAAACACTTTCTTGTGCTCATCGCTGGTGACTCTTTGCAAGTGCGCAATGTCCGTGGGTAACTCCACAGGAATATCAAGCGCTAAGTCGCCTAAGGTGGTGGACCTCCTGGTGTCGATTTCATAGTCCAATATTATCGGTTGCCTGGGCAAGAAATGAGGCTGAATAAGTTGAAATAATTCGCTGAACCTAAACTGCTCTACTCCTAACAAATCTTGCAAAACCTCGTCACACTTCACTACCGTCAAGTCCTTGGCAGTGTCAATGGCCATTGCAGCATCGTTAAGGCCAGGAGTGGTGCTGGTCACAGCATCTACTTGAGCTACTTCCTTTTTGGTGATCAAGCCTTTGAATAAAATGTACTGCCAGATTCCTTGAATAGATTCTTGTTGAGTGGCCTCTTCTTTGCCGATGAATTGGCTAAATTTAGGACTCATTTTAAACCTGGCCGTTTGCTCTTTAATCAAGATGGCAATTTTGCACTTTAAGTTGAAGATTCCAGGTCTCTTAACATCGAACCCATCAAATTCACTCTGTCTTTGTTGATACTGGGGGTATTGGTCTCTCCATTCAACCACATGCGTTTGATTCTCGGCCAAGTGCGGATAGTCTTCGTTAATAATCAAGTCAACTGATATACCCGATAAGAAGGAGCTGAACTTGTTTGTCGCTTCTTTTCCTTCTTTGTGTAAGAATTTTCCTTCTACTTTCAAAGTCCAGAATCCTTCGGCTGCTGGGTCAACGGGTTCACCTCGTTGCTGGGCCAATTGTTTCTGCCATGGCTGATTTTCACAGGTATTATACACGTAAACTCTCAAGGTACCAGTTTCTTTCTTGAAACTGCTGGGTTGTAACGATTTAGCATGGATCACATGAAAGTCCAACTCTTTCTTGACACTTATCAAGTCGATTTCCCGTTCCGCATCGAGAAGTTTCTTGTAGAACTCGAGATTGGGAGTATCTTGATAAAGTTTTGCTGGAATTGACAAGTCGTTGGGAGTATACTGAATGGCGGGTGCAGCAGCAGGATTGGGTCTTGGTTTGCCCTGGACCGGCACTGGTCCACCTAAAGCACCAGGTGCACTGTGCGGGAGGTTTCTGGCCGCGTACGAACCTGGTACAGGGATAGATTGATGAGTAGCCATAGTTTTGATTGTACTTGTTTATCGACTGGAAGAAAAAAATCTCGTTTTTTGCGCGACCTCACGAAACCCGCAAATAATTCTGACAGTTAGTAAGGTGTGCCTCTGGAAACTATGAACGAGGAGGTTAAATCTCGTTACCGGGTCAAAAAGAAAAAGAAGACCCAGGATGTCAACCACCATCTACTTAACCATGCGGCCACCATCAAGAATTCGCAAATGAACCAGATGCACAAGCGGAAACGTGATCTCCTTAAGAGAATCAATTATACTCATACTTTTACAGTGCTAGTGATGCCAGTGGTGGCAATAGTTTATTTGAGCAGATACGCTGTATCTGTGATACCGCAGAATATCGCTACCCTCTGGTTTTCGGTAGCATACTTCAACTTGACGATGTTGGCGTTCACTTGTGGGTATCATAAGTTTTTCACCCATAATGCTTTTATTACTAACTCACGGGTTCTTCAGTATTATTTCGCTATATTTGGTACCAGCATGGGCCTCGGCTCCATAAAATGGTGGGGATCTCTTCATAGAGCACATCATCAGTTTACAGATGATACAAACAAAGATCCATACCTGATTAAGAGAGGATTTTACTACTCACATTTGGGGTGGATCATCAAACGGCCTAAAATCGAGTCTTTCTATAACAGCTTTATTGATCATGAGTTTGTGAAAGGTGCAATAGATAACGATATATTTGATGTGGATGTTATTGATATGGAATTTGATGAGCTTGATACGCAGAGAAAACAGTATAATGAAAGGATCAAGCGGTTGATTCTCTGGCAGCATGAGGTATACTTTTTACTATTTATTACCACCACCATAATCATACCTGCTGTAATCACCAGGTTTTATTGCAATGATTCTGTTCTAAATGGGATCATCTATCCAGGTATCCTCCGTATGTTTTTGTGCCAACAGTGTTTGTTGAGTACAGAATCGATTTGTCATTTTGGTGAGATCAAAGTGTCTTTGCCCACCCAGCCATTCAATGACAATAACTCAGCTATCAACTGCAACAATCCATTGATTTCAATCTTGACATATGGACAAGCTAAACAGAACTTCCATCACGAATTTCCTCATGACTACAGAAACGACTCCTCTAAATTTTCATTTGATCCCACCAAATGGTTTTTGTTTACGCTCTCGATGCTAGGAGCCATCGACAACCTAAGTGTAACTCCTTCGGACTTAATCACTCAGTTACGAATCCAGCAGAGGCAGAAGGTATTGAACAAAGTGAAATCTCAATTGAATTGGGGAACTCCTATCTCCAAATTACCTTTAATTACTCCGCAAGAGTTCAAACGGTTCATAGCTACGTCCGCACATGAAGACCGGATTTATATTGTTATTCTGAACGTTATCCATGATATCACCCCGTTTATGGAGCAACATCCTGGAGGTTTACCTCTCCTCAAAGCCTCGCATGGTAAGGACGCTACCAAGGCATTCTTTGGGGGAGTTTACAGCCATCTGACGGCAGCCCAAAACTTGCTTGCAACCATGAGAATCGGCTATCTTGACAATGGAGATGAGGAAGAGGTGTGGAACAAAATCGTCAAAGAGGAAGGTGAAGTGCAGGACAAATCACACCGACAAGAAGCATACAAGAGTGCTGAGGCCGCTTGATCCTATTTATACCCATTTCCTTAATAGTATTTTTTTAATCCATTATGATCAGAATCTCATCCTGATCGCGCATTAAAGTTTTTTAATTGTCACATTCACTTATCATGAGTAGATCCATGATGGTAGCACCAGCCCTTTTCCATACTCGAGACTACCGAGGAGCCACGGTCGAGGACCTAGACATCAAGCCAGCCATCTCCGTCAATCCAATCACCGACCTTAGTGTCGCTTTGGAAATCGCATACGAAAATGAATTCACCTATTTGCCAGTCATACATGAATCCAACAAAAAACTACTTGGAGTGTTGAATGTGGGAGAACTCAGACGTCACCCCCAAAAGGTCACCAACAGTTTTTTGAAGCCGGTAGTGAAAAACTATATGATATGGTTCCACCAAAAAGCCAGAGAAAAATACGACTCGGAAGAGCACACGAATATATCTTCTTCATCTACAACTACCATTCAAAAACCCACTTCAAAAGGTAAGAAGTTCCAGGTGTTGACTCCATGGTCACCTCTTGAAGACTTGGCTACTTTTTTCAACAGCGGGATGTACTTTGCCATTATCACTAATGACCATAGTAACTTTGTATACGGTGTTGCAACCCCTGAAGATTTAACCCGATACGAAAACTCCAGACCACGGTTGTAAATAGATGGAATGTATTCTATAATCATAAAACAGAACTTTAAGTATCTGCTATTCTACTACTCAGCGCCCACATATACTATTCAGCTTGAAGTAACAAAAGTGTGTTCACCTATCAGGGTTAGAGTCCATTAGATTTTCAATACAAATTTAGACGAAGTGGAACCAGCTTCCAAAAGCTCAGTAACCTTAGCGTAGTCCTTCATGTCATATACAACGGGCAGGTACTTGACTCTACCAGATTTGTAATCATAAATAACCTTGTTGAGGTAATAGTTCCAAGTGTTTCTGTCAGGAAGGAACCCGAAAAGGTTAGGTTTGGTAAAAACGAGGTTTTTAGGAGTCAAAATTCCAAGGTTAACTGGTGGAATCGCACCACTAGAGGTTCCGTAACTAATGAAAACCCCATTTTGTCCCAACGACGCAATAGTGGTGTCGAAGGAGGCTTTACCAACAGCATCATAGACTGCATTGACACCCTTGCCTTCGGTAAACTCCTTGACCTTACTGACAACATCATCTGTCTTGTAGTTAATGGTGTATTTTGCACCCAAGCTCTTTACGAACTCCAATTTTTCGTCGGTAGACGACAAACCAATAACATTGACACCAAAATCATTTAAAAGTTGAACAAGTACTTGCCCCACTCCCCCAGCAGCAGTCCAAACCAATACATGGTCACCTGTCTTTGGAGTGTAACCAGCCTTTTCAGCGAAAATGTATGCAGTTATAGCCTGTGCTGGTAACGACCCATACAATTCCAAGTCCTTCTCGGTTGTATCAGCTGGAAGCTTGGAAATACGCTGTTCTTCAGCAGAGGTTTTAATGTATTCAGAGTAAGAATTTTTCAATAAGTAGACAACTTTATCGCCCACTTTAAAGTCTTTGACCTCGGATCCAACAGCCGCAATTTCACCAGCACCATCTCTTCCTAAAATCAATGGAATTTGGGGGGAATTCCAACCCTTTCTGAAGTATGTCTCAACAAAGTTGACAGCAGCGTACTTTCCCTTGATGATAATACCTTTTGGAGATTCGATCTGTGGGGTGGGGACGTCTTGATACTTAAGAACCTCGTAGGTGTCACTGGTTCCAGTGAGAACAATAGCTTTTTGCAGCTTTGGAAAGGAATACATGGTTCTTTTGAAAATGGAGATCTCTTGATTAATCTGAGTGGTATACACCTTGTAGACTGGACCGTAGTTACTTTACTTGGAGTATACTTTGTCCCCTTTAAATATTTGAGTAGATAATATTTTGCACCCCAAACATTAGCAAATTCCGCTGCTTAATTTGTCAGCCTGTCAAAACCATAACCATATTCCGAATGTTTAGCAAACTCAATTAGAGAGTGGAACCACAATAGGAAGTTGCCTCCCTAATTTATAAGCTACTCTCGTAATACTACCTTAAGCCACCTCGTTTTCTTCTGCCACCTTCGCCAGCCCCATCGGTCCCGTCGGAGGGAGTGCTGTTTTGAATCCGTTTTTTTGCATTTGCTGCCAATACTCTCTCTGCTTTATCCCCATGTCTAACCTTCTGATTGGTTCCTTTGAATGCATAAGCCACCGTGATAAGACAATTCATGAGCATTTTGCCGTTCAAGCTCTCAATGGCTTTGTCGCTGCTGTCAAAATCATCAAAGTCCACAAACCCATGTCCTTTTGACTCTCCAGTTTGTGGGTCTCGGACAATCTGTGGACTACCAATCACAGTTCCAAACGCTGAGAACGTCTCCGCAAGGAACTTTTCATCGATCAACGGGTTAAGGTTATTAACGAATATTTTGGCTCCCACGTCTGCTGTAGACACAGACTTAGAAGGTTGTGTAGAGGAGGGTTTTCCGGCCTCCAATTGGCGAAGTCGAAGAAGCTTCCCGTAAAGGCGGACGCCCTTCAATGCCAGTACCACGTACTCGGTGTCTTTAGGGTTCTTAAATTCCACAAACCCAAATCCTTGGTGTGCTCTTAGCACTCGATCTTTGGGGAGATGAAGCGATCTCACGGGAGCAAATTGTACAAATAATTCATAGAGTATTGTCTCGGTCACTTTAGGGTCCAAATTCCCTATGTACAACGAGGCTTCGACGTTTCTGTCGTTTTCATTTGCCTTTCGAAACACTGTAGTCATTATACGGGTTGCTGAGATGCAGTTTTTAATGTCATCGCGTTATCGCGGGTTTTATGGAGTATATCTATGCTAATGGTTCTGAAGGCTTTGATGCATTTATAGGAAGCTCTTCGGGAGCCTCATCGTCAGATCCCGATTGGTCCAGTGAGTCATTAGAGCTGGAGCTGAAGTCCAGGTCCGTATCACTATCGCTGTGGTCACTATCGCTCTCACTCTCAGTGTCGCTGCCAGAATCTTCGAGATATGCCTTTTCAACACCAACAACGTTGACGGTGAGCTCCTCGGTGGATACGTAGATGGTTGGGTACTCCAAGACTACTGTATCTTTCAATGTGTTTGCTAACACGGCATCCCCATCCAATGATATGTACAAGTTATGGTGGGACTTAGGTTGGGCAAACACATTCTTAAGGTAGAACTTCAACTGGTCTTTTTGTATGTTTTCCTGTACACTTTGTAGCACATTCAACGGTACAGCATCTCGAAGTGTGGCTGTTTCACTGATTCTGTAACTGAGAAAATCCTTTTGAGTTACTCCTTTAGCATCAATAAATAGCCACTGGACTGTCCATGTAAAGGTCTGCAGTTTCTTATCGTATCCACTCTTATTGCTAGTTGACCTGGACATTCCATCGGGGAGAATAACACACATGGTGTTTTCACGACGGGTAAGGTACGGAGTATTTTCTGGGAAATGCTTCTTAACCGCAGTTATTCTGTGATCTGTGAGATGAGCATCGGATGCTTCTAATTTGGGTCTTTTATTTCTGTTATAATTGGAGTTGTTCCCACGCTTGAACACATTGCGGGCGTTGACCTTTACGTCTGTTTTCCCCACCAGGATTTCGCGTCCCATCTGGAGTAAAAAGTTGTAGTCTCTATTGATATGCAAAGCACTTGCTGCTAATTCCTTCTTTGGAATGAACTTCGATTGGTCCACCTTCCCCGTACATTCAGTCTGTTTTTTATGTCGTTTAATACACTCCATTGAGCATGTTCGAGCAGTACATGCGGGACATGTGTACTTGGCCAGGGATTCTAAACATATAGAACACAATGCACTGGTGTCAGACATGGCAGATTGATTTTTTAGTGCTTCGCAAAATCAATAATTTTGTGAGACCTAGCACCGAAAAAAAACCACTTGAAAATTTTCAATTAAGATCCTCCATAATGTTTGGGTTTGCTAGGAACACCTCCAGCGCCTTGGTACCTGTGTCCAAGCAGAGTAGTCGGTATGCATCGCGAGGAAAGAAGGTGGTGAGTAAGTTCAAGAAAGTCGACATTCAGTTGTTAAAAGACCATCCCACCCTCGGCCAAAAAGGTGAGGTTGTTTCTGTTAAAGCTGGATTTATGAGACAACAATTGCACCCATTCAAATACGCCTCCTACACGTTGAACGGCCTTCGAATCCCAGTTGTCGAGAAAAAGGTAGCTGTGGTGAATACACCACCTGTAGTGACTTCTGCATCAATTCAGAAACCAAGTGTTGGCTCCTTCAATAAAGAGGATTTTTCTGCCTTGTTCGACACATTGAAGACCTCCGGTAAGAACAAGAGAACTTCGAAGCTGGAGATTTCCTTCGAAAGCATCAACGAATCAAGCAGCTCAGAAGGTAGCTTCAGTGCTTCTGAAATCAGAGAATACGTTCCTTCCGTTATCACACTTGTGACTGGAAAAGGTGTGTCTTTGCCTGTCACCAAAGCCGCCTTGGCCACTCATGTGTTCAATGTATCTGGTTTGGAGATTCCTCAATCAGCTATTCGAATCGCCGATAGTTCCAAAAAACCAATCACTTCCATTGAAGCGGCAGGCGAATACTCATGGGTCATCGATACACCTGAAAACCTCCCGGTTCGTATCTCTCTTACTGTGCAATGAGACAAGCCACCAAAGTATGTATAATTGGGTCTTCCCAACTGTTAGTGTAAATAGATAGATAATGCAAAATTCGCAAAAACTAAAACATACTATGGGTAACTTAAGGTTCACTGCAGCAAAAACTTCAACTATTTCTAAAAGGAATTTGTTTGGTTCACCTTCCAAGAAGAATAAAAGTCCCATAAAGGACCTCCTACCTTCACAAGCAAAATATAAGCAGAATTTGAAAGCTAAACACCTACCTAGTAATGAATTAGGATCCCCAAAGAAGTCATCCAGCCTGGATTCCAGATTAGCTATCGATGACTACAACGTTGAACTAGACTACCAGCTCTCCAAAAAGCATGACATCATCACAGCTATAGACACTATAATTTCCAACCAGTGGTCGGAGGCATCAACAATAAATACACGTTATTCATCCAAAGAAGATGTGATTTCCAAATCAATGGAACACCTAGTATTCCAACTAAAAGGGCTAGCGATGTCTACAAAGGCAGAAATCATGAAGTACAGAACTACGCATATTCCCCAAGGGCTTGTGACAACCAACCAGCTTTACTCCATTTTCGACAAGGAAGGTAATACGTTTGTCGATAGGAATATAGAGTTGTCTATCAGGAAGGGCCAGATCAGGAAATTTGTTATCACCAACGCTGCTCCCATTATCCAGACGTCAAACGATCAGGCCCGCAATGGCAAGATCACATATGGGTACGAGAATGTAGAGGTATTGGTCAAAACAGGTGTTTTCTACAGTAAAATCCAAGAAACATTGTCTAAATTAACAGACAGTTTCCAGATCAAAGTCTTGCAGAAGTTTGAAAAATTCACAAAGGAAAACCCAACAACATTGTTTATTAGTACTGAAGACTCTTTCTTGGAGTCTGAATTGACTACGCTTGTGGAATTAGGGTTTATCACATTGACCTCCAACCATAAGAATGAGATTGAGTCTCAGCAGTATGCATTATCTTTCCCTAATTGTGGAACCTATTTGAAACTCGTCAATAATGGCCGGTCATGGTTGGTCAAGACTTTGAACAAGTGTAAATTTCATGAGCTTTTGGAGCTGGAATTGTTCAACAGATGGGAAGGTATTGACTTAAATGATAACAGCAAAATGTCCAACTTTCGTAAGCCCTTCTACGGATTTGACTTGAATTGGATATTGGCAGACGCTCTTGGAGCTGGAATTATAGAGGTGTTTAACACACCAGTTGGAAGAGGCTGGAAACTTACTGGCAAGAGATAGAAATAAGGATTATATATTTATACAAAAGTGTCAAACTTGATTACATTCTAACTCTTTGTTTCTTTTGAAGCTTCTTTTGCTTCTTTTCCAGCTCCTTCTTCTCCAACTTGGCTTGTTCTTCAGGACTCAAGTTTCTGATCTTTTCCCTTTCTTCTCTCTTTAACTTGGCCTTTTCTTCAGCTTCGATTTCTAGTCTTTCCTGTTCTAGGGCCTTCAAGATTTTGTTCAATTCGGTTTCTCTGGTCTTGGCTACCTTTTTCAAACTTTCGGACTTGAAGGTAATGGACTTTTCGGCGATACCGTCAATGATAGAAAATATAGCATCTAAAGTCTTGGAAATTTGAGCAATTTGAGCCTTTTTGGAAGGTAAGCTCATGGAAATAACAATTCTCCGGTAAGGGGCATAACCTTCTGGAGAATCTGGCTTTTCAGTAGCTTGGTCAGTGAACGCAATATATCTGATATATGAAGCAGCTTCAATAGTCAAAGCATCAGCCAAAGCTGGAGTCAATAACTTGTCATGGAATTCGCTACCTTCACTCATAAATACAAATGATTCAGGGATCTTGGTAGAGTCAACGGTTCTGGTCAAAGACAAAAAGTAATTGAACTTTCTGAAGTCATTCATTCCAAGTTTAGACACAATTGCGCTGATAAAGTTATCATAAGGAATTGAAGGTTGAATGACGATATCAACCTTATCGATAGGCTTTTGAACGTACTCAGTGAAATAGGACATAATACCTTCAAGAATCCAAACAAAAATGTTGTTTCTTGGTCTCAATTTAAAGTCAAAGTTGACCTTGGCGATGTTTTCTCTACCAGTGGCATAAGAAGAATAGTTTTCAGGGGAATCCTTGATGTACAAGTCTTCCTTAGAAACTCCCACTTGGAAAAAGTTTGCTTCCAAAGTTTCCTTGGTTCCTTCCAAAAACTTGGTAACTAAACTCTTGTTGTACAAATCACCAATCTTGAATAAAACCACAAACCCAAGGGTGAAACTGATAGTGATCAATTCCAATCTCCAGTCGTTATTCTTGATACGATCCCATACAGTCAGGGAAGCAACATCCTCCACAGTGGTACTAGCAGCAGCAACAGCTGCCATTAATGCAATAGATGTGATAATCTGTAACATTATTTATTATGGCGAAAGATAGTAGAATTTTTCAAGGCAAAAATTGGACGAAAATGCTCGCCATTTTTCGTGGAATGTTTTATCTCCACACAATATTTACGATGCACTTGTACGGAATAACTATAGGAATTAAATTTGATGACGGTCGATGGATTGATGTGACCAGTATCTATGTACATATGAAAGTGGGTGCCATACCAGACTACTCTTTTCTCTTTTTCAGTACCTCGTTTTCACCTCCTGGTTGTACCTCTCTGTACTGTGCCATACCCTCATGAACAGCATTGGTCACTAGCTGTCTCAATGCTTCCTCGGGATTCTCACCGTTGATAATTGCCTCGATTTGCTTTCTCCTGTCTTCACTAATTTCTCCTTCTACTTCAGACTCCAAAGAAAACCTGATATTCTGTCCGTCCACTGCTTCAGGAAGCGACAGATGTATATCTGATGAACCAGAGGCAGCCTCTTCGCTAGGTGTTGCTGTTTGAACAGCATCTGGGCCCTCAGCTTCATATTTAACCGTCTTTAAATACTCGATGAGCTCTGGGAACTCTTCATCCTCTATTCTATACTCCAAGGCGGTGAGGCCATCCTCGTTTTTGATAGTCCAGTCACAGTCAAGGTCTTTGACCAATACTTTGGCGGTACGTACATCTTCACAGTGGTGCAAGGGCGTGTCGCCTTCGTTATCCTGGATATTTATATCACCTCCTTTGCTGATTAAGAGTCGCAAAAGCCCAATATGGCCATAGGAAGCAGCAGCATGGATGGGAGTGTACCCATTTGGGTCCTTCGCATTAGGAGTATATTGACCTGACTTCAAGAAGTCGTCGACAATGGCCACCTGGTTGTCAGCGGCTGCCACCCAGATATTAGAGACCATCTGTATCTTGTTAAGAAAAAAAATGAGATGTAGGTGATATGCGCAATTTTTCAAATCTTCATTTCCACCGCTCGATGTCTTCACAAGAGAACACCACCAGCAAACCATCGCCACCCGAAAAGCTCTCGGGGTTCGACTGGTGGCGCCGGAGCATGCTGTACCGGACCGGAATGGGCATGAGTGATGCAGACAAGCGTCAGTTTGAAATCGACTACAATGCTAAACAGCTTCCCCAAAGATGCGATGCTTGTGTATCAGAAAGAGACTGGGTTCTTCAGTACTCTCCATCGGTGCGGTTCATGATGGATCATGTGAACAAGCTTGGTGGCAACTTATCGTCCAAGAATATCAAATGTGAAGTATGTGACGACTTGAAGGGTGGAGGGTTTCATCCACAAATGGGGATCTTATTGTGTTCCAATTGGATCCGAGACAAATGGCAGTTGGAAGATATTCTCACCCATGAACTTGTTCACGCGTACGACCACCTTAAGTTCAAGGTTGACTTGACCAACTTAAAACACCACGCATGCACAGAGATCCGAGCTTCGATGTTGAGTGGAGAGTGTCGAATTTTCAACGAAATAAAGAAAACAGGCCTCGCCAATTTCGACAAGAAGTTCCAGGCATGCATCAAGAGAAGAGCCACGCTATCGGTGTCGGCGAATCCGAACTGTAAAACCAAGCAAGACGCTGAAAATGCCGTTAATGCGGTGTGGATGTCGTGTTTCAACGACACACGGCCTTTTGAAAGAGTGTACCGTTGATAGTTGCCCAACACCAACAAATTATCCCCATTAGTGTCTCTTTGTACATAGTAATTTATATTTCATCATGTTGGGGTGTTTATCGCCTGTGCCGAATAAGCCGCGCCGGCAGGCATTAATTATAAAGACCGAACTCTTCCCTCGTGATTACAATTTGTTTGTACTTTAGTGGTTCTAATGCAACACCGGGAGACAGACCAAAACCTTTCGATAATTGTCGGGAGGAACTCCGGCACCAGAGCCTCTCTTGTGGGTTCTGACGAGTATAAGGAGTTTAGCACCGAAATAGAGGGTACAGGCACCTCAGAAATTGATCAATCATTTCCACAGTCAGAGATCCAGGATGTGCCTGTAGAGGTTATCCGGACCAAAATCAACTCAATTGATGCCAAGCACCGCCACACACGGGTCAAGAAGCCCAAGAGAGGTGAATCGACGTCTGAATCGACTGCGGATGGTCCTAATTACCGGTCGCAGTTTGGTGATATTAAGTTCTTGGAAACCTCAACAACCATTTTTGATGCTGACTACTTCAAAGACTCCGAGATGTACGGGATATACGTCTTGTTCTGGTTGGCCACGGGGTTCTTGATGGTGAACAATATTGTTCACGCCTGGATTGACCAGTCTGCCCCCTTTTATCAGTTACCTGTGGTTCAGGTCTTGAGAAAGGATCTCTGGAAAGTAGCCTTGGTGGACTGCTTGATGTACTTGTCCACGTACTTTGCGTACTTTGTTCAGAAATTGTGCAAGTTGAAAGTTCTCAATTGGCAAAGGACAGGATGGTTTATTCAAGGCACATATGATTTCTTCTTCCTATTGTTCTGGTCTTTGGTGGCTTCTGAGCATATACTTGGATTCCCATGGATCGGAAGAGTATTTTTGATGCTTCACTCATTGGTGTTTCTAATGAAGATGCACTCGTATGGGTTCTACAATGGCTATCTCTGGACGATTTCGGAGGAGTTGGAATTTTCTGAAAAGTATATCAGCAGGTGCACACCGGATAACCACCTGGTTTCACCTGAAAAAGACTTGGATGAACATAAGCAAACGCTTTTGAACAGTATCAAGTTCTGTAAGTTTGAATTGGCCTTTCAGGCGTCTGCTAACTATACTTCCAATGATCCAAATGTGATTTTAGATGGCCCCAGTGTGAAATTTCCTGATAACATTACTGTGGAGAACTTTTTTTGGTTTTCGATGTTCCCAACCGTCGTGTATACATTGAACTTCCCTAGAACCAAAAGAATCAGATGGAGCTATGTAGGAGAAAAAGTGTTGGCAGTGTTTGGGATTTTCTTCTTGATGATCATAATCGCCCAAAAAGGCTTCTATCCACTTATTCTTCAGGCCAGAGCCGCCAAAACGCTCCCTTCGGGGTTAAAGGTGCAACAGTATTTCCTTGTCCTAATTGATATGATTCCCTACTTTTTGTTGGAATATATCTTTACATTTTTCATTATTTGGGAGTTCATTTTGAATGTGATTGCAGAACTCAGCTGTTTTGCAGATAGAGACTTCTATGGTCCTTGGTGGTCATGCTCTGACTGGGGGGAGTTTGCAAGAATCTGGAATCGTCCCGTGCATAAATTCTTATTGAGACATGTTTACCACTCTTCTATCAGCACGATTCGGTTGAACTCGTTTCAAGCATCCATTTTCACGTTTGTTTTATCCAGTCTTGTTCATGAGTTGGTAATGTTCTGCATTTTTCGAACGTTTAGAGGATACTTATTGTTGTTGCAGATGTCTCAGCTTCCGATGATGATGATAGCTAAAACGCCGCTAATGAAAGGAAGGAAAACTTTGGGAATTGTGGTTTGTTGGGTGGGTTTTATTTCAGGGCCTAGTATAATTTGTACTCTTTACTTGTTCTTTTAGATATTTAGTGAAGATTATTTTTTGTTGCAGCCATTTGGCTATCTCCGCGCACAACCAAACGCAGAAAAAAAATCTGTTTAAATCATCGCTAGCCAGTAAAAATGTCAAGACCAGAGGAGATTGCCCCAGCAGAAATATTCTATAATGACGATGAGTCGTTCAAGTATACGTCCAATAGTCGTGTACAGATGATCCAGGCTAAAATGACTTTGAGAGCGTTGGACTTGTTGAATCTTGAGTCTGAGGAGCCTCATCTCATTCTTGATCTTGGATGTGGTTCTGGATTGTCAGGAGAAATTTTGACAGAGGAAGGATATAACTGGATAGGCATGGATATTGCTCCGAGCATGTTGGCCACAGCCATTGACAGAGGGATCGAAGGAGACTTATTTTTAAGTGACTTGGGAAATGGGGTTCCCTTCAGAGCCGGAACCTTTGATGCGGCCATTTCTATTTCAGCTATCCAATGGTTGTGTAACGCCGATTCCAGTGGTAGTGACCCCAAGAAGAGACTCATGACATTCTTCAACACATTATATGCTTCTTTGAAGAGAGGAGGGAAGTTCGTGGCCCAATTTTACCCTAAGACTGATGACCAAACTGAGTCTATTTTGGGTGCTGCTAAAGTAGCAGGTTTTGGTGGAGGATTGATTATCGACGAGCCAGAAAGTAAGAGAAATAAAAAGTACTATCTCGTTCTCACTGCGGGAGTCTCAGACAGAGGCGTGAACTTGGAAGGGGCTGAGATGGATGCTCCAGAGATGAAGCGGAAATTGAATAAGAAGATGATGAGAAAGATGGAGTCCGGCAAGGATTTCATCAATAGAAAGAAGGAGATCATGAGAAAAAGAGGAAGAAAAGTTGCTCTCGATTCGAAGTTCACAGGAAGAAAGAGACGTTCACGGTTTTAAACCCAGCCCTTATTGTACACTAGCATTTATACATATTTTAGCATCGCCATATAATAGGAATCATATCAGTAAATCTCATCCCGCGACCATTTTTTTTCGCAAATAGGAATCGTGAAAAATTTAGAGTATCTACCCATACAGAATGTTCACAAGATTCACGTCCGGCTTAAAGCCTTTAAGGATATCAGTGCAGGCCATTAGGACGTTCATTCCTACTGTCAAAGGTATGTGTTGATGTTTTTTTCCAGGTTCTGACCCAGTACTAACCCGTTTTAGCCTCTTCTCAAACGCCCACTGTGTTTGAACCTTTACCTTCAAAAAGAAACGGCCAAAGCGTCATGAAATACTTACACGAAAAACTCACGAAGAAGTACGACCCAACGGGCAAAAGAACAGCCTTGGTAGACCAACAGAAAGGGTTGAGATCTGGAGATATCATCAAAGTTACCTACTTGGATAGAACCAGTGTGGTGGGACAAATCATTGCCATCAAAAGATCCGTAAGAAACGTGGGAACCAACATATTGCTCAGAAACAAAATCAACAAGTTGGGGGTGGAGGTCAGAATTCCCTTGTACAACCCCAAGATCAGAAACATCGAGGTGTTGTACAAACCCAAGAAATACATGCCTAGAAGAAAGCACTTTTACATCAGAAACACCAAGTACGACGTGGGTGACGTGGAGGCTTTCTTGAGCAGAGAAAAGAGAAAGCAAGACCTGTAAATAGATAGACCTTTTTTATCATTATTCATATACATATACTGTTAAGGGCTGATATCACTATCACTATTATCTTGCAACCCCCTCAACCGTTCAGCGAGCTGATCACCAAACCGCTTGCGGAAACATGCCGAGGTTTCAGTCATTAGTGCTTCAAATGTCTCGAAGTGTTTGGAAGGGTTATCTAAGATGTACCAACCTCTTAGCTCCACCGAGATGTCTTTGGTTTGTCCCTCTCCGAACTTAACCCGAAGATGGCTGGGCTTTCGGCCCAATACGTTCATCACGTCACCCATGAACTCATAGGATAAGCGTAATTCAAGGACGTCAAAAAACGACTGATATTCCCGGTGGATGGTTGATAGTTCGGTGTTCTTTTGGTGCAAGTCCATGTTAATTTTCAGTCTCAAACCGCACTGAGGCATACATATAACCCCGGTGGTCACGACGACAGTTACCACCACGCTGGTGGCACCACATTCCGCTCGAGCCGCTCCAGGGACAAAAGCTTCACCATTGTATATGATTTTGCCAGCTTACATTTACAAGAAATTCTACTGAATTTAGACACAACTGATTCCCAATATTCCATCATGATGTCAATACCAGGCGCCCAGAAACGTGCTCCACGAGGGTTACTCTACGCGTTTATCCACTTGTGAACCTTATCAAAATAGCTACAGAAGAGTTACTTTGACACCAGGGTGGATATGCGATTGATGTTAGAGACTTCAAGTGCGTGGAAAACTTTTCCAATATATAGCCAGTATGAGCGCCGGGTAACTGGGGCCAGATCAAAGTGCGGTTTGTGAAATAAGATATTTTCAACAGCAGCTATGACTACTATTGCGCCAGAGAAGTTCATTGGTAGCAGTTTGCGAGTGGAGTTGAGTGACAACCGTGTCCTTGACGGGGTGTTGACGGTGGTGGACCCATTCGGCAACTTGTTGATGTCCAATGTGTACGAGACTAATAAGCTGAACCGTCGAGAGGTGGGCCTTGTGAGCGTTCCTAGAGCAACCATCAGTAAGTTGTATATTGACAAACGGACATATCAGCTGCTAAAATAACGGGCGATGGATGAATGCTAATGGGCTGATCGGGCATACGAAGTTCGCCCCTGCTTTTTGATATTCTGCTTTTTGGTATTCTGCTTTTGTCCAGAATAGATCAGGCTAGCCTCATCTACTTGGATAGGCACCAAAATAATCAATTTTCTTCGCTTGGGATCTGTATATGGGGGCTGCAAGTACTTTTCAGGTACCAGAACTGGTTTCCGAATGATCACCGTACGACCCTGAGAGTCCACGGACTCTTCTTCTTCCCATACGGTTTTCTCGTACCCCCAGTCCTCGTCATCACAATCGGTGTCTGAGCCCAGGGCAGTGTCCGAACTGTCACTGGGGATGGTGTTGGCAGGACTTCCAGGCTCAGTGGATGAAGGACGGGTGATAGTCCAAGTTTTGGTTTTGATTGGCTTTGTGGTATTATGGGGAGGCAAATACCCAGGGGGATACCTTCCGTTAGTTGGCTGGCCGTGCTCCAAGCAGGTTCCAAAGTAGTGGTCTCTGGCTGCCTCAAACGTGCCATAGGGGCATATATCAACCAAACATCCAAGAATCGAGTCTTGGTCTCCACAGAGACACTTGATGTCAGTATGGCCACCAACACAGAACTGGGCCATTTCGTTGATACAGCTGAGAAAGCATGCGGGTGGAGTGGCCAAGACCCCGGTCATCATAATGTAATTAGACATTAAATACCAAATCATATTCAAATACATGTTTGTGGAAGTAAGTTGCAAAAGACGTTTGATTGCAAAACGCGAAAAAATTTAAGGTTCTGCAAAGCCTGGAGTGCCCGCTAACCTAAGAAGTTCAAACAACAAAACTAAAACTTAAGTTTGTGCAATACAAGATGCCCAGTTCTTCCACGAAAACTGAAAGGTCACAAGTACAATTTGAAGATTACTGGCATGGGTAGAACCCCTCAACCAGTCCATTTACGGAACAATGCACCTTTAGCGTCAATGAGTTGGAGTGCGACCAGACAAAAATTCAGGTCTCGCAAAAACATATCATAAAAATCTCAGTTGTTATTTTAAAACTTGAAGTTTGACACCTACAAATCATGCAAGGGTCTTATAAAAATAATGGGTTACCGCGTCCTTACTATATGAAGCCTGTCAAGGGTAAGGGAAAGAAGGGATCTCCTTATGAGTCGATGCAGTCCAACTATTTTTCAACGCCTAAGAAAAAGATTATTGGGTACTTGTTTATGCTTTGTTTCTTTAGCTTGAGTTTCTATTGGTTGGGTCAGCTGATGCGAGCCGCTCCTGATGCTGAGTATGACATTGACATCGGACAGGCATCAACCAAAGTTGGAATCAACAACATTTTAGGTGTGGTTGAAAATGACAAGGATTCCAGCAATCTTGGTTTGGCAGGAAATTTGGCTGTGGGCAGCAAAGGGGACGTGGGGATTGGTGTGAATGAGGCCCCCAAAGGTGGTATGGCCAATGAGGCCCCAGTGGTGGGGAATGATGAAGATGAGGTAATTGAAGGTAAAAAGAAGCAAAAGCCGGTGGATGATCATTTAGTGGACGAAGATCTGATTCTTAAGGATGAGTAGCTTATGATTTACGAGTAGCAAGTAGCCACATATACATTATATTTCGTTTTATTAATACAAATACTTGCTTATACAATAGTGGATCAGACCGATTTAAAAAAAAGGTCCCACCGGGAATCGAACCCAGGTCTCCAGAATCAGAATCTGATGTGATAACCACTACACTATGGGACCAATGCGTGTCTACTTTTTGACATGGCGCACACCAATGCAGCAAACTGGATTTTAAGGGAATAGACACTGCTACATTAGTGGCACACTGTCAATTGGGGTATATCTTATACTCGTAACCGAAGTCCATCTAGTCAACATCTTAGGCGCCATTCTTGTTCCGTTCATTACGTATTACATTTGCCTTGTTCACTATCGGCTGAGATCGATATCAGTGCGCCGGGTAAGACACCGTGGTGATCTAGCGCGTAAATTATGGCACGATGATCACAGTTTATAGGGCAACGGTAGGGATGCCGTACCCAAATATACCCGTACAGAAGATATCTTGCGATAGCAGACTCAACAGAACATCACATCAATTCCACACAAAAATTGATCTGCTGATATCTAAAATCGATCACCACTAAACCACTGACGTTCAGAGCCATCCCTTCCAATCCCAACTATCCATCTCTGTATAATTGCCTCCAGAATCATATTCTGCTCACCTGAATTGTATGCAGGGTACTAAAATTTTTTCTAAGCAGATGTCCTTAAAGAAAAAATTTATCAGAAAATTTTTTCCTCTTTCTATATAAGCAAAGCAAATTCCTTTGAAGTTTTTTCACATTTTTCTTAGGAAGAACACCTTGGATATCTTAGAAAGGAAATGTCTGCTGCCAGTGAATCAAAATATTCCACTGAAGTGCTTTCCGAATTGTTGAGCAAGTTAAAAGTTGCCGACAACAAGGAGGAAGCTGCTTCTAACATTTCATCGTTTTTGAACTCTTCGATTGTTGAACACGATGCTCCTGTTGAGTTCTTTGCTGACTTGAAGAAGCAAATCGCCGACAAGAAGGATGCTGAAGCATCTCTTGCTGCTTTAGCTGCTTACACTCATATTGCCTCTGCTAATGCTTTGTCACCAACTGTTGAGCCATACGTGGTTGCATTGGTGCCAGAAGTTGCCGCTAAGGCTGGTGACAAAAACAAGGATCTTCAAGTCGCTGGTGCCGAAGCTTTGCTTGCCATTGCCAAGGCCATCACCCCAACCTCCATCAAGGTGATTTTGCCATTGTTGTTGGAAAGTTTAACTTCCACCAACAAGTGGACTGAAAAAACCGCTGTTTTGGGTGCCATTTCTCAATTGGTTGACACCGCGAAGGCCCAAATTGCCTTGAGAATGCCTGAATTGATTCCAATTTTGTCTGAAACCATGTGGGATACCAAGAAGGAGGTTAAGGCCACAGCTCTTGCCACCATGACTAAGTCTACCGAAACCATCGATAACAAGGATATCGAAAAGTTTATTCCTCGTTTGATTGACTGTATTGCCAACCCTACCGAAGTCCCAGAAACCGTGCACTTGTTGGGTGCCACCACCTTTGTGTCTGAAGTCACCATGGCTACCTTGTCCATCATGGCTCCTTTGTTGTCCAGAGGTTTGGCTGAAAGAGACACCGCCATCAAGAGAAAGGCTGCTGTCATTGTCGATAACATGTGTAAGTTGGTCGATGATCCTCAAGTTGTTGCTCCTTTCATGGCCAACTTGTTGCCAGCTTTGAAGGCTAACTTCCAAACTATTGCTGACCCAGAAGCCCGTGAAGTTACTCAAAGAGCTTTGAACACCTTGAGAAGAGTTGGTGCCGTTGGTGAAAACGACGCTATTCCAGAAGTTTCCACTGCTGGTGACATTCCAGTTACCTTGGGAGTCTTCAAAGAATTGGTTAAGGACCAAAAGATTGGTGCTAGATTCGAACCAGTCTTGGAATACATTGCTGCTATTGGTGGTGACTTGGTTGATGAAAGAGACATCCACCCAGGATCCTGGTTGCAAAACGTCTTGCCTTTCGCTACCATCTTCTTACATGAAAAGGAAGCTAAGGAAATCATTGAAGAATACAGAAAGAGAGCTATTGATAACATTCCAGCTCCTCCATCTTTCGAAGATGAAGAAGATGATGGTGAAGACTTGTGTAACTGTGAGTTCTCTTTGGCTTACGGTGCTAAGATCTTGTTGAACAAGACTCAATTCAGATTGAAGAGAAATAGAAGATATGGTTTGTGTGGTCCAAATGGTGCTGGTAAGTCCACCTTGATGAGAGCTATTGCCAATGGTCAAGTTGAAGGTTTCCCAACCCAAGATGAATGTAAGACCGTTTACGTCGAACATGATATCGATGGAACTCACGCCGAAACCAGTGTTCTTGACTTTGTGCTTTTGGATGGTGAAGTTGGTTTGACCCTGGATGCTGTCGAAGACAAGTTGAGAGAATTCAACTTTACCGAAGAAATGATCAAGATGCCAATTACCTCTTTGTCCGGTGGTTGGAAGATGAAGTTGGCTTTGGCCAGAGCTGTGTTGAAGAACGCTGATATCTTGTTGTTGGATGAACCAACTAACCATTTGGATACCGTCAATGTTGCTTGGTTGGTCAACTACTTGAAGACCTGTGGTATCACTTCTATCATTGTTTCCCATGACTCTGGTTTCTTGGACAATGTTGTTGAATACATTATCCACTACGAAGGTTTCAAATTGAGAAAGTACAAGGGTAACTTGTCTGAATTCGTCAAGAAGTGCCCATCTGCTCAATCTTACTACGAATTAGGAGCCTCCGAATTGGAATTCCTGTTCCCAGAACCTGGTTTCTTGGAAGGTGTTAAGACCAAGCAAAAGGCTATTGTCAAGGTTTCTAACATGACTTTCCAATACCCAGGTACTGCTAAGCCACAAATCAGAGACATTAACTTCCAGTGTTCTTTGTCTTCTAGAATTGCTGTTATTGGTCCTAACGGTGCTGGTAAATCTACTTTGATTAACGTGTTGACTGGTGAATTATTGCCAACTATTGGTGAAGTTTACGTTCACGAAAACTGTAGAATTGCTTACATTAAACAACATGCATTTGCTCACATTGATAACCATTTGGACAAGACTCCATCTGAATATATTCAATGGAGATTCCACACTGGTGAAGATAGAGAAACCATGGACAGAGCTTCTAGACAAATCAACGAAGACGATGAAAAGGGAATGGAAAAGATCTTCAAGATTGAAGGATCTCCAAGAAGAATTGCTGGTATTCACGCTAGAAGAAAATTCAAGAACTCTTACGAATATGAATGTTCTTGGACTTTGGGTGAAAACTTGGGTATGAAATCTGAAAGATGGGTTCCAATGATGTCTGTTGACAACGCTTGGTTGCCAAGAGGTGAATTGATGGAAACTCACTCCAAGATGGTTGCTGAAGTGGATATGAAGGAAGCTTTGGCTTCTGGTCAATTCAGACCTTTGACCAGAAAGGAAATCGAAGAACACTGTGCCATGTTGGGTTTGGAAGCCGAATTGGTGTCCCACTCCAGAATCAGAGGTTTGTCCGGTGGTCAAAAGGTCAAATTGGTCTTGGCTGCTTGTACCTGGCAAAGACCTCACTTGATTGTCTTGGATGAACCAACCAACTATTTGGACAGAGACTCTTTGGGTGCTTTGTCTAAGGCTATCAAGGCTTTCCAAGGTGGTGTTGTTATCATTACTCACTCTGCTGAATTCACCAAGGATTTGACTGAAGAAGTGTGGGCCGTTTTGGACGGTAGAATGACCCCATCTGGTCACAACTGGGTGCAAGGTCAAGGTGCTGGTCCAAGATTGGAAAAGAAGGATGACGACGAAGAAGACAAATTCGATGCTATGGGTAACAAACTTGCTGCTGTTAAGAAAAAGAAGAAGTTGTCTTCCGCCGAGTTAAGAAAGAAGAAGAAGGAAAGAATGAAGAAGAAGAAGGACTTGGGTGACGCTTATGTGTCTTCTGATGACGACGACTTCTAAATGTCTCGGTCTTCTTAAGATTATTACTAAGTTATATGTTTGCTTGTTTTGTAACTAATATTGTTTATACATCTATATTTCAATATAATAGATCCTAATTATCAATGTAGATTTGGCTGCGAATTCATTTCCTAAACCATAATGATTTTGTTGATGGTTTTTGTGTGTTTTCACAGCCTATCGGTGTTTGTGTACGGGTTTATGAATACTACAGTAACTATTGGAACCAAATCATACGCACCATATCCGGCTACTTGTCCTGAAGGTTCAATCATCAGATATGCCCAAGTACGTTTAAATCCACAATCACAAAAAGAGCACCAAAACTAACCACCCAAAAAAGGGACTTTCGGAGTATGAAAACTCGTACATTAATCAGAGGCACCGGTCAACTCAATTGTCACTCAAGCATGTACTCAAAAGAAATTGTATCCCTGGCTTCGAAGCATCCCAAGTTCTTGACTCCTTGAGCCCTGTGAACATAGCCATTGCGATATCAGGAGGTGGATATCGTTCTATGTTAACTGCTGCTGGGGTTTTAGCTGCCTATGACTCTAGGACACCTGGATCTCAAAATCCTGGGCATCTTGGAGGTTTTTTACAAGCAACTAGCTACATTGCTGGCATATCTGGTGGATCCTGGGTAGTGATGAGCGTTGCTGTTAATGATTATAAACCTATGGTGCAGCTAAAAGATGAAGAGCTTCATGCTATTGAAGGAAGGCTTCTCATAGGAATTCCTGATTTCGATCCAGGTTTCAAGGGGAACTCACCCAAATCTGAACATATAGAAACCAGAGAAGATGGAACAGTTAGCTCTGTTCTTAGTTATTTTGGATTCAATAAGAAGAAAGGTACGGAACCAAGATTTTCTACAAAATTATTAACAATGATGGAGAACAAGAACCAAATCTCAGGGGAGAACAAAATCAAAGACATCTATAACTTCTACGAGTCGATTCATAATCAAGTACGCAGCAAGAAGAAGCTGGGATCATACATTTCCTTCACTGATTACTGGGGTAGAGCCCTCAATCAGAAGCTTTTCACCAGCTTCACCTCCAGAACATTCTCCTCGCTCAAGGAGCTTCCGTCAATGAAGTCTTTTGCCCAACCATTTCCTATTCTTTGTGCGGTATTAAAATCGCCTATACAGAAAGAAACAAGCCAGAAGTCACATTTGGTGGAATTTACTCCTGAGGAGTTTGGTTCTTGGGATTCATACATGCCAGGATTTATAAAGACTAAATACTTAGGGTCCACCATCAAAAATGGGTTTCCAGTTGATGGCTGCAAAATGGGCTATGATGATGTGGGTTTTTTGGTGGCTACTTCTTCCTCGCTCTTTAACAATGTGTTTTTGTATGTCTACAACTACTTGATGAAAGTTAACCACGAAGAGAAGACAGCCATTCAAACCATCCTTCTGACATTTGGCTTGAGCTCCAATTATACTGACCTGAGTATCCCACAGCATCATCCTGACTATGCCATTTACTCACCAAACCCGTTTTCAGAGTACGAAGAAGCTGAAGATTCTATTTCATCGCAACAACACATGTACCTTGCAGATGGTGGAGATGATGGACAGAATATCCCTTTTCAGCCACTTCTCCAACCAGCCCGAAACTTGGACTTGATTCTCGCTTTTGATATGTCTTCGGACCTTTATAACTTCCCAAACGGAAGCTCTCTCACCAAGACTGCCTCAAGATTTCACAATCTGGATGCCACCATGGAAATCAACACATTCTCGATTTCCGGTTACAAACAAGCGGTTTTTCCCAAAGTGCCCAGCGCTGAACAAATAAAACAGCTACCAAATACACCAATGTTTCTAGGGTGTGATTTGATATTTGACTATCCCAGACTTGAAGGATCACACATTAAACAGGTTGACGGTAACTTTCTTCCTCCACTACTAGTATACACCCCGAACCGTCACATATCCTATGCGTCCAATACATCTACATTCCAGCTCAGCTATAATCACAGTGAAATAAACCAGATGTTTCAAAACGGCTATGAGCTTGCGACTGCCAACAACTCGACTGATTTTGCAGCCTGCATCAGCTGCGCAGCTATTAAAAGAAAGGTAGATAAAATGCACTTTAGACAACTCCCAAAAGCTTTGACCATGGGTTTGGATTTACCCGAGTACTGCCATCAGTGTCTTAATAAGTACTGCTGGCATGAAACCAGAATCTCCACTGTTTAAGACTTGGCATTAAAGCAGTTAAATGCCACTGATTATTTTTGAGACGTTTTGCCAGGAAAGAAACTGACCAGTGGCCACTCCTAAACCGAAAAGTCAAACCATAAGTCCAACTACTCGCATAGATATTTTAAATATAATTGTTAGTGGAAGACTATAATACAATACCCAATATTAAAATAATTGTTGGGCTAACAGCAACAATAGAAGAAAACTGGAAATTAAAAATGCCTCTGTGTTCACATAATCCTTGTTCCCGCAGAGCAATACCTATGTAGGTAAACTCCCAGTCTTCATTCCCCAAAAGTGAAGTTCACTCACTGTACCGATGAAAAACGATGGCTGCGGAAATGTTCTACACATCTGAGAAAACGTAAAAAAATTATCTAAACACTAACAAATAAGCTTTTGAAAAGATAATAATCATGATATCGGAAGAGAGTAATCTCCCGATAGAGCTTGCCATTAACTCGTTGTATATGCTTTTCTGTACCATGCTTTTGTTCTTCGTGCTCGTTGGTGTCTCTCTCTTCTACTCGGGACTCACGCAGAGGAGGTCAGCTTTGTTACAACTTGCAATGCCCATGTTACTAACTCCATTTGTACTATTGGAATGGTATATTTGGAGTTACTCTTTGTGTTACTCATCATCTTCTAACCATTTCATTGGAGATTTGGACTTTGCTGTGTTACGACAGTTGAGAGAGTCAGCCGTACTTGTCTACGCTACTCCTAGAGGTGAAATACTATCAATCAACCATTTTTTATTCAACGGGATGTTCAAAATCATATGTGTGGGGTTCACATTCCCAGGATGTATTGCCGAGAGAGGTCGGTTGTTACCGATGCTCTTATTCTTATTTTGCTGGTCTACTATCATCTACAACCCAGTTACTTACTGGTTTTGGAATAGAAATGGATGGCTTTCAACAGAATTCGGAACACTACCGGTGACTGATTTTGCAGGTGGAAACTGCATTCATGTGGTAAGTGGCTTTACGGCCTTGGCCTACAGTTATCTCTTAGGCCCTAGAAATTCAAAGTTGCTCTATAATTATCGAAGCTCTAATAACGGGTTTATTTTGCTAGGAACCTTTTTCATTGCATTCGGATGGTGTGGATTTATTGCTGGGTGTGACTATAAGTTTTCCACATTCTCGATCTATATTATGGTCAATTCGTTGTTGGCAGCATCCGTCAGTAGTGTAGTATGGATGATCATCGACTTCTACTACCTGTCTACTCCTTTAGATGGTAATGGCCATAATAAGTCAGAGAGGAAAATTTCAATCATCTCATTTTCTTCAGGTTTAATGGCAGGCTTGGTGGTGATAACCCCTGCCGGTGGATACGTTTCATCTCCTACAGGGTTCTGGAAAGCAATTGTTTTTGGAGTGATTGGTGGAATATCGAGTAATTTGGCAACCAGATTGAAATTTTTCTTTCATATCGATGACGCTTTTGATATCTTTGCCATTCATGGCATCACAGGGATAGTGGGTTCTTTGCTTACTGGGATTTTTGGAGAATCTTCGTACGGATCAAAAGGAGGATGGGTCGAAGGAAACTTCATCCAGATTTGCTACCAAATATTAGGATGCGTGGTGACAGCTACATATGTGTTTGTGATGTCGCTCTTATTTCTTTACTTGATAGATTGGATTCCTGGCTTCCATTTGAGAATAGACAAGACTTTCAACAAGAGAATGAGAGAACAAAAACTTTCAAATACTCACTTGAACGTGCAAGCTTCATTATCACCAACAAATAACGGATTCGATCATGATACTGCTGTCGGTAGCATAGATACGAAGTTTGAGCACGGAGAGCTCGAAGGGGGTGACCAGTATGAGTTGAATGGTGAATATATGATGGACTTCATGGAGTTTATCAAAGTGATCAGACCTGAAGATTATACCGAAGACTATGCTGGAATTGAACACATCCCAAGTTCAAACCAGATGATGGATTTGAACCGCAAAATTGAATGAACCTTTATATAACGAATAACGAATAACGATTCTAATGCCATATTTTTCTTTGTAGGAATATAAATAATAAAATACAACAACAGTCTATAAGATTAAATAAGGAACTCAGTTGATGAGTCTCATGGTCAACTCAAACATGGCAAAGGTAGCTCCATTTGCTGGAGCAGCTCTCAAGATGGTTGGAATAAATCCTCTATAGAACCCTTTGATACCATTCTTGGCCCAAACGTCTTTGATCACACTCATGGAACCCTTATAAGAAGGTTTGGTCAAAGAGTCTGTTTGCAATTTGGACTTGACCACATCAACAGGATAAATACCGATCCAAAGAGTATAACCAGATAATCCACCAAATAAGCACAATTTCCATCCAGGAATATCGGCTCTTGCAATCTTTTTGTTGCCAGTTTCTCTAGCGATCAAAGCCTCATAAGTTGCAAAGTAGATACCCAACCCAATTGATTCTCTGACAAGTGTTGGAGTCAATCCTTTGAAAATTCCCAGATATAATCCGTTTTGTTTGTAGATTTTAGAAAAGCAGTCAATTGGGCCATTAAATTGCTTCACCAGACCAGATTGTATTTGCAACCGTATACGAATGTGTTCAATTGGAGCTCCCAAGAATCCGTTAGCAAACCCAGCAACCGCGCCACAGTTGAAGAACTGTAACAAGCTTAGTTGACCACCATTTAATTTCCCATCATAGTGTCTTTTCATGAACTCATTTACAGAAAACTGTACCGAAACACAAGCCCCAACCCCTACTAAAGGCGTCAATGTTCCCTTGTAGAACCCTCTCAACCCTTCGTTTCTCACCAACTGTTTCATGACATCTCCTGCTCCTGAGTAGGTTCCTTCAGCAGCGGACTGTAATCTAACTTTCACTGTGTCAAACGGCTGTCCCACCAATACCTGTGCAATACCACCAATAGTCCCGGCAAAAAGATCCTTGGCCACCTGGGCATTAGATTCAAGAGGAGGTTCTTCCAATTCCACAGTCATATTGGTGCTCTAGAATCTTATCGGTGCGATTTTAAATTTTTCAACTCGAGATGAGTCAATGGTTATGCGCGGCTGAATCCTAGGACATGTTTGACAATATACAAAAGCTACTTGTGTTTAATCAGCATGTCGCTCCCGTTCCCGTTCCAGTTGTCTTTCACTATTGACCATAATGAGACCATCGAACGGATTCATACCATTACTAGCATAGTACTGTCCAGTGGACTGAGAGGGGTGAGGACCTTCCATGGACATGCTCGGGGTCAAAATAGGTGAAGCTGCCAACGTGCTATGCGATTGCATTTGGGGTGGACCTTGGGCTTGGCTGTCTGTGTTTAACGGCATGATGGCTTGGGCCGCCGGTCCAAGGGCTGCTACCAATGGAGTTCGCACTTGGGGTATATTCTGAAGTTGGTTCAAGTTGAGCTGAGAATGAGACAACCCCAGCGTGTAAGACGGAAGATTGGTATGGGAGGAGGAAACCGTTGGATGTGCCGACAATGGTGTGAATATATTGGAAACACTTGGTATAGCACTTAATGGAGGTGGGTGAGGTCCCACGCCAGACCCATTATAATCATTGGATATTGACTTGTAGGAAGAGGCTTCTAATAGGATAGTCACGTCTTTGGTTGACTTTGTTAATGTGGACATAGAAGATCTGATTTCGTTGAGAATAGGCAAGTCTTTCATAAGGTTTTTCACTGCCGAGAAAGTCTGAATAATGGCTTTCAAAAACAAGTTTATATCATCCCAAAATAACTTTTTTGTGCTATAATTAGGATCATTACGGATTGTAATCAACTTAGTCTTGATCCTCTTGATGATATCAATGGATGAAACGCACACAGAAGTCAACTCTTTGACCTTTACTGCCACTTGAGGGCCAATGGCACCTTCCGAACTGGAAGAGTCACTGTTGCTGTTGGCACTCGCAATTGCACTCTTACTTATAGCTCTAGTGAGTTCGCCATACACGTCTTGAGCCTTTGATGTGGCAATTTCAATGGACTCATATAACTTAGCATCTACTTCATCACTGCTCTCAGAAGTGGTATTAATAGATAATCCCATCTTTGGTTTATCCTGAACTCTGAACGAAGCACTAGGAACTAGGATCTTATAAGCGTTTAATATTTCGTTGAAACTGCCATAAACAGTCAAATAAAGCATTCTGATAAAGCAAATGTCAATTTTATTGACAAAACTGGCGAAATTATCAGAAAGTAATCCCATTATTGACTTGAATGATTGAATACAAGTGTTTAAAGACTCAAAAATCTTATCAAGATTATTTGAATTTTCTTCCATCAATTCCAAGTTCTCAACCAATGTATCAATGTTAGCTTTTGCACTGTACAAGAAAGAAACCATTTTTATTGTGACTTTCTTATCGGAACAAAACCCACTGAACCTCCTCACAGAAGAGTGCAATTCGCTGAATGCAAAAAGAACTTTTCTCGATACTCCGATTAAGGAATTCGTATCAGATTCCAGATACTTTCTCGCAGGCTTTGAAGGAGAAAGGTCTGAAAGTGACGAACCAAAGGGCTTCAAAGTCAGAGGAGTTTTGTTGAGACCTGAGCTGTGACCGCTGCTCACTGTTCTTCCATGTGACGACACCACTGTGGTTGAACTGGTGGTAGAACTTCCAACAGTTTCTGTATCTTCTGTTTCCGATGAGCTTCCTGAAGCAGCATTTCGGGGTTGTGACACACTTCCATTCCGAGAAGAAGGATTCGATCCATTAGATATACTGCTATGTGTCTGGTGGAATCGGTAAGGTAAGTTTTGGTCTACAGGCACCTCTGCCAAAGTTGATAGACGTCTGAAGTATGCCCCCAGTTTATGCTCTGTGTCGACACCATCAGAATTTTCAAGCATCCTGTCAATTTCCAACAAAGTGTTAGAACGAGACCTGGGGCGGGCAGTAGGACGAGAAGGGGGTGCCAGAATTGTCGGCGTTGCTGGTGGAGAATCTCCCCCATCAGAATTAGAAGCCGTAGCCAAAGTACTGACTGTGGTGGTTCCAACAGCAGGTGGTGGACTGACTAGGTTGAAGGATGAATCAATAGATGAGGATGAGTTGGGGAAAGTTAAAGGGGAAGCAAAATCAATTTGGTCGGTATCTCGAGAATCATCAGACTGGTTGGATGATATTTCATCAGGTTTCTTGATTATTAAGCCCATTCGACGAGCAGCCTTTGATGCTCTTGTCTTGGTTTCTGAGATGTTCTTCGATCTGGAAGCCTGGGGAGTTGATGAAGTTGAAACGGTACTTGCACTTGGGGTGGATCTAGGGGCTGGCTGGGGGGTATCATAGATTTTGGACTCTATGGCAGCTGCATTACTTATCAAGTATGATTTCAATTGACTTACCCACTCGTGCTCCGACAGCTGTTTCTGAAGTCTTTGGATCATTTCTAGTGATGGCTGTACCAAAGGATTATCCAGGATTTCTATCAAATTCAAGCTCGGCAAAGATCCCAAGACTGGCGGCAAGTACCTGAACTTATTATTCTGTAATGATAGAAGTTTCAAGTTGACCATTTGGCCCATCCGAGATCTCAGAAGGTGAAACAAGCGATTGGAAGATAAATCAAGGAATTCTAATTGGGTTAGATCATAAATATCCTGTGGTAACTCAGAAAAGTTGTTATTGTGAAGATCCAAATAGGACAAATTTTTCGTCAACAATTTGAAGTTCAAGGGGAAGGACTCAAGTCCGTTAGCAGCTAGTGATATACTTTCAATCTCCAAAGGAGGATCATACGAATTAATATACTGGTACAAGTATTCAAATATATCACTGAGCAGGAGATTAGGAAGATGGGTCTTTAAGGAGTTGAGCTTCAAAGATCGCTTTTGCTTGAGGACTTCATGTTGATCTGATACAAAATCAAAAACCGCTGACCTTCCACTTAGTAGGGGTAATGACATATGATGGATGTAAGAAGGGGTTTCAGATTCAGTATGAATGTTTCAAACAATTCAGTAGAATTCAATACTTTAGATGTGCGCGCTTTACTTCGTTGCATGTAACTGTCGCTTAGCACTCAGGTACTACGACAGTATTATCGCGAGTGTATGGGGAAATAGGAACCCTTAACCCAGTGTAACCTTTACAGTATCTCTAACTCCACTCAATGCCTGCGAGAATTGTGATCTCTAAACCCCACAGAGGATATCACTGTTCGCATTCAGATCACCACTCGGATCCCTACTACATTAACCATTAAATTCATTTTTGTTCATATCACCATATGTATAAATAGACATATTCAAGCTACCCCTCGAATCACGGCATCCTTTCGTTCTTCCCACACAGTCTTTCCTGAGCATGAGCATACCAACTTGTCATTCTCCCAAGCACCAGCACTTCTGGCTATCACCCCACAAATCGAATCAGGGGCCACCTTCTCTTGCAACTTGGACAAAACGATTGACCTTCCTATAAGGTCCATTACCCCCAACTTGGCGTGTAAAAAAGCTTGACCAGATCCCAACTTTTCAGTTGGTGAAGGGGTGGCAGCTCCAATAGACTTGATGGTTGTGGCATCAGTAGAATCGTTCTTCACCTGGATGGATCCCAAAGCATAGAACAAGTCGCCCGTCGACAACGCCCCATCAGACAAGTTTCCAGAACGACGAATCAGTGGGTAATAGGTACCCTTTGGAAGACCATTAACAGTCAAATCGATGAAAAGCTCATTGGGGGTGGCAGCCACGATACGTGCCAATCCTTTGACAGGCTGGTCAAAGTCTTCGGGAGCATAACTTTCGAGAATACAAACTGCAGCCGAATTAGGTTTGCCGGTTCCACGGATAATTGCATCTCTTCCCGTGGATTGGATGATGTGAACGAGCTCTGATGGAGGAAGAGATGTGGTAGTCGAGACAATTTGGTTCTTGAGATCAATGTCAAAAGCGGACACCCCAGTCAATGGGCGGAGGACTTTGGCCACAGATTCTACACAAGCCTGGCAGTGCATTGGCACATTAAACACGATTTCAAACTGTTGCATGATTAGTAAGAAGAATGCGAATAATCTGGAAATGTGAACTGATTACGAGGTGAGAAAATTGTGGTTGCACAGACTAGCGAAGGTACACTACCATGAAGAAATTGGAAAATGTGTCTACGTTCATCACATTACACACATTGTGAAGGTAGCATTAATATGGTACGACCTTCCCTCTTTGTCACTTTATTTTCTATTTAAATCTTCAAACTGCTAATTCTACTACTTCTTCTTCTAGAAAAAGTGCTGTCATCAAGCTTGGTACAAACCCAAGTAGAAGCATACATGTTGGTCCGGTCAATAGAATGGCCACTTTCCCTAATAGCAGCGGGCTCACATCTAAATCCATTTTCTTCAAATGTCTTGATGTACCATGGGTATTGTGCTGCAGATCTCAACATACATCTGCCATTTGTACCCAAAGCATTCTTCAAGGCAAGAACTTCACTAATTGCATCGCTTCCACTGGGATCGAACCAGTCCATGTGATCCATAATGATGGCAATTGTCAAGGATCCTTGCTTTAATCGATAGAACACATCATTCAATGTGTCAGTGTGCATTCTGATGTTGTCCAATGCACATTCTCCTGTCTTGGGGTTTCGTCTGGTGATGTTGTTGTATCCCTTAGTCGTCAAGTATTGGGGACAGTTTTCCCGGGTGTATCTACCCTTCAACGTCAAGTAATAAAAGTAGTTGTCTTTGGAAATCAACGACCTGGTGATAATGGGATCCAAGGTATCGACAACATATTTCAAGACAGAAGGACCCATCATGTTTGCTTGATTAGCGGGAACCCCTAAGGCTTTCCAGAGGAAGATCGGGTTTCCCACAAGAAGGGTTCCGACAATTGGATTGAATAAAGCTGGTTTGATCTTGGTGTTCCAAATCTTGCATTGCTGCTCCATGGTTTCACAATTGCATAATTGGTCAACGTAGCTGTTCAAGCCCAAAAGGGTGAAAATTCCTTTGGCCAATCTCAATGCCCATCTAGTGGAACCCGTATCATATAAACCTTTAGCTGCAAAAGTTTTTTCACCTCTTTCCATCCAGTACTGCATGGCGTTGGAGCTAACACTTGCACTTAGCTTATTGAGTAACAAGTCCTTGAAATTTTCAATTTTTCCTTCCCCGAACATCTTCCAGATATCTCTTTGATGCAAGTTTCTGAAACACGCCAACTTAAGTTCCAAAAGATGATTTTGGCATGGGTTCAAATCAACCGCATGGATTTTCTTTGGTGGGTTTGGCAAACAAGCGTAGTGTAAAATGTTGTCACCAGCTGAGGTAATAGCCAACACAGTATCATTCTCGTTGAACTTCAAGATCTTGTGATCTTCTTTGGGATCTTCCCAGGTAAAAGCATAGATATACTGGTTCTTGAACTGCTCATACTGCGGGTTCAAATCATCAAAGTAGACTCTCCAAATCTCTTTTTGGTAGTACATAGAAGGGTATGGCAAGTTTTTGGAGATATTATTGACCAAAGCTTCATGTCCCTTGGAAATGGGAGCATTGGATAAGTCAACATCAGAAGCGTTTAAAGGTCCCAAGTATGGTGACTCAGTAACCAAACAATTGATTCTGTTAACCAAGTGTTCGTTTCGAGATTTGTGACAGCCAATCCAAATGTAGTAAGGAATTCTACCTAATTGCTTGTTGAAAGAATTAATGGATTTGACTGTTCCAAACCGGTATTCCAAGTAGTTTCTTCTGGAGGAGTCCAAAAATACCTTATCGGCCTCAAACCAAATTCTCCAGAAATTTCTGTTCCACCAGGTAAGGTTTCTGTTAATAAGACCTCCAACAGTATTGATTCGACCCAAAGAGGTATCCGGCAGCTGGATTCCAAAATCGACAGCAGCAACAACGCCCAGCGAATCTAAAAGCTTGACGGCATTATCAATGGTATTGTAGAAAGTTGGAATCATCGATAATGAGTAGGAAAAGGTTATCAAGTCAACATGCTTCTCTTCGATTTTGAAGCTGCTTGCATCTTCAACTAACACGGTGATATTAGTCCAGCCGTGTTGCTTGAATCTGTTGGTTGCAACCTTACACAACGAAGGAGATAAGTCCACCAAGTACACCTTCTTAAAAGACGAAACTGGAATGACTGAGTCCATAAACTCAATGTTAGCACCAGTGCCTCCACCAATGTCAACCCATACAAGATCTTGTTGCTTTTCTAGGTGACTAGCAGCCAATTTCAAACATTCTTTGCGGCCTTTCAACAACACACTTCTTGTCTCGTCATAAATATGGGCTTGGTTCTTATAGAACAACTCCAAGTTGTTCTGCTGTTCAGGCCCATGTCTCTTTTTGTTGAAAAAGGGTTTGATAAAACAGTTCCAGGCAAAAACTACGACAGACAGGAGCGACTTGTTGAAGGTGAAAACCAAGGCCACCATTACCACAATTAGAATTGCGTACACCTGGGATATTTTAATAGAGTATGATTCCAAAAACTCCATGTTGAAAGAGTGGATACACACAAGCGTAAAAATTAATTGGATCTAGCCTACTTATATAAACCTGCGATGGGTGCCAAAATTATCATGTCCCACATGGCTGCGAAAATTGTATTTGGCTTCAACGTGGCAGCCTTTTACATCCGGAAAACAGGCGCTTTTATTTATCAAAATGTAAGAAGTTGGATGTTCTTTAGTTTTCTGGAGATGTAAGTGTTGGTTATTCATACTATTCCCTGTAGGATTTGGAACAGTGGACCGGGGATCAACTACCTATATTTTACCCCTAAAATGCTGGACAATTTCTAATAATTGAACGTCTACACGGCCGGACAAAACACAAACACGTCTCCACGACCCCAAAAGTCACTTTCATGCCTACCCTAAATGAACTGAACACATGTGAGGGTGAGACACGCATCTCGTGGTCGATAACCACAATTAATTGGGGAAATTCCCAAATTGGTATGCATTGACGATAAACACGAAGGCTAAATTGGGTCGTGAATGGCCGTCCTATCCAGCCCTTTGATTCCTTTAAGTTATATATTTTACATTCATATGGGGTTGACAATTATTAGATGTCATATACCACATTACCATCACAGAGCTTTTTGCCAGAATCTATATTTGCACGAAGGTTCATTTAACCTTGTCATATTTTGGGAAGCTGATGGTTTTCGTAGGCGTGGTAGCGCTATTGTAGATTACACTGACATCTGAAATAAGTAATATGGCCATGGTGGTTAATTGAAACTGCTAAACACAGAACTGAAGGTCCCATAATATTTCACAGCCACCGAATATCCCATTATCCCACTATCCCATTCATTATGTGTCAATCAATTTCTCTCTCTCGGTGGCACTACTCCCATATGAACCCCATCTCCAATAATTTGCAGGCTCGAACTGGCATTTGAGAACCGCGCATTATCAACATTTGTGTTTGCTAATGCTCTCATAATGGCTACTGCTACAATTCAGTCAGGAACTATAAACCTCCTAAACACCATCATCGGTGCAGGGATATTGGCAATGCCATATGGTCTCAAGTCCAACGGACTTGCTTTCGGGCTCCTTCTCATTGTGTGGTCGGCCCTCACATCTTCGTTCGGACTCTACCTTCAAACAAAAGTATCCAAATACACCGACCAACAGACCGCTGTGAGCTTTTTCAGCTTATCCAAGTTGACTTATCCCTCCTTGTCGGTGGTATTCGATGCTGCCATCGCCATCAAATGCTTTGGTGTGGGAATAAGCTACTTGGTGATTATCGGTGACTTGATGCCTAAAATCGTGGAAGCTTTGGCTTCAGGAGCTGCTGACCAGTGGTGGAACCACAGAAACACTTGGATCTCAGTGTTCATGATTTTTGTGGCCCCTTTGCTGTTTTTACGGAAGTTGGACTCCTTGAAGTACACTAGTGTTGTTGCTTTGTTTTCGGTGTTGTACCTCATTTGCTTGGTGGTATTCCACTATTTCTTTGGCGAAGGTTCCGAAACATCGGCCCCAGAAATCGAGTGGTTTGGCCCTATTTCATGGAGAAGTACCCTCCGCTCGTTCCCAATTTTTGTATTTGCTTACACCTGCCACCAGAACATGTTTGCTATAATCAACGAGTTGGCCATCGATGCCAACGCTGGCTCCAAGACCCGCCAGTCCAACCACGTGATTCGTAATGCCATTGCTACTGCCTGTGTATCGTACACGATTGTGGCGGTATCTGGATACTTGACATTTGGCTCTGCTGTCAACGGGAACATCATCACCATGTACCCCAAAAACTCCATGTCTTCGCTTGTAGGACGGTTATGTATTGTGGTTATGGTCGCCTTGTCATTCCCACTTCAGTGTCACCCGTGTCGTGGATCTTTAAATCATGTGGTTTACTTCATTGTCGAGAAATTCAAAAGGGATCCAATGATATCCGAAGAACACGACGCATTGATCGAGGACGATTCCGGAGCCGACAACTCATTTGTATCGACCACTCCAATGGAAGGGGCATATGATACGGCCGGGCATGATCCAATAGTAGTGCCGTTGACCTCCAGAAATTTCTATTATATCACCACCGGAATAGTTGTTTTCAGCTACTTAATTGCCATCAGTATCACTTCTTTAGAGCATGTGCTTGCATTGGTGGGTTCTACTGGGTCGACATCCATCTCGTTTGTTCTTCCCGGGTTGTTTGGGTACTTATTGATTAAGCCCAAGCCAGGCCAACCGGCAACCATTTTAGAACAATTTTGTAAATACGGGGGGTTGTGCCTCTGTTTATGGGGGTTGTTGGTGATGGTTGTGTGTTTATCTGCTACTTTATTCTTAGGAGCTACGCATTAGACTACGCACAATTCTAATATCAATTCCAGCTATCTAGTAACCTACTTCATAATAATATCTTTTCTTTCCCAACCCGTTGGATGATGATACTTCAAGTCGTTGGAGGGCTGTTCCTCACCCATCACCAACGCATAAGGGTTTCTATCAGTCTTTTGACTCAAGTTGGCAAATGTATGGTTCACTTCCCGGTGTTTGGCTTCGTCGGCACGAACGCACAAGATTAAATCTCTAATGGTGGACTTTTCATCTAGAGTACCATAATACTGTATGGCCACTGGTGGAATCGCCATATCGTCAAACTTCTTTAACTTTCCCGCATCCAACTCTTTGATAAAGTGGGAGTAAGTGCTGACAGCTTCTTCTTCCAAATACCCCACAAATCTATGGCAGAACTTAGGGAAGAATAAATAGTTGAAGAAGAAAATATTGCAGAAAACTCCCTGGCCCATAAATATAAAGAACCTGGTAAACCACGAAGGTTTTCCGAGGTTAATAAAGGTCAATAAATGAATGCGTTCGTTGTAAGCTTCATCGAGCAAGGTCTCAATCCAAGCCTTATCTCTTTTCAATAACCTTAATGAGTGTAAATGACGAATGAAAGCAGCTGTCATTCCAGGAATCCCTGCCACACTTTCCAAAAATATACATCTCGTAAGCCATTTACTTTCTGTCATCTCAAACCGGGTTCCCTCATAAGAAACTCCTTTAGTAGGATGCTTATATCCCGTAAAGAAGTCGAAACAAGATCTGAAGGTCTGAATGGCTCCACTAGCAATTTTGTCACTGACGGTTATAGGCACTCTATGGTCAAACAGAATCGACTCCAACTCAGCTTTTTCTTCTTTAGGGTGTTGGAAAGTTGGGTGGGTGATAAACGAGTTATCAAACTTAGGCTCCTTCGTGAGTTTTGTAGCAACATTGAAGACAGTTCTGGAAGGAATAAAGGTTGTTGATTTTAAAATCAAGTTTCTACTGTACATTTTAAAATATCTAGGTTCTGTTTTAACTTTTGAAAGCTAATGGAGTCAATTAGGGATCAGAAGTAGGTATATTTATATTGTTACTTTGCCCGATAAAACCCGCTGAGCAGTTTATTTAGGACTTTTAATTTTCGCAACCTCAGAGGACGCCGCATGGACTTAGAACTCCGGCGAGCCCGTACTACAACGGTTACCTTATTTTGTCTGCCGCGCTAGATTTGTTCCAAGGGGGCCTTAATTTTGGAATGACCTCCGCGCAAATCACAGCCGTTCAGAATTATTAGAACAATAATGATTGGTGGAAAAAATCCATACGGGTGGAAACGGGATTTGCAGTATACGGTCGTCTTCTAGGGCCAGAGAAATAATCAGATATAGGAAGGTTTGTCGGAGCTTTTGAGGTGTTTGTTTTACCAGCTGCCTTCTTGGAAGGTTGTTTTTGTACCAATCAAATGGTAGTATTTGGATTTGGCAAGCACCGAATTTAACAGCCGTTTCAGTTTTGAGAATATTCTAGGACATTGACTCAATTTGAGGGAAACTTCCTTTGGTTGGTCTTTGTCTCGAGAGCCGCTAGCTACGTTCATGGCTTTTTGTGGATTACACCACTCGATTTTCCTTGCCCAACTTGCAATTTATAACTTGTGAAGGGGAATGCATCTTGGGCTGCAATAGGTTTTCGCGAGGTGTGCATAAAATGACATGTCTAGAAATTGGCATGTCGCGTCTGTGACGAGGTGGAATGTCGCGGAGTGTGGTAACCAAAACGCGCCCCCAATTCTAGAATAGTGTTTTGCCCTTTCCCTCCTCTCAAATCTCAAAAAAAAAACTGAAAACTTCTCAACATAAACAACTTTACAGTGTGTTTTACTCGGATAGTTCACAGACTAAATTACTATATCAAAGCAGTGCTAACTTGTTGTCTCGATTGTCACTCATACCTGTTTGGCGCATCCCTTGTTACGAACACCCGACCTTTCCTTTACCATCTTCCTGATCAACAAATCATCGTTCTGCGGCTCTGATTTTTATTGATTCAAAACATACAGACGTCGTCAAAAATTCTTTGAAGTCCCATCCACAAAAACATTTGTCGACACAGACAACCTCCGTTTAACTTCGTTTGTTGGCTAATTTTATACCCCTGTATTATAGATCATTATGCCTTTTAAAATCTCGGGCTTCTTGGCTGACCCCTTTGCCATATCTACCCTCAGTTTTGGCGTCATAACCTGGATCGTGGCCATAGCCGGTGCTGCCAGTAGCGATCAAAGCAAGTTCCCCAGATTCACATGGTGGGGTTTGGTATATCAAATTCTTCTTATCATTGCCATATTGTTTTTGTATTTATTCAATATCATTGAATTGTACAAGTTCACATTGGTGGGTTTATTGTCGATTGCGTTTGTGTACACGTCAAACTCCACCAACAACTTGATCTACAACTCCACTTCTAGTGCTAACTTGTGTTGTGCCGCTGGTTGCATGTTGTTGGCGATGTTGAATTTGACCCTCATCATATACTTTGGAGGTCACCCAGAAAGTCCCACCAACCAATTCATCGACTCGTTCTCATTGAAGCCTTCGCATCACAACCATTTGGATGACAAGAACTTCAACGCCCATAACTTGGACGATGACAATGAGGAAGAATTCAAGAGATACGCAAATCCATCCCAAGATGCTGGTCACTTCCAAGACAATAACTTGAGACAAAGTCAGTTGACCACGAATAACAAGTCTTCCAATACTCCATACATGTCATCATCTCAGTTGAATGGATTGGAAAACTTTTCGTCTTCTGACATAAACAACAGAGACTTAACCAGCAACCAGAAACGGTCGACCATTTACAACAATGAACAGGCTGACAGCCAGCCGGTGATGAACTTCCGGTACAAGGCCAAGGCCTTATATAGCTACGATGCCAACCCCGATGACATCAACGAAATCTCTTTTGTTAAGGATGAGATTTTGGAAGTTGATGACATTGACGGTAAATGGTGGCAGGCCAAGAAGGCTAATGGCCAAATCGGCATATGTCCTTCCAACTACGTTAAGTTATTGGATTGAAGTTGTATAGTATGAATTTATAGTAATGGAACATTAGAGATATTGACCGAGACTCCGGCTGCATTTAGAATTTTTCCGAAGGGTAATTGTATGCGACCAAAGTGCGGTAGGCGTAATACCGGATCTGTTGACGGAATTGGTAGCATACATCCGAGTCACCAACTACCATCGACAAGGTACTGACTCAGATCATAGTAGAAAATTGATGCACCTTCGCAGTGGTGTCTATGACTCCACTTTGTGCCCCTCGCGATGAGGGTGATGGACGCAACTCTGAATTGAGCGTATGCCAATAACGGCCTTGCAGCCCTTTTATCGATATCGCGAAAAGTCGACGGGCGCAAATCCCGGTGCAAGATATAAGACTGGACAGGAGCAAGTAAGAATGAATTTTTTTCAACCGCTTTTTTAAAAACATCTCAACTTCAATATGAGCTATCAAGGGTTTGCTATTCACGATACTACCAAGTACAATGAGGCTAAGAAAATCACTTTCAAGGCCAGAACCGTTGGGGATTACGACGTGGTGATCAAGGTGGATCACTGTGGAATTTGTGGAACTGATGTCCACACCGCCACCGGTGGATGGGGAGGTCCAATCTTACCTGTTATTCCTGGGCATGAGATCATTGGATCTGTAACCAAAATCGGAGACAAAGTTACGTTGTTCAAGGTGGGTGATAGAGTTGGTGTGGGTGCTCAAGTTGATGCTTGTTGGAGTTGTAAAGCATGTGATATGGGAGAGGAAACTTATTGTAAAGATGTCATTGATACCTACAACTCTACAAAGAACGGAGAGGTTATCTACGGTGGTTACTCCAACTATGTATCAGCCAATGAACAGTTTGCGTTTGGTGTTCCAAAACAATTGGACAAAGCTGAAGCTGCTCCCTTATTTTGCGCGGGTATAACTGTGTTTGCTCCATTGAAAAGAGCCATCACCAAGCCTGGTATGAAGGTGGGTATTGTTGGTATCGGAGGTCTTGGCCACATGGCTATCCAGTTTGCAGCTGCCTTGGGAGCCGAGGTATATGCTATGTCTAGAGGTGATTCGAAGAAGGAAGACTCTCTTAAGATGGGTGCTAAACACTATATTGACACCACCAAAGAAAACTGGGCTGCTCCTTACAAAATGGAATTTGACTTTATTTTGTCATGTGCCAACTCCAACAAGGGTTTCACTGGTGATTATTTCAGCTGTTTGACCGTCTATGGTAACTACGTATCGGCTGGATTGCCAGAAACACCATTTGAGTTGAAGGCTCAACACTTCATTGGAAACGGGGCTTCTTTTGGTAGTTCTCACTTGGGTAACAGAAAGGAAATGCTTGAAATGTTAGAACTTGCAGCCAAGAACAACATCCTCCCATGGACTGAAGTATTACCTATTTCGGAAGAAAACGTCAAGTTGGGCTTAACCAAGACCTACAAAGGTGACGTGAGATATAGAGTCGCTTTGACCGACTACGCTGCTGCTTTTGACTAGGATGTTTATAGACCTATAAATTTTATCTTCACTACACCATAAGCTTGTCTCAATCCTCTAGACTTCACTAAAGACATCAACTGGGTCCCAATCAGGGTTGATGTAACGAATGGACTTCTTCTTGTGGATATTGTTGATGGTCTCAACGTCCTCAGGTGCAAGGTCGATCACCAACAAATTCTGTTCAATTCTCAGAGGGTTGATGGACTTTGGTAAACCACAGATTCCACGAGCAACCAACCAACTGAACACAATCACTGATGGAGCCACTTGATACTTTGCTGCCAACTTGATGATAGTCTCGTCTTTCAAGACGGGAGCACCGTCCGATCCTAAAGGAGAATAAGCTTCCAAGACAATCTGGTGTTGCTTGCAAAAATCAGCCAATTCCAAGAGAGGTAATTGTGGGTGGAGTTCCACTTGGTTAGCAACCGGCTTGATTTCAAGGTTGGCGGCTAAAAGAGTTTTCAAGTTTTTGATTGAGAAGTTGGATACACCAATCGATTTAGCGAGACCCAATTTTACACATTCTTGCATCAACTCAAATGTCTTTACAAAACTCCAATCGAACACAATGTCTCTCTTACCATTGGGCAACATGGGGAATTTTTCGCCTGATTGAGGGTTCAAAGGAACGGGCCAATGCATCAAATACAAATCCACATACTTCAAACCCAACTTTTCAAGAGACTCTTTCAATGCCTTGACGGGCTCATTGTGCCTAGTGCACCACAATTTGGTGGTCACATAAACTTCAGACCGGGGAATTCCCGAATCTTTGATGGCTTTTCCGACAGGAGCCTCGTTGGCGTACGCAGCAGCAGTGTCAATGTGTCTGTATCCGGACTTTAGGGCATGGATTACCGACTCATAGCTTTCCTCATCTCTGGCTTTCCAGGTTCCCAATCCAATAGCTGGAATGGAAGTTCCGTTGTTGAGTTTGAATGTTGTAGTACACCTGTGACTGTTAGTATGTATTAGTGAGTAATATCGATGACAGAAACTTACTTGTCAGGAGACGTCATAGTTGATAATTGGAAATTTGCGAAAGGCCCGAATTTTTTATATCAACTTTGACACATCTGCAACGTTCCATTTTTGAGTGTTGGAACCGTTTCTCTCATTAATTACAAACATCAAACTAATGGATCATGACGTTTGTGATATTATTTACACCCCTCTGAGTCTCCTGCTAAACCATAGTCTAGAACCTTCTCTAGTGAAGTCTTCCTTGCTAAACCAAAACCTAATCCTAGTCAAAAGGCCACTAGTGTATTTACTAAAAACGCCTATCAATAATCTACAGCCTGCACTGATCCCAAAATCACTCTTTACTCATCTTCTTCAAATGGCTTCATAGGAGACCAATCTTGATCATTGTACCTCTTAGAGAAGGTTTTATGGATACGATTGATCGCATCGACATCCTCGTCACTCAAGTCAACACTCTTTAAATTCAGAGCTAATCTATGCTTGTTAAGCGACTTGGGCAAGTAGATGACATCCCTTCTGCACATCCAACTGAAAACCACAGTTGCAGGAGAAACCCCATACTTTTCTGCAATGGTCAATAAAGTCTCGTCCTTTAACACGGGACTTCCATTTGATCCTAATGGAGAATAGGCCTGGAGCTTGATACCGTGTTGGGCACATAATTCTCCCAAAGCAAACTGTGGTAAGTGTGGGTGCAACTCCACTTGATTTACCACTGGGGTAATCTTAGTTTCAGGTGCTGCCAATAATATCTTCATGTTCTTCACGGAAAAATTAGAAACTCCGATAGACTTTGCCAATCCCAAATCATGAACATCATGCATTAAGCTGTATGTCTTCACAAAAGACCAGTCTAAAACAATGTCTCTTTGTCCATTTGGTAATAAAGGAACTCTGGCAGGTGTTCCTTGGGGGTTCAAAAACACAGGCCAATGTAAGAGGTACAAGTCGACATAGTCTAATTGCAACTTGTCTAGTGACTCTTTAATGGCCCCAACTGGATCATGGTGACGATTAGACCACAATTTGGTGGTTATATAGAGTTCTTTTCTGGGGATTCCTGAATCCTTAATGGCTTTACCTATTTGTTCTTCATTTCCATAGGCAGCGGCGGTGTCAATATGCCTGTAGCCAGAATCCAAGGCATTTTTGACGGAGTAGTAAACATCTTCGTCTTTAGCTTTCCATGTTCCCAAACCAACAATTGGAAATTGATTTCCATCGTTGAATTTCACCTTTTTATTTGCAACCGATGTGTTAACAGTCTTAAAGACGGGTGCAGTTTGTGTATAAGTTTGTACTGTAGTCATTTTCCTGGCTTGTTGGACAAAGCTAAGGAAATTCTGCACCTTTTATACCAAACAGAAGACATATTGTATGCTTTGAAAGACAGCAAATTCCAGATATGGAGGCTGACTTGATGTAACTTGTGTCACAACATGTAATTTCATTACATCAGGGTTTATTTTGCGTTCTTAGTGGCTCCCTTCAAATTAACTTTCCGAATGCCACATTCTATACTTAGTGCAATCGGTTGCATACCATAAGATAATTGCTCTGGATCCGGACGTATGCACCACGGAAATATTGTTGCAAAAGTGTTCATAATAATGGCCACATGTCAAACCTGGGCCATGATACAATGGTGAGTGCAGAACCCTTACAAGAGCCTCCGCTCGATAATGAACGTAGTTCACTAATATTTTGACTTCATTACTTGACCATACTACAGGTTATTACGAAGGGCTAGACTTGAAAAGAAAGTGACCTTATCAATACCGCACTGAGTAAGTATAAGTAACCTTGACATCATATCCAAAATTCTCCTTGTTTTGCTTCTGTTTCAAGCCGAGGTTTACCTTATATTTCTGTCAGTCTCAGCAAGCGTTATCTCAACCTAAATCAGAGCTGCGCAAAACTTAATCGCACTGAAAATCACTGAGTACCTCAATGCGCTTCCAAGCCAACGTCATAGCATCTAGGACCATCACCCGAGGCTTTGGACGCTTCTTACACTACGATGGAACACCTTCCTCTTATGCAAGCAATTCTGCCGACTACTTGGGAGATGCACTTGACCCGAACATTGAAACGGTAGATTTAGCCTACGATTTGTACGAGGCAGAAACGAAGACCTCCAACAGTCCATTGATCATTTTGCACGGGATTTTTGGTTCTGGAGTAAACCACCGAACTGCTGGCAAGATTTTGGCATCTAAGTTGAAGCGTGATGTTTATTCTCCGGACTTGAGGAACTTCGGCCGGTCTCCCCATATCAAAAGGTTAGATTATCCGAGCCTAGCTGCCGATGTGGAGCGGTTCATTGAAAACAAAAACCTCGAGAAACCAGTGGTGATAGGTCATTCAATGGGAGGGAAGACTGCCATGGCATTGGCATTGAGAAGACCCGATCTTCTCAAAATGTTAATATCGGTGGATAATGCACCAGTTGCATTCAGCTCCACAAGCTCAACATTTGTCAAGTACATCGGTGCTTTCAAAAGAGCCACCGAGAATTATAAGTTTACAAACATTAAAGATGTGGACAAGGAATTGGCCAAAGTTGAACCCAACCAGTACATAAGACAGTTTTTATTGACAAACATGAACAGAGGGAAGAAAGACGATGTTATTACCAGTAAGGTTCCATTGGATATCATCAATGATGCGTTGCATGCTGGACTCATTGCTAGTTGGCCGTATGACCCTAGTGTTTGCCGGTGGACAAAAGGGCCTGCTTTGTTCATCAGAGGTACCGAGTCTGACTACGTTCCAGATGAATATATTCCAGATATTGGCCGGTTTTTTCCTAATTTCGAAATCAGAGATGTTAAGGCAGGCCATTGGGTTATCAGTGAAAACCCCAAAGACTTTGTAGATACGGTGGTGGACTTTGTGGTTAAACACGAAGATTAGGAGATAGGCAGTTCATTAGAATATTCACTCTATAAATCCATGTAGTATTCCCACTAACCTACTTGTCGCCAACCTTGATCGATTCATCACTAACGTAGTCAGGGTAAATGTCGAATCTACGTTGGAAATGAACCGGAATAGCTTCTCTGACTTTTGGTAATAAAGAGGGATCAAGCTCTGCGTATATGATTTCTTCACCTTCACCCGCTTCACTGATAATGTTCCCAGCTGGATCCACAACCAAAGAGTGGCCATACGCTTGGTATCCACCTCCTTCGACATCTCTAGCGGGACTACACAAGACGGTGAAAATCTGGTTGTCAACAGATCTGGACCTGGCCAATAAATGCCAATGCATTGGACCAGTGGTGGTGTTGAAAGCACCGGGATAAAACATTCCAAACGAATTGTAAGGGGACCTGGTGGCAATTGTCGCCAATTCAGGGAATCTAATATCATAGCAAATTCCAATACCAATGTTTCCAAAATCTCCTAACTTCAAAACAGTGGCTTTATCTCCTCCCGTCAAACTCACCAGTTCTTTGAAAGTAATTCCTCCAGGGATGTCAATGTCAAACAAGTGTGCCTTTCTGTGTTTAGCAATGAGCTCACCAGTTGGAGAAAATGTCAATGAAGTATTGTACACTTTACTTTCAGCTTCATCCAATTCAGGGATAGAACCTCCAATCAAAAACACTTTGTGTTCCTTGGCCAAACCTGACAAGAAACTGGTGGTTTCACCCGATGGGATGACTTCGGCGTAATTGGCGAATTGGTCAACTGCGTAAGGAGAATTGAAACATTCTGGTAACATGATCAAATCTAACTTTCCTATCTTTGACTCCTTAACGGCATTGGCAATAAACTTTTTCACTTTTGTCAAGTTAGCAGCTTTATCGCTTCCAGCAGATATTTGGATAAGGGCGATCTTTAAAGATTTGGCCAATGGAGCTTTTACTATGGATGACATGAATGGCAATGGTATATAAGTTGGAGTCAATAATACTATTTTACATTTCGTAATTTGCGACTCCTGCGGAATTTAGATCCACACCCGTTTTGGGAAGCTGACTCATATACATCAAGTTCTTATCAAATCTATAACATGCTTATCTAGAGCTAAACTACCACTCTCCATGCGGTTGGACCACCAGGTGGGGGAATTGGGTGGTTTCTTTCAACCATTTCAAATGAGGAATAAATACTTCTCTGCACCTTTTGGCTTCAATTTCGGGGTCGTTCTTAACATACGCAAGGTAGTTCCCCATATACTCGGTGTTTTTCTTCAAATTATCTCCAAATACGGATACTCCTTTTTCATCGTAGTAGGCTTCACACAATCCTTGCGTAAAGAACTGCAATACTCTCAAGTCAAAGTCGTAGCCGGCATTGGAATAAATGTCACTGTACATTCTGATGTGTTTGCCCAGCTCTGCGTATACCAAGTCATGGTTATCCACAAGCCAATTTGGATAGAACTTGGGGTACGATAAATGCATAAACATAAAGTCAAGGTCGCCGTCGGGGTCTTGTTGACTTTGCACGGGATCGTAGTGACCTAAAGCTTTGGACGCAAACTTCTGGGCATCTTCCCTCATATATCCAACCCACAAGAACGGTTTGGCAGTTTGGAAGTACGGTTCTCCCAAAACATGAGCAGCTGCAATAAAGGTTTCTTTATCACCTTCACCTGCTGATCCTTGAGTCATCAAAGGGTAATAAAAGTGAGGTCCAAACAAGTTATAGTACAAACTCAAAAGTAATGTTCTTACTTGCTTAGTCTTATTGATCATCATCATCCCAGTTTCAGAGGTTGGATCTGGAAGAGTGCCTTCAAAAGTATGGTACCACGAATCAGCAAAGGTGCACTCGCCAAGAGGTTTCTCTCCATGAGCCTTGTCATAATTATTATGGGTGGTTTTCTTTTCCTTCACATCAACTCCAGCAATGTCATAGAACTTAGGATTAGTGGTTCTGGCCCAGGCATCGGGCCAAAGAATTAACCCTGTTTCCTTGAACAAGGAAGATTCTAGTATACCTTCTGGGTTTCTCACAGGAAAGTTATCAGAATCCAAGTATATGACATTCTCAAATTGGGAGCTCAAAATAGCCAACATCTTATATTGATACCCACCAAGATCAAACCGCTCTTTCAAATCGGTCGAGAGTTCATCGGCAAATACGTTACACCTAACCTTGTAACCAGGTAACAAGTCTTCACAGAACTCCTTTTCGTATTCTTCACGTGATGCAAAAAACAACTCAATGGGAAGAGTCGATCCAGTGGCCCTAATTTGTTTGATAACCAAGTAGGAAAGCCAACTGTATTGCCCGCCTCCTATTAAAACGTAACCTTTGGTATCCTTGTACGAGTTCCATTCAGGATCCGTTTCCAATAAATTTCCAAACGTTGATAGCTTATACTTATAAAGAAGTTTGTTCATGTGTTTTTCCACATAGTTGGTATGAGACCTTTTCAATTCTTCAAAAGTTGACTGAGGAATGTCCAACACATTTTCCAAGTATTCCTTAGAGAAGAGAAAATCTTTATTAGAGGCGAAAATCTCCCGTGCTCTTTCCTTTTTGTACTTGTCTTTAATCGAAGGAGATTTGATAGCATAATCTTCTACGCCGTTGAAAAATAGGGTGAAATCCCTTAAAGACTCAAGGACCTTCTTTGGGAGATTGTTTGTTGGCACAGAAGAATCGTCATACTCAGGTGAACCCTTCACGGGATCTTCGGCAGCCACCTTCATGATGTCCTCTTGAATGCCGCCAGGAACATGGTCTTCAGGGGCGGGTTGTGATGGGGTGATCTGGCCGAACTCTAGCGGATCTTTCAGAGGTCCCTTCTGGTCACCGGTGTTTATGGTTTTCTCAATGACCACATTACGATTGGTGAGCAATTGCAAACATACCAAGACACCAAGTATAGCTGCAAGCACCTTTAACTTGTGTTGTACAAACAATCTGTGGAGCTTAACTTGCATTGGAGAGAAAGCTTAAACGTGGATAAAATTTAGTGCGCGCGAAATTTCCAGGTCACAAATTTCCAGTCCAGAAGCTAAAAATAAATTTGGTTAGTAAGTCTACACACAATACACACACTCAACCATCAGACCAAAATAAGGAAACGGCTAATAAACTTTAACACCCGAGCCAAAAGAGCAGAGCAGCGGACCAGATCACATAGTGTTCATGAAGTAAGTGGGCTCATTTGGAATAGAAATCATGGCACGCAACTCTGGACTACTTGGAGTCCTATGAAGGCGTTTTCTTGGGATAGATAGGAGATTTCAAGGTGCAAAGATGTTTATGCTGTTCAACAGGTAAGATACCATGGACAAGGAGGAGGAAGCGACATTACACACAAAGATAGGCCGACCTGGATAGGCCGACATTATCGCTGAGAAGAAGGCTGAGACTGAAGGAAGAACAGTAGACGTTGAGATTAAGTAAGTAGGCGAACGCAAATAGAAGGGCATGTTCAGACTAGTGAGACATCGATATATTCGGAGGAAGGGGGCGGGTATATTCCCGTGGTGCCAATCGATTTATCAGCCTTTATGCGTTTCATTTGAACCTACTTTGGTCTGTTGGTGGAGGATGGTGAATTGTGCTGGTGATGTAATTTATTCAACCGCGCGGGAAAACTGACCATTTATATTCCTACTGTCTACACAAGTTGAGGGACCCTTGTGGTTGGGCCACGACTCCCTGGCTCTTATCAGTACATATCTATTTCAAAGCCACCGGGGAAAGAAGTAGTGGTGAATTCCTCTAGTTCACGATTTATATCCTGGATCTCTGTAGCTAGGTCTGTCTGAGACCCAAAAACCACCTCCAAGTCCGCATTCAGGTCGAAGTTTATCACGCTCAATTTGGCCAATTGGTTCTTCTTCTGGTTGGTGATATAAACGTTGACAATGTCCTTAGCCAAAACCACCAATACCAATGCAATGAGGTTACTGAGAAACATTACGTTTTCCTGAGGAACACGGGAGTTGATCCCTTTGGAGATCACCGCATTGACAAACAGCCCCAACTTTGAGGATACAAAGGGCCATGCCACCGTGGTAAGACACCGAAGTGTGAAAGAACGGTACGAGAACGTCTCGGAGTAGTCATCCTTGAGGCAAGCCTTCGCTTTAAGCATCAGCAAATATACTTTCAACCGAATATATTTGAGGATCAATCCATCCTTGAAAAGTGTCTTAAGCACATTAACCTTGCTATTTATCCACTGAGAAAGACTGTCTTCGTCTTTCTTGGGGGTGGTGTAGTCTTTAAGAAGGATCCTGATGTTGTTGAGTTTGTTGTTCAAGAGTTCAAACTCGTCAAACTCATGCTCTGGCATGTTGTTGGCAATGGTGCGAGGCCTCACCTTCATGGCAATATCAAAGTGCAATTGGTTCAAGGTGACCCGGAATAATAAGTCGTAGAGAATTCTTGCGGGTATAAGCATGGAAATCATGTTATTTGTGTTCCAAAAGTCAACCCCTTTGAACACATTCAAATACTTGTAGAACGTCAACGGATTTCTGATAACGCTTGAGACGTTATTCAATACATTCTGGTAGACAATTCGAGCGAGCTGATGATTTCCCAACGAGGATATGTATCCACTGATCATGAACTCGGCAAACCAATTGCTCAACTTGACCTCTTTATGAAAATTCTGGAAAACACATTGCACAAACGAAGATTGTCTCATTCTGTATAATATAATGGGGAGAATAGGAATCCGAGAAAACTTGAATGGGTCTATCAATCCCCGGGACAAGGCCGTCTCCAAGTTGTCGAGTCCGTAGTTGTTGGTATTGTTGGTGGTGTTAACCAAAAGCGAAGAGAGCATCGAAAGTGAACTTTGGCTAGCAGCGTTCTTAGTGAGCATCTTCACAAGAATTGGTTCCGGAACAATCCCGTTCATCATCTTCAATCCGCATGACGTGAGTGCAATGTATCCCATCGACACCACCCCGGTGACGGCAGATGTAACCCCCAAAAAGAGTCCCGAATACTGTAGCCCCTTGGAAAGCATTGATCTTACCCCGGTATTGAAGGTCAAAACTGGAGATCTCTTCATACTGAAAACAATTTCGTTTTTGCATTGGGGGCAAGGAGCAAGAATGAATACGGTTGAGCGGCGGTTGGCGGGTAAAAGTGGATTTGAAGGGTTCATCAAACTTGTCACCCAGTTGTTAAGATTGTTTGTAGAAAGATTGATCCGAATATCTGTAGTGTCACTAGGATGGCCAATTTCCAAGTCATTGTGAACGGGACCAGGTCTTACGTTCAGCGTCGAAACCAACTCATGCGTCAGGTCTTCTAAAGATGTGGGTTCAAATATACGCAACTTATCAGATGGCGAAGCGTTGAACCAGTCGAGTAAGCACTTTCTGTGAACCACAATTGAACAGGTGGAACAAGGATGAATCAAGTCACGAGCATCGTCTAAGGACCCGAAGGGAGGTACGTCGGTGTCTCCACCAAGACATAGACTGCAAATTTCTGGTTGTTCGCTCATGGTAGAGGTTGGTGGGATGTTATTTGACTCCACAAATATCGCGAAAATGTTGGGTGATAAGAGATCTTGTGAGATACTGGAGAGGCAATAATCCAGCAATACTTTATTGGTACGTACGTCATGCATGATATAAACTTATATGATACCAGTGTGGTTGCCGGTGATGTCTGTGTAGAAAGACGTCTTTACCATCCTGAACCACAAAATTTACAGGGTCATCAGTGCCATCTTTAATCCTGCCGCATAGTGGTATAATCTGGCGTCTATAACACATCCTTCTTTCTTGCAAACATCAAGTAGTTCATCTAATAAGTTCGTCAATGGAAGAGTAAAAGTCTCAATAAACTCTCCAGGCTCCAATTCGGGTTGGGGATTGATATTCTCTGGTTGAGTCAAATCCACTTCCATTGTGGTGAACGCCATGTTGGCGTTAGTTAAACCTGGATCACTGAACAATTCCACCTGGTCAAGCGTCAGACTCAACACTTTACCATGGTAACCAGTTTCTTCAATCAACTCTCTAATGGCAGTAGACTCGACCGATTCTTTCGGGTCAATGAGCCCGGCAGGCAACTCAATCACAACCTTACCGGTTGGAGGGCGGAACTGCTTGGTGAACACGATCTCTGTAGGTTTTTGTGGATGCTTTAAAAGTGCTAATATTGATACAGCGTCGGTGTTTGTGGTTTCAGTTCTGGTGGTTCTTACCGCCATTTCCCAGACTCGGTCCTGACCATTTGGGTCCTTATAGTTGATCTGACGAGTTTGAATCCATTTGCCTTGCAGAATGTCTTCCACCGAAACTAGTTGAGCCTTGTATGGTGAAGGTTTGGTCATTCTGGAGATATTTCGGATTGACTTGAGAGTCGCGGCCTGGGAACTTTTGTTTGTCAACATCATCTTGATTTTACCAGTAATCATTCAGTTGACCTCATTCGATTGGTTAGTTGAGTGCTGTTCGGTGGCCTAATATCCCAAGTATCAGCTGTTGTCAAATTATCAACCGTTATCAGGTATCAACCGTTGTCGCACTTTTTCCTTTTTCAAACATGACCCAGCAGGACCAAGAGCTCGAGCAGATCAAATCTAAGATCCAGGATCACCTAATTTCATCGGGAAATTATGACAAAATCAATAAGCAGTTGAAGTTGCAGTTGTACGAAAGTGGCTGGTATGACAAGATCAGTCAAATGGCATTGAACGAGTTACAGAATAACGATAGCTCGAATTTCGAGCAGCTTTTGAGTTTCATTAAGCCCAAGGCCGAACAAATGGTCCCGGGAAACGTACGAGAAGACACTCTTGGCCGGATCCGGGAGTACTTGGACGACGTGATCCAGTGAACCCTTTGGTGTGGGTGCATCTTTAATAGTATCGATTCTGAACTGTTCATAGAAAATACATAATTCACAGTATGGTAGAGAGTCTAGGTGGTGTCAGGGATGCTGCTAAAGAGATGTGATGCGCCAGAATGTGCTTGATATTGAATGCATGAGTCCATTGGCTGCAATACAATGGTGAAAATCCGATACATATTTCCCCCTGAGAAGCCATTTCTTGTCCACTGCCATCCTTGTCATATATTGACCCCCTACTCGCTTCTCTAAACAATTATTACGTTTATCCTATTGATGATGCCCAAGTGTGGAAAGCAAGATCGGGCGTGTGCATACCGCATCTGTCTACCCAATCACCACCGTCAAATTAATGCTGATTCTTAATGCGCACCTCTAGCAAAAAAAAATATATACCAAAACTATCCAATCCTCTTGAAAGCAATGTTTAGTCTGATCAACAGAAGAGCAGTCGGACTCGCTAGACGTCCAAACATGGCTCTCATAGCGGCCGGTGCTTCTAGAACCATCAGCTCCAAGGATTTGACTCCCAAGACTATGCCTACAGACTTTCCTTTGATGTCTCAAAAGGCTGCTTCTGCCCCAGTAGATTATGCATTAACATCATTGGACACCATTGCCAACTGGGCTAGAAAGTCGTCTTTCTGGCCGGTGACGTTCGGGTTGGCCTGTTGTGCTGTGGAAATGATGCACGTTTCTACCCCCAGATATGATCAAGATAGATTGGGGATTATTTTCAGAGCCTCTCCAAGACAGAGTGATATTATGATTGTTGCTGGAACCGTCACCAATAAAATGGCTCCAGCTTTAAGACAAGTTTACGATCAAATGCCAGAACCAAGATGGGTAATTTCTATGGGATCCTGTGCTAATGGAGGTGGGTATTACCATTATTCCTACTCAGTGGTGAGAGGTTGTGACAGAATCATTCCTGTCGATGTGTATGTTCCAGGCTGTCCTCCAACTGCCGAAGCATTGATGTATGGGGTATTTCAGTTACAAAAGAAGATGATGAAGACCTCCATCACGAGATTGTGGTACAGAAGTTAGGGGAGCATGTTTGCATATGTAATGATAGATTCATAATATATTTATATTTATCGGAGAGGTTGTAGTCGAGATAGGACCAAGAAGATGAGTTGGCGATGGATAGTATGGCTATGTGTACAAGGACAAGGGTTTCTATGAGGTTGAAGTCATTCTGCAGATACTAAAGGGAATACTATACCGTCATTCGGTGAAAGAAATTATTTGGCCATCACTGTGCTAACTGGTCCAGATATCCAGCATGGAAGTTCTCGGGACTTAAGTCTAGCTTAATGAGTTTGGAATGAATCGTTCTTATAATCAAGTTCTTCCAAGTTGTACGATCTCTTCCTATCAGGGTGTTTTTACCTTCAAAAACTTATTTCGGTGATGTTTGAAAAACTTCCCTCGTTGTACTTTCATCTACTTGGCTACTTGCTTCTCATCCTTATACCAATATATATATCCATACAGTTCTTTGATCAATAATATTGCTGCAAAATTCACAAATTCCACCAGTTTTAGACTAATATTACCAAAAGACGAGAAACTCTTCAAAAACACCCCCGAAAAAGGCAGTGACGTCTCCACACTCTATATAACACAAAGTACACATACACAATCAAACATGCCCGTTTACCAACGCTCTACTTCGCCTACCACCCCTCAACCCTTTCTCGCTCCGCACCGCCAAAAACTTTTTCGGCCCCAGTAAATTCCGGTGCGCGCACTCATACGTATGACGACTGACTTCGCCATGTGTTTGCTGGCGCACTTTTGTTAGCCCAAAGTTTGGCGTGAGCAGTCGCAGCCCACACAAAAGCAAATGACACAAAGCGGTACCCTCAATGCTCATTGGTTGAAATACCCGCTTTCGCAATCACTCATTTGTGGCCACCTTTCAGGAGGTGATTTTTTCATATAAGACACTTGGCTCGCCCCCTGATCGAAAATAATTTGCACATTTTTGTTCTTCAATAAATATGGCTAGAACTAAACAAACAGCAAGAAAGTCTACCGGTGGTAAGGCTCCAAGAAAGCAGTTGGCTTCCAAGGCAGCCAGAAAGTCTGCCCCAGTCAGTGGAGGTGTTAAGAAGCCTCACAGATATAAGCCAGGTACCGTGGCCTTGAGAGAAATCAGAAGATTCCAAAAGTCTACTGAACTTTTGATCAGAAAGTTGCCATTCCAAAGATTGGTTAGAGAAATCGCCCAAGATTTCAAGTCTGACTTAAGATTCCAATCATCTGCCATTGGTGCTTTGCAAGAAGCTGTTGAAGCTTACTTGGTTTCTTTGTTTGAAGACACCAACTTGTGTGCCATTCATGCCAAGAGAGTTACCATCCAAAAGAAGGATATCCAATTGGCCAGAAGATTGAGAGGTGAAAGATCCTAGAGATACTGGGTATGTATTTGGTTTGGGTTTATGTTTAAATATATGAGACTATTGAGATTAATAATCGTAGGGTGTGACCGATGAAAAACGCCACCAATGAGATATTGCCTATGTATGAGCCCAACTTATGCATAGTCCAAATCTCTCATCGACCGTAGTAGCTGGTGTTCTACTAGTAGTTTAGCTTTTCTGTAGATGTGCATTCTCTATAGTACTACTTTGTTTGAGTCTTCTCATCATCCTTCAAGGTAACCGACTCCATTGCCTGGATGATATTATACTCCTGTGGTTGGTCATAGCTCAGCTCGTTGTCATCTGGATACTCTTCTGGTCCCGGTGGAGATGCCAATTGAAATGCTGGAGGAAACATTTGATGAGGCGAGTGAACCACTCCTGGAGAAGCACCTGGAACAAGAGGCATTCCCATTGGCCGAGGAGGCATTTGATGGTGAGGTATCACATGAGGTGGCATACCAGGGGGAGCGGGAGGTGCTCCCGGTGGTATTCCTGGCGGTGGAGGATGAGGATATCCTCCAGCAGCAGCAGCGGCCGCAGCGGCCGCAATGGCACTGGCAGGATCGTATCCCATAGACAAGGCAGCAGCAGCTTGCATTTGGGCCGCTTGGGCAACTTGCTGTTGTTGGTGTTGGAACTTCTTATTGTTAACACTTACGCGGCCCCAACTCAATCTTACTCGGTTCCCACCAATAATGTATCCTTGCATGGACGCAATGGCGTCTTCGGCTTCTTCTCTGGTACTGTATTTGACGAACCCACAGTTCTTACCGGGAGGGATTTTGATTTGTTGTACCACGCCGAATGGCTGGAAGAGTGCAAACAACGTTTGCTCAGAAACCTCCAGTGAAAGTCCACCCACAAAAACCGTGGTGTTGGTAGGATCGTTGTACGGTTGCCCGTGTTGGTTGTTGAGAATTGGGGTTCGTGGAGGTCCCATCATGGGAGAATTAAACCCGTTGATGGGCATTCCCATTGGTGGAGCTTGTGTGAGTTGACCTTGGGCAGGGCCTTGTGCAAACATGCCAGGACTCGAAGGACCAGAGGCTCCAAGAGACGCCGAGTCACTTGACGGAGCATCTTCATCAAGATGTGCCATAGGAACTCCTGGTCCACTTCCTGGAGGAGGAAGTGGGCTGGTGCCATAGAATCCAAACGGCGTCATGTACATCATCTCTTGCGGAGGAGGTTTATCAAACGACTTTTTATTATAACGAGGGGTGGCCAAAGCCACTCTCAAAGGACGGCCTCCAAACCAGACTCCGTTCATTTCATGTAATGCCCGCTGTCGTTCCAGTTCATCTGTGAATCTAACAAACCCGAAACAACGGGACTTCCCATTTACTGGATCAGTCATAACTCGCACAGTCTTGACAGACCTGGGGAACGACTTCTGGAAGAATGCCAACAAATGGGCTTCGGTTGTAGATGCCGATAAGTCTCCCACAAACAAACTGTACTCAGGGCTCTGTACAATTGGGGCAGATAAGGTGGCCCCACTGGCCCAATTAAGCCGGAAATACTTTTTCTGATTGTCTGGATTGTTAGGAAACTGTGTTTGCAGCGGAATCGCTACATCGGGTAACAACTGACCATTAAGACTCAAGGCGTATTTGGCATCTTCAAACGTTTCAAACTCAATGAAACAGTAGCCTGAATGCGACAAGCCACCACTGTACATGTTATAACCCATATCCTGTTTGGGGATTTTAGGACGGATCAATTTAATGCTCACCTTTTTGCGGAGAATCTGCCACCACAAGTGTTCAATTCCAAGCTCATCAAGCCAAGGGTCTAAATCACCCATCCAGAGGGTTCGAGGAGTGCCGTGGGGAGACGAGACAGACACATTGTCGTCAGAAACACTACCGCCTTCTTTAGGCGCCAGGGTCTCATTCAGTGGAGTTGCAGACGTGATAGGAGGATTCGGAATGGCAAAGTTAGCCAACAACTCCTGTTCTTGTTGATGCTGCTGACTAGCAGTGTTTGTGGTGGTGGTCAAATTGACGGGGAGTTTCAAAGAGACGTCTTCTTTTGAAGGAGGATAAGACATTATGGACGTGACTTAAGAAATGGTAATACAAAAAACCAAAGTAAATTAAAAACCAAAGTAACCAACCCAAAAAATTTAAATAAACGACAGCCAGGAAAAACAGGGAATCAAATAAACAGCAAATAACTAAATCAATGATCTAGGAAGAAATTGAAAATGAAAACAACTCTGCAATAAAACAAACGGCGACCAAACTAAAACTTATACAGAACCTGGATTATGGTGTACTTGTTTCGCGTTAGATTTTTCAAAGACTTAAAGCAAGAAATCAGGTCTGTAGTGCGGTGTTTGAGGGAAAACTATCTAATTCAAGTTCAATGTTCAACACTGGAAATGAATTGTCAAAATAGTTGAGCAGTTATAAGGACAATGATAATAAGTTTTGTAAAAAAAACTGGAAAAGTCGCGGTTAAGTATCAGCAACTAAAGTTATACAGAAACAAGAATATTCACACTACCACTTCCCGTTGTTTCTGCAGTACCAACACAGAACTAGGATATTGTAAGGACAGAAAACAAAATCTGAGCTTGAAATGGGAGATTCAAGCTAGTTTTCCCGAGAGTAATTGAGAGATTTGATGTTTTTCTTGCCGGGTTTGGTTTGATGACTGGGAAAAGCTGCTATACGTGATATATCAGACCAATTGAGTTGAGATGGTTAGTTCCGGAAAGCGTAAGGCTTTTCAAATAAGTTGTAATCTTCATATTGGTTCAGGTTTGCCTCACAGGGTCCGATAATAACTTCTCAAGTGTAGATATGCTTAAGTTTGTGGGTCTTTTGCCCAAAAATTTCCAAAAGTTGACCGGGTTTGTGCTCTTGATATTCCATATCCAAAATCTCTTTGCCATGTATTTCTCCTACAAACAACTGTAATCTACTTAAAAGGTGGTCGTGCGTGCTCAGCTTTGGGGATATCAGTGATTTTGTGTCACGATTCTGATATTGATGCGCACTAAAAAGTAAACAAGCCCAGTTGTGCAATCGTAGCTTCTATCTTGAAACTATTATGACGAACGCACTATTAGAGCCGGTGGGACCAAGTGTTTCCAACGCATCTGGGACTTCTACGGGATCTTCTTCCACTAAGCAGAACATCCGAAACTTCATTTCCAACACAAAAATGTCTGAAAACAGATCTCTGGAGATCCCATTAAATACCATTGAAGAAGAACACAGATCGCATGAAGATGATATCAAAGAGTTTCAAGACGTACTTAATGAGTTTGATTTGGATATCAATGTCAATAACTCCGACGATGCTGGCGAAACCAACTTTTCTGAAGAAGAGGATCGTAAATACCACAAAAACGTCAAGTACATGGCAAACCAAGATTTTCATATTACGAACAATGAATCGTTCCCAATACTGAATCCGAATTCAATTCCCAACACTTTCAAGTATAAGTCATTTCCCAATGCCAAAACCAAGAGTCAACTCGGCTTGAATGCACCTACAACTAGAGACAACGGTCCTATGAAAACTTCCACTCTCGATAAGACTCCCGACTGGATGCCTTCCGAGTTGAATGGAGAAAGATGGATAGAATCTCCCGAGCAGGATCACGATTTAGAAGCAGATCTCCAAAGTTCCGTAAGAATCACCAAGAACCCGTCTTTGAATTTCCAGCTTCCATCCACAAATAACAGCATTATACACAACTCAAGATCCCAACAAGAAACACCTGCTTGGAAAAAGGCAAAAGAAACCTACGAGAAGCAAAGCAAGAATAATCTCCAGCAGGTATTCTTGAACTATGACAAGTCCAATGTAAACTCTCATTCGATGTCTTCCACGTTATCAACTCCTTATCACTCAATTAAGCAGAATCAGATAACTAGAGACCAGCTCAGGGAGAATTCTGAAAAGCAAACAGGGATGATAAGTATGGAGCCGTCAGCGAATATATCGCCATTGAAGTTGTTCGGCCCCGACTATAATACATTCACCCAGGGGAAGTTGAATGAGTTATTGGGTCACTTGAAGGGTCCTCCACCTCCTTTCCAGTTGAATAATACGCAACACAATAGAATAGCAGAAAATCCTCGAGAAGAAGAAGAAGCTGAACGGGGAGATGTTGAAGTTGAACAAGCTTTCCATAAACAAGAAGTCAGTCCTGAAGAATTTACTATGCACCTGGTTACAGAGGAAGGCCATCAAGACCAAGAAACCAGTGATTGGGAAGATAACACGGGGAGTACAGCTAGTGGTGAACTCACGTCCAATATGAAGCCAAGGTTGAAGACTCGAGCAATTGACAATGACATCGAGTCAAGGTTCAAGATGAAAGCCAACAACATTTTTGACAATATCCAGAAAAGAGGAGCGTTTTTGCAACCATCTAGGAGCATTTCAACTGGTTATTCACCTGCCAATGGTACCTCTATAGCTACGGTTACCTCAACTCCTAAGTTGAATAAGATTAGCAATATTGATGAAGTTGATGACCTTAATGACTTCAAAGACTCAAATGATTATTCTTCATTCACAAGTGGATTCTACGAGGAAAGTACTCAGTTTCCAAACAACGAGTCAACGAAGAACCAGTACGCTCATTCAAATGAGTATACCTCATTCACAGGGTCAGAATCTATATCTAGTATCGATCAGTCCTCGCCCGTGAGGATGTCTGAGATCGAGGAATCGAATGAGGAGGATACATCCCATTCGAATGTCAGACCAAACCACTTGAATACTTCTTTCACATACGAGAAAATCAGCGATGACAATGATGTTTATTCATCCACCGTCTCCAACATATCTAGAAGTAAAGAGAATAGTGAGGCTTATAACCAAGAATTGGAAGAGAGGGTAAAATTTCTAGAAGCCCAGTTGTCTTCTGTCAACAACTTGAAAAAGAGTATGCATTCTTTGGCTGAAGAGAACGAGCTCTTGAGGAATGAGTTGGAAAAATCCCACATTACCCAGGATAAACAGTCAGAAACTCTATCTATTGATGACTATGATCTAACTGCTGATAGGTCAATGGAAGATTTCAGAATGAAGAGAATCTCTCAACTCAAGTTGCAAAATATCAATCTAAACACAACCCCTCAAAAAGGTAAAGGAACTTTGAAACCGACTTCACTGTTACCTCTTAGTTATGAAAACATGATATTTGACAAAGAGAACCAAAGATGGATCCTGAGGGTAGATAAAGAGAATTACTTTGGAAGTCTTGATGAAATTGAAGATCTAGTGTCGGAGAGCGAGAGAGAAGAGAACGATAATACAATGGATGGTAACACCACAATCACGAGGAAGGAAGTGTCTTTCCATTTGCCACATACCGAACAAGTCAACTCGAGTCCCAACCATATGTCGGGCGATGGGGCCAATGTTACAAGATCATCTCAAGTAGGTAACATGTCTTTCAGTCAACAACAACAGAAGTTGGTATCAGTAATAACTGGTCACATGATGGAATCCAATGAGGACTGGAACAAAGTGACTGAATTTTCATTGATTGGTGAAAACTTAAGCAATGTCAAAGATTTTCATAAGTTCTTGCCTAATTTGTTGAAGTTAAACTTATCCAACAACCAAATAAAGTATCTCAAAGGACTTCCAGTCAACTTACTTAATTTGAACTTGACAGGAAACAGTATCGAAAATTTAACTTCTTTCAAAGAATTCCTTGACTTACAGAATTTAATCTTGGTCAATAACAAGTTAACCAATTGTACCAGTTTGAAGTACAATATCCATTTAACCAAGTTGAATTTAAGTAATAACAACTTGTCATCCATTGAGGGATTGAACAACCTTACGAATTTATTATACTTAGACTTGTCGATGAACGACTTGGTGGATACTATTGATTTCCTCAAGTTTAAGTTTGACAATTTACAGGACTTGAATGTTTCGGAAAATAGGATCCAAGCCATTAAGAATTTGCAGGCTGTTCCTAACTTGAGGATCTTGAATTTGAATGAAAATAAACTCACTCAATTGAGTTGCAACGGAAGGCACACTCATTTGAAGAAGTTGTTGGTGAAGTTCAACAAATTAACACGTCTTGATTTCAACAAGTTCCCGTACTTGAGAGTTTTAAGAATGGATGGTAACAACTTTGATTCAGTAAGTGGTAACTTGAAATATCTAGAAGAGCTTTCTGTGAAATGTCAGGACACTGAACTTTTGGAGAATGTGTTGAACAGCAAGTTGAGTTCTCTTAAGATCTTGGATGTTTCAGGAAACCTCCAATTCTTTCAAACGAAGATGAGAGAACACCAGTTCTTGAACGTTAACAAATTAACCTTGTCAGCATTACACTTGACTTCACTTCCACAGAAGCTCAGTCAAATTTTCCCAAACTTGATGGATCTTAACTTGAACTTTAACAGGCTTGATAGTCTTGAAGGTTTATGTGATTTCAAGCACCTCAAAAGAGTATACCTTTTGAGCAACAACCTCACCAAGATCGAGGCAATTGTGAGGAATCTAAGTGGCTCCAGGGCATCTTTGAAGATCCTTGACTTGAGACTCAACCCAGTGAATATCGATTTCTACCCGTTCGTATTCAATCCACAGGAGCTTGAAAAGGAGTCTGGAAACAAATTTGAAGCCAATAATCTTCCCATTGAGCTCGAAAACCTTGACGACATCGAGAACTTCTCAATACATTATGAAACCCTCAACAACAATGTCCATGACAACGACTGGAGCATACGAGACGAGCTCTTTTCACATGGTCTAAGCATCAACAAGGTTACTAGAAAGGTAGACTACTTGACACTTTTGATCAACTATTTCCCCAACCTCAGGAAGCTTGATGGCTCCCTTATCGACGCCGAGAAGCGCCGAGAGTACGAAAGAAACCTACATAGCACCTTAGCATAACTAATATGTACATACCCACTATCAGCCAGATTTCGCAGCCAGGTTACAATTCCGCGCAGAACGGGAAAGATTCCGCTTTATCTATCATCGACGATGTTATCGAAAAGAATCACCATTCAATGGCCCCCCGGGCCCGCTGATGAGAACACCAGCACCATGGTCATCTACTCTAAAGGAGAACACTTTGTGGATATCCGAGTGTTTAAAGATCATTATCCGGTGATTGAAGAGAACCCCAGATCCCTCAAACAGTTTACAGACACCTTCGAATGGACCATGACAGGAGATGAAATACCAATGGAAGCAGCTATTCCAGACACGTACGTGTTGCTGTTCACCCACGAAATTGACTCGCTTGCAGTGGTCAAGTCTATAGAGGAGAATATTCCAGTTGAACAGTGTTTATCAGAACCAGACGTTGGAACCTTTTGGAAACTTCCCGACTCCGAAGACCGCAAGGAAACTGGTAATATGACTAATCCTGCTACCGGAAAGAAGGGTGACTATGTGGAAATATGGAGATCTTTAAGTGCTTTAAATGCTACACCATCTGAAGATGTGAGGGAAACCCCCCACGACATTGCCAACGACAAGAATTTGCATGTCTTGCGTGTATTAGATAATGAACAGTTCGAGGGCCAGTTTATCCGGTCTGGTGCTTGGTGTCAGGGACTTTTATATGACAAATTGAACAAAATCGTGCCATTGAACGTGGTGAGAGGGTATTTTGACGGAGAAAAGTGGCAATGGCTCATTAAGTACGGTAGTTTCAATTTCCCCGTATTGTTTAGCGGCTCAATTGGTGATACCATCGATATTAACGGAGTTGTATGGAGTTGTATAGAGTAGAATAAATGGACCCACACACGACCGTTTCTCACCGCGATCGCTCGCTTTATCGATGGTGATGGAAAAATATTATCCTTACTATCAACCTGGTACAATCAGATAGATAAGATGTCCGGAGAAGGCTAGTATGTAAGCAGTTACAGCACAGGGACAATACATTTATGGTGAAGAGCAAGAGGAAGGCGGTAGGGCGGATCAACTCGCTAACCGCCAGAGACACGTATTCTTCGTCGCCCTCCAACGCCAGCAGTGAACCATGTTACTAACACCACCACAGTTTATTTATACTCGCCGTCGTGCTCAACGCCGTGAACTTGTTCGCACAGGTGTTCTTCACCATCATGTACTCGGACTTGGAGTGTGACTACATCAACCCGATCGAGTTGTGTAACAAGTTAAATCCTTACTTCATCCCTGAGGCAGGATTACATGGATTTATGACCGTTTTGTTTTTGGTCAACGGATACTGGTTTGTCTTTTTGATCAATGCGCCATTATTCGCTTACAATGTCAACAAGGTCTTGAACAAGAGCCATATGTTAGACGCCACCGAGATTTTCAGAACTTTGTCCAAACATAAGAAAGAGTCGTTTGTCAAGTTGGGATTCCATTTATTATTGTTCTTCTTCTACTTGTACAGAATGATCATGGCATTGGTTTCCGACGATATGTAGAGATTGTCACCGAGTTCCAATGGTCTAGCTTAGGCCCAAATACTGGGTTTGTCATTATTCATCAGTCTATATATATGTATCTATACATCCTTTGGTTCTTCAATATTGTAATAAATAAACTTAGTTAAGACCACGGTCGATATGCTCCAACGTCTCGTTGGTCTGTGAGAGAGTCACTTGGAGGCCATTGATGGGGTTGAACAACTGGTCAAGAATGGTGATTTCTCGGTCAATGCTTGAGATATGATTACCAGAACTGCTGGACGACGTGGCTTGGGATCTGAGTTCATCAAGCTCGCGAGTGAGGCTTATGAAGCTGTCATATTTGCGTTTGGAATCCAGAAATTGGCTGCGAGTCTTGTTGAGATCGTTCATCACATCCGCGTAGCTTCGTCTGATCTCAAAAATGTTTCTTCTCATCTCTTCTTTCTCTTTTCGAACCCGGTTGATCTCGTGGACAAGGTCGTGAATACTGCCGTGTACGTCGGCCAAGTGGTTGAGGTAGTCGAGCAAATGGGTTTTAAAGTCGTTTTGAATCACTTTAGGGTTCTTCAAATCGGTGGGGAAATCTGGGGTTTCAAATGTCTTTACGAGGTGTTTGAGCACATCGAGCACGTTTACCTTCAACCGCTTGTCTCTGTTGATATCGACTATGAGTCGATCGATATCGATGTTAAGCGGCCGTTGAACCGATTTTCCTGCTTGTGCTTGTTTAGTGAGAGGCACTGGTTTTCTCACTCGGCTCAAAGAACTCATACTGGCCACAGACTCGCCAATTTGGGCGGTTCTTCGGCGCTGGCGCCGGGTAGCAATCGAGCCGTCGCTCAAGTCGACAGTGGTGTCGACGGGGTTGCTGGTGCCCTTTCTGGGTCTTCCTCGAGGTCTTTTAGGGGCTTCTGGCTCTACCGACGGAGTTTTTTGCTTTTTAGGCCGCCCTCTCTTGCGTACCACTGGCGACACATCGCCGGGGTCGGAACCGCCGTCCACGTCCACGCTGGGGGTAGCGCTGGTGGATCTGGGCAATTCGCTATTGTTCTGGTCGAAGTTTTCTGGTGCCGATGGGATTTGGTGTGGTGGCTTGTAGAAAGTGCCAGGACTGATTTTGTGTGACTCCAGACGTAGTTTGGGTAAGTGAGTATCTTCATTTAAAGCTGATTCTAGCATTTTTAGATTGGGAGAGATCACGAGAGGTTTGGAGGTGATTCGAAGAGGCGTCACATGGACGGTCCTCAGACTGAAGGAGTTAGTACGGGGTTGAGAGGAGGGAAAGACATGTGATGTTGAGTGTACGTACTCGGCGCCTCTTTTTCTAGCTTCTATTTTGGAGTGCCTGTCAGCCATGGGATAGTAAACAAGGAGGAAGCGCGAAGAAGGCGGCTGCTGTCCGCACTGCGAGAGCTAGCGACAGCTGGTACGAGTGGCGGTACGAGCACCGCGAGTTGGTGCCACGCATAAGGCAAGTAAAAAGAATAACACCGTTATACTAACACCATGACACGGTACATGCGACCATGACATAGCACACAAGATACAAAAATACCACTCCCATCACCACATACATTTTAGAAGTTGATATTGTATTACTAGAACATCTATATAACTTATTGTTGGGCAAAGTGCTCCAACAACATGTTTCTTTCTTCAGAGTCAGCACCCCAGTTCTTGACAACAACACAAGAAGCTCCAACAACCTTTCTGGCGTTACCTTCTCTGTCCAATTGACACAAACCGGCCCATTCACCCAATTGTTTGGCATCGGAAACCTTGATCAAAGGAATCTTCTGTTCTGGCTCGTTACACAAAGCTTCAACCAACTTAACGATGGATTCTTCGGTAACGGATTCACACAAAACACATAATTGGGCTTCTCTTCTGGACAAAGCCTTAGAAGCTTCTCTCAAACCTCTGGCCAAACCGTCGTGGACCAACGAGGTTCTCAAGACAACCTTCAAAGCGTCTTCGATGGAGATTTCTTCGCTTTGTTCGACAGCGACTTCTTCGATGATTTGTTGTTCTTCAACGTCAGACATTTTTTTGTTTATTTAGTAGTTTAGACTTCTTCGACAGTTATCTGCTCAGTACTAAGGTATAAAGAAGAGCAGACATTGAAATTTTTCACTGTGCGCGGTGGGTGAGCAGAGGCCGCAGTCACAGAAATTGATGGGTACCTATGTGGAGGGCGCGCGCCCTCCCGGTTGCTGCTGTCTATTCGCATTTTCTTGTTTGCAGCAGTCTACCATTATACATTGGTTTATTAATATCTAACTTTACAACTCCATCTCGTTAGCACCAAACGGCTCGTTGTGGTCGTCTTCGTCGCTTGAAGCAATGGCGTTTTCATCGTCGGTAAGGGCATTGGCCTTGATAGTTGATACCGTTTGAGGCTGCTGATGGAATCCAGCACCATCAAAAGTATCATCTTCATCCTCAAAGTCCACATCAAAGAAATCATCGTCTGCCCCGGTTATACTCAGGTACAAGGTCTTACACTCGCTTACAATCCCGTCATAACTTATTTCGGCAGATGGCATATTGGTAAAGATTATTTCACCACAGTCTTTAGGCTTCCTCAAAGTGACATTGTTGTCTTTAGTGGGATTGAGCACGTTCGACAAGTCATTGGCCACGTACGTCTGTTGCACATATCCGAGCTTGCAGATAATCTCGAGTTTTTCCTTGGGCACAAAGTTTTGCAACGACTTACCCAACTTTACCGAGTTGACAACCACTGGAGTTCCTCTTTCACTTATAACAAAGTCTTCTTCGCCCAACACATCGTCCAAGTTGTTGGATGATTCTCTCAATATGGCCGCTTCCATCTTATCTAGAGCACTTTGCAAGTCAAGCTTGGCTTTGGCCTTATCTTGTTCAAAGGACGTCAAATACCAAATCGAGTGACCATCGGGACACACACCACTTCCACCGTTTTGTACCAATGCCTGGATGCCTTTAGAGTTATCTGAAGGTAATGAATGTGGAGGGAACACCACCACAGCTGAGGATTCCAGGTTCGACATCCATTCCTTACAATCTTTTTTCACCACTACCACCAATCGGTTGATGTTTTTCATGGGCAATGCCTCAGTGATTTCATTGTAGGAAGTCTGTAAGAATTTAGGAATTTGGGTGGGTGACACCACAAGCTTTTCATTGATCCGAACGCTACTCTTGTCACTGAATTTGGCCACTTTTTGCAGCGGATCGTAATCAACCAATGTGGTGTTCAATTTGTAGGTAGATCCTCCTACAGCGGCACTCCTACAGAACCCCTGGGAAATCTCACCAGGCCCTCCGTATTTCAGCACCAATACCGGGAAATTTCCGTACACGTTGAAAGACGTCAAATATCTCCGTATTCTGGCAAGGGCCTCAGGAGTTTTACTGGACTCTTTGGTTGCAAGCCCAATGGAGTACACCAACTCGTTGATCTGGGACTTCTCCAAGTTGAACTTCTTCTTCAAAAACTCCTCGATCGGAACCTTGGCGTTCTCAGTCAAGACCTGCCGCTTATCCTCGTCATTGTTGTCTTGCAACACAAACTTCAAAAACTTCATCAAATATCTCTTTGTGACCAACGATAACGATTGGTCAGTAAAGATCTCCTCCTTAGACGTAGGGTTCGAAAACTTGGCGGCAAAGCTGTCGTTTTCAAATATGTGGAAGTTACTCAAACTCTGGAACTCCAAGTACTTGTAGACCCGGGACTTGACCAATAAACTCAATAGGTCCGACTGGGCAAACATGACTTTAGGCGTCAAGTCAATACCGTAGTCCTTGCTCTTATACTTGCTCGTGGGAAGACTGAGTTCTCCTGATACATATACCTGAGCATCTTCAAAGTGTTGGATTTTGCCTCCGTTGACCTCCTGACACCACAGTTTGATTTGTTCAATTGTCAACGTCGAGTTCAGGTCACCATAACATGTTTTGTTGTCGATGTGTAGCACATCCACACCCTGCCATGATAACGATGCCGCCAATATGCTTTCTACTAAGCCTGTTCCCATGATCAATACATCGCATTCATCCAAGAGTAAACTGTGCGCTTGGGGTTTCTCCAAACCCGCCAAGTGCGGAATCACATCAGGCGTATAGGAAACGCTGGGGCTTCTCTCGGCCACCAGCTTGCGTCTTTCCACTTTGTTTAAGCTGGTCATTGGAACGTCAAAAACTATTCGTGTTCAAATGTGAGCAATAAGGTGCTCAACTGGGGTTATTCTGAGTAATTTATGTTTTCGCACTGGTCGCGGCGAATTTTTGCATACCAGCATGAGTAGTTTAGATAAAGAGGAACTGAAAAAACAGAAGGGTTCGTTGCTCCTCGCATGGCAGGTGCGTGACAAGCACTGTCTTGTGATCGGTGCCGGAGATGTGGCTTTGAGCCGGGTGCATCACATGATCAAGGCCCAGGCAAACATCACGGTGGTGACAGGCGATTCAAGAATTCATCCAGAAATTCTTGAATTGTACGACTCAGGAAAGATTTTTCGGCTCGAGAAACGGCCGTATCAGTCCAGCGACTTGACGATGTACCGCCAGGGCGCCAGCATCTCGTTCGACGTGGAATCGCTTTCTGAGGACCAATATGCTCAGATCATCGAGTACAACCACAAACACCAATTCGAAGTGGTGTGCTGCTGCATTGACGACCATGAGTTGTCGACCAAAATCTACTACCAGTGCAAGGTGTTGGGGCTCAACGCCAACATTGCCGATAAACCCGAGCTTTGTGACTTTTACTTCGGCAGTATGATCAACAAGGACAGTCTTCAGATCATGATTTCGACGAACGGGAAATCGCCACGGCTTCTGAAGATGATCAAGGACACCATTGTCAAACACATAGACTGTGACGCCAACAAGGCCATTGATAATTTGAATTTGGTGCGGTTCACGTTGAGACTGAGGAAGTTGCTGCAAAATGATACGAGCACCATCGAGCTTCGCATGGCATGGATCAAGAATTTGACCGATTTTTTCACGATTTCGCAGTGGAGCGAGGTGGACATCAATGACCATAATGTAAATATGATTGTGGATTACTACCCTGAGTATCCACCACGGGAGTTTGAAGCATTTCAGCATCTATTGCAAGGTCTGGGTCCAGAGGGGGCAGAAACCAGTACATAGCTGGTTCCATGGTCTAGCGGTATGACGTCTCCTTCACACGGAGAAGATCCCGGGTTCGATCCCCGGTGGGATCATATTTTTTCTTTTTTTGGGGATTTGCATCCACCGTAGGCATGGCAGGTGTCTGTGCCGGGGAACCTACGACTATCCTTATCTAATTTATACATTATCACCTAAACTTTTCACCTCTTTCGTACTCTTCACCTAAAATCTCACATTGGTGCTGATATCCTCATGCACAAAAGACTTGTTTCCACCGGCACCCTTATACTCAGCCGCTATATGGCCATTTCCTCTCAACTGGTATTGGTAGCTCATCAAGCCCTCCAACCCCACTGGTCCTCTGGCGTGGATTTTGTTGGTGCTAATTCCTACCTCAGTACCAAACCCGTACCTAAAACCATCAGCAAACCGCGTGGAACAGTTCCAGTAGACTCCGGCCGAGTCCACGCCCTTCAAGAACTTATCGGCATTGGCCTTAACCTCGGTCAAGATGCAATCTGTGTGTTTGGACGAATGTTGGTTGATGTGCGAAATGGCATCCTCAAGAGACTCGACCGATTTGACAGAGATATCGAGCGACAAGTACTCAAAGTCGAACGCGTCTGGACCCGCAGCCTCCACCCCATCAGTGCTGTCAAGCTTGTCCAAAATTTCAGGCGTCACGTGGACGGTGACCCCGGCATTTCGAAGTGCTTGGTGGATCTGGTTCAACTTTATTTTGTCTTGAGCAACCGACTGGTGCACCAACAACTGCTCCACCGCATTGCAACCGGCTGGGTAGTTTGTCTTGGAGTCGACAATGATCCGAACGCTCTTGGCGATGTCGGCAGACTCGTCCACAAAAATAGAGCAGATTCCATCGGCATGGCCCAACACAGGAATCTTGGTGTTTTCCTTGATGTTTCGTACCAACAGGTTGGAGCCTCGAGGGATCACCAAGTCGATGTACTTGTCCTGTGACAACAAATCACCAACTTCTTCTCTGCTTTCAATCAACTTGATGGCATCTTTTGGCACTTTGGTGTGGTGATCCAATACCTGATTGACAATGTCACTCAAGATTTTGAACGTCTGGTACGACTCCTTGCCCCCCTTCAAAATAGCGGCATTTCCCGACTTGATGGCCAAGGCGGTGATGTTGGCGATAACCTCGGGACGGGACTCAAAAATGATTAATAATACTCCGATGGGGGCGGTGACTCGGTACAACTCCAACCCTTCATCCAATTTCCTGGCCAACGTACACTTTCCGATGGGGTCGGGCAACGCCGCCACATCCAAGATTCCTTGGAGCATCGCGTCAAACTTGCCGTTGCCGCTCAAGTCGAGTCGTTTAATCAAACTGGACGATAAGTTGTTGGCGGTCGCACTGTCCATATCGAGTTTGTTGTACTGTAAGATCTCATACTTACGGGCCTTCAAGCCGGCATAGATCTGGTGGAGGGCATCGGACCGCTCCTCGTTGCTCAACGTCTTCAACACCGAAAATGCCGTGTTGGCCTCTCTGGCTATAGTCTCTGCCATCGTAGAGTCACAATTTATCAAGTTTTTCACGCCGCAGTCGCACTCAACCATCACCATATTTGAACCACGCAGGTATCGATTAATTTTTGTTTGTTACAACTCGGCGGATTCTGATCTATTTACAGTACACATTGCCACCGCCAATTCGCACCAGCAATCCAACCCCGGCGTTTCATTCACTGTACCGCATCTGCTCCCCGCCAATTGTTGTCTGAGCTTTTTTTGTTTTGGTGATGTATTCTCCTAACAATGGTGCCAGACACCTGTCAAATCCGTTCACCGACTCGAGCAACCTCATCGACCTCGATGCCGGCAGTCTGAACATCCAGGATGCTGACACAAATCCATACGACCGTGTTCCAGCGCGATCTGAGCTGTATGACCCATTTCAAGACCATTTTGTGGTTGATGATGATGCTAGTTTTGAGGTTGACAACACTCACCACAATGGACCGTACGACGCCAGTGCAGATACCAGCGCTCGGAGTGGCCCGTTGATGGGCTCGACACCCGCCCAGAAGAACCGTCTCTTGTCTGGGTTTCGAAATCCAAATGCCAATAATAACGGATACGTGGGCATGGAAAATCCGTTTGCTGACACTGCTACAGCTGCCAAACCCAAGATCAACGATACTCAGGAGGCTTCAGACTTTGACATTCGTCGTATCTTCCGCCGGATGAAAAATACCGTTACCGGTAAATCACACAAAAACCTTGAAGAAGACTCTCACGAACACAAGCCACCGAGACATATACATATCATGAGCCACAGCGCCAACTCATCGGCTGGCTACTACGGTAACTACATTTCCACCACCAAGTACAACTTCGCCACCTTTTTGCCCAAGTTTTTGTTTGAACAGTTCAGCAAGTATGCTAACTTGTTCTTTCTCTTCACATCGATTATTCAGCAGGTACCCGATGTTTCACCCACCAACAGGTACACCACCATAGGAACATTACTTGTGGTATTATTGGTGTCTGCCATCAAGGAAATCATGGAAGATGTAAAGAGGAATCGAGCTGATAACGAGTTGAATAACACAAAGGTGTTTGTGCTTGATGCAGCCAATGGCGACTTTGTTGCCAAAAAGTGGATCAAAGTGCAAGTCGGTGATATCGTCAAGGTGCTCAACGAAGAATCGTTTCCCGCAGATTTGTTGCTCTTGAGTTCTTCTGAACCAGAAGGATTGTGCTACATTGAGACTGCCAATTTGGACGGGGAAACCAACTTGAAAATCAAACAGTCCAGGCCAGAAACTTCATATTTGGTCAATCCTCGATTTCTTGTCAGCGATTTGTCGAAGGCAGAAATCATATCCGAACAGCCCAATTCATCTTTGTACACTTACGAAGGAAACCTTCAAGGTTTTGGGTCCACTAGGAGTATCCCTATGACTCCCGAGCAATTGCTTTTGAGAGGAGCTACGTTGAGAAACACACAATGGATTCATGGAGTGGTGGTTTTCACGGGCCATGAGACAAAGTTAATGAGAAACGCCACGGCCACTCCCATCAAGAGAACTGACGTCGAGAGAATCATCAACATCCAAATCATTGTGTTGTTTTGTCTTTTGATTGTTTTGTCATTGATTTCGTCAGTGGGTAACGTCATCAAGACACAGGTGAATCGAAGTTCGCTAAGTTATATACACCTCGAGGGAACTAACATAGCTGCGTTGTTCTTCAAGGACATTTTGACTTATTGGATCTTGTTCTCCAACTTGGTTCCAATTTCTTTGTTTGTGACGGTAGAGATCATCAAATACTACCAGGCCTACATGATCGGTAGTGATTTGGACATGTACCATGAAGAAACAGATACTCCTACCAATGTGAGAACATCGTCACTTGTTGAGGAGCTCGGTCAAATTGACTACATTTTCAGTGACAAGACTGGTACTTTGACCAGAAACATCATGGAATTCAAAACCTGTACCATTGGTGGAAGGTGTTATATTGAGGACATACCTGAAGATGGTCATGTTCAAGTTATAGATGGAATTGAGATCGGTTACCATACTTTCGATGATTTGAAACAAGATTTGAATAATACTTCCAGCCAACAGTCTGCAATCATCAACGAGTTTTTCACCCTCTTGAGTGCGTGCCATACCGTCATCCCCGAAGTGAACGAAGTGACGGGTGAAATTAAGTATCAAGCTGCATCTCCTGACGAAGGAGCCTTGGTTTCGGGAGCTGCTTCCTTGGGATATAAATTCATTATCAGAAGACCAAAAAGCATCACCATCGAGAATACCTTGACGGGTATCCAACTGGAATATGATTTATTGAACATCTGTGAATTCAATTCCACCAGAAAGAGAATGTCTGCCATCTTCAGATGTCCTGATGGTGTGATTAGACTTTTCTGTAAAGGAGCCGATACTGTGATCTTGGAAAGACTTTCTGATATTGAAGAACAACCGTTTGTCAATGCCACATTGCGCCACATGGAAGAGTTTGCTGCTGAAGGCTTAAGAACTTTGTGTATTGCCTCGAAGATTGTTTCTGAAGACGAATACCAAGCGTGGTCCGCTAGGTACTACGAGGCTTCTACCTCATTGGAAGACAGACAAGACAAATTGGATGAAGTTGCCGATTCAATTGAAGGTGGGTTGTTCCTTTTGGGAGCAACTGCCATCGAAGACAAGTTACAAGATGGTGTTCCTGAAACCATCCAGACATTACAAACAGCCGGTATCAAGGTTTGGGTCTTGACCGGGGATAGACAAGAAACTGCTATCAACATTGGTATGTCATGTAAGCTTTTAAGTGAAGACATGAACCTACTTATCATCAACGAAGACACAAAGCAAGAAACCCGGATGAATTTGCAAGAAAAATTGGACGCAATTCTTCAACATGGCGGAGATACTGACAATAATGCCCTAGACTCTTCTTTGGCACTCATCATTGACGGCCATTCTCTTAAGTTTGCATTGGAGACAGATTTAGAGGATTTGTTCATTGAATTGGCTTCTAGATGTAAGGCAGTTGTATGTTGTCGTGTTTCCCCATTGCAAAAAGCTTTGGTGGTCAAGATGGTGAAGCGTAAGAAAAAAGGATCATTACTCTTGGCCATCGGAGATGGAGCCAACGACGTTTCCATGATTCAAGCGGCCCACGTCGGTGTGGGTATAAGTGGAATGGAAGGTATGCAAGCTGCTAGAAGTGCCGATATTTCAATTGGCCAGTTTAAATACTTGAAAAAGCTTCTTCTAGTGCATGGCTCGTGGTCGTATCAACGTATATCCAATGCTATCTTATACTCGTTCTACAAAAACATGTGTTTGTACATGACGCAGTTTTGGTACGTGTTTGCCAATGCTTATTCGGGCCAATCGATTGTGGAATCATGGACTTTGACCTTCTATAACGTTTTCTTCACAGTGTTGCCTCCTTTCGTATTGGGGGTGTTTGACCAATTCGTTAATGCCAGACTACTCGATAGGTACCCCCAGTTGTACCAATTGGGACAGAGCCGAAAGTTTTTCAATGTGACGGTATTCTGGGGCTGGATCATCAACGGCTTCTATCACTCAGCTGTGATCTTTGTATGTCTTTACTTCATCTACCACCATGGAGACCAGCTCTCCAGTGGATTGGTGGTGAACAACTGGTCATGGGGGACAGCTTTATTCACCACTTGCACTCTTACAGCCTTAGGTAAGGCAGCACTTGTGGTGACGATGTGGACCAAATTCACCTTGGTGGCCATTCCAGGTTCCTTTGTGTTATGGCTAGTGTTTTTCCCAGCGTATGCCACCATTGCCCCGTTGATCAATGTGTCGCAAGAGTATAGAGGGGTGTTGAATGCAACATACCCATCGTTGACGTTCTGGGCTACTGTGTTTTGTGTACCTGTGTTATGTCTTCTCCGGGACTTTACCTGGAAGTTTTACAAACGGAGGAATAACCCTGAATCGTATCACTACGTTCAGGAGATGCAAAAATACAACATCCAAGATCACCGTCCTAGAATGGAACAGTTCCAAAAGGCTATCAGAAAAGTCAGACAGGTGCAAAGAATTAAGAAACAAAGAGGGTTTGCGTTTTCCCAGGTCGACGACCAGAATCAGGAAAAGATCATTCGGTTGTACGATACCACCAAGAAAAGAGGTGTTTTCGGAGAATTGCTGGAGAGTACTTGATAGCTTGTATATGAATATAACGGTTTGACCCCCGGGCACGACCATGTAGTTGGATCCAAAGCGCGCGATGGAAAAATGACTATTAGTGCTAGCATGAGCGACAAGGTGAATACTGCAGCCACAGAAGCTACGAAAGCTCCCAAGGAGCTGAAAGCCGGCGAAAGCAAGTCCCAGGAACCCACTGAGGGTGGTGCCCTCTCGAACAAAGAGCTCAAGGAATTGAAAAAACGAGAAAAGGCTGCGAAGAGAGCTGCTCAGAAGGAGGCTCAGGGAATCAGTCCTGAACAACAACAGAAACTTGCTGAACAGAAGAAGGAGAAGAATCAGGAGCGACAGATGGCTACCAATACAAACTTGCGGAAGAAATTGGACCTGAGCTTGATCAAAGACGACAACAAGAAGAAGATTCCTGCGATGTTCAGTCATTTGGAAACCCGAGAACAAAGAAACGCATCATCTCCTTCAATTTCTCATATTGTTCACCCAGCCATTTTGTCGTTGTCTTTGAAGATTTCAAGCTACAAGATTGTGGGCTCAATTCCCCGGTTGACCAGCATGCTAGAGGTGTTCAAGACAATCATAAAGGACTACAAGACTCCTTCTAACACATCTTTACAAAGACACTTGACGGGACACTTGTCGCACCAGATCGAGTACTTGAAGAGTGCCCGGCCATTGTCAGTGTCTATGGGAAATGCTATCCGTTGGTTGAAGCAAGAAATTTCTCATATTCCGTTAGATCTTAAAGAGCTTGAGGCCAAGACCCTCTTATGCGAAAAGATCGATGATTTTATCAAGGAGAAGATCGAGTTGTCCGACCGAGTCATCATCGAAAATGCCTCAAAGCACATCACCAATGGGTCCACAATCTTAACGTTTGGCCATTCACAGGTGTTGGAACAGTTGTTCAAATACTGTGTGACCGAGCAGAACAAGATGTTCAATTTGGTGATAGTAGACTCCAGACCGTTGTTTGAAGGCAAGAAGTTGTTGAGAAACCTTGTTGACACCCACTACATGCCTGGTTCTGAAGAGGTGGGGTCTGAAACCACGTCGGAGGTGAGTAGCATTAGCAGCCGTGGTCCTAAGCCCAAACCCATCACTCAAGACTTCATCAAAGTGCACTACGTGTTGATAAATTCGTTATCGTCGACGATATTAGAGGACGTCGACTGCGTGTTTTTGGGTGCCCATGCCATGTTGTCGAATGGTCGGCTCTATTCCCGTGTGGGAACAGGGTTAATTGCCATGATGTGCCACAACAGAAACATTCCCGTGTTGACGTGCTGTGAGTCGGTCAAATTCTCCGACAAAGTGCAGTTGGACTCGGTGACCAACAACGAGTTGGCGGATTCGGAGGACTTGCTCCAGAATTTGAATGGAAAGGAGGCTCCTAAGAAAAAGGCAGTGGCATTGGAGCAGTTCATGAAGCAGTTTGAACACAACGAACCACAGGCACCTGTCAAGCCCACCCAGAAGGGCAAACTGCAACCGAAGAAGATCACGGTGGGTGAAGAGGAAAGAGACAGTAAGCATGAGTCCCCTTTGAAGGACTGGAAGAATATCCCCAACTTGAACATCTTGAATATCATGTACGACTTGACTCCTCCCGAGTACATCAAGAAAGTGATCACCGAGTTGGGGGCGTTACCACCTTCCTCTGTGCCTGTGATCTTGAGGGAGTACAGAAGCACATAGCTTTGTGTAGATAATATATCATCCGTACAATCGAACACTAAAGTTTGCAGCCGCGAAAACTCAGATTTCGCAGCTCGCGTATTTTCATCACCTTTTCGCCACCAGTGTACAAAGTACAAATCTAGTTTTGCATTATTCCACAACATTCATTGCACCATGGCTGAAAAGGAGTTGGACTTGATCAACAAAGTTGATCTTCGCATCGCTCTTGCCAGTACCGACGAACAATTGGAAAGCTCGTTAAAGCTTTACCTCGCCCCGCTACTTTTGAAGCTCAGCAGTCCCCATGCCCAAGTCCGCCAGGCCATCTTCAAAATCATTCAAAACACAATGACACGTCTCACGGCGGCTCGTACCATCAGGCTCCCGGCAGTGGCTTTGTTAGCGCAGGTCAAAAATCCCAAAGTCGCTGATGGTTTAGATGCTTCGACCGTCAGATTATATTCATTGTTATTCATATCCAAAGCGATAGATCGTATGTCACCAGATGAAAAGCGTGAATTGGTGCCCGACGTGCTCCACGACATCAGCGCTTTTGCGCCGGGTATCGGGGCTCGTCTCTTTAGCATCTTCTGTAAGTTGATAAGTGGATGGAAGGCTCCAGAGCACGATTCGATGGAGTATCAAGGGTTGCTCAAGGACTTGGACTTTGGAGCCCACACGGCCGACGAAGCGTTTGTGTGTGCGAAGGTGGCCCGGTTCTTGATGTTGCAGCCCAACAGCACGCCCAATCCAATTCCATCACCTGGCTTGAACATCGCCGACGTGAGCTTTTTCTCAAAAGATGCTGGGATAACCTACAAAACCCCGCAGGAAATCTTCTTGGTGAAGCGAGACTTGATGGAATTCTTGAAGGTGGGATTCCTGTCGCTGAACTTGCGTCTCCCGTTGTTGGTAGCGTCTAGCGACCTGTCTTCTGCCATCAACGACTCGGCAGAGATCTTGTATCGAAAGTTGAACGTGGACTTGGAAGATGAAGTGTTTGTGGGGCAACTCATTGACTTGTTCACTGGCAACGAGCAGAGTGGTACGCCTCCAGTCAATCCTGTACTCCAAGAGAAGATTCTCTCACAACTCACCAGAAGTGTGACAGCCACTAAGAACGGTAATATCGCCAAGGTCACAAACTTGGGACTTTCAACCAGCTACTCAAAGCTCAAGCAAGTGACTATTCAGTTTATTAAATGGATCAGTGTTCACAGTGAGGACTCTGAGAGTGATGCGAGTCAGTCAATGCTTTTATTCAATAAGAACATGGCTCAGAGATTAAAGGAAAGCATTCTCAACGATGGGTGGCCACAAGCATTAAGTGTGCCCGGTAAGTCATACACGGCTACTATGAACCAAAGACTGTCACAATACGAAGCCTTGTGCAATATTTTGAAAGTCTCTCCTGGCTTGTTCCTCGACGAGTTCACGTATCTCGAGTTTCTCTTTGACTCCCTCGAAGGTGAATCTGTTGATTTGAGATCAACAATTCAGGAAGGGTTATCTAGTTTAAAGGTGTTCCTTCCAAAATTGTCTGCGGAGGGTAAGAACCAACTTAAGGAGTTGGGTACCAAATACTTGAGCTCAGACTCGCCCAAGAACGATAATATTCATTCATGTCGATTTATGATCCTCAAGTTCATCAACTGTTGTTTCCCGTTCAATGACTGTGAAGCCCGTTACTTGAATGTGCTTGGGACCGCAAAGACCAACAGGCCAGAGACCATTGAGGAAGCTACCAGAGGTTTGCATCCCCACTGGTTCAATATCACCCAGTCTTCCAATACTAACGAATTTAAATCTACTTTGGAACTCTTGGGACAAGGTAACGTGGTTGTATTCCCAAACTTCGAGGTATTAGTGCAATTGATAGACGAAAGAATCAAGGATGCCAGCTCCAGTCTGATTATATTCAAGGCCATGGGCCAAGCTATAGAGTTTGTGATCCAAACTTTGGTGATGGAGTCGATCAAAGGCAAGTCTACTGTCATTGTTGCAGATGAGGATTGGTCCGTTCGGTTGGATAAAGCCATCGAGGTCGATACCAAGGTTCGACAATGCCTCAAGCACGAAATAGAGAGATTGTCAGCCTCCGGGGGAAACAGCTTCACTACCTTGCTCAACATTATATTCAGTGCTTTCGAAGGGCAGTACAGTGACTTTTCGTATGTTGATAAGCAAATCACATTTGAATCCACCTTTTGGAAGTTGCTTTCGTTATCATCTTCAACTATCGTGGCTGGGTTGTCTCATTTGGTCGAGCCATTTTTGAAAGTCCTAGCTGATAGAACTTTAGCAGACCTTAGTTTATCTCAGGTCGCAAGGAGCGCTTCTATTATTGCCAGTCATCCCGTTCACCTGTCCGACACTGTAAGAGCTCTTTTGATGAGACTCATCACAGCAGATTTGCCCCCTCACAAGTCCAGAGCTAACATTCTAGTGACTGGACACTTGTTTTCTAGACTAGCATTCAGGCAACGGCTTGATGCTATTGACGAAGAGTTGTTCAAGGTATTTGGTGCTAAGTTGTTAGTATGTCTTGAAGATTTTAGCAGCTACTATCAGTCATTAGAATGCATTGGTGAGATGGCCAAGTACGGTTTGTTAGGACCTGAGTTGTCATATCTTGATTCTGATTTCTTAACCAAGGTCGTCGATATCATCACACCAAAGGTGAAGAAGAGTGACGAGAGAACGGTTTTGGCCTTATCGTATATCTCCTTGGCGTTCAAAAAAAATGGTGCATCTGATCTGTTGACAGACTTTGAGCAGCTTATTTACGATACTCACATCTCCAAGCAAACTGAGTATTTATTCACCAGTGGTGAAGCACTTCTGATTTTGGCAGCAGGCTGGGATTCGAGCGTTTTAGAACGATCTATTGATATTCAAGGTGAATCGGTGACTTACATTCCCCGGTCCACTGAAAGATTACCAGTTCTCTTAAACACGATTCTCAAATCTTGTGCCAACACTAAACCTTCTTTGAGAAAAGCAGGGTGCATTTGGTTGTTATCTGTGGTTGACTTCTGCAGCTCTTCTCCAGTAATCAAGGAACATGCCGCAAAGATCCACCTTGCCTTCATGAAATTCTTAGCTGATAGAGACGAATTGGTGCAAGAATCTGCATCAAGAGGGTTGAGTATTGTGTATGATTTGGGTGACGTGGAGTTGAAAGATAGTCTCGTGAAAGGATTGCTCAAATCCTTTACCGATAAAAACTCCACCAGTAAATTGGTGAGTGGAACTGTTGATGAGGATACTGAGTTGTTCGACAAGGACTTGTTAAAGACCAACGATGGATCTGTATCTACGTATAGAGATGTGTTAAATTTAGCCCTGGACGTTGGGGATCCAAGTTTGGTGTATAAATTCATGTCGTTGGCTAAGTCGTCTACGCTTTGGACGTCAAGGAAAGGAATGGCTTTTGGATTAGGGTCTATTATGTCAAAGACTAGTTTAGATGATATGATGGCCAAGAACAAATCTTTGGCAACCAGATTGATTCCTAAGCTATACAGATACAAATATGATCCCAGTACGTCGGTTTCTACTTCCATGAATCAAATATGGAATGTATTGGTGACAGACAGCTCAAAGACCATTAAGGCCCATTTCAGTGATATTTTAGACGAATTGTTAAAAGGAATGGGTAACAAGGAGTGGAGAGTCCGGCAAGCTAGTACAACTGCCATGAACGATTTGTTGAATGTGGTTGAGTTTCTGGTGTACGAACCGAGACTTGAAGACATTTGGAATATGAGTTTTAGAGTGTTGGATGATATCAAGGAGAGTGTTAGAAAAGAGGCCAGCAAAGTAACCAGACTATTGGCTAACATCTTGACCAATAGCAGACAGCAAGGTGGAGGCTTGGATAAGTTGATTCCATTTTTGTTGGGAAATAAGGGTTTACTAAGTGAAGCTGAAGATATTAGAAGCTTTGCTCTAGATACTATCTTCAAGTTGATCAAGAGCAACAATAAAAATATTAAACAATATATTCCTATATTGTTGGAGAACTTTATCGGCTTAATGTCGACTTTGGAACCTGAAATCATTAACTATTTGGTGTTGAATGCCGACAAGTATAACCTTAAAAATAATGACATTGATGCAAGAAGATTGCAAAGTTTGGGCCAGTCGCCAATGATGGATGCTATAGAAAAGCTCATTGATCAATTGGATTATGAAATTATGGAAGAAAGTGTCAAAGTCATAATCAATTCAGTCAAGAGATCGGTAGGACTTCCCTCCAAGGTGTGTGGAAGTAAAGTTTTGGTAAGTCTAGTCAACAAGAAGTACGAATTCACTAAACCCTATGGAAATAGACTCATTAAGGCTGCCATGGGGCAAATCACAAATAAGAACGACACCATTTCTTCATCCTATGCTATCTCTGTTGGATACTTGAGCAGACTTTCGTCTGTAGATGTGTTGGTCCAATATGGTCAAAAGTTGAAGGGTTTGTACTTCGAGTCCGGTGATGAACGTAACAGACTAGTGGCTGCAATTGCTAGCGAGAGCTTTTCTAAGTATTCCAACGAAAAGTTTGAGCTGGTAGCTGCTGAATTTCTTCCGTTGACCTTCATTGGCATGAATGATATTGACAAGGAGGTTGCCAAGGTGTTTGAAAAGCAGTGGATAGAGAATACCTCTGGTTCAAACGTCTTGAAGTTATATTTGGCTGAAGTCATTGACCTCATGTCGAGCTATATCAAATCGCAAAACTACCAAATCAGGCAAAATTTGGCCAAATCTGTGGTGAAGTTGACTAACGATATCAACGATTTTAATGGGTTATCGAATAATTTGATCATGAAGATCTTTGACAGTTTGATTGAAAGTTGTAAAGGAAAGTCATGGCAAGGAAAAGAGCAAATACTCGAAGCATTGGTGAACTATTCAATCAAATTAGACTCGGTTTTGCAGCAGAATGATGATTTGTTGCAAACCATCAGCAATGTTGTGTTGACTGAAGGGAAGAGAAAGAACAAGGATTATCAACGACATGCTCTTAAGACCATGGGGGTTTTCTTACACAAGTTTCCCAACGAGGAATTGACCGAAGTGTACTTAGAGTTCATGGAGCAGATCATCAACGACGAGTATGAGGAGGATGACAGTGATGAGGAAGACAACATGGATGTTGACAACCGGTCCAAGAAGCGGATTAATAATAGCATGAACAATAAGCTTGAAGAAGAGAAAATCGTTTATATCAGCAATTTGTTTGAAGCATTTTCGAGGGCTTCCCCCAGCAAGGAGATGTTCTCCTTGATGTCTAAGTCTATTCTCAAGTTATTGAATGACGATAATAAATTCGAAATCACTTGGAGGTCAAAGGTGTGTGGTAATGAATGCTTCAGTCGAGTAATAACTGAATTGGGAGAGACTGAGTTTGAAGTTGAAAGCTTGTTCCAAATATGGAAGAAATTAAGCGAAGTTTGCAGCAACTTCAACAACATAGAGAATGTCAAGGTCAAGTTCATCAGAAACTCCAAGCAGTTCATCAAGTACCTTAAGAACTTGCATTACTTAGATAAAGTCCGAGCAATAACCAGTGCATTGGAAACGTTCAATTCTGATTCTACAATCATTAAAGCAGAGTTAAGTAAAAGTTAGATAAGTTGTATACATTTGTTTCAATAGCCTATATAACAAATTACCATCTGGTTTAGTTACCACCTCTCAATCTCAAAACCAAGTGAAGAGTGGATTCCTTTTGGATGTTGTAGTCAGCCAAGGTTCTTCCGTCCTCCAATTGCTTACCGGCAAAGATTAATCTTTGCTGGTCTGGTGGAATACCTTCCTTGTCTTGGATTTTAGACTTGACGTTGTCAATGGTGTCGGAAGATTCGACTTCCAAAGTGATGGTCTTACCAGTTAAAGTTTTGACGAAGATTTGCATACCACCTCTTAATCTCAAAACCAAGTGAAGAGTGGATTCCTTTTGGATGTTGTAGTCAGCCAAGGTTCTTCCGTCCTCCAATTGCTTACCGGCAAAGATTAATCTTTGCTGGTCTGGTGGAATACCTTCCTTGTCTTGGATTTTAGACTTGACGTTGTCAATGGTGTCGGAAGATTCGACTTCCAAAGTGATGGTCTTACCAGTTAAAGTTTTGACGAAGATTTGCATACCACCTCTTAATCTCAAAACCAAGTGAAGAGTGGATTCCTTTTGGATGTTGTAGTCAGCCAAGGTTCTTCCGTCCTCCAATTGCTTACCGGCAAAGATTAATCTTTGCTGGTCTGGTGGAATACCTTCCTTGTCTTGGATTTTAGACTTGACGTTGTCAATGGTGTCGGAAGATTCGACTTCCAAAGTGATGGTCTTACCGGTTAAAGTTTTAACAAAGATTTGCATTGTAATGTATTGATGTATCAGATATAGTTGATAGCGAAATAATGTGTGTGGCGATTTCACCCCTTTTTATAGTTTTTGTGGAAATGAGGGTTTTTAATCGTCAGGTATTTTGAATTGCTTTTTCCTTCTGCCCCATTCTAGAAAGGGTACCAGGTGAGGCTCGCGCGGCGTGCGGCGACACATCGTGCCAGCGCTGGCACCAAGGCTAGTGCGAGGCTGGCGAGAAAAAGGATCTTAGCGACATTAATTGCGCGACATCTATGCTGCTGACACATTTGTTCAGCTAGGCGCAACTCTTGCAACCACAAAAATTGAATGGGTCTGGTGGTCGGCTCCTTGGTAGTGATATATAAAACGATCGGCATATAGTAGGTACATCGATGAGTGTCAAATCTATGGCCTCATTTTTAATGCTGTTAAGAAGAACAAGCCGTTTCTTTTTGTTACCGGAGGTGATCTCCGGGAGATTGATGCAAACCCGCTGTAAGTTGCTGGCGACGTTGAGTTCGCAAAAATAGGGGATTGGAAAAACCGGCATATAACGTGGCCGAGATATTGATCCCGAACGACCTCCGAGCTATTGTGGCCCTAACCGGTGGCCCCCGGTAGGCTTGCCGGTGGGACCAACCCAATTTCCGAGGGATAGATGAAACTTAACAGCTAGGCTCCTAGGGGAACTCTAACAACTTGAGCTCCTGGAAGTCCGCTATCTGACTCATACAATCACCTACCCTAACCCATCGCCCGCCAGAGACACCAATTCAGTCGCACCTCCTAAAACCCCCAATTCTATCCTGCTAATATTGTCGCACGCCGCTCCCGACGTTAACCCTCGAGTGACTCTAAAGCATAAGCGAGAAGTTACACAAAGAAAAATTTTTGTTCACAACTCTGTTAAGGAATTTGATCATAAGATATCAAAAAATTAAGAAGCTTTTAGTTTTTTCTATCTCCCCATTAAAACTTTTTCAGTTTTCACCTGAAACAACTTCCCCAACCAGGTTCGTGTTGTAAGGTGTAAGAAGCTGACCCCAAGCCAATTCCTTACCGGTTATCCCCATCAAATTTACTAGGAAATCAAATCCATCGGCTTCTGTCTTGTGATTGATATCAATACCCATCACATCACTTTTTTAAACCATCCAAGTGTAACATCCACAAAAGCCTTGCAATATGTATTAGTTACTACTTGTATTGCACGTATCTTCTTTTGTAAACTCCAAATACTCCGTTTACCAAACCTCCAGCAACCCATTGTCCTAGTTAACTTCAACAAATTATGAGTCAGTTCGACCAAACAGAACTAGCCGATAGCTCGTTCTCAGAAGCATCTCCCGACCGATTATCTTTCAAATCAGCCAAACTGTCGACAGCATCGTCTCTAATAGCCGACTACACGGGATCCCGTTCCAAGAAAGACAAGGTCAAACCATCTTTTAACTACGATTTAGACGTGTTTAAGTTGTGCCAGAAGTATCTTGACGAGAAGAACCATCATGGGTTAGCGTTAATCGCCCGACAACGAGGATTGCCACCGTTTTTGCGATTCAAAATATGGCCCGTGCTTCTCAAGTACCACCCGTACGTAGTAAAGCCGTCGATTCAGCCGGACAATGAAAAGAAAGACTCCCAGATCACCGAGGAAGAGCTCCGCCAGATGATTAAAAAAGACCTCAACAAGTACTTGATCCGGCTTCAATATTCCCGTGGTGGTAGCATCAACAACCAACCCAAAGTCGGCCCTGAAGGGGGCGACGGCGAAGAAACCGAGTCCGACGAGTCCCGAGTCGAGAAACAGATCTTCGAGACATTAGAGAACTCGGTGGTGAAGTTCTTCTTGAAGTGGGGGAAAATCCTCAAATACGATGGTGCTTTGACGTGGATAGCGTTGGGGTTGGCCGAATGGTTCCCTCCCATCGCCAAAACCCATTGGGTATTGGTGGGAAGAGACTTGTCGTCCACCAACAACAACTCGGTCAAAGACATGTTCACAGATTACTCGAACTATATGGAGAACATCCCTGAGTTGAAACTGTACCTTGACAAGTTGGTGGATGATGAGACCATTTCCACCATGTCGTTCCACGATGTCTACGAACGTCTTGTTCTTGTGCTCTTGCACTGTCCATCAAACAAGTTGCAGTCGCCCGGCCACCGATCCAAGTGGTCTTCCAACATGTTGAACAACGAGACCCTTTTGAACTTACCTGCCAACGGGTGTTCGATTGAAGAGCGAGTGACGTTTTTCATCTACATTTTCAAAAAGTTGTTGCCCGAATTGGCCCATTACTTCAGTGAAGAACAGATCTTGAACAAGTTCGGCTCTAATGACGACGAGTGGTTGATTTGGTGGTTGAAGTATTGTGGGTCCAAAGTATGGTCCCGTTTGGACAGAGGGAAGATCTGGGATCTTCTCCTTGGATTCAAGTTCAAGACCCCTGGCAAAGACTACAATGAACAGCTCCGATTGGATGCCAACTTACTTAGTAAGTTGGGAAACACCGACATTTTCTGGTCCCTAAGCTTGGATACTTTCAACTCCAATTCGTTCATTAATCTTGCCAACTTGAACGTCTCGCAAGAGATTTATGCCAACGAGGTGGAAATCCCTTTCCCCAAAGTCAATCCGCATGTTCAGTTGGTTTTTATCGCGGTGGCATTGTTGAAGTCCAAAGAAAACACTCTAATCGAGTTGGATCAACATGAGATCAGGCAGTACCTCTCTCGATTACCTACCAATTCCTACAACTTGACGAACAAGTATCATATTTTCAAACAGAAGTTCGATAAAATGAGGGAAGACGAAAGCAGCAAGCCATCGTCACGTTCGTCTCGGTCCTCCACCATCGACCTTACCCCCAGAGACCCATCTGGGTCATTACTGGTTTCTCCAGATCTTCACAATAATATGATCACAAACGACTCCCAGGAAAACCACTCGATTGACTTTATGGACAACATCATCAACGAGGCCGGCGAGCTCTGGCGAAAGTGGTTGTGGCTTGAAAACGAACAGTAGCATAGACTTTATGATATAGACCCAATTGACGTATATTTATTAGTTGCAAATCGCGATGAGATGAGAAAAATCAATTCTTCCACATGAGCGATAAAGAGTCCAAAGACGAAAAGAGACAGCGCAAGTTGGAGAAGAAGCAGAGAAAGGCGCAGGAGAAGGCCGACAGCACCACATCGGATCTCGAGGAGATTGAAATCGACTTGTCTGCCGATATACCCTTGAATAAAAAGCAGCAGAGATTGTTGAAGAAAGGAAAGTTGAACTTGGACAAAATCAGGAAAAAGCACCCAGCACCAAAGCCTGCTACCGATGAGGGTGCAGATGGTGAAGAAACACAATCCAAGCCCGAGCGATCCAAGTTCGGTGTTTGGATCGGGAACTTGTCGTTCGATACCACCAGAGAAGACATCTTGAGGTATATCAAAGCCAAAACCGACGTGGAAGAAGATGACATTGTACGGTTTAATTTGCCTAAAAAGCAGAATAAAATCAAAGGATTCTGCTATGCCGACTTCAAGACAGAAGACCAGATGAACCAGGTTATCAAGCTCAGTGAAACCAACTTGAACGGACGGAATCTCTTGATCAAAAATGCCCAGTCCTTTGAAGGAAGACCTGAAGCAGATAAATCTGATAACAAGCTCATCAGTGCCAGCAAAAACCCTCCTTCACGAATTCTCTTTGTGGGAAACTTGAGTTTTGACACCACCGAAGACTTGTTGGAAGAGCACTTCAGACACTGTGGAGAAATCATCAAGATCAGAATGGCTACTTTTGAGGATACGGGAAAGTGCAAAGGGTTTGCATTTGTGGATTTTAAAGATGAGGCTGGAGCCACCGCAGCCTTGACGTCGGCGTTGACCCGTAAACTCATAAATAGGCCCGTGAGGATGGAATATGGTGAAGATCGGTCCAAGAGAACACCTAAACGGTTTTTGGACTCAGAAAGATCTAATGCTCGTGAGCGCACTGCCGGAGAATCTAACGACCATCATGAACCTACTGGTGAAACAGCTAGTGAACCAGTGTATAGACCGCCAGTCAAAAGACCCAGAAGAGAATATGAAGACAAGTCAAGAGTCAAGTCTTCGGTGGCGTTGGCGAATGCACAAAGAGCTAGTGCTGCTATTGTGCCATCTTCTGGTAAGAAGATCACTTTCGATTAGAAACTTTAAAATGTAAATTCAAACTATGACAATAAACAACTAGTTTTGGATCCTGGCCTTGTGTTTCAAGAACTCTTCTTCAGAGATCTCAAAGTAGTCCGGATCGTTCTTGTGCTGGTCAAACTCAGAGTCGCTGACTTCTTCGTACTCGGAGTATGATTCATATTCGGAGTCGGTGGGGGCAGTCGAAGCTTTGGAGTAAGCTGGCTTTGGAGCCGCAACGGGGACCGCTTTGGCAGCGGGTTTTGGTGTAGACTTTGTTAAGGAGGAAGTGGGTTTTGCAACTGGCTTTTCCTTCGAGTCACTAAAGATCTTTTTCCAGCCCTTCTTAAGACTGTTAGATCTCTTTCCATTTTTTGCAGCCGCACCTGAAGCCACACCGGTGGCAGCAGCGGCTCCCACGGTGGCAGCAGCAGCCGCAGCAAGAGGTTTTTTCAGGCTCTTTTCCTCTTCCTTTTTAGAACTGGCTCCTTTCTCAGAGATATCTGGTAATTCACTGCTAGTTCCTAAAAAAGCCTTGGAAGACGATTGAAGTTTGATTTCATCCTTGGGGACCTTGTCAGGAACAGAGTCTTCCACGGAAGAAGAAGAAAACATTTTGGCCTTGGTAGATCTATACAACTCGGAGTCATCCAACTCGATTTGTTTGGTCAATCTGGCCACCTCCTGTTCTCTTTCTTCGATTAACCTTTGCACCTCCTCAACCTTACTGTCCTTGTTGACGGTATTGGCTAATCTCAACTTTTCTTCTCTCAACTCTCTGATCTTCTTCAAGTTTGTGACTTCCTCCAACAATCTCTGCTTCTGCAATTCTTCAAAAGCCAATCTTTCTTCAAAGAGTCTTATCTTCTCCTCGTGTTCTTCCTTCAACCGGGAGATTTCATCCAACTTTCCTTGGGCGATTTTCTCGGCTTCCAACCGTTCGGCTTCGCTTTGTTGCTGCTGCTTGAGCTTCAACTCTTCGATCTCCTTCTGTAAAATAAGAGCCTCTCTCTCTTCCTTTTCTTTTCTCCGTTGGAAAACACTTTCATAATACTGTTGTTCTTCCACCAACCGTTGCTTCTCAGCCTCTCTGGCCTTGATTCTTTGTTGACGTTGATACTCAGGTAAACTCTTGATTCTCTCTTCTTCCTCCTTTTCGGCCTGTTCTTGAGCGAGTCTTTCCTCTTCTTCCTTTTCTGCCTTTTCCTTCGCAGCCACCGCAAGAGCGGTGGCTTCGGCTTCAGCAGCAGCTTTTTCTTCAGCCTCTTTCTTCTCTAAAGCAGCCTTTTCTTCGGCTTCCTTCTTTTCTAAAGCTGCCTTCTCTTCGGCTTCCTTTCTTTCCTGTTCAGCCTTTTCTTGAGCTTCCCGTTCTTGTCTAGCAAGTTCATCCTGGACTCTCTTGGTCTCAGCTTCTTCTTGCAACCGCTGTCTTTCTAATTCTTGCTCGATTCTGGCGGTTTCCGCTGCTTCTTGTGCTTCGGCTCTCTTTCGCTCGTGCTCCAATGCCACAGCCTTGGCAGCAGCCAGTTTTTCTGCCTCCCAGTTGGAGAAAGCAGTTTTGGCCTCCGCCAACCGTGAGGTTCTGGATTCCTTCTCATTGCCCAAGAAGGTCAACTTGGCAGCGTATGCAGACAATACACCGGCCAAGGCACCCACCTCGGCTGTCAAAGCTGAGTGGCTGGTTTTCTTTGTGGACAAACCCTCTTTGGCCGATTGCAACTTGGTGGTTAATTCTTCCTTGGTGGCAACGTTCTTGGCGATTCCGTCGTTCTTGTCGCCCAAATCCACCTTCAAGTTCTCCAAAACCTTCAATTTTTCGGTCAACTGGTTGGTCAATTCGTCGATCCTGGAAGATAAGTCCGAGTTTGAGTTGTCCAACTCCGTCTTTTTTTCTTGCAAGGTCTCGATCTCCTGGGTGGTGGTTTCCTGGCCCTCCTTGGCAGCAGTGAGCTCCTGGTTTTTGGTCTCCTTCAACTCGTCGTGGTTCTTGATCAAGTTGTCCTTATCGACCTCGTGCTGCTCGACCGCATTCAACTCACGCGACTCAAAGTCCTTCTTGGCAGTTTCAATCTCTTCCAAGGTGGTGGCCTCGAAAGTCTCCGCCTGCTTGTCGTTTTGGGTCATTTTTTGGGTGATGTCGCCGAGTTTCTTGGTGATTTCACCGTCAAACTTGGCCTTCTTACTGGCGATTTTGGACAAGTGCTTGTTGAAGTCGTCCTTCAACTTGCGCTCGTGGCCCGCAACCTTTCCACTGATGACCTCCTGTCTCTTGATCTCATCTTCGTTTCGGGTCTTAGAAACCTCGTCGTTGATGCTGGTCAAAACGGGAGCCACCCGCAAAGCTGCGATTTCCAACAACTGTTTCTGGGTCATCTTAAGACCACTGCCCAAGTCGATGATCTTGTTGGGGTCATCAATACGCTTGGACACGGAGCCGATGGCGGCGGCGTTCAATTCCTGGTACCGGTTCAATAACTTGGGTTTGTCCTTCAATTTGTCCAAGATTTCCTGGTTGGGCAATTCTACGGGGGCGTACTTGGTTTGTGGTTGGACGACGAGTTCGATGGGGGCGGAGGTGAGTTCGGCCGCTTTGGTTTCGGTTTCGGCAGTGGCTTCGACTTCTTCAGTTGGGGCTGGTTTGGCGACGTCTTCAGTTGTTTCAGTTGTTTGGGTGGCTTCAGTGGCTTCAGTTGCTTCGACTTCTTCGACTTCTTCAGGTTCTTCAGCTTCTTCAGCTTCTTCAGCTTCTTCAGCTTCTTCCGTTTCTTCAGCTCCTTCAGCTTCTTCCGTTTCTTCAGCTCCTTCAGCTTCTTCTTCAACCTTTTCTTCCTGTTCAACCTCCTTCTTCTCTTCCTTCTTCGCCGCCTCCTTTGCCGCCTTCTCCTTCTTCGCCTGCGCCTCCAACGTTGGATGCGTGGTGAACTTCTTCGGAACCTGTACTCCCTTAATGGTGTTGTTGTAGGCAAACTCCTTTCTCAAGTTCCTACTTCTGCCTTCTCTAAAAGGAGAAACCCACTTGTCGGCCGAGGCCAATTGCTTCAACTTAGAGCCTGCTTGGCTCTTGGACGTGGTCGACGATGTCACTGACACGTTATCACTTTCAACTACCTCAGACATGTTGGTTTTGTTGAAACTAATGAGCGCTAATGAAATTTCATGATAAAGGGGTGAGCAAGGAAGTGCTTGGGTGTGTGCAGGACGAACCATTCCACCGCGCAGCCAGCACCGTTGCACGAGACACATAGCGCGCTGCCACCGCTGCTCCCACCACCGTAGTATTCCTCCCGCCTCCCGCGCACCGTGCACCGCGCACCGCGCACCATCCCAACCGTCTCCACCATCCTCAAGATCATTTGCGGAGGGTGAGAATTTTTCCCTACTCACCAAGGGATCTAACCCATAGTTTCACCACACCCACCATTCCACCCCCATTGTCCCCCGTATCCTCGACGTGCAGCCTGCCACCCCCTTGAACCTTCCAGCTGCACCTTCCACCTTGCGTCCCCCCGTCTCCCCTGCTGTTTTGTGTTGTCATCTGTGCCGCAAATGACTACGGTCCTACCGATATCCAGTTCGTGTCATACACTCCAGTTGCCCCCCATGGAGGGCGATGACCGCCTTAACTTGAACGTACGAACCGGATCGGCATCCACTCTCTACAACTCGCTTGTGTTTACGTTTGGTGGCCTCACAATTGGCTTGGACATCCCGTCGCTCTCAGTGCCCGAGATCCTCACCATTTTCAATGCCAGGCTCATTAACCAGAAACTGAAGAACTTGCTCAAATACATATCGGGCGAGCTCTTCTACCTCAGCTTGATCGACAGGTGCTGGTCGCGTGTCGTGCTTGCTGACGGTTGTCCTCGGCCCAACCCCCGGCTTTTCCACGAGATCTTGGCCTATAACAACCATCTCTACTTATTTGGTGGGTTGGTCATCAACCCCAAGTATAATCTCCAGGAATCGGCCCAGGTGGACTCCATCCCCCACGACCTCTTGGTTCCTAGTAACGACTTGTGGGAATTCAACTTGGAACTAAATACCTGGAAGTTACTCTATTCTCCAGAAACTTGCAACCACCCATTCGTGCCAACTCCCCGGTTCTGCCACAAAATGACCACCTTGACGTCGCTATCGTTCATGGGTAAGCCCGACCACTTTGGGGTTTTCATTGCTGGTGGTAAAGATATCAACTCCAACTTGTTGTACGATAACGTTGTGTTTGACCTCGTTGATGGCAAGTTTTTCGATCACGAGATTGAGTTGCATTTCTCCAATACCCACGGGGACTTCTCGGGAGTTCGAGAGTCGGGAGCTTTGAACGTTGACTACTACAATTCGATCATCGTCAACATCAACAATCAGTTTAATCACTATTATAATGAAAACGCAGACCATCTTCATCCCCCCAAAAAGTCCAATCCTAGTGATACCAACAGCCACCACGACAACCCCGATGAGGGAGAACTCAAAGACAAGCCCACTACGATATCCGAATTGCGCAAAAAGTCCGGAGAATCAATCGTGGTATACTCTCCTGTTAACGATTCCACAAAACTGAAAAACCCGTTGCTATCATTTAAAGTAGGAAAGACTATCAAAGACGGTAAGGTATTGCCTGTGCACAGAAAGGTTCAGCAGCAAGAAGAACCGTCCACAAAAGTTGTGCCCCATAATCTTCGGTATCCTACTGGGGGTCTTTTTGGTCAGAACCTCATCATTACCGGATTTCTTCCCAATGACTATGACATCTCGATCTTTATTTTCAACAAACCAACCGGAAAATGGTCCAGGTTGAATATTTTTTGTAATCACGACTATGGATCGCATAGATTCTGGGGTGGTTATGCCTGGCAAAGTCATCATAAGGTGGTATTGATTGGAAACTATGTCACTTCAAGGACTACTTCTTCCGTCAGATACTTCAGTTGTATGATCACTGTTAGCTTACCTATCACCAATATCTTGGCCAGTTCTGAGTTGGCTGGTGGGGGTCACTATCATGATGCTCAGGGTAACAGAGTATTCTTTGATGACATCAACAAATCTACAACCGATGACACTGACTCCAGTAACAATCCCTCATCCTCAGATACAGAAAATGAGAGAGATGAGGGTAGAGACAGTTTGTTGAAGTCTATTGACAGGCCTTTAACCCCACCAACTGACTCCAGAAGACCCTCGTATGCCTCAAGAGGCTCTAGAGGCTCTGTTTCAACCACTAAATCTCCAAGAGCCATTAGTTTTAGTGAATATGTTCACTATGCGGCGCCAACTACAAACTTTACCACTATTAGGTCGGTATTTCCTCCTGCTGCCATCACTTTGGGCAGAAACTTCTTGGATAGGTATGGGGACTTGGTGGCCGACTTTGAGTTGATCTCTGTTAGCGGAGACAGGATTCCAGTTTCGTTGATGGTTTTGATCCAAAGATGGGGTAACTACTTCATCGACTTGTTGGCTAAAGGGTACGTCTCAGCTGTAGAAAAATTTGACCAGAGCCAGAAATTGACTTCTGTGGACCTGAGGTTATTGACTAAAGGAAGCTCAGGTGTGGGTAACAGTCTCAAATCTGATCCGGGTTTTAAGTCTTCCTTTGTTTCCAACGCCTCATCTTTTTCATCCGAAAATAACCATTCCATAGCCAGCACCCCTTTATTATCCCAATCCAACTTGACCGCCGCATACAATGATTCAGAAGATCCCAAATCCGAAAAATACCATTTGTCGATGCCATTAAATCTGAAGAAATCACAAAAAGATGCTCCTCTCTTCAGATTACCGTTTCAAGATTCGGCTTCAACGTCGTCTTTGGACAGATCTTCCGAACAATCATTAAGATTGCCTCAAGAGAAAATCATTGATCCATTGATCCTGCCTCCTGGCTCTACACCAATGCAAACAGGTGCTTCGGGTGGTAATCGCAAGGATTCGGTGAGCTCTTTCTCAAGTGGAGGCTCATTGATGAATTCGCATTTGCAGGATATTCCTCCTCAGTTGCCTTTACCAACAGAACCAATTCCATCCGTACCCTCAAATCCTTCTTCATTCAAAAGCTCCTCTAGAAAGAATTCGACGGATTTGGCATCTCCCAGAGGTTCATTGATTCACACCTTAACAGCTTTAAGAAGTATTCCCATCTCCAAGTCTCCAAGAGGATCACCTTTTAATTCTCCTAGAGCCTCTGTTTCTCAGCAGGGACATGGAAATTTTGTTGGAATGGGGATTATTGATGCTGACTTGAACAGTTCTCCTATCCCAGGCTTAAAGCTTACTACAATGTCTGCCAGTGCAAGTGGTAGTTCTCGCAGCAGTGGTTCTCCTACTCCTGATGAACCTAAAAGCAGACAGTTACCTGGAACTGAAACCGTCTCTAGTGAAGGAGATGCTGACACAAGTAACAAAAGGAAACTGAATTGTACGGATGATAATAGTGTGGACCCATCACTCAATGAACAGAATGATAATGATAAGGGCTTTGATCCATTTGATAATGTATTATTGAACTTTGAAAATTTGGAAAATGGGACCTTCCAAATGGAGAGTTCTTTGATTCCAAGGAAATTGTATATCCCTTTTGCCACTGCTTCAGTAAAAGCCTTCTGTGAATATTTATACACTGGACAAATTGGAAACAAATGGCTTTTGACCCCCACGACGTTGGACAACTTGGCCTTGACCAAGCACTATAAAGTTAATTTGTTGTATGATTTGATCTGTGAGGTGTTGTACGGTATAATTGGAAGAAGAGAGAGTTGGATTGTGAAGCAATCCAGAAGTTTGAAGGAGAAATACTTCAAGTTGCTCCAAGAAACTGGAACTTCGCATGACCCAGACTTTGAATTTCCTCTCGATGAATATGAAGGGTTCATGGATACTGTTGATGATGGATACTTGGATATGGTGTTGTTGAAGAAAACATTGAAGATCCACTCGACAAGTATTTATTCAAAGAGAGATCTGACGTCCAGAAAGTCTTCTAAATCTTCCAGAAGATCATCCAAGCTCTCATCTACATTTGACTTCAACGAAGTGAATGACAAAGAAATGGAAGCAGAGCCAGACACAGCTCCTTACCCTGAGCAAGAAGGAGTAGAAGCTAAAGACAAGGAGAAAGAAACAGATTCCTCAGTGGATTTGAGCTCAACCAGTGATGCTAGCGACACCGACTTTGGTACCGGGTTCTTGGACATCCAGCACGATCTTCCCAACATCGGACCCAGATCAAAATCTGTGTTTGACCGTGGAGATATCGATACCAAGAAGAAGCCGGAAACTGCAACTACAAAAGAGGTAGAAATTGACGAACAGATGCAGAAAGAAATTGATTTGACTTTAACTCTCGAACAACTAGTGTCCCCAGTATCACCAGTTCCAAGCCCCTACATTATTGACTTGATTTTTGAAACGGTAACGTTTGTAGCCGATTTGAAGTTGATGCTTAGAGTCAATAACGTTAAACAAATGGGGAAATTGTTGACCACATTTGAAAAGGATGTGGAAGAACAAATGGCTCGGATCCAAGACCGATACGAGGAAAGACAAGAGGCGTTCAGAACCAGAGATCGCCGTAGTGGATCAGTTGCCATGATCCAACGCCTTCCTCTTCCCAGAACAAGCAGCTATGACAGTGAACAAGTGAGATTGCATCCAGTGGGATCTGCTTCTTCGTTGAACACCATGGGCAGCAGAGCCACCAGCGTGAGCTTGAGCCGAGTTCCTACCGTCAACGACAACGAATCGGCAATAGCCTCGGGGCCCGTCAGTGAGGGCGGCGGTGGTAGTGGCCTCACATCGGGACTTCACACACCCACCGGTTCGACATCCAATCTTGCTTCGTTGCCACTTGAAAGAGCCCGTACCAGCACCAGTCTTCGACCCGGAGCCTTTGGTGGGCTAACACCATTTAAGCCCATCAAAACGGATCCTAAGTTGAACCGAGCCGAAACCAACCGACAGCTTGACAAGCGGATCACCAAGTTGATCAAAAAAGATGAGAAGTTGAAACATCGGGCAGAGAAAGAAGAGAAGACCAGACATTCTCAGATGTTGAGGGCCGAAAAGAAGGCTGATAAAGACACCGATCGGCGGAAAACTGTCTCGAGAGCTCCGTCCAAAACGTTCGATGAAGGCGTTAGTGATTTCGATTCTGCCAGCGTAGTGTCTTCGTCGTCGAAGAAGCATCGCCATGGAATCTTGCACCATCTCGGAGATCGCATCAAATCTCGCACCAACGAAGAGTCTGCCGAATTCAAACGAGTTGTCAGTTCAGATGTCAACAGCATCCATAGTGTGGGCTCTGACAAGAAGAAGCATTCACTCTTTGGCCTTAAAAAGTAGTTAATGATAACGAAGTCAGTACCTTTTCTCTTGTGTATGGGTCTCGCGCGCAAATACTCGCTTTGCGAAGTGCCAAGCGCACTCACCAAACTTCCTTCAAAATGACCTTCAGTGGACCTCAGCCCTCCGAAATCGATCAGGACCTTGTAGCCCATGCTTACGCCAACCTCAACAACCTCCCCAAAGGCCGTGAGTACGAAAAAATGATTCTGTCTGTTCCTTATAACTGCTGGGATCCCAAATTACATATGGCCCGTCACTTGAGCCATGAAATGGCATTGGACTATGGTAACATCCGCATGAAAGATCACGACTTCGACATCTCCAAGCACGCTGCCGCCCGCTTGGCGTACCTCAAGAAAATTTTCGGCAAGATCGAAGACGATATGTTCATTGAACCTCCATTCTACGTGGATTATGGGTGCAATGTGACCATTGGCAAGAGCTTTTATGGGAATTTTAACCTCACGTTTTTGGACTGCACGTTGATCACCATCGGTGACAACGTGATGGTGGGCCCCAATGTATGCTTTACTACTGCCACCCACCCCACCGACCCCCACCAGAGATTGGCTGGAGTCGAGTATGCCAAGCCCATCACCGTGGGGAACAATGTGTGGTTTGGTGCCAACATCGTGGTGTTACCGGGCGTGACGATTGGTGACGGGGCGGTGATCGCTGCTGGATGTGTGGTGAATCGCGATGTGCCTGCCAACACGGTGGTAGCCGGTGTGCCTGGGAAAGTCATCAAAGTGATGGCACTGGACGATGCTCGTGAAGCGGCAATTCGGGACTCCAGCCACGGAAGGCTCTCGTAAGCAACGGGGGATTCTTGGGTATATCCACGACCTATATATTTGTAGTAATACAAAGTTCCAACCCTGTGCTTACTACTTGCCCGATAGTTGACTAATCATGTGGGGAAGCCTGCAAAAAAATAGATCTAACCTGCGTTTGACCCCAGTGTAACCCGCACTTTTGCACGCTTATAAATATTCCCAGCCGCGCACCCCGGCTACTCGGATAACTCCCATTTCAAACACATATTTGCAGCCAATATGCTGCAGAGCTTACAAACGCAGTAAGTTGATATGGCTATAAAACACGTAGATTATCCCCTTCAATTCTAATTCATTCCCAACAACAATTATAACATCTATCACAATGTCTTCTCAAACTACTTACTTCATCACCGGTACCAACAGAGGTATCGGTTTAGCCTATGTCGAACACTTGACTTCCGACAAATCCAACTTGGTTATTGCAACCGTTAGAAGTGAAAAGGCTGCTGGTCCTTTGACCGCCCTTAACAGGGACAACTTGAAGATCATCTACCTCGACATGGCTGACTCTTCCGCTAAGTTTGAGGCTGCTTTCAAACAACTTGAACATTTGGCTCCAAACGGTATTGATGTGTTTATCCAAAACGCTGGGATTTCCGGTCCCAAATTCTTAGTTCCAGCTGAACAATATAATGCTGAATCTTACGCTGAAGTCCTCACTATCAATGTGGGAGGTTCTGCAAAGGCTTATAATGCTTTGTATCCTTACCTTTTCAAGGGTACCGGTACCAAGAAAATCGTGTTCCTTTCCACCATTGCAGCCCAAATCGGTTTTCCTGCTGGGGGGAATGCTTATAGTGCCTCCAAGGCTGCTGTTAACCATTTGGCGGTCCAGATTGCTAAACAAAATGCTGGGGCTGAAAATGAATTAGTCAGGAACTCAGCAACGGTGATGTTGCACCCAGGGTTGGTTGAAACTGATATGGCAGAGGAGCCAAAGGCTGTTTGGGGTTCTGCTGGCTTTATTTCTCCCTCAGAATCGGTTGAGAAATCATTGAAGGTTGTGGCTGGTCTTACTGCTGCTGATACGGGAAAGTTTCTTTCCTATGAAGGTGATGAATTACCTTTCGTTGTTTAGAAATATATGTTTGCTTTGTCATTTGCACGCTTCGAATTATCTGTAAATTTCAAGAGTTGGTTGATGAAATGGACCTCGATTGAGAGTCCTTCTACTTTTCGTGAAATTCACATTTTTAAATAAATAGAACAGATTGCAGACTTTTATAAAAGCAATCTCCCGGTCTACGTACATGCCTCACTCTTCACACTTTCTACTCTCCCTGCCCAACAGAGCTTTCCCATTTCTGGAATTTCCCCGGTTTGTTAACCACCTTTTCTACTTATCTAAACCAGTTCGCGACAAATAAACATTTTGAACTTCAAATGTCTGGCTCCTGGAACCAACCAAGTTACTCGGAAAACGATATCGACGACTTCATCATCCCCGATGAAGAAGTTCCTGTCACAAGTAAACCACAAGCATCCCCCAAATCAACTCCCCAGGCGACTGCGTCTGGACCCTCCCAAAATGCATCCGATACAATGTTCTCGTCAATTCCTTGGAATATGAAGGTAGATTTGTCTTCTACTTTCACTCCATTCACCACCTCCAATGCATTCAACAACACTGTCAGAGAGCACCAATATACCGGAGGTGACACACTCGATGAGCCGGTCTTGACGACATTATCCAGAGATTTGTTGAAGATTTGGAAGCGGTTGACTATTGTGATCTGGCCAATTCAATTAGCCAAGTTGGCGAAGAGACAACAAAGTAAACTCGTGGATTTTGCTCAGAGGAATGGTGTCAACATCCCGGAGCTGATCATCAGAGAAAGACGGATTTCTGTTGGTAACGAAGAAGACTTGGAGAATATCAACACCTTTGAAAATATAGAATTAAACAACTTGGACTGGGATCTCTGGGGCCCCTTGATCTTTTCGTTAGTCTATTCGGTGGTGTTGGGAATGTCCAGCAGCACCAAGCAAACAAACTCGGTGTTTTCGGGGTCGTTCAGCTTCATGTGGATCTTCTATGTGATAATAGGTTTAAATATTCAATTACTTGGAGGGAACATCTCGTTTATGTCTGCCATAAGTGCTGTGGGATATTCCATGTTCCCCATCACCATTGGTGAAGTGTTGTGCTCTCTATTAATCTCCTGGAAACTTGTGAGATTGGCATTGATGCTTGTATTATGTTGTTGGAGTATTTACTCTGGAGTGTTGAGTTTGAAATGCTCGGGGGTTTTACCCGGCCGAGTGTTACTTGCGGTATACCCAGTAGCATTGATGTATGCGGTGTTAAGCTGGTTGACGGTAATAACATGAACAAACTTTTGTATATATTTATTAAATTTGCAAATACAATTCCATGGGGTATTACGATTATCTATAAAACAATGTGCAGAATTAATGACATGAGAAGAGTGAGTCCAGAGTAGGCCACAACAGCCCCGCTGTTATGAGATTCATTATCATCATCAGTCGATGATGTGGAGTTGTTAGAATGTGAATGTGAGGATATGGATGAGGATGAGGTGGAGACGATGCTCGATCCAGATCTAGTGCTGGTGGAGCTCACCGACGAGTTCGTAATAGCACCCGTGTATACAGCCGATGTGCCGGCGGAATTGCTCTGCTGCAATGAATAGCTGGTGATTCTAGCATCCCCAAAGCCGATTCGGTTGGCATCCAAGTCAAACACCGTGTAGAACTTCGACAAGAAAGCGGCTCCAAACACCCAGTGCTGGGAATTCAATCCCTGAATCATCGACGCACAGTTTCCGGTCAATCCCTGGGTGGTGTACTGCTCACCTTTGAAGTCACTGACGCTGATTTCAAAGTCGTGGTCGTTGATGGTGAAGGTGAACTTCTGATCTTCAGCATCGCAAGGAAAAGCATAATTACCATTGTTATCGGTGACTAAGTCGCTTCCAAACAACTTCTCATGGAGAGTATTGGCATCCGTCAACGGCAACACAAATCCAGTGGTCCCAGTATCGATGATGGTTTTACGTGAAGAGTCAGACGAATTCAATGCTTTAACAACTGTACCGTTGTCGACCTGGATGTTTTTCAAGTCGATCAACCAATAGTCGTTGTCGTTCTCAACGATGGGGGTGAAGGAGATGTTGGAGCCGGACTCGATGAAGTTGGACTGGTCATCGATGGCCTTGGATCCAAACACAATCAACCCTCCATAGTTGGATGGTAACGACAACACATTACCGTCGTCATCGGTGTACTCAACCGTCTGGTTCGACGACACCAATGACAAGCCAAACATTTGCAGGTCGATTAACTGACCCTGGTTCAATTGGTAAATCAAGTTTTTGTCGTCGCCTTTGGCGGTGGACGAGGGAATCCCCAAAATACCACTGACGTTAAACCCGTCAAACAAATCAGGGACGGTGCTGGCAATACCGAACGTAAAGTTGGAGAGTTCGAAGTTGCTGAATACCAATTTGATGTCGTTATCCTTCCCATTGATCAAGTCTCCCGAGACGCTTTGTCCGCTGTACGTCAACAGAAAATCGGAAAGAATGTGCAAATTTTGGCTAAAGTCATCAAACTTGTTCACCGTCTGCTGCGTGCATGCATCCGACGTGCACGATTCGTTATACACCCAGGACACAGAGCTGCCGGTGTCCAACAATAATTGGAATGTCTCATTATAATTCGTGTTGTTGTCGATCACCTGACTCGTCAAATAGTAGATGGATTTGGTGGTATCGGAAAAAACCATCTGGACGTCGGCGTTTAAGGCGATCGTGGGTGCCGAGCTTGGCAAGGAGCTGGTGGTAACGACGGTAGCGGTGGCAGACCCCACGACGCTGAGTTCGTTTTCGGTATCGTCGGCTTTTTTATAGGAAACAGCGTTGGAGTTGGCCGAAACCACACGTTGTTTGGATGATGAAACCTTCAAGTCGCTGACCCGAAAGTCCTTGACGGGGTGGAGCCCCAAAGCATAGGACGCCAAGTAGCACAAGAAGAATGCTGTTTTCATCTGGCTAGTAAAAGCAGAAGGAAGGAAAAATGCAAAATGACAGCGGGAAAATCCCTTGTTTTTTTGGTGATGCTAGTAGCTATGGCAGCAGACGTTTGGAAACACGGGCCAGGCACTAGAATGGACTATGTATTAATGCAATGTATCCAAAAAGACAGAAAGAGTCGAGGTTGTAATTTCTCGAGTATTTTTTTTCACTAAGTTTCAAAACAGCTAGAGACGTGTAATGGCCCACTAAATCAACCACTAACAGTTTATAAAAACACCCACAAAATGCTAAATGTTTCAACCACAGAAACAATATATATAACACAACGTGATAACTCCACCAGGGTTATATGTATTATTCCTTGCTTGAGACGATGCTGTGCCTACTATTTGCGAGGATGATTTACTCAATATAGTTAAATTTTAAACACGGTGTAACTACGTCCCCGGCGGCTTTTTTGTTATGAGGTGTGGAGCCCAGCACTCGTTTAGCCCACCTTTGTGGTGGTGGGGACGGGCATAGATACGCGGGACAGAGGCCAATGCATGCATGGGTGTATAGAGTCGTGTTTGTTATCTGGAGCTATTTGTATTTTGAGGCCATGCACTTTGTGCATTCCAGTTGCAGCAATAGGCTTTCCCGTTCCACGAAGATCAGCCCTATTTAGCAACAAAGAAGCCCATCAGTTTAGTGCACCTCGACGCAACAAGGGGAGACGGGCTGCAGGTGTGTGCAGGACACCCGCCCTCGTGTGTTTGTTGGTTCGGCTGACGAGGCAGACGTGTTTTCGTGTAGTAGAGTGTGGCAAGCCGGTGCAGCCGCCGTGTTTCGCGAGCCGGGTGTTTGGATTGTCTGATGGGACGCCAATGTGTGTTTGTTTTGGTAAATTTTGAACCACGAAGCATCTTGATTTAAGCTTTCGGGCTTCCGAGATGGGCGGGTGCTCGCCCAATGCGGTAAGATTTGGGGTCTGGGTTGCTAAGAATAGGTGATTTTATTTTGGGGCATTCGGAATGTTATGATACGAAGATGGTGTGAAAGAACCGGAGTAGATTTGGAGATTTGTGTGTGAAACTTTGCAATTTTGTGGTTGGAACCGTGTAAATGAGAATTTTGTTATGGGAACTTTGCTAATGGGAATCTGTCGTGGGGGACTTTGTTAATGGAACAATTTTTTTGTCGTTGACGACACTGCCTTCTCTGTACCTTGTACTGCCTATGCTAGTGATACTCAGACATTTTTAACCGTGATGATCGAGAACACACGTCAAGAAGGATCATATACCCCACTAAGGAACAACCTTTTTCCACAATTGCGCACAATTGCGTTCATTGACAGCAACTAACAAAATTTCCATGAACTCTTCAGTTCGTAAACAACTAACCTTCATGATCGACTCAAATGGTATCCATTAGAATCTTCAGTTGAAGGATTACCGAAAGTAATCAGGTCACGTGACAAAAAGCCAAGGCCTCAAGGCAATTGTGCGGTTTTCGTTCTGAAATTTTGCTGGTGGCACACTCGCAACTGGGCCGGGTTAACCCGACCGGGTTCGAGTCCACAGCGTGACATTTTTAATGATGAACAATACGGATGTGAACAATCTCTGAGTAAAATCAAACGATTTTGCGTGGATTAAAAAACCTGCCTTCCTACTGATATGAAAATGTTACTGTTGATTATATCTAGATTCTTCATTGTACCCTATGGGTTCTTCGTCTGTTTTTGACGTCTTTTCTTTCTTTCAAGCTTGGCTATCTTCATTAAATCATCTTCGCTAGGTTCGTAAATGTGCCAGATAGTATAATGAGGAAGACCTCCAACCCGGAAACCCATTTTCTTGGACATCTTCCCAAACGCTTCTGTTTCAGCGTGGTTCAAGAATGTGAAGGCTGGGAAGTGAACTCCTTGTCGGAATAACTTGGCTTTGGCAAGAATAGACACTCCTCCAACCCCATCCAAATCGACGGCTTCATTGGGGTCACCGTTCCGATCACGAATATACGCCAAATGAACTCTCCACGTAGGGTACTCGGCATACCCTTCCACTATCACATCATCTTCGTCTAACTTGGATGCCAATTCCAATGCTGGGTCCGATTCAATCCATGAGTTCAAGTCATATGGCTGTTCAAATGGGGGCTCATCCACCAAAAACGATGGTAATGGCCTCCACACATTGGGCACCATTACATCATAGTCGTGTTTCATCAAGTCTTGGATCACAGACCCTGGACACGTTTCAATATCCACATCTCTCCAGTAAACCCACGAATGGTAGGGCTTGAGAGCGTTGGTGGTCAACCAATTTCGGGCTCTTCCCATCAATTTTCTTCTGATCCCCTGCACTTTGACAGCATGTCTATCACTGAACCCCTGGCCAATAGCTTGACCGAAATCCTTTCGGTAGATGGTGATGGATCTAAATGGCTTCAGATAATCTTTGTGATAGTATCTAGGGTTATACGATTTCCGCACATTGTTCATATAATCTTGGTCCATGTACAACTGGTACAAGTCGGACGAGCCCCGACGGTACTTGGCCTTGATAGCCTCTTCCCTTTGCAACTTGTCCACCAACGTTCCGTTCTGTAGAGCCACACTGTATTCAAATGTCTTTTCCAAAGTGGTGTCACCCTCTGAACAGTCCGACACCAAAAACGCTATATCTATCAACGAGTGATCATACGTCAAGTTCATGATGTTGTGGAAGGCCATGGACAAGACGTGCTCGGCGTTTCGAAGCGGCATCAAGAAAAGCACCACATCCTGATTTTTCATACCTTGGGCCGATCCAGTAAACAGGTTCAAATCGTAATATTCAAAGTCGGGGCCCGCTGACCTCTCAGCCACACCATCCTTTGTGACCTCGTAGACCTTCTCGTCGCTGGTCTCCTCGTACGAGACCTCGAGATTATTGTCGATTATTTGAGTATCAATCTCCTGTGCTTGAAGCTCAGGTATCACCTTGGAACCATTGCCAACGAGTAAGAAGAGCACCACGAGCGCAGTGATGCCCACCAACAATCGCTTTGTGGTGATAATTAACACGTTCTTTTTCGGGCTGAACCGGTGGTGCACCGGGAGCTCAGAATTAAATTGCTGACCCATATTGATGTTGTTCTTGCCAGGTTTGTTTGCGAAAACTTCATTGATTCGCACCTCACAGACGTGCCGCAAAAATATGGCGTCCACCAAACAACTGGTGTATTTATGCTAAATAATTAAACACTACGAGTTTACCACTTCTTGCAAGCCGTATACATCTGGCTGGAACCAATGTTGACGTAAAACCTGCCAGCATGTACGCGCCAACAGGGACGCAACTCCCGTGTCACGTGACACTCCTTCGATATACACCTTCAACTTGGGCTCAGTGCCAGAGCCTCGACAGGTGAACCGTACGGTGCTACCCAGGTCACTTGTACTAGATAAAATGGCAGTTATCATCTGGGAAGTCGGGTCGTGGGGAAGAATCGATTTGTGGTCATTGGTGCTCGATTCGTATCCAAGTGTTAAATCTCTCCAGTAGGTGACCACAAAAGGCCCAATGGTCAGGGGTGAATCTCCGGGGTAGGAGGCTCTAATGGCTGTAAAAATCTGGTCGGTCTTTTCCAACCTGTCAAGTTTATAGTACCCGTTACACTCTTTGGAATAGCCGTACTTGGCATAACCCAGGTTTAACTTGTCAAATGGAGTCTGTTGGTGGGACGCAAACCACTGGTTATACATTTGCAACCATACCACCGCAGCCGAAATCCCGTCCTTGTCGTTAACCACGTCAAACATGAATCCTATAGCTTCTTCGTATCCAAACGGAACATGGTAGCCTTTTGATTTCAAATCAATGGCCTTATTTCCAATCCACTTGAATCCAGTCAAGGTATCCTGGAAGTTAAAGCCCTCAATTACAGACATTGATGCAAATATTTGCGAAGACACGGTTGAGTTCACGAGATATGTGTGTTTCAAGGTGTTCTTGGGAGTGTTCTCAATGACATATTGACCAAAGAGAAACCCTATTTCGTTCCCGGTGAGCTGCTTCCAGCAATCATCAGTCTTCACCGCTACCGAAAACCTATCGGCATCGGGGTCGTTGGCCACCACAAGCAGTATGCCCTTTTCGTCGGCGGTTTTTATGGCCATGTCCAAAGCTCCTTTTTCTTCAGGATTGGGGAATTTCACACTCCAGAATGTCGGGTCGGGATCCTTTTGGGCACTGACCACCGTCACTTTGACGTTATTAAAAAGTTGCAAAACTTTATCGAATATCTCGTATCCCACCCCATGCATTGGTGTATAGACAAACTCAAAGTCAAGGTCTTTAAACACCAACAACTTCTCTGCAACCGCCTCGATGTACGCCTTGGTGGTGGCCTCCTTTACAGACTTCATCAAGTCCAGGCCCGCCAAGTTTCCTACCACGTCCCACGCCTCATCGCTCCATGGCTGCAAGTTTTGTTCGATAGACTGAGCAATACCGTGATCAATAGGCGGAATGATCTGACACCCATTCCCATAGTATACCTTATATCCATTATCGTTGGCGGGGTTGTGGGAGGCCGTCACCATGACCCCAGCCGAAGCTTTGTAGTGATCTATAGCAAATGGCACCAAGGGCGTATGAACATACAGCCTATCACCACTCAATTCCCCCTGGAATTGAGTGGGCGATAAAGCGAGTGATTCCTCTGACAAGCAGGTCGTCGAGCCCAAGTAGTATACGGTGAATCCCTTCAAAATAGCCACACTGGCGGTCAACTCGGCGTATCTCTGGGAGTTAAACCGGTGATCATAGCCAATAACGATAGAATCCCCGCCATTTTTGGTCAAGTAGGCAATTAACCCTTGTGCTGCCTGAAGAACTGTCACGTCGTTCATATGGGAGAAACCTGCTTCCATTGAAGATCTTAATCCGGCTGTTCCAAAAGCTATCCGTTTGAAGAGCTTCTTGTGCAAAGTCTCATAATCTCCTGATTTTTGTAGCTCAAGGATTTCATTTCTGGTTTTGGGGTTGATATCAAATTCTAGCCACTGCTGTACAAGTTTATCGACGGTTTGTTTATCAGAAGCGTCCATGATCACAGGGTTTAAGTTTTGAATAGAAGAAACCTAGAGTATTCAGTTTTCGCACCTCACTCCGCAAAATCAAACTGGGTCTATTTGGAGTGCGGCGTAGACTAACAAGGACAAACAGGATATCGTAGACACAACTCAATGCAGCGATAGCGTTTCCAGTTACTACAGAGCCGAAGGACTGAAGACGATATTTATTGTCAATAAAGGGTATACAAATACAAGAAACGGAAATTAGGTCAAAATCCACATAAACATGCAAATCAACACCAAAGTTAAGGTGTTGGAGGTCTGAGACCCTTCACCCTTATAAAGCGAGGACACAATTGAGGTGGCACCAGTTGTTCCGGAACCAGTACCAGTACCAGTACCAATACCGCTTACACTGGTAGCGTTGATATCTGAGAAGTCGGTGATGGTTGACACCACAGGTGTTTTGGCTGCTTCGGCGGCATAAGTAGATGTCAAAACTTCTACAAGCTCTTGGGAGACAGGAATAGCACTTATCAAAGTTTTCTCATCACTGTTACTTGGTTTGTAAACCACCACAGTTTCTTCGCCATTTGAGCAACTCGTGGTGGTTGTAGAGGTAATAGTGGAAGTCCAGAAAACAGTGATTGTGCTGCAAGATGTTTTAGTAGTACCTCCACTGGAAGTGCTAGATGAAGCAGTAATGGTATCAGGGGTATATTCCGTATCTGTTACGACAGCAGGAGTCGCAGATGAAGTACTTTCTCCTGTAACTCTACCAGAGACCTTAGTGGAGATTCTACTGGAAGAATCTGTAATGACGGAAGTTGAATCCGATAAATCTGAAGCTGTTGCTGAGCTGATGTCTAAGGAATCTGTAGCTACTGAAGGCCCAGAGACTTGACTGGTTTCCGAAGAGGAACCAGAAAATTGAGTAGCCGAATCTAACAGTTCAGTAGCAGAAGTGGACGTCCCAGAAGAAAGTGACAGTTCGGATGTAAACGATGAATTGTCAATACTGGAAGAAGCTGTGTTAGAAGTCTGACTACTGAAGGATGAGACTTTTGAGCTTGTGGATTCTGAGCTCCTGGTGGATTCCAAACTGGTGGAATTAGAAGACTCAGAGGAGGCTGAAGATTTGGAGGATTCAGATGAACTTGATGTTTCAGAGCTGCTCGAAGCTTCAGACGAACTTGATGCTTCTGAATTGCTTGATGCTTCAGAGCTACTTAAAGCTTCAGATGAACTCGAAGCCTCAGACGAACTCGAAGCCTCAGACGAACTCGAAGCCTCAGACGAACTCGAAGCCTCAGACGAACTCGAAGCCTCAGACGAACTCGAAGCCTCAGACGAACTCGAAGCCTCCGAACTGCTCAATGCTTCAGATGAACTTGAGGCATCCGAACTGCTTGACAGGGTTGAGGCCTCCGAACTACTTGAACTGCTTGAGGACTCACAAGCTGGTACGGTGTTATAGTAAAATGGAATATCGCCTTGTGAAAGAGTTTCTCCGTTAGGATCGTTCACAGATATCTCAAGTTCAAGAGGCCCATCCAAGTTATAATAATCCATTTTGAAAGGGTAGAAATATCCTCCTACTAAGAACACACTAAAACTGGTCCCTGATCCATAAATCACATTGCTGTAACGAATTTGTGCTTTATCCAAAGAAGTCTTGAATCCATCACAACCACAACTTGATGCAATATCTTTACCAATGAAAATAGCAATATTGTCATCAATAGCATCGATATTGAATGTATATTCTCCACTTAACCCAGCATGGAAATAACCAGTAAATTTCAACCCAAGGGGATTCACCACTGTGCTACTTCCGTATAGATCGACAGGGCTGGTAGAATAAGAATCCCAAATGAAGTCCACGTCGGTAACTCCATAGATAGTATCCACTGGAGTGGTATCATCAATGTATTGAAGATAGGAAGAATCCTGCCATGAGGACACAGGAATTATATCCACTTGAAGCCCTTGAGAAAGCCCTTCTGGGTAACACTCTACTGGTTCACTATCAACACTCGTGGCAGACATTTAAATCACTCTAAAATATGAAGAGCTTGAAGGTAAGTTTGAAATATCCAATACCCAGGATATCTCCATCTTATTAACTGTTGGAGGCGGCCAGTGAATTATTCTGCCTAAACAAAGACTCAATTCATTTAACAAACCAGGCATTTAAATATTATTTACACTACAAGATTATCTAATAGTTTGCCGTGTTGTGTGAAAAATACCCTCAATCCGGACAATTTTCTGATGATGTCGCCTTTAGTATTTTGAACACTTTTCGAGATGCAGTTGAGCGTCGCCTCTATAAGCGAGGATAATATGCTGTAATACGAGGTGTGGAGATTTGCAAACGGCAGTGTTTAGGTATTTTCTGGGGTATTTTTTGTAGTCTGCACGAGCAAAAAATTAAACCAGGGTTATTGGGACCCATTACTCAAAGGATTTATGAATAGGAGTCTTGATAGATTTGTGGCTTTCGGCAAAGCCTTATAGATATCCTTTTCAAGGACAGGGAACAGGGCATTTAAGATGTTGAAAGTTGTACTCGACAATCCTAACTACTACATAAGCACAGGGTTTGAGTTATAGAATAGAAAAAACCTAGAATCTAGTACTCAGTTTTTGTACCTCGTTCCGCAAAATCAAACCGACTCCATTTGCAACCTTTATTGTTTGATAAATGAAATGTTAGTTTCACAGAAATCTAGTTGAGACATGTACAAATCATACTCAAAGTGTCTCATATCTGCACCAGTGATAAATAGGGGTTTGCAGTAAATAACTCGCACACCCAAGTATTTTGCAGCTAATGTTGCGATATAATACAGAATCTAAACGTATATAAGGTGCCAAAATGATGTTTTGTTGAATGGCAATTTGTAGGAAGGTTGCTTTTTTATAGAAGTACCCAGTTTTGATAGCTCAGTTGTCGTTTAATTGAACTCGATCTTGAAGTTCTTGATGGAATCCCCCAACTGCACTCCATGAATCACTCCATTCTCAAATTTTGTGATCACCAAGTTCCTCGTAGACTCCACTTCAACGCTCTTGAAGAAATCATTCCAAGTCTTCCCTTTCTTAGTATACTTATGGAAACTGATCTCCTTACTGTTGCAAGTCAATAGTAAAGAGCATGATTGGTCAATTGCGAAGTCATTAAGCTCTTCAAAGTCGATGGTGTGAACAACCGAGTGATTCCTCAAGTCAAAAACTTGCAAGCTGTGAGCGGATTTATCACTGGATGATACAAAGAGCCAGTATCCATTCAAACCAAACTGGACCTTATCCACCGTCGGATACTTTATTTCCAAAGTGGAAGCCACAGACCCATCAGCAACTCCATACACTAAGACGGTCCCAGAGGTGGTTCCAATGGCCATCAAGGCTCCATCGACATGGAAACTGCCGGTGGTCGCAGTGTATTCATTGTCCAACTGCACAAACAAACACTTTTTGTCACCCACATTCAAAGACCACGACTTGGTACACACAACAGCGTAGATGTTCTTCAACTTCGGGTGTGGTTGTATGTCGACTATCTCGTCCCGAAACTTGATTGTAATTCCCTCGAACTTGATCTGTTTTTTGCTTGCAAACACAGGCACCACTAAACCTTCAAACTCAATATAACTTACATGTTGCACAACCCCTTTTTGAGTGGCCACAGTGTTAGTCTTGGTCACCAAGTCTAAAGTAGTGGTTTCCTTACCACTACTGACCAACAATTTCTGCACTCGTTCATCAAAGAAGAAGGCATTGTACTTTTTGATCGAAACATCTCCTTCAAAAATGATACTCACATCGTCAGCCGCCGGCAACGAAACCTTCTGAGTTTTGTGTTGTTGGAAGAGCTCCTGCCTTGCAGCCTCTATTTCCTGAACAGGAACTGCCACATCCAAGCCGTTGGAGCCATTTTCATGATCCTCTTCTCCCATCGCATCGTTCCCTATGGACAATGTTAACTCCTGAAGAGCGGTCTTGACATCATCCCGTTCCTTAATAGCGTTGGCGGCCACCTTCACGGCGGCATCGTAGTTGTACAAGGCCGAGCTAAGTTCTTGACGGGCTTTGTGCAACAGCTTTCTCAAGCTGAATATCTCAAGCGCCATAGAGTCAAATTCATTTTGGAAAGTCGTAAGAAGTGATGGAATCGAGTTGAACGACGGAGGCTTGGGTGGTACTACTGTTCGGTCTTCGACATTGATGGCAATGAGTTCTTCCACTCCCAATGGTTCATCAGTTATTGGATCTTTATTGTTGGTTGACACATAGGTGGTGATAAGTTTTCTGTCAAAGATCTTACCACTCCTGGGTGAAAGCACCGGCTCCTTGGCCACTTCTCCTGAAACTAGACATTGAAGTTAGTATATCACTCCCACTGGGTTGACATTATAAGTTATACATACGTGCACAAAACATCGCTGGTGGTTGAAGATGAGATTTTAGATGTTTTCGCATCGATTTCGCATCTTCAAAACACATTACATTTAACCCTATACACAAACCAAATATAAAAACACGTTGTATGAACAGTCTAATGGTGGCCATGGCCATGTTCATGGTCATGACCGTGAGACTTGTATGAAGCCTCATCGCTGGAGTGGCCTCCATGGGTGTATGCCATTTCTGGCTCGTGGTGAACCATAGTCCTGAACCGTCTTCTACCAGTGGCGAAAAGTCCACAACAGTGGCCCAACAAGTTGAACACACAACAAATCCAGGCGGCGATAGCACCAGAGAACACAAACGCATAGAAGTTGATCGACATGAACGCCTTGATTCCGTATGAACTCACATCATCATTTACCTGACTTCTGGTGTAGGCTACCGTACTAGTAGCCAAGGCAGCTCCAACAAGTAGAATGATAAATATCACACACTCGTACAAGAAATTCAAGAACGAAAGGCAGCACGAGTCGGGACTCATGAAACATCCTAAGAGCTGAACGGCAACCGAGATAACTGCCAATACAGCTCCTGCTAATGTCAACCCAAAAGATGCAAGCATCAAGTTTCCAAACGTTTTGACCTTGGAGTTCATATCACCCGGAAGATTGAAATTATCGTAGCTCAAGTTGTCAACCAAATAAGTGATTTCTTCACTGAGAGTGGTACTGATGGTATCACTATCTTGTAAAGTGTTGTTCAATTCGGCCTTGAACACCACAAGTGGATCGAACTTGTATCCGGGCTTGGGCTTGGAACACCATGTGATGTTCACGTTGCTGTTGTCGAACGTGCTATTGCTGCTGGAGTCTTGGCTTGTGGTGGTTCCTCTGCAATATCCCCAATAACTGACTTGGTAGACGTTAGATAACCCTAAGTCGCTGTAGGAAAGAGCTAAAATTTCGTCAATGCTCGTAGCGCTGGTGGAGGTGGCTGTGGCACTAGCACCGGTCGCAGTGGTGGTGCTATCGCCTGTGACATCGATGATTTGCGATGCAAAGTCTCGCTTTGAGAAGTTGGACGAATCCAACAATTTGGATAAATCGAGGTTGTCCAAGTGGATGTTGAACAAGTACGTCTTGGTGAGGTAGCTCTTATTGGCGTAGGACCCGGTGAGGGCAAACACCGACAAGACTGCTGCTGCTAGTGATAGGACTATCAACAAGAATCTGAAAAACTTGAACATCAAGGGATTGAGTAGTTATTGAGCAGCTGAGTGATGGCAAGCTGGAATGGATAAGTAGATCCAATTGGTATTTGTGTTGTTTCTATTTTCCCTTGCCGTTAATGTCAGTAATGGGTGCAAATAATGTCTCTGTCACGGACCTGATCAAAATACCTGTAGCAAAGTTGGGAATTGAAAGTTACTGGAAACCCCATCAGGGGGAATCAAGTCTCTTAATATACTATCTATCATGTGCACTCCCCCCCTTATACCTGATTTGGGTACCCGATCTATCCCCTGTTGCTGGCGCTCCTTGCCAAATCAGTGAGAAATGGCTGGCTTATTGTCGTGCGCGCACCGTCTGTCAATTGTCCTTGTGTGTAGTGGCTACATTGCCTAGACAAGAGCCAATCAAGACCTGCCGATCAGTTGCTTGGGCGGTTAATATCAGGCCTTAACAACTGTGGGTTTGTGGCTATGTCTAAATTAACTCTAATTTAAAAAAAGGCATTGTGGGTGCAAATTGGCCGCAAAATGCGGTAGCTCCTTAATATATTACAACTAACTATAACACATTACTCGTCAAGATCGTCAAACCCGTCCAACAACTCCTGTTCTAGCTCATACAACTCAGCCTCTTCGTTCTCTTGTTCTGGTGCTACTTCGCCCTTACCAACTATCTTATTCTTCTTTGCGTGCGGAACCTCGTTAGGGCCTTGGTCAGAATCATCAGCTTCGTCGTCACGAGATCTCTTTTTCGAAGTCGACAAGTATGCTTCTCGAATAAACGAGTCGTGGGCGGCAGGGACCGCTTCGTCGTCCTCGTCGTCGCTGTTTTCGTGGTCTTCATTCTCCTCTTCGTCATCGTCGCTGAGCCCAGCGAGAAAATCATCCACTTCTTCATTGGCCTCATCAAGGTCATAGTCTTCCATGGACGCAATGGAGTCAAACCTGGGTCTTGCAATGATCGTTTCGTGTTGCTGCTGTTTTTGCTCCTGTAACGCTTTTTGGTACTTATCCAAGTCTCTCTCGTCGACATACCAATTCTGGCTACCCTCGTCAATCAGGTAGTCAGCTTCATCCACCTGTTTCCAACTGCTCAAACACACAAAGAGCCAGTCGGGAGTGACGATCTTGATGTTGGGGATGAGTTTTTTGGCGGCTTTGACCTTAAATGTAAGTCCTCCTTTGAAGTTCGTGCTATTGGGGTCTCGACACACAACATGAGTCACCTCAGGGTACACCTCGTTCACCACCTTGACTCCAAACTGCTTACACCAGATGACAATGTCAGCTGAGTCAGGGTTGATCCCTAAGGGAATAATTCCCGAGAAAAGTATCACCACTCCTTCCAAGCACTTGCTCTTCAAATTAGGTATCACGTACGTTAAATCCGGTCTTTCAGGATTTTTGGAGTCAAGAATCTTGTAGTACTCGTTGTGAATGTTGGAGAGGGCCACCTTAAGCGATTCCAACTCGTTGTCATCGTCGTACAAAAGATTATCCTCTTCTTCGTCGTTCGCAGCATCGTCGTTTTCGTTACTTGAGTGTTCGCTATCGGACTTAGTTTCGTGATCGTGGTTTATCTTTTCAAGATCATGCTGCAACTTGGCCAATGGCCGGTCGTGCTGCTGTTGCTCCAATGAAAGAGTCCGGGACCGTGACTGCTCGATCAAAAGATTCTTATTGTCTTCACCACCGCCGATTTCAACGAGTCTATCGACCGCAGAATGCGAGTGATCGATATTCTCTTTGTCCTCCTTTGAATCTCCAGTATCCGACACATCGCTTTCACTGTCTGGAGCATCACCATTGTCCGATTCGGCAAACTCGTGTTCAAGGTCTTCTTCCATGGCTTCCAACTTTGCAATTGATTTTCTCTTCTTGCTGGGACCGGTGATTTGGGTGTTTTTCTTTGGCAAAAAGCTCGAGTTGATGTCTCCAATCCCCACAAAGAAGTCGTACGGTACCACCTTGATCAAGTTGTCTTCCCACTGCCACACATCGCCTCTATCATCAATGATAGCGACCATGGACTGATCCACCGGAAACAACCGTTTCAAGTTCTTGTGTGTCAACGAGCCACTCTCATCTCGACTCAAGATCCGGTCTCCAAAGTACTCGCCTTCGGGGTCGATGATCTTGGCGATGGCCAATGCGTAGTTTCGGGTGGCCATGGTGTAGATATGCATTTCATAGATCTCGGCCATTTCCCGAAGAAACTCTTCCAAGCCCGGCCGCAACTTCACGTAGTACCAGCACTTCGTGGGCGACAACTTGGGCCCGCTCCAGTTGGGCGGCGTGATGGGCTCCTCTTCAAGACAAAACGATTGTACATCTTTAACAGCTCGGTAGTTGGGATTGGATGGATCCAGTTGCCATTCTCCTACCGTGGGGTCCACCGTGGCATGGATCACCGTCTGATCAAGGTCCACCACCAAAATCAACTTCCGTTGCTGGGTGAGCCTGGTGGTGGAGTTCTGCTCGATTTTTGCGGCTTCTTCATAACTTATTTTCAACCCAGTATTATCGTGAGACATTGAGATGGTGGCTCGATCTTCGTAGTTGAAGCCAGTATAGTCCTTCTCGTCCTCTACCGCCTTCCCACATAAGGCGCACAACCCGCCGTACTGCACCGCGTGGGCGCATGGCTCTCTGATGGAACACAATACGATACCACTGTGGTTGATTTCTGCGTTTTCGTGGGTTTTGATTCCTAGCACTTCACCTTCAACGGGACTCTCGTACGCACCAATGCGTTCCACGCGGATCTTGGGCGGTGGATCATCCTTGGAGTTTGGGTCATCCTGATAGTCCCAGTATTTGTATTTGAAGATGGTCTGACGTTTTCGAATGCTATCACCCGAGGAGCACAAAATAGATGAGATTGTCACGGGAAAGGGTACCGACAGCGGCAACGTGATGGGCACCGTTTCTGACATGTGCTGGAGTTATGTGGGTATGGATGCTGGAATTAGTACAATTGGATGGGTGAATAGCAGATTGCAATATGATAGGGGTGGGCTTCCCAGTTGTTTACTGGAGAAATGATGAGCATGCGCGCTGCGAAGTTATCCATTGGATGAGATGGTGCACAAGAGTAGCCACAGTAGTATACTGGCGATAGAGGGCCGAACGGTGGTACAGAGTACTTTATCTATTTGCGTATTTCGTTATGTGTCGTTATTAAGCGTCGCTGCCATCGCTAGGCTTGTCTATGGCCATTTGAGGAGGTGGAGACCCCAAGCCATCGAGAACATCAAAGTCCATCTCATCATCATCAGAGCTGATTTCTGGGGCCTCAAAGGCTGTTGAAGCAGGGGCTGAGAAGTTGAGCTTGAGTTTAAGCTCGGGTTCTGGAGATGCCCCAGGTATAGAGGACTCCGGAGCAAGTGCCCCTGAAGATGGAGTAAACGATGGAGGCATGGACGACTCGGGCGATTTCGTCTCCCTATCGGTGGGAAAGGAGTTCTCTTTGGTATCAGTTCCAAAGAGTATTTCTTGCATGTCTTCGCCATCAGCATCACTATCACTATCACTGTCAATGCTGTTGTTGTTGAAGTTGAAGCCAAATTCGATGGTATCAGCAGCTTTGGCCGCTTCTCTTTGCTTCTCCAACTTAGCCCTTTCGGCTAGTATCTCTTGAATATGAAGTTTCTGGTTCTCCATTCCAGCCTTCACGGACACCATTGCAAGATGGAGATCCTTTTCAATAAGTCCATCGAACTCCTTCTGTTTCTCCAAGGTGATAGACTCTGTTCCGTAAGGTGAGTAGTACGTCTCCGCTTGGAGGTATATGTTGGCGGCCCGCTTCTTGCGAGTCTGTTCGATTTCTTGCAGTCGACGTGCTTTTATCTCCAACCTTTTCTGAGCATATGCCAACACGTCAAACGGCTTTTCACTGGCTACAGGCTGCTTCTTGGCCTCCGCTTGTATAATCCCATCGGGGTTATCGTCAGCGTCGTCAGCGTACTCGGGAAGCTCAGGGGGTTTGTGCTCTTCGAACCGGGGTCCTGGAGTCTCCATTTCCAGACTCATTATACTATCTAACTCGGTGTCTTCGCTCATGGGCGTATCATATTTGACGTCTTCTTCGATCAAATTGTATAAAGACTTCTCGGTGAGCCTTGACTCTTGCACCAACTTGACCCTCAACTTCTCCATGTCTGTCAAGGTATCCCTGTAATTGGCAGTGTTTTGAAATGTGTAGTCTGGCGGGAAGTCCGGAAAGTAGCTGGGGATATAGTTGGGTTTGGCAACATGGCGGGGCACCAAGCTGGTGATTTCGTATGTTTGGTTCATGAAAAACGGCTCACTTTCAGGCTCAAATGACACCTGTTGTAGACTTACCAACTTCTGTAAGCTTTCCTGATTGACAGCATCGATGTGTACTTTCAGAAGGTTGTAGACCTTCTTGCCAACCAATCCCAGTCGGTAAAGGTCGGAATAATCGATGTCTCGTAGATTGAACGAGTATCTTATATCGTTCAACGAGGGCTTTGTTCTTCTTTGAATCTCAGTAAACTTCTTGATTCCATCGACTGTTTGGTGTAAGTATATCAAGGCAAGATCTGTGAGCTCGTCCAAGAACTCTGCCGACACGCTGAACCCCTGGGTCTCTAGAATAATACCAATCAACTTTGCAACTTGGAAATCCATCGGCGTGCGAGCATAGTGAGAAACCGGATTGTTGAGAAGCTGTAAGGTCTCATCATTCAACATGCGGCGGCGTTGACCCAACGTATCTCCAGCAGGCACCGTGCTACCGCTAGCCAGGGCCAGAGAGTGTGTCGGCGCTGGTGACGAAGTTGATTCTTTCTCGTCCATTTGTGCTGGTGTAATGTTTCGATTGTTTTTGGCAGTTCGCGCTCTTTCTATAAGTTCATAGAATTAATAACTAAATAGCCAGTCGTGAAACAAACATGGAGGAGATAAATAGATATATAGTGTATGGAGATATCTACCCGGACAAGAGGTACTCCACGGCTCCCTGGACGTTACCACCGCTTCTTCTCAAGGCTGCCACGTTTCTGTCAAAGTCAAAAAAACCCATATCGTTCAACTGACTCAACTGGCTGGCATATCTTTCTTCTGGAGGACGAGAGTCTGTCTCGGCGGGGGGCTGTGCGCCACCGGCACCGCCAAACATGGCGAATGGGTCGATAGGAGGCATACCATTGCCGAACATAGAGGCGAATGGGTTGGGAGGGTTTGTACCGGTATTGGTGGTGGTGGTGGTGGCGTCGGTCGAGTCGCCAGTGGGATTGGCCCCAGGAGCTGGGAAGCCGGTGCCAGGCTCTGGGAACCCAGCCCCACTGCCCATGCTGTTTCTGCCCATTTCCATCATCGACCGCATCATCTCTGGATTCGACAACATCTGTCTGAAAAATGGGCTCTGCAACATTTCTCTGGCCTGAGGCCCCAACGCCCGCAACTGGGGCGACTGCTGGATGAAGTAGTCCAACATTTGCGGGTTGGACAACAACGAGTTCATACTTTCTTGGAACATGGGATTGGACATCATCAGCGACATCTGCTCGGGGTCGGGCATAGCGGCGTTCATGCCCCCGTCAGGACCAAACATCGACGCGGACGGCAACTGGGTGTACCCGGCGTACCGGGCACCGGTCAAGTCTGCCAACGGGTTAAAAGCGCCCTGCCCAGCAGAAATGTTAGAAGGCACCTGGGACGATTGGTTGGACGCAGGTGTCGATTGTGAGTCGGTGGCGGTGGTGCTGACGGTGGAGGAGTCGCCCCCCGTGGCGGCGGCCTTGGCAGCGCTTTTCACGAGGTGGATGGTGTGGCCTGACTGGATTTTATACGATGCCACTGTTTCTGTATCTTTCAACACCTTACCAGAATAGATTAATCTCTGACGGTCAGAGGGAACGTCTGCCTTTGCAGAAATTTGCTCCTTCAACTCCAATATGGTGCTGGACGTGGCAGTGGTCACCTCGTACTTTGTGTCACCCGAAGATTTGATGTTTACGGTGATTGACTCGGACATTGGATGATAGATAAACCGCACAAATCTGAGTTTGAGATTTGAAGTTTCTAGAATGCGCCTTCGGTCGTGCGGGGTCGGACTCCATTGGCATGGGTATGGGGCTGGAGGTAGTGGTGATGGGGTTGTGAATGGATGAGATTATTGGAAAGAGGCGAGGAAGACGAGCATATTGGTGGAATTTGGGGGCCAGAGCGGTGGTGTTGGCCAATTGGCAATGGTGTGAGTCGAGTAGATTTAGACTGAATACGGGAGACGGCTGTATCTTGAGTATAATCAGAGCTGATGTTGTGAATTGTTGCTGCCGGGTGGTATAAGAATGGATTCGTATATCCATAGGAATTTTAAGGGCACCTCTCTGGTTTCCATTTGAATAGAATGTTTGGTTGTAGACTAAGATCACATCTTATATTCGCAGCCAAACTTGCGAAATTGGGTGTGAGAATATCTAGGTGATCTGCTGTCTTCTACTGTCCTCGGTACAGTCCTCGTGCATTTCTATGTATAGCTAACTTTGTGAGACAGGGTTTTTCTGTTTTGCTTTTTCTGTTCAGTTCTGTTCAGTTCCGCTCGTTCTACCCTCTATTGTGTATTTCAGCAAGCTGGTCGCAAAGGTCCAAAACAGACTCTTTGAGCAGACGAAATGTCATACCAAGCTCAGCTATAGCCTTACTAGAATCTGTCTTGAAGTGGGTTCCAGTAAGTCTATGGCCTGGGTTTCCCGTAGGGACTCCCTCTCTAAGCTTCTTGTCACTCCAACTCTCTCTCAAGATATCAGCAATTTCCTGGTTATCGAAATCCCCAGCAGAAATAAGATACCGAGAGTTTGAAGCAGCTTCACTCCCCAAAGCCTCTACGTGAGCCCACGCCAAGTCCCGTACATCCACAAATAACGGACCCTTGGTGGGAGGCACTTCTTTGCTGGTGGCAATCGTCCAAACCACCGAATTGCTCAAGTTCAAATCCTCAAACGTAGTGAACAATTGGTTCGACAAAAGTGGACCAAACACCATCGTAGGACACAAAACACAAAGATCAAATTGAGGGTTTTTCTCCTCCATGAACTGCCAGGCTGCTTTTTCCGCCACGATTTTCGAGGCTCTGTAAGCCAACAGAACATCTTTGGTGTTGGCCCCATCTTCCCACGTAAGGGGACTAAATTCTTTCTCGGTGTAAACATAGTCAGGTTGCAACCCTTTAGAAGCATCATAAACAGCAGCAAACAGCGAGGTTATAATCACTCTCTTGACCTTCGGTTCGGTCAAACTGGCCTCCAACATGGTGACGGTACCGTCGTACGCAGGTTTAAGAAGTTGGGCTTCCATATCTGTGACAGTATATGAGAATGGTGATGCCAAGTGAAGCACTCCGTCACAGTCTTTGACAGCCTCCACCAACTGTTCGTAGTTTCCGATATCTGACACCAATGCAAATGAGAGCTTCAGTTGATGGTGCTCCTCGAAACATGCTTTCAAGGTATTAAACTTATTTTTGGATCTTGCAGCGGTTTTGACTTCATACCCTCTGTCTAATAATTGTTGGACACAGTGGGCACCAATAAATCCAGTTGCTCCAGTTACAAGAACTTTTGAGCCAGGGCTCACCAGAATAGGAATCGTCATATGTGCACAGGTTTGAGTAGTTGTAGGGGGATTTTCTTATGTTTCTATATAAAGCCGAGTATGAGAATTGCGATGGCCGATCGATGCCGGGGACTTTTTGGTTGCCAGATTAGGTATTGTCGCCGGCTTATCTTATCGTAAGGCATCCACGCGCGCAGCATCAGCGTGTGCGGAAATCCCACCGGTCAGTTCTTATGAGATATATAAAGACACCAAAAGACCATAATGGTTCTGTACAGCTATCAGTACCTACTATGTCGACCGAAAAGGACACGACAGTTTACGAGGAAAAAAGCGTAAGTGAAGTGGCTCCTTCTTTGGAGTTCGCGGCCGGTGAGATCAAAGACTTAGACCTTAAGATCCACACCCAGGCGCAAAGTGATCCCAACTTCAAGTATATCAACGACTTCGATGTCGAGGCTCACGAGGCTGAGGACACGTCCTATGAAAAGGTGGTGGTGAAGTTGGCCAAGCAATTTTTGTTTCCCATGACTTTCTGCTACTTTTTGCAATTTATCGATAAAGTTACGTTGAACTATGGTAATGTGATGGGTCTTCAAGCAGAACTCGGGTTGGTAGGCGACCAGTTCTCGCGCCTTCCCATGTCGTTCTTCATCGCGTACATTGTGTTTGAGTTTCTTCAAATGTTTGTTATCCAGAAGTTCCCAGTTGCCAAAGTGCTTGGAGTTAATGTGGTGATCTGGGGGATTTTAACAGCATGCTGTGCTGCCACCCAGAACTTTGCTGGAATCTTGGTGGTGCGGATTTTGTTAGGGGCATCAGAGGCTGCTATTGTTCCGTGTATGATGATTTTGACGTCCAACTTTGTGGACAAGAAAGATGCTGCTTTTTTCACGGGAGTGTGGTATAGTGGACTTGGAATTGGGCAAATAGTTGGAGGACTTCTAAGTTTCTTGTTCCAGCACGTTAGTTTGACTGCTCCCGTCTCCGGCTGGAGAATCATGTTCATTGTGATTGGAATGTTGAATATTTTGGCTGGGGTGTACGTGTTTTTGGTACTTCCTAGCACTCCATTGGAGAATAAGAAGTTGACTGCGAAAGAAAAGTATGTTTTGCTTGTAAAGTTGACTGAAGGAAAACTTGGAGTCACCGGTAAGATCTTCAAGCCCAAACAGGCGTTGGAGTTGTTGTTTGATATCCAAGGGTGGTTATTCTTGCTCATCTGTGCAACCATCTCGTTTTCTTCCAACACCATTTCCACCTTTTCTTCCATTGATATTGTTTCATTTGGGTTCACCTCCAAGGAAGCAGCGTTGTTGGGAATGCCTTCGGGGGTCGTGAGTGTGTTTGCGTCGGTGGTGGCCAGTTACTTTATCAAAAGAGGATCTCCAAGGTACTTGACAATTTGTTGTACGTTGGTTCCAGCAGTGGTGGGGGCTGCCCTTATGTCGTACTTACCAAGTAACAACAAAGCGGGTCTTTTAATTGGTATCTATCTTGTGAATTTCATCACTTGTCCATATGCGCTTGCGATAGTGTGGGCCAGTAGTAATGTGTCAGGAAGCACCAAGAAGATTGGAATGCAGGCTGTTTTCATCAGTGTTGGGTTTGCTTTGGGTAACATTACTGGGCCACTTAGTTACCGTGCGGTGGATGCTCCAAAGTACGAGCCTGCCAAGGTATCGATGCTTATAACTCAGTGTGTGAGCATTGGGCTTGCGTTGGTGATTGTGGGAATTTATTATATCAGAAACAAGAAGAGGGACAAGTATGTGGGAGAGTATAAAGATGAGACGGAGAATGCCTGGGCAGACTTGACTGATTTCGAGAACAAGCGGTTCCGGTATTTGTATTAGTGTATTATGAATGTAGGTAATAGAGATAAGAAAAGCTGCTGTAGTTGTCTATTATAACTCAAGTGATATACAGATGTGATGTACAGATGTACTACACTACTCGTGTTGCACATGTTCTGTTCTCTGTTCTGTCTCACTATCATCCACTGACATCCCAATTGCTCTCCACAAATTCTCTACAACTTCTGAAGTCTGCTCATTTATTCTCTACTAATTGTCTACTCCCCCAACTCTCCACATCCTATTCAAAAAACACCTTCACGGTGCGGTGGGCCACCGCAAGATCAAATGCCGTTCTCTTGATATAATCGGATGCCTGCCACAACGTAGCATCCATGTGCATAAACGGATGAGGAACTCCAGGATATCTCTTGAACACCACGTCATTTCCGTTCTTAATCATCTTGGTGGCATACGCCTCTCCCTCGTCTCTCATGGGATCACATCCAGCAGTATAAATCACCGTCTTGGGCAAATTGGTGAAATCTGGTGCAGTAATAATACTCTTGAACCACCCGATTTCCTCAAACTGCTGGGCCCGCTCGGCCGCATCCGATGACAACGAGTCCCACTTTAACTTGTCAAACCACTTTAACCGGGCCCAATTCAAAGTGGGTGCAAACTCGCACTCCTGGCACGATGGGTAGGGCGAATCGGCAGCGGTTTTATACGGTTCAATATCGTCAACTTGGGGAGTACCGGCCACACAAAGCACCAACGAGATCCCCACATCTCGCGCAAGATGGCTCACTGCTAAGCAGATGTTTCCTCCCGCTGACACTCCTCCCACCGAAATACTATGCTTGTTGATATGCAATTTTTCAGCATTCTCATAGACATATTTAGTGGCTTCAAAACAGTCCTTGAGTCCCGTAGGGTACGCAAAGTCGGGTACAAGCCTGTAGTCGACGTCAATGACACAGATCTGGGCCAAATCCACATAATGCTTCAACACGTGACTCTCGGTGTCCAAGTCTCCAAGACCCCAACCTCCACCGTGGAAATCAATGTGCACCGGTAACACCACGTCGTCGGCCACACCTTCGGGGCGGTAGATCCGCAAACGCACGTCGGCCCCATCGAACGACGGGAATGTAATGTCGCTGATGTTGGAGGTTTCGGGTGCTGGAGCAGTTCCATATGAATAGATTTTGGAATAGTTCTTACGCAATACTGGGAGGTCAATGGGCCTATTGGGGGTGTTGGCGACATGCTCATCGTAAAGTTTAACGAAGGCTGGGTCCATTTTTCCCACCATCGATGGGTGGATTGGGTTGACGGCTTCGTGTCCAGACATTCTAATTGGTTGTTAAGGATGTGTTAGCAGTGGAAGTGTTGCAATTTATATGGGGCGCGGGATCGGAATCTGGGTTTTAGTGGCCGGAATCTACCTGGTGGTCTGCGGCAAAAGAGCCCGGCCCCAGCGCCGCAAACCGCACTTGGTTATCGGTGGGAACTTTGCAACATTCCGCTCTTATCGCGCGCTGCTTCTGTTACTTAATGGCCCATTATGCTCACGATCCACCAAACTAACCATGTCTGAAAATAAAAGGTTTCTTATTAGTGGCGCCGGGCTTGTGGGCTTACTCATTGCTCAGGCATTCAAGGCCAGAAACATAGATTTTGTCATTTTTGACAGAGACATCGATGTTCATTACAGAGAAAACGCCGGTTGGGCCATCACCTTGCACTGGGCTTTGGAAAACTTCAAATCTTTATTACCACCCGACTTGGTGGAACAGATTTACGCGGCCCAGGTGTTGCCAGGCTTTCATGAAAAAGATACCGGTAAGTTCATCTACATCAATGCCGCCTCTGGGGATCCGGTGGTGTCCATTCCTCCTTCAAAGCGATTGCGGGTAAGAAGAGAGCAGATCAGAAGAATGCTATTGAGTGGAATTGACGTCCAGTGGAACTGCAAACTCGACAATATTGATACCACCAATTCTCAGGTGACGGTTACCTGCCTGGATGGGACTGTTTTCACCGGGGATGTGCTTATTGGATGTGATGGTGCCAACTCGATGACTAGAAGAATCATATGTCCGGAAAATGGGCAATTGTACCAGCTCCCGGTGAGATTCTGTGGATCACGTGTCAAGATGACAAAGGCAGAGACCGACCAAATTGCCGCCGACTTTGATCCCTTGTTATTTCAGGGAACTGTGCCTGAAAACAACACGTTTTTCTGGTTCTCAATGTTGGCAACACCAGAGTACACTCAGGAAGAAGATGTCTATTATGCCCAAGTTAACTTGTCATGGAATGTCCCTGACTACGACGAGCCTTTTGTCACCAATGTTGATAAGACCGAAGCCATGAAAGTGCACTCACAGGGATTGAACCCCAAATTGAAATGGTTGGTTGACAGAGCGGTTGAGGACCCAGACACCATTTTAGAAATTAACTTATGCGACTGGCCAGTGGTGGAATGGCCCCACCAAACCCAGGTCTTGTTAGCTGGGGATGCCGCCCATGCTATGACGATGTTTCGGGGTGAAGCAGGCAATCATGGAATTACTGACGCCTTTGAGCTTATGAAACATATCGACGAGTATTTGGCAGGTCGCAAAACCTGGGAAGTGGCTGCAAAAGACTTCTGTAGCGGGATTAAGGCCCGGGCTGCTCCTGCTGTTTTGCTCTCCCGACAAGCATGTCTAGATGCCCATAATTTCTCGAAAATCAGGCCTGACACAGATCTGCCCCTTTTGAGTATGAGAAAGAACACTAAGTAGCTCAATAAAATAGTAGATTATGAAAAAAACACCGCGCACTGGTATCTAAATTCTCATATCTTATCTCAAGTGAAATACGCTCAATGTCAACCAAAAGAGCGTGTGACCGGTGCCACCGGCTCAAGCAGACCTGTGACAGCCAGCTAGAATGCCTGGCATGTGTGCGGGCTAGTATTCTGTGTACGTATGAGCGGCCAGTGGCTAAAATGGGGAGACCTAGAGCCCCCAAAGATAAGGTGGACCAGAAAACGAAATCTAAGTACAGCCACAATGCGTGTGCCGGGTGTAAGAAAAGAAAACAGAAATGTGATGAGAAGTGGCCTACGTGTCTGATGTGTAGTCGGCTTGGCATCAAGTGCTCTGGGCCTTTGAAAATTATCAGAGTTACGCCTGAAGGATCTGAAACTAAGTATACAAACACCATTGTTTCTGAGGGAGTGGTGGGAGGTGCTTCGCCGGCAGTCAAGGATTTGAATCTGGGGCCTCTTGAATCCGAGCTTTTGGGCCGGTTGAGTCCCATGATTACAGATGTTTTCAGCTCTCTGGCAGAATCCAATATCAACATAATGGACTTGACCGGCGACTTATTCAACGATGAAAACAGTCTTTTGAGTAGCAAGGAGAAGCTCTTCTTGAACTCCTTGATACGTTCCCCGACTTTTGCCATTGACATTCCTGAAAAAGAACCTAATCTGGAGTTGGAAACTCAGTATCATTCTCGGTCGCAGTTGACAGAAGTATCACCAGATTCAGTTGAAGGGGCTGAGGTATATGAACAAGAAAAGAGCATGTTGATTTCGTCGTGCTTACTAAAGCCATGTAGTATTCCGGCAAAAGAACTCGAACTTTTGGAGTACTTCATCACAGATGTCTCATCACTTCTTTTTGTTGATAAAACCAGCACAGCTTTTTTAAGAACTGTTGTGCCTCTTTCAATTGAAGATCCCAACGTTCGGTACCCAGTGATTGGTATTTCGGCTTCCCACAGATCCAACTCAAATTTGGAAGAAAATGTCGAGTACGCCAGAGATGCTGCCATCTATAGGGCCAAGGCTCAGAGCTTGTTTATTGCAAATACAGTTGACTATTTCCAGGACAGCGAAAACCTTCTTTTGAGTATACTTCTTTTGGCGATTCAGGAGATTTTCGAAGGAACTTCTCTCTACTGGGGATTTGCCTTAGAAAAGGCTGCTCAAATCATTGGTAAAAGAGGTGGGTTGGCCAAAGTTAGTCTGTTTGCGCCACTTTCCATCCAGTTGTTCTGCTACCTTGATCTAATATCAAGTTTGAGCACTTGCTCGACTCCGTATGTCGATAATATGGAGTTTGGGGGTTATGATGAGGACCATATAGAGAGGATCTTAAACAGTAAGTTTGGGTTCAAGTTTGGTATAGCTGGTGAAATCTTTAAAGTGATAGGCAACATATCCACACTAGCCAGTCTAAGGACACTGCGTTATGATTCGAAAGAGAACGAAAAGAAGTTCAACTCTCTTGCTACTTTGATCGAAATGAGACTCCAGAACTGGTCTCCATCTTTAGACGGGAAACGATACCAAATTGACAACTCTCTTGATGATGGGAAGCTCATGCTTTCCAAGTTTACGGTGGCCCTACAGTGGTCTGCGTTCTTGCGGTTGCATCAGATTCGTAATGGATACAATAGAAAAGATCCTCGAGTAGAGGCATGCCTCGACTTGATTTTGAGCTCTACAAAGCAGATTAGCACCAACAGTGACTTGGAGACGGGGCTAATGTTCCCATTGATTATGGCTGGGTCGGTGGCATATAAAACCGATGATAGAACATATATAATGTCTCGGATAAGGAAAATTAAGGAGAGATTGAAGTTCAACTATCTTGGAGAGTTTGAAAAATTGATTCTTCGAGTGTGGGAGAGTGACAACCAAGAGAACCATTCAGTTAACTGGGCAAAGATTCGGTACTTCCAGTATCCTGGTTTAGTGATGTTCTAAAATAGTTTATATTTATATGAATCAAATATTCGCAGCGATCAACTCATCTATATGGGCTTTCATATCATACCCACAAACTTCGTCTATCGTCAACTTCTGCTCGTGCTTGATGTTGTCGGAACTCCATCCGATTCTCTCGTTCAAGTTCTCTCTGGCTCTTAACGAGGCTGCTTGAATCTTGGTTACTCTTTCCTTTCTTTCCAACTCATATATCTTCAATCCCTCCGCAATAGACAAGTTGAATTTCTTGGAAAATATGTATCCCAAAGCACCCGAGTCTTCAAATGCAGCAACTGCTCCCTGAGACTGGTCTGGCATCATAGCATGGGCAGCATCTCCGAGTAAAGCCACTCCTTTGGTACCTGTTTCACTGGCTTTATAGAAATATGGTATCGGCTCGTGAACATACAATCTCCACTGCTTGATATCGTATCCACATTTGGTGAATAGCTCCACCAACACCGGGTCCAATCCTTCGCAGGATGATATGAGCTTCTCCAACGAAACGTCGTTGTTCCAGTCGTTTTTCTCATCACCCTCACCGGCTGCAAAAAAACAGTAGCACGAAATCACCTCGTTATTGGCGCATGGGGAAAGCACTATCTTAAACTTAGTTTCTCCCCAGTACTCAATGGCTTCGTTATTAGAGTAGTCAGTCAATCCCAACTCTTTGACCTTCTTGGTGTCAAACAAAACACGAATACATCCTGAGTCGGAGCTCTTAAAAACAGGAGTTATGCCCAACTGTGGTTTGGTGAGACTCCGAATCCCATCAGCTGCAATTACTAAATCAACGGTAATGGTTGTTCCATTTTCAAACTCGACAAAGCCAGTGTTGTAGTCGACCTTGGTGGCTTTGTGATTCAAGAGCAACTCGCAAGGTTTTCCCTCACCTTCTTCAGATGTAGCATAGTCCTTTAATACCTGGTGGATATCGATTCTGTGAAGATTATAGTATGGAAAACCATACTTTTGCTCATAGTCTCCAAGGGGATATTCCAGAATGATTTCACCGTTTTCCCACTTTCTCTTGATGAGTTTTTTCAAAATAACCGGTTTAGCCTTACTGAAATCAACACCCCAATCGTGTAACCATCTACCCCCATTGGAAGCACACAGTAACGAGGCCCCCACTTCTCCGGCATAGTCGTATCTTTCATAAATTGTGACATTATGGCCTTGTCTTCTCATGGCAAGAGCGGCAGATAAGCCTCCAAGACCACCTCCCAACACGGCAACGTCTAATGATTTCCAGGTGTTGACGGTCATATTGCTGCTGAGGAATTAGTAGGACATTTGCAGATTATATAGTAGCCATTCGCGATCTGATCGCAAATGCGGAAAATTCGCCGGTGCTATGCCCGAGATAAGAGAGTGTCATCGCCGGAATGCGAATAAAACAGCCCACCGGCGACTTGACTTAGAATTTGGAGCGGTTAATCCGTGTGCATCAGGCCGTACTCACTAACTATGGCTACGTCTTGTCATCAAGTTGTTTATTATACCCAGAAAAATGAAGAATATCACGAAAATAAAAAATGCACTAATTACCATAAAATCATTAACACCAACCCTAACCTAAAATATACGTTTGCACTTAAAAAAGACAAGCGTATCATTTTTTAACCTCAACCTTATTTCCACATTCCAAACATCCGTAGCCCTCAGAGCCATCGTCGAAAGTGGTAACACCCTTGGTTTGCATCAAAGACCATTCACCTTTAGCAGGGATTTTTTTGCAGCTATTGTTTAAGCATCTAGCTGATGTCTTTTTGTAACGCAAACCACAGGAATTACACAACTGGCCTTCTTTCGAGCTCCACGATGGTCTCCAACATGGAGACTGGTCTGAGCCACAAGAAATACACACTCTCGGAGGATGATTCTTGGTGGGAGACTTAAGAGGCTCTGCTTTCGATTTGGTGGACTTCGATGATGGCGGAGTGATTGGAATGAACTTGGTGTGCTTCTTTGGAGGAGTCACCGGCTGTTCAGGAATGTAAGTTGGATATGCCGATGGTGGAAGAATGTTTACCACGGTGGCAGATGGCGATGCCATGAATGCTGGATAAGGTGGGTATGAGGATTGGTATGGAGGAAGATACTGTTGATGATAATGTTGTTGTTCGTAAGCCCTTTGTTCACGCTGTTGCCTCTCAAAGGCCGCTTCCTCGTTGTCCTTGGGACTGGTGGGCTCCACCACTTGGTGAGGGTAAAGTGGTGGGAAATGAGCAGGCTTACTGACTCTGTGGTATGGCATTGTGGAAGAATTGGATAGTTGCACCAACGATTCTGCCAACTCCAAGTACTCGGGATATTTCTCCACATCATAGAGATAAGTTTGGTTCAAGTACGTGTAGTTGGACTCGTAGGGAAAGTTGATCTTGCGTTCGGGCTCGAAGCTGATGGGAGGTAAGATGGGTTTTGAAATCTTTGAATCAAAAACGGGTCGTGCGTGGTTGTTGGACACCGTATAGTGGTTCATATTGTATGTTTTATTTTTGGTCATGGTGTCCAACAAGCCGTATCTCCAGTTTTCATCGTTGGGCTTATATGTGTCAAAATAATCCAACGAAGTGGTGGGAGTGATGGGTTTTAGGTTCTCGACGTTTTCTCGTAATACAGTGGAAAAACTAGGTAAGGTCACATTGGACTTTTTGGTCTTCTCCACCTGAGGCTTGGTGACCTTATTGCTGCTTTTCCTGGTGTGCAATGTGGGAGAAGAGGGAGTAGGAGACCTAGTTTTCTTGCTGGGGCTCAAAGAACGAGGTCTTTTGATGGTATTCTTGTCGAAAACATCTATGACTTCCACTGTTTTAGCTGACACTGGTGAAGGGCTTTGTGGGGGTGCTGTCTTTGAACGCTTGTTGGCGACATTGTCGATGGGCTCGATAGAAGCGTCTGAGTCGGTCCTGATCAAATCGTTGTAGCTTCTTTTTCTGGATCTCAACCTCGTCTGCTCAGACGATACCGACTGCTTAAACAGGTTCAATAACTCATTAAACGAACCAGATCTGAGATGAGCTGGTTGGAATGAAGGGTCTATTTGGTTATTGTACATGCTAGTTTCAACACTCATAATTTGCTGGTGGTGAAATAAATGGGAAAATTAAAGTGGTTCTGATATGGCTGCAAAACGCTATGCTGACGGAAAAATGGAGAGGAGCGTGTGCTGGACAAGATCTGGGTGCTACAAGATGGGTTGCAGGTGTGGTGTTGAAGTGGAAGTGGGATGAACTGAATGCAATGTCAAACCTACCTGGATGGGTTAACTTTCAAAAAGAACTTAAGGTACGGTTCAGGAGGAAAAAAGGTCTTCAAGAAAAAATCGGTGGATGTTACGGTATATATAAACTTCCAGCCACCTGGACAAATGATCTAAACAATGCAAGGACGAGTTGATCCAGCACTCTTACATCCCAATCCGGCAATGTGATTCCAGCGAATGGTGACAGAATCAGTTTCTGTGCCTAATTGATTCTCAACCAGCATTGTGCGATATTGATTCAATACAAACTCATGGCTGGTTAATTTTTTTTACCAGCCCGCGCATCTATTTCGGGCATTTTTTTTGGGTGCAACCGCTGGATCTGGAGGTTTTACAGGGAGAGATCATTGTTGTGTCATCACTGGCGGGAACCCTTGAATGTGTGGTGGAAGGTGTGCCTATTTGGGTATTTTCATCACCTGGAGCGGGTAGTGATTCAGATCTACCGGTGGGTGCCCCAAACATGAGAGGGTCTTGTCTACGTTTTCTCTAACAATCGTTTATTCTCTACTTCTTGACTTCCTGTTCAGCCTTGTTTTCCGCCTCATTAGCACCAATTCCCCCGGCCACTCCACTCACTATATGACCCACTTGGCCCAAGCCGGCCTTATCTGCCAACTTGTTGGCCCCCACGGACCCAGCGACGCTCACAGCGATGTTTTTGGCGAAATTAGCTTTATCGTCTGGCATTGTTGAATGTAGTTATTAAATATCCCCAAATGATAGGGGATTTTACGGCTTTTATATTAAAGTTATTATTGCTATTTGGTTGTGAAATATGATATTGCACGAACACAAAAGCAACTTCGCGAACTCTGCTGAAACTTCACCGCACTCGAGCACACATGAACCAGGATCCAAGTATGTATTTTTACTGCCCGCAACCGCAATCCAAGAGTTGCCAGTCCTAACGCGTGACTTTTACCCCCAGTTCCATTCCGTCCACCCACTACAAGTGCGTCATTCCAGTTACTAACTTCCCCAGCACAACCCATCGAGCCGTTTCTCAAAGGCCTTGTGTCATCGTTGGACCTCAACAACAAAGCATACCCCAACGTCGAGGCATATGCCACGCAATTTGCCCGTCAGCTTAAGCCATCCAGTGGGGTTGTGTTGAACGGAAACCCCATTGTGTCCAACAACTCCAAACTCGAGTTTCAAAAAAACTGGCTTCTGTCGCCCTTAACGTCACATCAAATTGGAAATTTCGACTGCCATCTAATCCCTGGTACCGGGACCGTGTTGATCAACGTAACGGGAAAGGTGCGGTTTGATGAGTCAGGAAACAGCAGGCTTAATGAGCTGGCTGATTTAATTCAAACGTCTATAACCGATCAGAAGAAGCCGGTGTGGGGCTCGTGGTTTGGGTTCTATCTTCATTTGGTGGTGGATGAGACGGTGTTGACCAACAGTGACAGCGAGTTGATCAACAACTTTGACTACCGGATCACGTATAAGCCGAAAGATAGTGTGGTTGAGATATAGCATATAAGACATTTGAGAGTAGAGTATAACGGTTGAAGAACGTGAAAAGTCTATTATGTGTGCAATCATACTATATCTAGACATCAACATTCTAAGTAATTAAATCAACATTTTAAGTAATTGAATAACCATTTTAAGTAATTATATCAACATTTTAAGTAATTGAATCACCATTTCAGTGATGAGAACATATTTGGACCCTTGTTTTGAAACTAAATTTGTGTCACCAGGATTTGATTAAAAGCCTCGCTGCCAATATGATAGAGCAGAATTTGCTTCCCGAAGACACAGTTGACAGGGCATATTTAAGGATCACATTGAGATGATGGAAGCAAAGTACAAATTATACGACAAAATAGACCTTGATAATAGTGAATGCTCTATTTGTACCAAAACCCTTATAGGCATGAGTGAAATCTCCAGAAGCACTTGTGTATATACTTTCTGTTTGAACTGTGTGATCGAGAATCTCGATTTCTGAAGAAGAACCAGGTTACCTCTTCGTGTTGGTAAGAACATTCGGTGCTTGAAGTTTGTTGGTGGTTTACTCAAAATTCAAAGACAAGAAATTCTTTAGCTAAGGGAGTTCCACAACTCTTCTCACTACGGATGTATTGCTTCTTTCCTTGAAAGCGGGAGGTGTCAGCTTAACAAATTCACCGGTACATTTAATTTAAGCGTTTCTACTCAAAGCACGTACAAACCCACAAACTTGCCAGCACCGTTGGTGACTCAGACCTGAACTAATTAAAATGATGAATCATAGAATACAAGTCAGATATATATATTGTAAAAAACACAGAATGTTTTGGAATAGTTGCTTGTCTATAGTCAAGGTATTTGAATACATTTGGTGAGCAAACACAAATTCACTATAATAGTGGAACAGGTCCTAGCGTAACCATTTATCAAAGCGGAGAGTTTTACTAACGGCCTTAGTTTCTCGTTGCACATAAACTACTAATAGCTTGTGGATTATGATCATGTAAGAATGGACCAGCGAAAGCATATTTCTTCTAAACAGTATAAGTTAACACGAGCTTGGTAAACAAAATCAGTGTAGATTTCTGCCGATACTTCTGGTTCCCAATGATAGTAATATCATCCTTGATGCAGATACCCAATTGAAGAAATGATTTACAGGTTTTCCTAAATCAATGAATTCTGTCAAAGCAGACCCGGGTGCTTGAGTTTTTGCAGCCATATTTTTGCCAATTACTTCAATGCTCAACCTCGAAACCTGAAACAACTGTTTTATTTTTGAGAAAAGGTATACAAATACAAGAAGCGATTAATCAGAAAATCAAGCCAAAACCCAAACAAACATGCAAACTAATACCAAAGCTAAAGTATTGGAAGCGTGAGAACCTTCACCCTTGTAAAGCGAAGGCACAATTGAGGTCTCAATTCCAGTAGTACCAGAACCAATTGTGCTTGTACCGGTAGCACTGATATAACCTGAGAATTCGGTAATGGTAGGTAGCACAGATGTTTTGACTGCTTCGGCGACATAAGTAGATTCTTGGGAGACCGCCATTGCACTTACTCCCAAAGTCGGTTTGTAAATTACCACAGTTTCGTCGCCGTTTGAGCATGTCGTGGTGGTTGTAGACGTGATAGTGGAAGTCCAGAAAACAGTGATTGTGCCGCAAGATGCATCGGTTGTACCGGACGCTTCACTGGAGACTCCACTGTCAGTACCGTTATTTCCTATATCGGTGGATATTATAGAATCTAATGTGTTCCCCGTTTCAGCCGCAGCTGATCTGGGGATTGTAGCTACTGAGGACTCAAAAGAAACTAGAGTGGTTATCGAAGTTGAACCAGAAAATTGAGTAACCCAACCAGACAACTCAGATCCAAAAGATGAGCTGATAATACTGGACGAATTTGTGTAAGAAGCCTGCTGACTCCTGAGAGATTTGGATGTAGTTTTTGATGTTTTTGAAATCTCCGAGCTGCTTATTGCTTGTGAGCTGCTTGTGGGTTGGGAACTAGATGACAGTTCCAAATTGGTGAAACTATCGGAGACCTGGGAACTCGAACCCTCAGACGAACTTGAGACTTCCGAACTGCTTGAAGCTTCAGCGATGATTGAGTTAATTGAAGATTCGGAGGTTTCGGTGCTGCTTGATGATTCCAAACTGCTTGATGATTCCAAACTGCTTGAAAGCCCATTGGAAGGCACATTATAGTAAAATGGTATATCTCCTATTGGAGGATAGCTCCCATCAGGATACATCACAACAAGTCTAAGTATCAGGGAGCCGATACTGTTATAATAATCCATTTTGAAAGGATAGTACTTTCCTGCCTCTAAGAGTACCCAAAAATAATCCAAATCATTGGTGTCGGCAGAATAATGTTCATTATCAAAGGACATCTTGTACCCATCACTAGCACAATCTGAAGCAATATCTTTACCAATGAAAACAGCAACAAAATCATCGATACCTAGAAACTTAAATTTATGGTACCCATCTTGCTGAGCGTAGAAATAGCCTGTATATCTTAACCCAAGAGGATTCACTATTAGGCTTTTTCCATATAGATAATGATAGTCGGTATCCGTATTTTTAATTGTGAAACTGAAGAACGTATAAGTAACTCCGTAGATCGTACTCACTGAAGTGGTCTCGTCTACGTGTTGAAGATAGGAAATGTTCTGCCCCAAAATCACAGGAATTACATCCACTTGAAGGCCTCGAGAAAGCGCTTCTGGGTTACAAGATACTGGAGAAAAATGTTGAACCATATGAAGGGTTTGAAAGGTAATGTGAAAATATCCTCAATCACCAGCATTTAGCCACTTTAATAGATGTGAGAGGCAGCCAGGGGTAAAACAAACCCTCAACTCCATTACGAACCAGGCATTATTTGAACTACAAGATTATCTAACTGCCTGCATTGTGGGTCAAAAATACGCTTAATTGGGACACATTCTTGGAAATAACGCCCCTAGTACTGTATCTTGAACACTTTACGTTTCATTAAATACAGAGCGGGATCGCCTTCGCGGGTGACATTAACATGCTTCCGCGAGATGTGGACCTTTGGTTGGCTATCGAACAGCGGGTGTATTTTGTAATCAGGACGAACAAAATATTTACTTATCTCAATAAACCCGGTTTTGTCGGGCTCATAACTCAGTACATTTATCAGGAGTATTTAGATAATAAACCCTTGATTTCCCTTCTCAAAGATAGGGCTCAAGAAGGCTTTTAGTGGGTTGTAGTTTGTACTCAAGATGCCTCTCATCAGATGTCATTGGTATAATTCCAACATTGTGGCTATTATAGTACTGGGACGTTATTGACTGCATACCTAGTTATGAGGATGTTGTGTGTTATTTCCCATGGATACATTAGGTTACAAAACCATTAACTCATTTGGGCTAATAACATATAACCATTGACCAGTGCAGTTGTATATTAAAGGAAGCTTTCAGGCCTCTAAAATATACAAATCACTGGAAACAGCGTTGTTGAGACTAAAGCATCCAGCCATTGTAATTTACTCAAAATTTCTCTTTATTTTCTGCCATTTTTACGGAAGAGTGGTTTTCCGCCAACATCGTGGCTGCCAAACTGGCGGGCATATTGCTGACTCTTCTGGAAACAATATCTTGTAAATACAATAACCATTTCTAAGTAAGTGAACCAACATTTTGTATTTAAATCAACATTTCAAGTGATGAGTCTACATTTTGTAATTGAATCTACATTTTATTAATGAATCAACATTTCTAAGTGACCCACCTTCTCTACACAGAATTTTGTTGTACGTACTCCCCCAACAACTCACCCAAATACTTCCTCGAGTAAAACTGTACCTCCCCCGAATAATCACTCCCCGTAAGATCCTTAACCACCTGAAGCACATTCTTCGCAAGAAAGTTGTAGAACACCAAGTCGATATTGGTTTCCTTCCTATCATTTATTTGCACCGCTTCAACCACATTTGGCACCGGAAAGTTGATTGTGGGTTTGTGGATGTTATCATCTCCATCCGTCCCAAAATCATCGTGAGTCACATACCCTTTGGAGAGCTTCAAAGTACTTGGACTTCTGAATACCTGCTGTAAAGATCCCAACTTTGGACTCATGGTCGCCAAAAAATTCCACTTGTTTCTTGTCATGTATGAAAACTGACTGGTAGGAAGTAAATTGATGTAGGTTTTGCGGTTCAATTGCTTGGATACTTGCAATGCAATGGATTTAGGCAAGTTTAGCTTAACCCAGTCATTCTTGAAGGGAGAAATACTATACTTGGTGTCGATGGTGAAGTTCCCCTTGTATAAATCATATCTAACGGATCCTGTGTTGATAATAATGGCTCTCTCTTCTGCTCCATTGACCTCTAACGATGGTAACACTTTGTCTGTCAACAATTTGAAAATACTATGAGGGTGAGTAATGGGTACATAGTCCATGTAGTAGTTTGAAGATACATGGCCAAGGTACTCATTTAAATTCAACTCCTCCCGGGTCTTCACAATCAAATCTTTAATGTCGTTGCCCTTCTTGGTGGAAAGCTCAGAAGAGTTTAAGTGGTGTTTGAACGAGTCGAGGTTGAAATCCAAATAACTTCGGAAAAACTGATTCAACCCCAGACGAGTTCTATCGATGCTTAACCACCCAACCGTCTCACAGAACCTCCCACTCTCAAGCGAAGTCAGGTTTTCATCGTACACCACAAAATCTCGAATATGACTGTGGCCACCAAAGTACTGAATCACCGTTTCTGGGTAATGTTTTCTGAGAACCTTATGCAAAAGGTCCAACTCTGTCCACTCGTGGGTGATAGGAATGTGTCCGATCACAACAATATAATCCACCGAAGGTGAAGGATGCAGTTTCAAGATGTCCAAGAACCAGTCCTGTTGAAGAACCTCTGAAATGGGTGTCACTTTAGTCTTGTCGTTGTTTCTGTTAAAGTCAAACAAGAATCCAAACAGCAAAATCTTATACTGGTTGATTGGAGTCTCGAAATATCTGTACTTGGTCCCAAAACTGTGGAACGAGCCATTGACGAGAATTTCAACATTAGTCAGAATGTATGCGTCTTTGTACCGTTGAACCACAAAGTCATATTCTGATTCCGAGTTCTCCCATTCGTACAATTCGTGGTTTCCAATAGTAATGAGATCGTAGTCCTGTTTTGTGAATATAGGTAATGACTTGGCTCCATTAGGAACAGTGACATCTCCAAGACCATTGCCGTCGTGCTTGTCACCGGTATCAATTAGGAGCAAATCCTGGTTGTTTTCATGTGCCTTTTTCTTCATCTGGATCGAGAAAGACACAAAGTCCCCCCAATTGGCGTTATACTGTTTTTGATTTAAATGACCCGAGTACCAGCCATGGGTGTCGGTGGTGTGGAGGAAGTTAATATCTCCCCAACGAATGTCTCGGATGGGGGAAAAAGCGGTGGTAGTATTCTCTGGGATTTTTTGTTGCCGCTGGACTAAGAATAACAAGGCCACAAGCCCGATGAAGGGAAAAATAACAAGTTTCATCGGTACGGCTTGGGGTTGTTTCGCTATCTTATCTGCGCGGAAAAGTGGTTATTGAGAAAAACGAAATACAACCACACATTAAACTCCCACCAGACACATTTTACATATCTGACCACAAAACTCCTATCAGTCGGTGGAACTGAGGCACACTGGCCCCCCATTCGCTCGCTTCTAAATCAACGGTCTAATATTAACTATACAGTCATTAACTTACAAACCGCTCTGGGCTCTTCTTCTGTCTCTTTCTTCAGAAATAGACAACTTGATACCCTTACCCTTTGGCAAAGACACGTATGGCTTACCGGCCTCGGTACCAATGACAAAAACGTTGGACAATCTGGTGACGAAAGTGTTTTCCAAAGAATCCTTGATGTGAACCAAGTCGAATCCTCCTTCATGTCTTTCTCTGTGGACAATTACACCCACTCTACCCAAGTTACGACCACCAGTAACCATGACCAATCTACCGGTGTCAAACTTGATGAAATCGGTGATTTTTCCGGTTTCCAAGTCAATCTTAACGGTATCGTTGGCCTTGATGGCTGGGTCTGGGTATCTGATGGTTCTACCGTCGTGGGTGACGGCGTATGGAATACCTCTCTTACCCAATTGGACCTTCTTGACCTTACCCAACTTGTAAGAAGCTTCTTCGTTGGTGATTCTGTGAACAGCAAATCTACCCTTGGTGTCATAGATCAATCTGAAGTTTTCGTTGGTGGCTTCCAAGGAGATAACATCCATGAAACCGGCGGGGAAGGTGGCGTCGGTTCTAACCTTACCGTCGACCTTGACGTGTTGTTGCATCAAGATGGCCTTGGTTTCTCTACCGTTTAAGGCATACTTCAATCTGTTTCTCAAAAAAACAACCAATGGCAAGGATTCTCTCAACTTGTGGGGACCGGCGGAAGGTCTTGGGGCGTAGGTTCCGGACAATTTGTCCAACATCCAGTGGGATGGAGCTGCTAATCTCTTCAAATGCTTCTTTGGTCCTCTAGCCATTTTGATTTACTGATGATGGAGACTGAAAATTTTCGAGACTTTTTTTTTGAGGTCGCGGGTGCGGGAGGTGATGATGTGCAGGGCACCAGCCCTGTGACCGCTGACCCCGGACACCCACCCCAGTTCTGACCCATTTGAAATACTACTGTCAGCTTGTGGGGTGATTGATAATATGTACTGAAACCTACTTATTGTTGTGGTAGCGTGTATCTGGCGTAAAAAATATATATTTGGTTGCAAAACTGCTGCAACTCACTTGTTCCAAAACCAGCCTTTTTTCAAGGCCTTGAGCTGTGAATCCACCTGGTGTTCCTGTTCCACTAGCTCATTCAACTGGTCTTCTAGAGCAATGTTCCGCTCTGTCTCCAGCTTGTTCTCAACCAAAAGCTGTTCAATATGCTGCTCGATATTGTGAGGCACATCGTCTTCTTTAAAGTCCTTCATGTCGTTAAGAGTGTTGATGAGCAGCTGGATGTCATCCTCAAGATCGGAGTTCTGACTCATAAGTTCTGGAAGTCGCACCTTCAAGTTGATGAGTCCCTGGACCACTTGAAGATGGTCTTTATTCAAGTTGAACAAGTCCATTTGCAAGTACTTGATCTGGTTTCTGAGCTTACCATTGGTCAAGTTCAAGAGGTTGATATCATCCAACTTCTTCTCGTTAAGCGCATAGAGTTTCTGGAATTCTGCTTCGAACTTCTGGAGAAGGTTTGGGTTCAAATTGGTGAAGCCCGTGAAGATCTTGGAAGTATCATAATACTGATTGGATCCCGGTTGGAAGTCTTTCCGCACAAGCACATCGAGTATGTTAGTGTTCAAGTACGCGAGAAGTGAATCTGAGTTTAACCTGAGAAGAATGGACTCGTTTAGTGCCATGAGCCGAAGGGCGAGCTTCAAGAGAAAATCCACTCCTTCAAAAATAACAAAGTCGTAGATTCGGAGAATGACGTCGATGGGGAACTTGTAGCTGAACAACGTCAAAAACCACTGGCTGGCAAACGAATTGGACCGGATCCCTCTTTTGATCAAATGGTTGAACAAGGAGGGATGGTATATTTCCATCAACCGGTCAAACTTGTAGAGCATTAGCTGCAATCCTTTCATGTCGCTATCATAAAGCTCCCGCAAGTTGTAGTCCTTCATAAGCGATACAAAGAGACTGAAGCTTTCGAGTTCAGGCAACTTGAGAATGATGGGTGAGATCAAAAATATAAAGCTTTGGTTGTACCCGATCTCCTGATCATACTCACTGTATATCTTTAAGTTGCTGAACACCTCGTTAATCTTGTCGTACTGCTGGATCGAGTTGTAGAAGCTGTTCCGGGTGATATCCTTCTTGATTTGTCTTTCGTGTATGGACGGAGTCTGTTTGTTCATCAAGTAATAGTCGTTCAACTTCAAGGTGCTGGACCGGGCCGTCACCTGCCACACGCTGCTACGAATCTCGTCGGGGATCCCGTTGGCTACAAGCCCTGCCATCTGATCATGGGTCAATTTCTGTTCCAATAACTGCTGCCATTGGTCCCAGTCGATGGTACGCGACGAGTCGTTGGCAGTAATGGCTGACTTGAGATGGTTGAAAAGCGAGATATGGTTGGCGATACCGTCCTTAACGGATGCCTGCTCAGCTTTGGATTTCTGGTGGAACATATCATCAATTCGCTTTAGGTTGAACTGCATCAACAAGTTGGCGGTGGGTTCCAAGTCAACGGGAGAAACGGTGATGGGTTCTTTGAGGTGGAGGTAGTCCTCTACGACGGCTCGTGCGGGCACCGGTGGGTCCAATGGTGTGTGGGAAAGGGGAGGTGGTGGTGGGTGATCCGGGGTCTCCAGGGCGTGGGAAGGATCGGGGCTTTCGTAGACGGAATCGGAATCGGCGTCTGCGGGTCCATCACTGTCGTTATGAGATGGTGATGTTGGAGGGGAGATCTCGTGCTGGGCACTATTGTCGTCTGTACCTGTTGGTGGCAGATTCATTGCTGGTACTATTTTTGTTTGGGGTTTAAAGTCGCACTATTTTACAAAGCATTAACACACCGTGAATATTTGATCCTATAAAACATAATCCTTCCCGTCTGGCCCATACACCCACCAAAGGTCCAGATCCATCCACCCACCAAAGATATCTCGTAAATCGTTAAAGCAGGAGCTGGGAAACGTATCCAGAGCCCGATAAGTCCTCTGAATCCACCCGGTAAGGACTTAAACCTACCCTAACAGGAGCAATTCTACCGGGAAAAAGTTCCTTGTTCATCGCCGAAAGCCATCCCGTGGCTAGGTTCTCAGTTATGGGCAAGAAATCCGCTTGCTGGTCGGCTAACAAGTCAGAGAGCTCTTTTTTGGTCAAATTGTCGAAATGAACGGCAATTCGAGCTCCACAAGATGCTGGCAAGTCTCCCAATTGCTGGAGAGATTTAAGCGCATCAACACACCATGTGATTTCGGCCATTTTTGACTCCAATCCTCCAATAATATCGCTCACTGTTAACCCATGCACTTCCTGTTTGACAGGTAATGGATTGTTCATCATTACTCTGCACCCGACATTATCGTAGGTGTTTGTGAGGCTATTGTAGAAGCGCGACTTATCATTTATGACGGTGAAACGAGTCATCACGTTCACAAAGGACCATTGGAATGCAGACTCCACGAGTTTTGTCCGATAGAAACTGCAAAGCTTCTGTGAGAGTCGGACCAGCGTCCCGCGTGGGGCCGAATTGGCAGTGGCGGTACGAAGAGCGTACTGGGCGAGTCCTGTGCTTTCCACGGGCACTTGGAATTGAGAAGTGAATTTGGGGGCACTAGTACTATAGTCTCGGTAATTGTTTCTGAAGGGTTTCCTTCTAGGCCCGGAGACCGGAACACGCACTGGCACGGGCGAGCGTGCACGAGGCACTAGCTGGTGCTCGATAGTGTTGGCCAAGTCATCCAAGGCCTTTTTGGCTTTGTCCTTGAACTTCCCGAGTTGTTTGAACATGGTTGGGGGTGAGTAGTGTGATCCGTTTCGGCTTGCGCGCGGTAAATGGTGCAACCACACGATCGCACAATCGGTGCACGACTGTTGCAAATAGGTGGTACAAGTTTTAAATATGGAGCAACTACCCTACCCTCTACCCAGCACTCGTTTCGTAATTTATTCGTCTATACTCTAGTTAAAATTTATAACCTCATCAAAAATGGAGTAGTCTCCAATCTCATTATTCTGGCGAGATGCCAGCAACTCAAACCCATCCGAAGGTTCAAGTTTTATCTTCTTTATTCCCGCGAGTGAACCAGACTCGGGCATTTCGAACTGAGCCTTGCGGGCCCCCGAGATACCGAGGTCCAAGTAGTCCACTAGCATTTTATCATTAAGCTCATTCGACTGGATCAAATTGAGATCCAATTTGACCTCACTCTCGTTAGAAAAGATTGAATAAGTGGGAGAGTGGGCCAACGAGTTTAGGTTGGAGTCGAGGTAATCGGAGTCAATTTCAAGCGGTTTTGGTGATACCGGTATCCCGGTGATGTCAAACTTGTCATTGTGGGAGGTGGCCGGAGTCGAGGCCGAGGCGATGGCGGTATCGCGCGAAGAGTCACTCGCCATGGGGCGCGAGCTGGGAGACGCCGAATTGGACGCGGCGGGTTCCAGTGGCAGTTTGTGCGACTGCGACTGCGACTGTAGCGCCCCGAGCTGCGGCTGTTGCGTCTGGTGCTGCGACTGGGGCTGTTTCTGGTGCAAGCCCTCTAAGGCCTGCCGATGTTCAGACAAGGTGGATTTGTAATTTTGGTCGGCAACCAATTGGTCAATGTCATACGCATGCGACACCAAGTATTCCAAAATCGACTCCAACTTTTGGACCCGGTTTTCAACTTTTGTAAGATGGTTTCTTGTGAGTGGAGACCGAACCATCCGGGGACTATAACAGCAGTCCCAACTATGGGTGAGGCATTTCAGGCATCTGGGATACTCTTTGGAACACTTTAACTTTCTCTTTCGGCACGAATCACACGCTTGTTCGATGGAGGCATCACTCATGGTACAGATAAATAAAGATGTTGAAATTTCAGGGATATTTGGATAATTTATAATTCTCCGATCACCGAATGCCGATTCTTACACAAAACAACACCCAATTTTTTTATTTTTTATTAATGCGACCACCGGCATGGTCAACACGAACAAACTAGGTATATACTCCGTACATATTGCGTTAAATACTTATATTGCCCCCTGCACCCACCTTGAAGTTCGGGTGTTCGTATAAATTATAGTTCCGTCCCAGATCTCAGATCTGGTGGCCGCCTAAGAAGTGCGTGTCTCACCTGAGCTCAGACATAGAGACGATTGAGGAACCACTGACAGTTATGCGACATCCATTCAAAGTATTCATCTATAACTAGTAGCATCCATTGACAGCAGTAAAAACCATCGGTAAACCATCTAGAAGCATCAGGAACCCAACCGTTGCTATTGTTGGCGGTTCTTATCAACAAAAAAAATACCTCATCTCTAAGGTACCCCTCTTCTACGCTGACTAGGTTTCTTTTTTGGGCTGAAGGTGGGCCGATCTGGGACAAAAGGTTGGTAAATGTTCCGCTCCGAAATGACAGTCCGGCACAACCGTTACCGTTGAAGTGATTGCAGATGCCCGTGGGTTGAAAGTGCCGATAATGAACGTAGCAAATGAGACCACTTCCACCTTCGAGAATCGGATTAACCAGCTGGCACTATGCGGTTATGTGCAGGAGGGGATTTGTGAGGGGAGTGAGTGCCAGGTTCGCCGGAGGTTGACTTCCGGGTGGACGCCGCACTCTGCCCACCCTTGGGTTTAGCAGCCGGGTTGTTTTGACTGCCGGGTGTCTCAAGTGCCGGGTGTCTTAGGTGCCGGGTGTCGTCTTAGGGGCCGGGTGTCTCAAGTGCCGGGATTCCTGGGACTTTACCGGATCCTTACACCGAATCATCATGGTAAACAAACCCGCTCGCGCTGGCGTACGCTGGCGCGTACCGCACGTACCGCGCATCGTCCGGCGGCCGCTCCTGCTTGGTGTTGGATTCAAGCATGCTCTGAAGACTCAACAAAATGCTCTCTATAGAACATGCTGGAGTCCAATCATTTCCAAGTAAATTGAGGCAAATGTGCCCGTTTGAATACACGTGCGGGTGCATGGGAATGTCGTATGCTCCCACCTCCTGCAAAAACTTCACTTTTGGAGGTGCCACTGGATACTCATCTGTGAGTTTTACGATTAACTTCACTGGCTCTTTATAAAGTTGGTGGTTGTTGAGCACTACCATCTCGAATTCAAACTCACTCAACTCCTCATTATTTGACACGAGCTCGATCCCCGGTAAGGTGGCTTTCTGGAGGCTTCGGTACTCTTTCAAGATCCGTTTGTAAAAGGGATGTGACATCTGATGAATTGATTCAGTCGCGCGCACAACCTACATCACGTCCGCCACGATACGAAGATGGGGGCAACCAATAGAGGCCACCGATGGGGGCTCACTTACATGGTAGTGGTAGTGGTAGGTAAGAATCGACTCTCATTGTCACTGTCACTATCACCAACCCCTCCCCCTCTCATATTCAACTCTCACCCAAAGGTCGTGTCTCCCTGGAAGCTCTACTGTGGCACACCTTGATCGTCGCGCACTTTCTACTTATCAATCAAAGGGATATGGACTCGAAGCTCAGAATTGCCTGTGGCCAGTTCACGGTTTCAGCCAATGTGAGTCACAACTTCCGGGTGATCCAGAAGCTCGTGCGCCTGGCAGTCGCCCAGAACGCTCGCGTGTTGTTTCTTCCTGAAGCCTCGGACTACCTTTCCAAAAACCCGCAGCACAGCTTCAAGTTGAGCTTGACCACCAAAGACCTTCTTCTCACGCCACTCTCAAACGAGTTGCGCCGGATCTACAAAGCTTCCACCAGCGATGACCCGGATCGTGGCCTCTTTGTGCTGATTGGCATCCACGAGCCCGACGTAGCGTCAGGGAAAACCATTAATAAACTCTTGTGGCTCAACAACCAGGGAGAGGTACAATACGCATATAGTAAAATCCACTTGTTTGATGTGAACATCAAGAACGGGCCGATTTTGCGGGAGTCCAACTCGGTGGTTCCTGGGACTGAGGTGCTCCCGCCATTTGCAGTGCCAGGTACCGGATTTCAGGTGGGATACCAAATTTGCTATGATATTCGGTTTCCGGAATTGAGCTTGAAACTCTTCAAGTTGGGTGCCAATGTGTTGACGTTCCCATCGGCTTTCACTGTCAAGACTGGCGAGGCCCACTGGAAGAACTTGGGCCGTACTCGCGCCATTGACAACCAATCGTACGTGGTGATGGCAGCGCAGTGCGGTGAGCATCAGTTGGTGGACGACGATGATGACGGCGAGGTCACCAAGCGCGTGAGCTACGGAAACTCGCTTATCATTGATCCCTGGGGTGAGGTGATCGGGGAGGCAAAGAAGTATGATGAAGAATTGACAGTCGATGCTGATGGAGACTACTGGGAGGTGGTGGTGGCAGACTTGGATATAGATAGGGTGGAAGCCATCCGGACGAACATGCCGTTGTTGGAGCACCGGCGGGATGATATTTTCTAGAACCTAGTGATAGTGTTTGTCAAATAATATGCCTATTTGTTGCAGCCGCGTAGTTTGCAGCCACCACGATGCTCGCGGCGTTGCTCGCGAGGCGCCACCCCCCACCAGGTGGGTGCGCTCCCCTCTGCTCAACTATTTACTTTTGTACCAGCTTTGTGCCACTCAACATAGCCCAGCCGGTGAGAGGGAGGGGAACCATCTCCTCATTTTCCTGGCGACGTCTGACTCCCCTGGTGCGAGGGCTACCGCCACCGCCACCACAGCGCGACCCATGAGGGGAACTCAGGCGGGAGGGGAAGATATGTTGGTTTGGGCGTGTGCGCACCGCCTCGTATAGGTTCGCCTGCGTCAAGATAATCCGAGCAGATCGGTGGTATTTGTACAACTCAACATAAATCAGACACACATCTAACCTCATCATCCATCCCCGCAAGCTTTTGTGTCCACCCCTCTTCACTACTTTACCAACGCTACCACCCTTTTTTTCCCACCCCCGAAAGCCCCTATTCCATAGCCTCCTGGGTGCTCACTATCGCTGTCTAAATTTTGTTGGTTGCGAAAAGTATATGCAGTAATTCCCCTCCTTCATTTGCAAAAGCAAAAAACAGTATAAATACCTTGCCTCCCTCCTCATTTACAAACAACTTCACTCACATCTTTTTCTTATGTTTAGACAAGCAATCACTATCTTCCAGGCTCAGAAGTTGAACCTCTCCTTGTTAAACAAATTGAACAGCTACAACATCAAGGTGGTATTAAAAGATAAACCATGCTACCAGGACTACAAAATGATCCATAATAGCTTTCTTCATATCCACCCCGATAACTTATCGATTTTGGTAGCATCCTACCCTGAATTGTTCAAGGCATCCCACCAAAACTCCAAGATGTACTTGAACGACTTAAACATGGTTTCCGCTGGCGAGTTTAACCGGTTGAAGTTTAACGGCCCCTTGGTGTTTGACGCCAACAACAACTTGTTGGCCAATAACGATCTCACCATCTCACGGTTGTTGAGCAACCACGATCCCATGGCACACAATCACATCAATCTCCACAACTTGGTCCATCCTCACAGAGCTGAGTTTGCGGACTTGTTTTAATGATACACGACGGAATACAAACGGTTTATAGAATTTAATAATAATTATACATCAGCAATAGTCTGATACACAACACAACTACGGTTCATTAACATGATACTTAATATATAATTGATACTAAAAGCCCATTCTCTTGATCACATACTGCTGGGACAATACTCCGAACGACAAATTCAATCCCAGTTTGATCCAGTCCTTTACCCATTCTCTGGGGTCAATGTCCTCATACTCCTGGAACTGGTCCAATTGCTGGCCCATTAACCAGCTGGCCCATACCAATGGGAATGCCTGGGTTTTGGTTTTGATGACTATTTTGTTGGTGACATCGTTTAAAATGATCAAAAAGAAGAAAGAGCTGGGGTTGGTCTGGTCAATGACAATCTCATCGTCATCTTTGTTCACCTCTCCAGAAACGTTTATGGGCTGAATGGAAATAAACACATTGGAACGGTTGATGAGATTCAACTTTTCGTTCAACTCAGTTTGTTCTTGTTTTTCAAACTCGATGGCCTTGTTGAAGTTCTTGACCGAGTTATCCAAGTTGGCCAAGCACAACTTCTCCCCATCAATGAGCTTGCCAGTGAACATGTTCAAGTCAACCTCATCCCCTTGATTGTGATTGTGGTTATAATTATTGATTTGAACCTTAATACCTCCTTCGACCTGGTTCATCACCTTGCCAAAGTTCTTGGAAATCAAGTCATTGAGGTAGGTTAGATTGTTCAAGTCGTTCACAATCACCAAGTTGATCAATTCATCCTCCCCACCAATGGTGTTGATCTGTTCGGTTATGTTGGACAATATGTTGTTTAGTCTATTGGTCAAGTTGGTGATCTGTTGCAAGTTCTTGCCGCCGTTTTCTTCCTGGTCCTTCATGAACTCCTGCCGTTTGGTGTTCAACTGGTTGGTGGTATCGCTGGCAATTTTGTAGGTGGTTTCACTCAAGGTAGTTGCATTTGTGGTGATAGACCCCCAGAGACTTGATACGGCAGTGGACCCTTCTTTGTTCCACCAGTTGGTGATGGAGTTGATGGGGTCTATCTCGAGTTCTTCATTGGCAGACTCGATGGCAGCGGCCGATGGTTTGGTGGGTTTTTGTTCCTGTTCTTGTTCTTGTTCTTGTTTGGGGTCTTCCTTTTTCTTGGGGGACAACTTCAGTGGCTTCTTATCATGAGCGGCCAACTCGTCCAAAAAATCCAACAAATCTTCTTCCTTACCCTCAGGCTTGGGAGTGTTGGACTTGGAGTCGGGCAATGAGTTAATGAACTCTAACACATCTTGATCATCTGTGGACTTTGACATCGTCAGTGGTTAAATTACAATCCACAAGCGCGCGAAAAATCTTGATTGAAATCACTCCACTGACATCTCAAAATGCATCCTCAGTTGGACAAGGTCCGGTTCGACCCGTGTATAGCGCTCATGGACGCCTTGGAAGAGTGCCACCGCCAGGAGTTCATGAAGAAGGCGTTGGGTATGTGTAACTTCGAAAAGGATGAGCTTGACAAATGTCTTCATCACACCCGAGTCAACAATGCCAACGACAGAATTAGACAGTCTAAGCTCCGGCAAAAGGAGGTCGAGCAGCGCCGAAAGGCTCGGGAAGAAGAGTTGTACGGGAAGAACAACTACTTGAAGAAGGTGATTGAAAAACAGATGGAACAAGAAGGATCCAACAAATAACCCACCTCACCACCCATGTATATAGAGGTTACTATGCTTTCTTTTCGTTCATTAAATATATCTAACACCAATGAGCTAATCTTGCCGGGTTTTCAACACCCGCTTGGTGACACTATCTTTGGTCACCACGTAAACCACGGCCCCCCATCCCGACATGGTATCTCTATCAGCAGCATTCAACAATGCCTGACTGATGGTTTCAAACAAGTCGTCAGCCTCCAAGTTGGGTTCATACAACGACTCGCACATCCCGTACAACTGCTCGGAGGCAGTTCCAGACACTATAAAGTCTTTGGCAAAGTCGATACACCCAATAAGATCAAATCCACAAATGAACGGTTTGTTCTCCTTGTTTAAGCCGGCCACCACCGGACCACAGAAGTAAGGCCCGAACCGCTTTTCGTATAATGTGGAGCTCACCAAGTTGGCAAACGTCTGAGGTTCGATCTTACGTTCTTCTCTCAACTCGTACAAGTTATTTTTGAATCTGAACACTTCGTTCAAAGTGGTCACATCGGTGGCTAACCCCGTCAACCCCAACATCACCTTGTCGTTGATGGTGAAAATCTTCTCGAAGTTGTTGGCCAATCCCAATGACTGGGATCCTAATCTTAAATCACAGGCAATAGCCACACAGTCTTTTCCGACCATGGCCACGGCAGAACCTCCTAGATGGGTGTTAGTAGGGCGAATCGCGTGCGGGAAAAGAGCAGCGGTGGTGTGTGACACTGTACATGTCGGATGGCACAACCATTGCTTGCTCAAACGTAGGAGAACGTACCATTAATTGAGCTGGGATCTGACATCTTTGGTGGCGTATACTAGTTGAAGTCGCATTCTTCAATGCGCACTTTTGAAAACCGCTGCCGGGTGTGGGTCGTGTCCCACCCTCACACTTATACTACTACACTTATTACATTAATTTATACAAAATGGTTAGTTGGCTTCAGGTTCGTCCTCTTCCTTGATGGTGTTGTGGCTAAAGCTGTGCACGATTTCCTTGGGTTTTTGTGACTGCAACAACTGGTTGATCGGACTCTCATTATCCTTATAGTTGGATAACGTGTAGGTTTTTGGAGACTTTACCAACGAGAACGAGTTGTTGAAGTCACTGGCAGTCAAATTGGGGATCTGGCTTTGGAGCTCGTTTAAGTTGGAAATGGACTTGGACGTTTGGAAAGTAGGAATGATTTTACCCACGTCCTTCAATCCAATGAACAACTTGCGAATCTCGTACTTGACCAATCTTGACAACTCACTTTCCTCATCGTTATCTTCTTCGTCAACGTCATCATTACTATTGTCTGAACTACTCTTCAGGCTCGCAATGACGGTAGTATCGTTGACAGTATCAGAAAATTCGACGTTATCACTGTCCTTTTCCAAATCTATTTCAAGCTGTTCACGGTCCTTTTCTTCATCCTCCAAGTCGAATCTTAATTGCAAAGCAAACCCCAAGATGATCAAGTAGTTCTTGTACTTCTTTAACTCAAACTTGTAGTCCAACAACTTCGACTCGTAGTTGGCTTGAATTCGAAGAAAATTGGACGAGCTAGCTTGCAGACTGAAGTTCTTGATGAACTTAATTCGCAACTCGTTGAACTCTTTGAAGAGTTTCTTCAAGTTGTGGTAGTAGTTCAACGTCTTGATGAACTGCTTCATCATATTGTAGTGGTTTTCGGACGTGTCATAGTTGTATGTTGATAAGTAAAGTCCCTGAGGCAATGGCTCCCATTTTTGGATACTTTTGAGCTTTTTGAAGTTAGCCTTGTTTCCAATCAACTGGTCCAAATCGTTCCATCCGTACTCAATTGAGGAAACACTTTCTTCAAACGTGGGGATGGCAGTGATCTTGGAAGCCCAGAAGTTACAAGTATTTATGAACTCCAAGGCGATTTCCTTAGTTCCGGCTTCAAACACAAACTTCTTATTAGGCTTCTTGCTGGTCTTAGGGAACGTCAAGGTGAAAATATACCCAGAGGTCTTCTTTATGTAGAGAGAAGACTTCTCCAACTGGGAAAAGGCCGAACACAAGTTGTAGTTACCGACGTTGGCGGCATTCTTCAACCAGTTCCCATCCCCTACATCTTCAGTAGAGTCGTTGAAGGTACTTATATCGTCATCGTCATTCAAGAAATCGAGATTGATCAAGTTCTTCTGCTGTTTCTGCTTGAACTTCTTCAACTTCTGCTGATGTCTCTTGACGACCTTGGGATCAAATGAGTACAAGTTCATCTCTCCCTTGGACACAACAACGAAATACTCCACAAACTTGTTGTTCAACACACTGTTAGATGTAGCATTCAAGCTGCTCGACTCGCTGTTGTTGCCTCTGGAAGACCTTGAAAAGAACGAAAAGAATCGGGAGCTGGTGGAGGAGGCAGTTGATACACTAGAAGTTCCCGAGCTGATGGTACTATCAGGCAAGTTATTGTCCTGCTGGTCGTTATTAAGGATTTTCAACTTTAATAACCCTTCCTTCAAGTAAGGCGACCCTTGTAACTCCAATGTCAAATCGAAGTTGTCCTGGAACTGGTCAACGTTGAAGTTTTCCAATTGGGTCACCTGCTGCTGCTGCTGTTGCGGGTCGACCAAGTTAATTTTATCCAAATCTGCCGACTCAAACGACACCACCGACATCGAGTCGTCGTTGTTGGTGGCCAACGACTCTCGTGACACGATGGAGGCTCGGGATGACCTGTTCACGGCAGCACCATTGAGACCAGACCCATTGATTCCACGAATGGACTGTCTATTTCTCACGGTGCCATAGGTACCATTCGAAACCATGGACGAGTTGCCCTGTTGATAGAACCGCTGGTTCTGGTCCGACACCAAGGCTCGGGTGAACCCTACACGGTTATTGTTTCTAGATCCATTGGTGATGGTGAACTGCGAAATAGAAGAAGTGGCACTCGACATCCGTTTCATGCTCAACGAGTTCCTCTTATTGGTATCACTAGACCAGATGGACGAGCCTGATACCTGTCTCGACAAGTTCAAGTCGTCAATCTTGTCGGTGGAGGAAGAGTTGGGGATTTTCTCATCCGTAGTGGCTACACCCTTGGACAGATCCTTAGTAATGGGCTGAATCCGGGCGAGCTTGTCATCCACATTAGTCTTCAAGTGCAACTCGTTCTTCAGCAAGTCCTCGTAGTAATTGCCCAACTCCCGCTCGATGGTGATTCTCTGTTTGATGGACAATTTCTTCAGCAACTTGGGGTCTTGTTGAATGAAGGTAGTAAAAGTGTTACGAATGTAGTCACTCTGACTGATCTTGGACTTCTTGTTGACCTCAGCGTTGTGCAAGGAGGTGTTCAACAAAATCAAGCTGTATAACACGATATAGATATTTTCAAAGTTCTTGGTGCAAAAAACATTGACGGGGTTCTGCTTGATATAGCTCTGGGTGAAGCTGGTTAAGATCCGATCGATCTCCTGGGACTCTCCTTTCAAGTACAACTTGGCGCACAACAGCCGCGTACTCTTCAACAAGTTGGGGTCCCACTGGAAAAGATCCATGTAATATTCTCTAATGGCATTGGATTCCTCGTCATTGACCGCCAAAAACTGGATGTATTCTTCGGGTTGGATCGACACAAACTGCTCATTAAAGAGCTTGGTGGCGACTTCATAGTTCTCGGTGGTGCCGCTGGTGGGGGCGTCCGGCGCTACAGCGGTGGTCATGGCTGGCAATTGGATATGATAGTTGGGATGAACACTTGGAAAGTTTCGATCGGAGGATGTTTTTGCGGAGGGTTTTGTGTAACGTCGTCTGTGCCTGAGTCGTGCGGTGGTTGCAGCCACTCCTAGAAGGCAGACAGGTTGGTGACGATCGCCGCCAGTGCGGCACGACTGGGGGGTCGATGGGGATGGTGGCCGTGGGTGTTGTGAGGGTGCTGAGGGGCGGAGGGTTGGCAAACGTCTCCTGGCCTCTCGGTTGTCTCGTTAATGAATGCCACAGTGGAAACTTTAATTAGTGCGGTTACAGTCAAATTAGTTAGCGCGACGCCTGAGCGGCTGGATGAACAATTAAGTGCGACACGAAGGAGAGAAATGAATGGAAGTCAGGGATAGGTTCTGACCCATACACCCACGAGATTGGTACTTGGGACAGTGGGTGTATGGGTCAGTTTCCATATGATCAGTATCTCGTGGATATGGTCAGTGAAGCACCCAGTAAAGCTGCTGAAACCAGAAACCGTCCAGTCCAACTAGCATATACTGCCGTCTCTCATCTCAGTTTGCCCCATCCCCAATTGTATATTCTGAAATATACACAATTTAGTGCATTAGCGTGATTGAGTTTTGCAGCCAGTGGCGATGTGGCTCGAGTTCGCACTATTTAGTTTTCCACCTCACTCCATGGTATCTGCAATTACTAATCCCTATACCCACCCAGATATCTCCGACGCGCTTAGTGAAGCCGCCAGCAATGTCTTTCACCAGCTCGACCAAGGAATCGTCCACAAAACCGACTTGGAGCTCTTCAACCGTTTGCTAATAAATAGTACCGTACCTCAACTGTTTGTGGAGTCGTTGATCCCAGCGATTGACCAAGCAGTAAAAGCTCCCGACTACTACGAAACCGACCCCGATTTCGTGCTCATTGCCATCTACGAGACGTTATTATCGAAGTTGCCGCCTGCAACTGTCTTGGAATACTACCCCATCCATTTCATCACCGAGAACATCCAGTACGCCAACCAGTTCAGCTTATTAATATTGAAAATCATCACTCGAAACCACTCCCAGATCGAGTTGGTGTCCAATGGCTTGCTCCACACCATCTTGCTGCTTTACTTGAAAGACGCAGATGTAATGATTCCAATTGCCAGTGCAATTCAGAACTTGGTGCTAGTGCTCAGTGATGATCACAACATCATTTCAGAGTTGAACACTGCCAAATTTAAGGAGCTATTTGCAAATGCCAAAACTTCGGGAGACTCGGTGTTGATATCGCGGCTCTTGGACTTGATGGTCGTCTTGGCTCCCGCCGTACAATTCGACCTAGGTTTTCCTATTGGAGGAGACGTTCTCTTGGACCTCTTGAAGATCGACTTTTATCAAAACCTCATCAATAAGGAAAACACCCATATCTTCGAAGCCATTTCAACTCCAGTGAATCGTATCTTGGCCTTGTACAACACCAGAACTACTGATGCCGAAATTGAGTCGTTTTTGGCAACCGAAATCGCCAACCTCATTGCCAGCATCACCTTTGCATTTCCTGACTGGGAGCTTCCGGGGCTCAAGTCGTACAACTTATACCTTGACTTGGCCTCAGACGTGTTGCTTTTGAGCAAGATCAACCCGGCGAAATTCGACGACGATTTGCTTGAGTTTGTAGTTGACTATTCGTTGTTCAGCACCAAATACTTTCGTATCTTGTTGAACTTGGTCAAGTCTCAAAAGGCCCTTCACTTTTTGGTACAACATGATAAAATCACTGCTAGTCTCATCAAGAACTTATCGTTGGACATGCTCTTTGACCTCTTGGTCGAGTTAACCTCGACAGATTTCGGGGTTCACTACCTACTCAACAGCTTGCCGAGCATAGTCACCGACTTTATCATCAACGACCTGGCCATTAGCTCCGATGTCTATATCGCCAAACTCGAGGTTTTTGAACACTTGCTCTTCCAAGATCATGATCTAACAATCTGGAACGACCAACTTGTGGATGCTTATAAGTTGATGAAGAACGGACGAAATATCAGACACGAAGCAAGGGTTGAAATTGCAGATGAAGCGGTGTAATCTAAGTTCTTATATTAATGCAAATGTGTTTATCTTCTACTCTACATAGTCAATTACTTGGGACGCTTCAGCTCATCTAGTCTCTTAACAATCACAAACACCCAACTCGACACAATGGTCCCAACAACAATCCATATCCACATCACCCCTATATTCACCCCCATGGTCCCCTTCCACGAATCAAAGAACACCACCCGCATCAACTGATAGGTGTTGTACATGGGAAGCGCATATCCAATTCTATAGGACCTGGGCATGAGTTCAAACGGCGAAAAGGTGGTGGCCAAGTTCACCACCACGTTAAGAATCGTGCAAGGAGCCACCAAGTACGGTTTCTCGTAGGCCATCACCAACGAAATAACCGTGTCACTTATGAACCCATTGGTGAGAATGAACATGTAAAGAATCATCCAGAGCACCAAAAAGCCCGAGTGTCCAAAAGTATCTGTGACGGAAATCTGGAACGCTAGGGTTGCCAAACAATAGACAAGACTCAAAAACAACGCGTTGAAGTTTGAAGCCGCCCACCGGAAGAAAAGGTAGCTTCTGGTACTTATTTTTTCACGAACCACCTTATAGATGGTCTGGAAGAACATAAATTGGTATACCGTGAATAACTGGGCGTACACCAACCCAAGCTGTGAAGGTCCCAACACACTGATATCCAGAGAAGCCCCCAAATCGACTTCGTTGATGGTCGGTTTGAGGGTCATTAGTGGAACTGTTTCGTTGTTTCTTAGAAGCAGCACTTGCTCACTAGCAGATAGCAGTTGCAAAATAGTACTTTGGGTGTTGAAACTACCGTTATTGACCCACAACGTCTCAAGAACCTCCAAGCTGTACCTGTAGGTGGTGGAGAACGTCGACAAGTGCCGTGACTTCAAGTAATACCAGTTGATAAAATATGGTATGAGAGTTGCAGCCGAAGCATTCTGCGACTGAATGGCTTCGTACAAGCCAGCGGTTACATTGGGCCCAATTACCACCGCCCCCCAGTACTTCTGGTGGCGCACCATCTGGGCCACCCGGGCGGTGATGTTTTCACCAGCGTTGAAGTACAGCAGGTTTACTATTGTGAACCCACACCGGGCCTGAGCCCATGAATCAGTAGTGACAAAGTCCACAAAGTCCCGCCCGATCCCGGGGATTTCGGTCCCGTTGACCCGTATGGGACTGTCAAGATCCACCAATAGCGTCTTTTGGTTGGACAAGCGGCTTTCGCGATGGTAGAAGGATCCCCAGTAAATGGATAATACGGTGATAAGAATGAGAAACAACAGAACGTACACCGTCAATGCAGTCCTCAAAATGCCCCACATGTTGGCGGGCGTGGTCTTGGTGGTGGATTTGGTGAGCTCTAGCGGTTTTTTTGCATCCGCCAGGCCGGTGCTGGAAGTATCTACCAATGGCTTGGGGTCTTTACCCGCATCTTGAGATGACGAGGACGGTCCCACGGCCGAGTCCGTGGTTTGGGGGTCGGTGACCAGGTTGTTTTCTAGGTCGCTGAGAGACTCCAACGGGTCCAACGAGTCACCCCTGTATCGAGAGTGGGAAGTCATTGTATATTGTTGTGTTGCTCGAGTTTATTATCTTTTGTCTCAGCCTCGCGCACAAAATAATATCAACAATCGACCCATGAGTGACATTGAGTCACTAGACAGTGAGGTGCACTCGCGGCTGCTGTTGCAGGAGGCAAACTCGGTGGCCCCGTATAGACCCGAGGTTACGCAGAGCCGGTTGTCTCGAAGAACCACTCTTGTGAGAAGACTTTCAAGTGCTGCATCCTCTTATCTTCAATTTGACAGAACTGACCATGAAGAAGATGAAACGTTCTTGGACGACGCCATGTCGGGCTCGTCGATGTTGTTCCGGCTGATGGGAAGTCCCGATGATATTGAGAGTGAGGTCCTGGAGAATGAACGGGTAAGGAGAGAATCCATCAAATCTCAACAGTTGCAACCACCCGAACAACCACCAGTACCGCCAACAGAACCACTGCCGCCAGAAAAGTTTCTTCACCGGCGTGGTCTCACGGCCCACTTGTACCACTATGCACTTAAGGTAGGTATGATTGATGAGACGTATTCCAAGTCCGAATTCACCCTCGTGGTCCAGGTGTTTAAGAACTACTTCATATTGGCGATATGTCTTTTGGCGATTCTCTCGATGTACTGGGGGGTCTATCACGACCGTGCCGCCCACTACACCCGTATACATTATGCTATTATCAATGCTGACGAAGGAGATATTGTTGGTCCTATTGTCGAGAGCTTTTTTGCCAATACCTCTGCCATCCAGCTGTTGGGCACCTATGACTTTCTTGATCTCACCGAGTTGGAGACCTTGGCAAGCTCTAACAACCATTCGCTCGATGCTGAGGTGTATCGCCAGGTCCACCACCAGCATTACTATGGGGCCTTTTATGTCCACCAAAATGCTACTCAGGCCTATTTGAGCAACTTGAAAGGACAAGTCGAACTCGTGGGCGACAGCGTATTGGAGATCGTCTACGAAACAGGAAGAGATTACCTGGTGATGACTGGGGGTGTGGTGCCGATAATCGCTTCCATCAATAAGGTGTTTTACCAGTACATTGCCCAAACCCCTTTGATTCCCGCCCTTATGAACCAACTTACCGACGACGAGATTTCCCAGGTGGTGAGTGCAAACCCAGAGTTGATCACCAGTCTCCCAACCTTCAAGTTTCTGGACCTACGGCCAATTCCGTTGTTGATTTTCCAAGCTCCATTGCTGGTGGGGGTCATTTACTTGGTGGCTTTTGCATTTTTCCAGTTTTTGTTCATGACCCCAGTCCACCAGAGGGTTGCTGAGTCTGTCAAGGGGTTCAAGTATATGGTGTATAGATTTGTGGTTGCCCAGATTGCTTATATTGTGATTTCCTTGGGATACGTGGTGGTGAACTCTGCGTTTGGCATGGCTTATGACACAACGTTTGGCCATTCGGGGTTCTTGGTGATATGGATGTTTGCGTTCTTGGTGATGTCTTCCTTGGGCTCGACCATTGAAACCTTGATCTTATGTTTGGTTCCCAATAGAATCCAGTTTGCTGGGGTAGTTCTTGTTTTGAATATTGTGTTGAACTTAAGTCCTACAGTTGGAACCATTGCTTTGACTCCCGTCTTCTATCGGTACGGTTATGCGATTCCCGTGTTTAATGCCTACCACTTGATGCATGTGGCCTACTTTGATGTTTGGAAGGGAGATATTGGTCGGTATATTGGTATATTGTGTGCTTGGATAGTGGTATGGAACATATTGTTACCGCTTTCGATGTTGAGAGTGGTGAGGAAGATGGCCAGGATAAAGAAAAAGGCTATAGAACAGAAGTTGGCCCAAGAGACCGAACAGATGGTCTTACAGGAACAACAGGAGAAAGTCTCTACCCAAAACTAAGTGTAACGTTCATTTTTCTAATCTAGATGTTTACCCAAGCACTACCGCAAATACAAGTTCTTTGAAACACCATTGTCCATAGCCCCAAGGTCCCATTGCTGAATACCAAGGGATCGTTCACCAACGATATTGACCTACACCTGGTGCATTTTCGAAGAATCACAGATGTATCTTTGGCATCGATTAACACTTTTCTCAATGCATCAATCCGTCCGTGTTTGGTGTAAGTGTGTCGGGGAATTGACTCTTCGGTATACCTGAAATATTCATCCCGATGTGTGTCTGTGCTGACGATTTCCACAGTTTGGTCCTTTTTAACGGTCTTATAGCTTATATCGAGCCAATCCACATTATAGTAAAACATCTCTGCCACCTTTAAATCCCTAGGAATATTGGAAGCAAACTTCGCCACGATCCATTGGCCCATCTTGACCATATCCTCGTGAACTTTCCCATCGCAAACAAGCTGCTGTTCCATCTTCAAAATGTGGCCCTTTGGCCGGGTTTTCGTGAGATTCAATGTTTCGGTGGTGATGTAGGTATCGCACTCTCGGAGGAACGATTCATACAAGTTCAAATTCAATGGCGAGTTTGCACAAGCAGTGAAGTACCGGTTCAAAGCGTCTTTCATGGGTGTGAATAATTTGTTTGAATCCAGCAAATCCTTGTTCAACTTCTTGAGAACTTCATGAGTCTTACCGATAGAAGATAACGCATACATGAGGAACAACCGGGGGACTTTACTCAAAAGCACCGGTAAAACAATGGAGTTGTTCAAGTCAATGACACTTGATTCAGGATGTTTTCTGCTGATATAAATCTGAAGTAGTTCTTCATTCAAGCAAATGATCAACTCCACCAACCATCTAACGTTTCCAATGAGTGAAATGATAGACTCAGCTCTGGTGATAGAATCTTCCATTGTATCTTCGGTAGGTTTTTTCTTAGATATTTGTCGGTAGATGCTCGACAACAGAAACATGATTCCAAAACTTGTGCTTCTTAAGTTCAAGATAATCCACGCAATGTTCTCGCTTATATCGTTGACACGGTAGTCAAGACCACCTAATATCAACTGCAAAGACAACAACTTCTGTAGAGGAGGGTTTGACAACAATTTGTCTACTGACTCCTTGTTGAAGATATCCAACTGGAAGTTGATAGCCTTATGAGATTCACAGAGAATCGACTCGATGAATCTGTCTGTGGCTTCTAGTTGTTTCTGGCTGCCTGGAATCATCTTTTTTATTAACCTTGAAATTCTTTCAACCTCTAGCTGGATTAAGATCAAGATATCATCTGAGCAAATGCTACAGTAGCAAGCAAAAGCGTGTTGAAAGGCAAATCCCACTGCGGTGATGTAAAGTTCTTCGGCAGAAATACCTGTCGAGGAAGTTTTTTCAACAAACTCGAGTTTCAAATTCGTTGTGGGCTCATTGATTTCAGTGTAGATGGCACCAATTCCGTTTGGTGAAAATGCGATTATAAGAGGGTTCTTACCTGAAATATGAAGGTTCCCCATCAGGAATCCCGTGTCCATCACCGACCTGATAGATTCAGGAATGCTGGAGTTACCATTCTTACTCCAGGCAGTGGCTTTTGATTCCTTTTTGACAATACTTTCAATTGATCCGTCTTCACACAAAACCAAGAAATCAGAAGTCTGGTTAGTCAGCTTCAAGACTCTTTTCGGCAATACCAACTTGTCTTGGTACACCAAGTTGAACTCTTTTTGTATGTTTGAACCATCTGAAACAGCTCCCTTTTTTCGACCGATTTCTCCAAACGTATCCGAGATGAGTCTACTACTCTCCAAGATCTTGTAACGGTTGAAAGTGGTGGAAACTTTGAGATTCTCGTCATAGAATTCGTAGCCAATCAATATGTCTATAGTGTCTTTTTCATCATATACTGGAGAAATGATCTCGATGAAAGCCAACTTCCCGATTTTTTGTTTTGGCTTATATTCCAGAGGCTTCGACTCCTCAGTCTCACTCTTAAACTTCACATCTGTGTCCACATCCATTGCGTCCGGGCTAACCAGGCTATCGAGGTTATCATCATAGTGAACAGCATCAAATTCATTCTCCACGTTGGGAGACATTTCATTGATTAAGCAGCACGATAAGGTTGGGCTTTTCTGTAAGTCTTTAGGAGTATTGAAATGAGGGTCTATTTTCTGCTTGCTGGCAGCCTCCACTAGGAACCCCCAGTTGATGGTAACTGAATATGTTCTTATTTTATTCGACAACGAATCGTAAGTCACCACAATGATCTTCTTCTCGTTCGGGAATCCAAACGCTACCTTCTCTATGTGTAAGTTGTAGCTATACCCTTCATTCAAGTTCACCAATAATTTGTGGTATTCCACCTTGTGTTCTCCCTGATAGTGTAGCACTAATTCCCCGTTGGTTCTCAATGCTATACAAGCCTGTTTGGTAGATATTGGGTGGCACAAGTTCATAGGACGGTACTGCTCTACGCCATACCCGTAGGAAAACGACATACCACTCGAGTTTGCAGAATTGAGAAGTTTGGCTTCGGTATTGATGATTTGATTCTTCTCGATGGGCAACCACGCAAATGCTACAAACTGAACCGCCACATTGGGCCTTTGATTCAGTTGGTTGGTGATGATATCACGGTATATCATTTCCAAGTGGTTGTAGGTTGTCAACTCGTAGCTGGGACTACCAGAATCACCTGGAGGCGTGGTTTTACTATCTTCACGAACCAATCCCACACCTGCCAACAAAATGTAGAAGTTTCCGTACACGTCGGCAACGGCAAGATCGGTGCTGAGATTACTCCATGATACGAGCGATAATTCGGGAGAATGGAATCCGTCCAACGTGGGTTTGACACAGAGCTTTTGCGGTTTGGCCAACTGCCATTTCTTACCGTCAACATTTTCCAAATACGTCAAAAGAAGGTTGTCCTTGGAATTGGACGACGGAATGGAATATGCAATGAACCCGTTCTTCGACCACGATATCGTGTCGTAGCACTTCATCTCGTGGTTCAATGACTTAGAATCCACTCTGATGGTCTCCATGATGTGAAAGAATAATGAAAAGTGCGCGACTGATTGGGGTTTTGTATTTTGTAACTATAAGCACAGATTCCAAAGTATTGTTTGGACATATAGAGCGTAGGATGTATATGGTGGTCTCAAATACTATTGTCCATTATTGAACTACAAATCACCAGGAACTGGGTATTGGCCCACCCAGTTGGAAACCTCCTCACCGAGTTCTTTCACATCCTTGGATGCATCAGCCAACTGCTTGAAAGAAGCCAACAACTCCTTGGGGTTCTTTCCCGACTCTTGGGCTTTCAAATCAATGGAAATATCAACAGCCCGTTGGAAGTATTCGGCCACTTTGCCGAATTCTTCTTCTCCGAAACCTCTGGTAGTCATGGCAGGAGTTCCGACTCTTAATCCCGATGGGAAAAGAGCAGACTTGTCTCCAGGAACGGTGTTTTTGTTAGCAGCAATGTTGATTCTTTCCAAAACCGCTTCAACTCTGGCACCATCGATGTTTTTGGATCTCAAGTCCACCAAAATCAAGTGAGTATCGGTCCCGTCACTCACCAACTTGAAGCCCTTGGCCTGCAACTGGTCGGCAAATTTGGCAGCATTGTCAACGACGTTTTGTTGGTATTCTTTGTACTCTGGGTACGAAGTCTGCTTTAAGGCAACAGCCAAGGCAGAAATCGTATGGTTGTGAGGCCCACCTTGGTGAGCTGGAAACACAGAAAAGTTGATCTTCTTGTCCAAGTCGTAGGGAATTTCCTTACCCTTCTTGGTGACTTTTCTGATACCCTTTCTGAAGAAAATCATGGCTCCTCTAGGACCTCTCAACGATTTGTGAGTGGTGGTGGTCACAATGTCCGAGTATGGGAACGGAGATTGGGTGACTCCAGCCGACACCAATCCAGAGATATGGGCCATGTCACTCAATAAGTAGGCTCCGACCTTGTCAGCAATTTTTTTCATTCTAGCGTAGTCGATGACTCTCGAGTACGCAGAAGCACCAGCAACAATGACTTTTGGTCTGAACAAAATGGCATTGGCTTCCAAGGTGTCATAGTCAATCAACCCGGTTTCCTCGTTCAACCGGTATGGCATTGTCTGGAAGTACTTGGAGATGTAGGAGATTTTGGCAGTAGGAGTCTGGTATCCGTGAGACAAATGTCCACCGTGAGGCAAGTCCAAACCCATAATCCGGTCTCCAACCTCCAACACGGCCGAGTAGGCATAGAGGTTGGCAGGGGCTCCAGATAAAGGCTGAACGTTGACACCCCATTGTTCGGGATCCAAGTCAAACGCTTCCAAAGCTCTCTTTTGACATAAAGCTTCGGCCTGGTCAATGAATTGGTTACCTCCGTAGTACCGTTCACCCGGGTACCCTTCAGAGTACTTATTCTGCATTTCGGATCCCAACAAATCCATGACGGCTTTGGAGGTGAAGTTCTCAGAAGGAATCAACGTTACACTGTTCTTTTGTCTTTGCTTCTCCAATCCCAAGATCTCGGTCATCTCTGGATCAATTTCCAGAACCGGCTTTGACATCAACGCCTTGGCGTGGGCTGATAAAGCATAGTATCTTGAGGATACTCTCAATGTCGAACGTATAGTACTCGAAAGCATTTGGCACTGGCAGTCACAAGTTGAAAAAAAAACTTTAAGAGTCAGAATTTTTCAGCTATGATTCATTTTGTTGAGGATTGCACAAATCCACGAGCGGGCGAGGCTTTCACTATATGCTATTTAAACCACCGACAATGGTCATATTTACAGGAATTGGTGGGAGTACAACAGTCGATGCCAGCAATCCAGCTACTGGTGTCGACAGAGTCGATGCCGGGTCTTTGGGTCGGGTCGACCGTTAGGCATTGTGTTAACACCGTTTGGATATGTGCGGGAAGCCTGGACAAATTCAAGTCACAAGAATTTATAAAGGCCACAAATTCTACACATTCAGATTTGGCAACATTCCAGGGGAATCGGTGGAAAATGCAGTAGTATACGATGATGCCAAACGCCCATACGTCGATTTTGTACCCGTTATAGTCAAGGCTCGAGAAAACTTCGGGCGCACAGAACGAGCTAGTACCAATAATTCCGTAGCACCGGGGTCCAAGCCGGGCATCAGCAAAGTCGATGATCTTCAAGATCCCTTGAGGGGTTATCATGATATTTGCAAACTTCAAGTCCCGATGGCACACGCCCTCTGAGTGGATATACCTGATACCCTGTTGGAGCTGTTTGACGAAACAGAACATTTCGCTGGGAGGACATTTTTTTGCTATAAGGCCCTTGAGAGTGGCATTTCCGCCATACTGGAGGTATAACTGCACAGACGACCGGAGCCACAGACACTCAAGCTTGTAGGAGCGTATGACATTGTGATGATTTAGTCGAGACAAAATTAAGTGCTCGTTCAGCACTCTGGTTCTATAATCGGAGAAGTCCTCGTGTTTTTCTTTGGGGTCGTATTTTTTAATGGCATACACCATGGTGGACCCACGGCATTGATATAGGTCGACGCGGCCGCTGGTACCGTGGCCCAATGTCTTTATGTGGGTGTCCCAGCGGGAAAGGGCCGGAATGTCCATATTAGAATTCGCGATGCCCATCGAGTGAGGACTAAATACTACCCCTCCAAGATGGATGTCGCAACTCCTTCTCTGATTCCTTTCTCATCGTATTTATTAATATCGCCTATCTATTTCAACTGCTTGTGCACAGAAATAAAATCAAGAACCTTTTAATTTCGAAGCGTTGCAACAGGAACAACCATGTAAAAATATTGTATATTTCTGAAAAAACCTTGGGGTGGGGGTCAGACTCTCGCTAGCCCACTTGGCCAACCAGTAATGGAGCATCAAATAATCCTCTTACTGAAGACTAAAGCATGAGAGACTTCATACTCCACATCTGTTACCCCGACTTCAGTTCTCATGGAGGATATAAGCGAAACCTAACTTATAACCCCTATCATCAAGACACGTAACAGATTTTTTTTTTTACTGATACTCACTAAATCCTCCTGTTAGCAGCATGATTGTGGTGCTCGTGCTTGTGCTACTAGTGGTGTCATCGTTTCTTCTCAACACCGGGTTCGAGTATCAAGGTAAGATACTCGTCTGTGTGTCTACGATACTCTTGGGCATCCATAGGCTCATCACCTTTTCAGAAGAAGAGAAGCTCTCTCTTTGAAGAGCAAAGTCGGTGTGGTTTTATGAGAGGTTTGGTCGTTGCCTTGGCCGTTAAGGGGGTTCCTAGTATTGGCTGTTCGGGTGTGGTCTAGTGTTTTTTTGCAACTTCGCTCATTGATTGTACTATGTGCCCAGAGCTATGGGCAAGGTGTTGACGAATGGTTATTTTGGCAGTGGTGCGAATAAAACGACGCGGTGGTCAGCCGGTGAATATTGGGTTATTTGTACCGCCAGGCCCTTTTATGCCCTCGGGCAAGAAGGTGAAATGTGTTCATAGGTATTCAATTCACAGTAATAGCACTACAGCGCTGATGATAACTTGTGCGCACCTAAACTTTAATCAATTGGTGTGGTCCACAGGAATTATGAATTTACTAATTCTTTTATTATACAATTATTCTGCAATAGACAACAACAAGAATTGTGTCATGTAAGATCAATTACACATAAAATTTGGCTTCCTTGGTTGTAACTATAACCATTCGGAGTGGCTATTTGTGTCAATGCACTTGAGCCTGCTTTAGTCAAAAATGAACAATCCATGTAAAACTCGCATATTTTACTTGGATTCTACTTTCACGAGTGTTTCCAAAAAAGTGAACGTAGTCTGTCATTTTCTACTCTAAAATACTGAATAAATACTTGCCATGTATACAGTGATCAAGGCTTTGGGTAGCGGCTTGAACGGCCTTACAAGTATCAAAATTAAAATCTACGTTGCAATTAGTCTTCACCGACGCATTAAAAAGTTGTTTTGCAACCGCGGTTTGAGCCCCGGAATTTCCAACCGTTCACAGGTTTCTACCATTTCAAGGTCTGTAGTGCAGTTGTTTACATAATATCGTTGATCATAGGACAGAAATCTGATGTCAACAACAGTTCCCTCCACTAATCCGCTCGGCTCTACACTCACCTCTCTAAAGGATTAATTGTTAATTGTAATGCTATTTAATTTCTAACCACCGCATCAAACGCAGCACAGAAAGCATCTATGTTATTATCATTTAAACCAGCAACATTGACTCTTCCATTCTTGGGAAGGAAAACATGGTACTCCTCAAGGAGTTTCTTACTTTGTGCTTCCGTCAATCCTGAGTACCAGAAAAGACCTCTTTGTGTCTTGACATGTTCCCAGGTTCCTGGAGTCTTGTATTTTTCAGTAATCAACTTGTACACGGTGTCCCTAATGGTCCTTAAACGCACACTAACGTCCTGCAAGTCTTTTTTCCACTGGGCGAAAAGCTCATCGCTCTTGGTGATAAGAGCCATTAACCTGGCACCGTAAGCAGGAGAACTCGAACACTCGGCCCGAAACAAGTATCTCAACTGATCCAGTACAAGCGGAGTATTGGAGGCATCGCTGACCACCACGTGCAAGCATCCCAATCTTTCTCCATACAAACCAAGGTTCTTGGAAAACGACTGACACACAATCACCTCACAGCCCAACTCAATAAACTTCTGAATAGGCAACCCGTCGGTCTCAGTTGAGCCACTAGCAAAACCCTGGTAGGCAGCGTCGAAGAACGGAATTAAGTCTCTTTTCTTCATGATCTCAGCTACTTGCAGCCATTGCTCGATCGTCAAATCCGCAGCCGTAGGGTTGTGACAACACAACTGTAAAATGAATACAGACTTGGCGGGAGCTGTATTAAGCTGGGTAACCATCGCGTCGAAGTCCACACACTTGTTGTCGGTGTCATAGTACGAGTAGGTGGTGACGGTACCTCCAGCCTGTTTAATTAAAGGAAAGTAATTGGGCCACGCGGGAATTCCGAGATAGAAATTCTTGTAGCCTGAACTTTGACTAAGAAACAAGGCTCCAAGGTGACAGGCACCAGTTCCACCGATGGTTTGACACGAGGCAACCAACTTCTTGGACACAGCAGTTTCACCTACGGCGACCTTTGCAGCATTTTGCACAAACTCTGGCAATCCCAAGCAGAAGGTATAATCGTGTCCGTAGTTTTCCTCATGGTACAAGTGTTTGGCTTTGCGGACCACTGGGAGAGTAAAAGAATCCCCGTCTTCTCCTCTGTAGACTCCGGCACTGACATCGATCTTGTTGGGATCGGAATCATTGGCCAATTTGATTCTAAGATCGTTGAATTCGTCGGCGGGCTGGAGCTCAAGGTGAGAAAACTTACTCATTTCTGGGGTTTATGGGATGGCTCAGGCATAGATTGTGTCCATTATATACAATGTAGTCCAGATGGACAACGTTGATTAAATGTGCGGTATGATCTACGGAATTTTCCTGCAGGATGCCGATAAGATGGACAACGACGGATAACGATGGACGCGAACTGCATAGGAGGCCATCAGGGCACGGTTGGCTATGCCGATTTGGGTGGCCATCTTTGTGCCGGAGCCAACCGCTGGATTGCTGCTAAGAGGTGAAAAGAATGTATATCACCGGTTTTACAATATAATGATATTGTGGTGTTGTATTTGTCTTTACAAAACGAACTGAATACACTTAATGTCTTTACAAGACGAACTGAATATATTTATATCACAATTTTTAGCACTACCATCTAGATAATGTACCTCATGTTGAGCTGTTCAAAGTCAGTCAAGTCCAAAAACTCGGCATTCTCTGGAGGTGGAGGAATCTTTCCTTCAGCTTGAAGCTTGTCTCTCCGACGGTTTTCCCTGATATTAACAAATCTAATCACCAACAAAGTTCCCAAAGCACACCCGTAGAAAATCCCTACCAACTTCTTACCAGTAGGATACACAGGAGCTTCACGAGTAAGCCAAAGCTGAGGACCAACCCAGTTACCAGCTGCATAACAGACGATCTGACAGGTGTTGACAACACTCTTTTTGGTGGATCCCAAACTACTGGCACCGATCATCGACATCACCAAACCCCAAGAAGCACCAGCAGCAGAAATAAAGTAGTAACCCACCAAAAGAGGACCCTTTCTATCCACATCGAGAGTACTCATCATGATACCTCCAATCATTGGGAAAGCAATAGCAATGGCAGCCGGTAAACTCTTGTCCATTAATTTATCAGACAATGCAGGAATACAAAGCTTGAAGATGATATCAACAGCTCCACCAGGCATAGAAAGTAACAAAGAGTGCTGAGAATCGAAACCGAACGAGTTGATGATGATACTTCCAAAAGTAGTGACACCTCCGTTAGGAATGTTCATCAAAAGCGAGTAAAGCATGTACAAGTAGGTTCTTGGGTCTTGAAAAGCTTCTCTAAATTGGTACCATTTCCAAGATTTGGAACCAACTCCTTGGAAATTGGTTCTGATACGATCAATAGCAATAACCTTTTCTTCCTCAGAAAGAAATTTGGCAGACAACTGGTTATCTGGGAAGTAAAAGAAGAAGAATGTTCCCAACACAATTGTCACCAGCCCGAAAATCAAAAAGAGAATTTTCCACGAGGCGATGGCAGCACCGGTGATATATGACAACCCAAAAGCAACCGGTGAGATTAAGATGGTAGCACATCCATTGGCAGCCAAAAGGATTCCCAATCTTTTACCCTGCTCTGACCGCTTGTACCAGATACTAATGATCAAAACAACACCAGGAGTAATACTACACTCGAACATACCGAGCAAAAACCGAAGAACAAGCAAAGAAGCATAATTAGAAGCAGCACAAGAACACGTGATGACTATACCCCAAGCAAGGATGTTGAAGGTAAGAAACTTTCCGATGGGAAGTTTAGTCAAAAAGTAGGTGGTGGGGAACTCAAAGAAAATGTAACCAGCGTAGAAAATAGAAGACACCCAAGAGTATCTTTGACCCACATCAGTATGTGTATCGATTCTGATACCCATCAACGAAGCGTAACTCAACGAAGTTTTATCAGCAAACTGAATGAGATACAACAAAAAAAGTAATGGCATGACATGCCAATCGATTCTTTTCAAAACGGCTTTTTCCTCTTCGGCCGTGTAGCTAATAGTCTTACCGTCCAAGAACTCGAAAGCTTTATCAAGCCCTTTCATAGACGTCAAGGCTTCATGATCCTCGATGATGGAGGTAGAACCTTGTTCTTCTACCAGAACTTCATGGTTTATTTTTTCCAGAGACATTTGAATAATGATGTTGAACCCAGACTTGGAAGAAAATCTATAGCAATATATACAAGCTTGGCAATGGTGATGCAGCAAAAGATAAGATAACTGTCCAACGCTATCTGCAAACAATACCTTCCAATATTAGTAACTAATGATTTATTTCTTGACGCTGTACGTTATTTTACTCACAAATGGAGCTCCAGTGGATACAAGATAAAAGCCTGCGTATAGTCGTTGTTGACCAACCATTCCGAGCGGATTCTTATCAGTGATTTCATTTTCGCGCGAACTGGAAAATTCGCAGCCGTAGCGTGTGCCATACAATGGGATTCGTTGAAGTCAAAGAAACTGTAAGAATCCCAGTAAGCCCATGGAATGTGTGCTTCGGGTATCAGAAACTACTCCACAATGACATGTTCTCTCTAACTTCGTAATACCTGTTATTCTTGCAGCTACTTATCTCTTGACCGATCACTTTTGATCGGATAATAAGTTCCTATTCTACCGACAAGTTCTCTCTATCCATCGGAGACAGTGGTGAATCGCCGGAAATATCTATTTGTGGACCTCAGATGGAAGGTTTTACAAAAACTTAACTCCATGCAGATCCTTCTGGAAACGGGCAGCTGACCCCCGCCTTAACCGTTCATGGGGACATCGGGACAATCAACATGTCCAACTCACCATGATAAGAGTTTGAAGTACAAGCCCGGTATGGGCTGATTCAATTTAGATGAAATCTTACTTCGGGTCTTTGGATGGAAGGTGAAATTAACTTTGTGTTTCGGCATCTCACGGCAGTGATGTTAGAGACCCATGAACAAATGCCGTGAAAATTCTGAATGGTTCAGCGAAATCAAGTGTTATAAATAAATTTCTATCAAACTAAACACTAAGACTTGACCAAGAACTCCTTAAGGTATTCATCAGAATATTCGGGTTCTTCGTCCTTATCACCCAACAAACCTAAATACCAACTCAAATCACGGTTGTCGAACTCTCTCACATGGAAACCATTGCCAAAGTACGAGAACCGGTTATCCAATTCGTAAGTCAAGTTGTAGTCTTCCCATCTTGGGCTCAGCATGATCTCAAAGAAATGAATACGAGAACCAGGCCACATCATCAACTCCCCGTCGTAAGTACCTTGCTTAAACCAGGATCTACAAGGGTCATTCCAGATAGTACGTTGTAAGAAGGTTTTTCTTTGGTTGATGAAATCTTGGACAGCTTCTTGCTTTGGTTCGAACGAAGTGATCGACTCGGTAGCAACTCTCTGGATGATTTTAATGAAGTTCTTAGCAATAGCTTCGGTCATAGGCAACACAGAACCATGAGCATATGGAGCGTGAGGTCCCATAAAGATCAAGTAGTTGGGGTAGTTTGGAACAGACACAGACAAGTAAGTTTCTGGCTTTTCCTTCCATTCGTCACGAAGATCTTTACCACCTCTACCGATCAATGGAAAGTGAGGAACCCAAGAGACATCAAAACCAGTAGCACAAACCAACACATCGAACTCATGGTGCTTTCCATCCTTGGTGCGCAAGCCAGTCTCGGTAATTTCGTCGATATCGTCATACACCAAATTGGTTTTCTCATCACACAAGGCTTCCAAGAATCCGTTACCTGGAGTTGGACGACGACATCCAACACCAAAGTCTTGAGGAATGACTTTCTCGGCGATTTCTGGTTTGGGAGCCAACTTGGTCTTCATTTCCTGTTCAGCAAATGCTCTAGCTTCCTTTTGTTCAATGCTTCCTTTAAGCACCGATCTGAATCTCTTGTTGAGATCACTCTCGATGTTCTTTCTATAGGTCAAGTACTTCTTTGGATCCTTCTGTAAGATTTGAATTTGTTCATCGGTGTATTCGAAGTTGGATCCCTTTGGACCAGCGAATTTTTGAGCAAAACCAGCAGTGATCCAGAACTTACTTCTAACAAATTGGGTGATGGACTTCACTTGTGGCAAAATGTTAGGAACAATTTGGACAGCACTGGAACCAGATCCGATCACACCTACTCTCTTGTCCTTCAATGACAAAGAAGTATCCCAATTAGCAGAATGAAGCTTGGGTCCTTTGAAGTTTTCCAACCCCTTGATAGCAGGCCACTTCCATTTATTCAACACCCCGGTAGCATTGATCAAGACTTCGGCCGAGTCGATGAAGGTGTCATTCGGGTCCTCACCTCTTTGAATGGTTACTTCCCACTTCTTGTCTTCTTCAATCCACTTACACGCAACAACCCGACAGTTGAGATGAACATCTTTGTCCAACCCGTGTTCTTTGGCAACCTTCTTGAAATAGGCCAAGATCTCGGGACCCGAAGAGTAGTACTTTTTCCAGTCGGTACTTGGAGCCCAAGTGTATTGATAGTTGATGGAAGGAATGTCGCAAGCAACCCCAGGATATCTGTTTTCGTACCAAGTACCACCGATGGATGGGTTTTTGTCATAAAGAGCCAAGTCTGCACTTGGGACGTTTTGGTACACCTCTCTGGCAAAATTAAGTCCCGAGGCACCAGCCCCGATAACGATGATTTTAATTTTGCGTGGAGTGAAGGCAGGTTCTTCTTTGATAGTATATTCAGCACCGGTCATGAATTGTTCAGTAATGGCAAACACAGTGGATATTGCCTCCACTTATAAAGCAGATAACGGGGGCCGAATGGTCTGATATCCATAACCGTAGACAGTTGTTGGTAAATCCATACTTTCCATCGATGGAGCTCCACTACCCGATAAGAAAGCCCGCGCGGACAGAGAAATTTCCTCGCAGCACTGTACATTGATTCTATAGCGGATCATCTATCATCAGGGCGAAGGACGCTGCTCCACAGCTGCCAACCCCCCAGGTGTCCTTCGAGGCCAACACAGACTCGACCCACTTTTCAAACACCACCGGGTGGTCGTTTTCGGGCTGAATACAATTAATCATATCATCCGTAAGCCGTTTTAACATATATACCTTCTCTGACGTTTTGGACTTAGTCAATTGACTAACAGTCTGGTCTAAAATTTCCTCGTTAGACTTCTGGTTGATGGACTTGAATGCATTCAAGATCTGCCACGCCACTAGGGCTGCTTTGTAGAACATGAACGTGAACACCGGGGAGGTTTCGTTAAGCTCGGTGGTGAACGTGTAAAGAAAATAAAACACATGGCTGCTGGTTAGTGAGAGCACCTGGTACGGTATATCGGTGAAGTCATTACTCAACAAGGCGGTTCCTGGTGGGGGTTTTGACTGGGGTTTGGCCAAAGCAGATGCGGTTGCAATGGTTTCGTCGAGGGACACTTCCACAATTCCAGAGGTGATGATGGTGTCGGGGAGGTGGAGATGGATATACGCCAAGTTCCACGTGACGGTGAAGAGGTCCCACATGTCACTGAGTTTTCCCGTCTGGTTTCGCTTAGGAATCAATGTGCGTAGCCCGTTCAAAGCTGACCCCAACTGGGATCTTCTGGAAAACGCATCCTGAGAATGCACGGGCGAGGTCTCGAGAATCCCCGCGTACTGGGCCATGTTTCGGATCATGATGTGGATAGCAAGGAGCGATGCAAGGCCTCCAAACGACGAAATGGGACTCGAAATATGCCCAAACATCAATACCTGCTGTAGGGCCTCGAAGAAATGGGGCCCTCGTTGTGCCGGGAGCCGGGACGAGAGCTTCAACCATTCCTGGGCGGTCTCGGCCTCCCATACCTCGTCGGGGCATGGGAGAGTGTGTTTGATCTCGTAGTGCGATAAGCATGGGGGATAGTTGAGGAGAATGGCCATGAGGGCGTCCACCAAGTACAACCCGTAGGCGATCCGCTTATTGCTCTCGGTCTCAATAAAGGACATCCAGTCCAGATCCGAGTTGTCGAGCGGGTTATACTGGAAAATGGACATTTCCCTCGCCAAGTTGACCAAGCGAGAGTGCAGCAGAAACGACTTTGTGAACCACAGGTCTCCACCCGAGTAGATTCCCGTGAAAGATGCCAACAATATCGCCTGTACTTCCAGCAACAGTGGTGACTTGGGGAACTGGTCCAATTTCTGGAACACATAGTTGAAGATTTGGTTGGAGACATACCGCTCGTTTTCCATGTATCGGGCACCAATGGCACAGATGACGTTGGCCAACAAGTCTTCCGGGTAGTCCGTTGGCAACGAGTAGCTGCTGCAATGCAATATGGCGAACGAGGGATGGAAGTTTTTCCAGTACAGTAAAAGGTATTTTAGCACTCTATCGGAGTCAATATCAACCAAGGGAGACTTTTCCGATTTGATGGCGACATCGGGGACGGGTTTGCTGGTGAAGTTGTGGACCTTTCTTGTGTGAAGATTGAGCGAGTCGCTCCGGGAGTAGACCTTGTGGCATTCGGGACAGGTGTATTTCTGGTGCAAATCTGGGACGTTAGTAGGGAATTTGTGGGGGAGGAATTGGACGATACATACGCAGTTTGCGGTGTCGCATGAGGTTTTCCGCACGGGTGAAGCTCTTGTTGCACTTAGCACAAGCAAAGGGCCGGGACTTCTCTTCCAGCTTGGACTGAGCCATCTGTTCAGTCATATTGATGTGAATAAAAAAGTGTTGCAGACCGCGAGAAAATGTCGCATTAATATCTCAAGTTGAGAATGGATCTTCCAGAGATAAGAGTTTCGGGCGCGGCCTGAAAACCGTTTATTGTTTCTATAGGTTACTGCTTTCTATACAAATCCTGAGGTCCGGCTTGGTTGGTCAGCATGATGATCGACTCAGCAATGACAGCTGTCTCTCTCCTGCTACACGCAAACACAATCAACTCGGCCACGTCCTGAGGAAGCAACGTGTCCACCCCTTCATACACCTGAGAGGCTCTATCGGCATCACCCTTGAATCGAACAAGGGCAAATTCCGTCTTGGTGTTACCGGGAGCCACCTCGATCACTCTGATCTTGGTGGAGGTCAACTCCTTTCTCATGGCTTCGGTGAATGACTTCAAAGCTGCCTTGGAAGAGCAGTAAATGCTTCCTCCCGCGTACGTCCACCTACCGGCAATCGATCCCAACTGGACAATGTCACCTCTGTTACGTTTTTTCATACCTTTCAAGACGATCTGGGTCATGGCAATCAACCCGAGGACGTTGGTATCGAAGACAGTGGCGATATCGGTGGGATCGATGTCTCCTACCTTTTCTTGTCCCAAGGCTTTTCCGGAATTGTTGATGAGAACATCGATTTCCAGGTATTGGGCAGGCAATTGGGCGAAGAATTGGTCGATCTTGGATACTTCCGACACGTCCAACTGGCCCACGTAGATTTGCACGGATGGGTACAATTTTTTCAACCCATCAGCCAACTCTTCAAGTTTGGACACTCTCCGAGCCCCGAGAATGAGCTTGATATTGCCGTTGGTGGCCTTGACGAATTCGGTGGCAGTAGCAGCGCCGATTCCTGCTGAAGCTCCGGTGACTAGCACGGTTTTTCCTAGTAAAGTTTCAAACATTTGGTGGTTTGAGTGTAATTACAACCAGTGGTAGTGATATAGTGATAGCGAGCGGTTGGGTGCCCACCGCTCGTAACCGGCGTCCATCCTGCGTCCATGTCCCGTCCATCGTTCCCTCCAACTGATAAGGACGGAAATGGCGACCCCAAATTCCGTAGCTGCCAACGCGCGCTAGTGGTCCAAAACTATATTTATCCATCTTCAATGTTACTGATGCAACAACTACCATAATGTCCAAACCGTTGATACTCCATACCGATCCCGTCAGATATGGGCAAGCTCCATGGACAGAGATGGAAAAGATCGCAGAGGTCGTTCATATCGGCCAGTACTCCCGTGAACAGTTCATCGCAGACCTCCACGGAAAGTACAGTAATGTGGTTGCCATTGCTAGAGGTTATTTGACTGGCAGTAAAGTCGGTCGTTTTGACGAAGATTTGGTCAGCCACTTTCCGCCTACGTTGAAGTACATCGCCCACCAGGGTGCTGGCTATGACCAGATTGACATTGAGCCTTTAACCAAGAGAGGTATCCAGGTGTCTCACTGTCCAGATATTGTAAACGCTTCCACTGCCGACAGCAACTTGTTTCTCTTGCTTGGATCCATGAGAAACTTCGAGGCAGGTCGTCGCCAGCTCGTGGCAGGCAACTGGCCTGCTGGTGGGTTTGGTGCGGGTGTGAAGGAAGGTATCAACCCTACAAGAAAAGTGTTGGGAATCATCGCCATGGGACGAATCGGCCGGGCTTTCAGAGATCGGTGTGTGCCACTTGGCTTTGAAAAGATCATCTACTACAACCGGTCTCGGTTGCCAGCCGAGTTGGAAAAAGATAGTGTGTTTGTGAGCTCCATCGAAGAGCTTGTGGCGCAGGCAGACGTTATTTCCATTAACTGTCCATTGAACAAAGCCACACACCACTTGATCAGTGATGAACTTATCCTGAAGATGAAGGACGGAGTCATTATTGTCAACACCGCCAGAGGGGCCATAATTGATGAACAGTCGTTGATTAAACACCTCAAGTCCGGCAAAGTCGGAGCTGCGGGCTTGGACGTATTTGAAAACGAGCCTCGCCCACCTAAAGAACTCTTGGAGCTCCCTAATGTGATGGCATTGCCTCATATGGGAACACATGCTGTCCAGACGGTGTTTGACATGGAGAACTGGGTGATTGAGAACGTCAAGTCGGGTCTCACCACGGGCAAGGTTATCTCATTGGTTCCCGAACAGCAGGGTGTGCTTGATGTTTAGGACGTCCAGCTGATTTTCTGTGTGGCTAGAACAAGAAAAGTTAATAGACAAATACAAAATCCAAACCATGTACGAAGAATTATGCAAATTAGGCGTTTGGAAGTCAATAGAAAGACGGGCAAACTTGGATGTGTTCAATTCTATCATGAGAAAGAGAAAGTGGGTGAAATTGCCTTTGGAGGAAAGACTTATTATTTCCAATATTCCGGTGAAGAAACTGGTCTAATATCTTCATTCCACTGTTTCTCATTATCCACTTGAGTGTTCTTCCTTGTCTACTTTGTCTATTAAAGATGTCTATAACTCTAACTTTTCATATTCTTTGTAACATTCTCCCTCATCTTCCCCCCAAACCGAATCAACACCAAAGTGCAACAGAATCCTGAAAACAATAAAAACGACGAAATGGTGTTGGTCCATCCCACTCCAATGGTGTTAATTTGCATAAGACAAGTGGCACTACCCACGGCCCCGGCAATGTACCGAGCAAAGTAGTTGCTGGCAATGGCATCTCCACCTAGATGAGGCAAACAGTCCACACAGTACGCATTGATACTAGGGAAACAAAAGGTCTGGGCCACTCCATTGAAGAAAAGCGTGATAATTGGAAGAGCCATTCCTCCCACCTCTTTGTCAATCAGCCATCCGAAGATAAGCACACTGACAGGCAACACAAACCCAAATGACACATAGGTGGACCGGAGCCTATCTTCTGGAATCCTTTCACCTCTCATCTTCTCGAACTTACGAACGTAGTAGTCAGCCCATTTACCTCCCACAAGCGACCCGATAAGATATCCCATCCCCGGAGCCAAATAGAACAATGAGCCGTACACGGGTGTCGTGAGGTTGAACCGAGGGTCAATGACGTTACGAATAGGAGTAAGTAATCCGTACATATTGTAAAGAAGCGTCATGCTCATGTAGCCTCCAAGAATCAAGTTAGGATATTTGAAAGCACGCACCACCTGGAACGGGTTGTAAGGAACCCATACAAAGCGGCCTATCTGGTTCTTCCCCGGATGCTCCTTTTTGTACACCTCACACTTCTTCACGGTGGCAGTTTCCTTTAAAAACACAAACGCAGTGCCCAAGGCAACTCCACCAACTCCGGCAAGAACCCAGAAAATCACCCTCCACGTCGTATAGGTGATGATGACCCCACCAATACATGGAGCAAATGCCGGACCAAGCTGCGACCCGGACAACGTCCATCCCATGGCATTTCCTCTTTCCTTGGGTATGTAGATGTCAGATACAATACTTCCACCCAACGGGAAAAAAGCCACTCCAAAGAAGGCCGAACAGAGTCTGAACACAATGAACATGGCCAAGTTCTGGGAAACCGCCACGAGAATTGTCAGCACCGTGAACCCGAAACAGCAAATCAAAAACATGATTCTACGGCCATAAATGTCTCCCAAAGGACTGGTGACACAGGGCGAAATGGCCATCATCACACAATAACAGGCATTTGAGATATTGATAATGGTTTGCGTGGTGCCGAACTCCTCGGCAATGTTCAGAATGGCCGGCAAGAATGCTACCGTCGACAGCGGTGCAAGAAACACTGCTAATGAGATGATAAACACAAAAAGAGACTTTCTTCGGGGGGAAAACCGCGTATATTTGGGATCGTCGTCAGAGATCACCATATAGTCACTGGAGCTGGCATCGTCCGAGGACCCTTGCTTCTCTTCCCCCGCTTCAGGCTCGTCCGTTTGTTTCTCTAGGTCTTTGGTATCTACCACACTCATTCTATGCTGTTTGTGACAAAATCTGCTCCGTCTTGGGTATAAGTGGAAAGTGAGGGCCGCCTGCATATAGAACGACGCATCGATGACAGCTGTGGCAGTTGGAGCTCCAACGGATTTATGTTTTCTGGCAAGCACGCCCGTCCATCGGCTGGGCCGATCGGCAATTTCGCCTCCAAACACCCGATCTCACATCTCATATGTCCTGGCGGTAGGTGCATATATACTGAAAGTAATCTGACTTAGATCCTCAATTCAAAAGCAAAAACTTCACTACTATGGTATCTGGAGTTAAAATCGCTATTGACCGTGGTGGAACTTTCACCGATGTCCACGCTTCGTTACCAGGTAAAAAAGACTTGGTGTTCAAGCTCTTATCTGTGGACCCTTCTAATTATCCGGATGCTCCTACCGAAGGGATCAGAAGAGTGTTGGAAATCGCTTCTGGCACCAAAATCCCAAAGGGAAAACCGCTCAAACTCGACGCCATTGAATCGATCAAGATGGGAACCACTGTGGCCACCAATGCCCTTCTTGAAAGAGAAGGAGCCAAAGTTGCCCTTGTCACTTCGAGAGATTTCCGCGATGTTTTGAGAATCGGGAACCAAACCAGGCCCGATATTTTCAATATCAGTGCGAGAAAATTGGACCAGTTGTATACAAAAGTCATTGAGGTGGGTGAGAGAATTACTCTTGCCAATTACACAGAAGGCGGTGGTGCTGAGAAAAAGGTCACTTTGGCCGACAACAAAGACTTCGACGGAGCCTTGGTCGAAGCCACTACTGGCGATGTTATTCAGATCATTGAGAAGCCAAACATGGCTGAGGTGGAAAAGCAGTTACTCGAATTGAAAAAGGAAGGCTACAGCAGTTTGGCCGTCTGTTTCCTCCACTCCTACTTGTACCCTACTCATGAGCAACAAGTTTCTGCTCTTGCACGTAAATTGGGCTTCCAAGTGTCAGTTTCCACAGAATTGCAGCCATCTATTGGTGTTGTCAGCAGATGTAGTTCTACTGTCGCTGATGCTTATCTTTTACCCAAGATCCAAGAATACCTAGAAGGGTTCGGAGCTGGGTTCGAAGGAGGATTGAACGCCATGGGCAACAAGTTGCTCTTCATGCAATCCAATGGGGGACTTTGTCCATGGAATAAATTCACCGGTTTGAGAGCCATTCTTTCGGGTCCAGCAGGTGGGGTTGTTGGTTATGGAAAGACCTGTTACGACACCAGACCAACCTCCAAGAGAGCTACTTTGGGTTTTGACATGGGTGGAACGTCTACAGATGTGTCGAGGTTCTCCGGTACTTTCGAGCACGTCTTCTCCAACATCGTCAGTGAAGTCCACTTGAGTACTCCACAACTTGACATTTCTACTGTTGCGGCTGGAGGTGGATCCATGTTGTTCTGGAAGAATGGGATGTTCACCGTTGGTCCACAATCGGCTGGAGCTCACCCCGGTCCAGCTTGTTACAGAAAAGGTGGTCCGTTGACTGTCACCGATGCCAATCTTGTCACCGGAAGACTTCTCCCCGAGTTCTTCCCTCTGATCTTTGGTCCTAACGAAGACCAACCACTTGATGTGGAAGCCTCCAGAAAGTTGTTTGCAGAGTTGGCGGAAGAAATCAACAAACTGAGAGATGTACCTATTACTGCTGAAGAGGTGGCCTGCGGGTTCCTTAGAGTTGCTGATGAAGCCATGACCAGACCTATCAGAACTATTACTGAAGGTAAAGGTTACAGCACTGGAGACCACAACTTGTCTGTTTTCGGGGGTGCAGGTGGTCAACATTGTTGTTCTGTTGCTCGTAACTTGAACATCAAGCACGTTGTTATCCACAAGTACTCGTCATTGTTGTCTGCTTATGGTATTGCTTTAGCAGATATTGTCATCGAAAAACAATGTCCAGTCTCCCTCACTTTCACGCCCGAAAATTTGCAGCAATTCAAATCCAAGTTGCAACAATTGCAAGATGAGGTGGAAGCCGAGTATAAAAAACAAAAAACCGGCGAGAACGCAACCTCTATCGAAGTATTTCTCAACATGAAGTATGCTGGTACCGACACCTGTCTTATGATCAGTAAGCCTGAAGATGGGTGGGACTTTAAGCAAAAGTTCATCAACCAGCACCAACAAGAGTTCGGATTCACCTTGGAAAGAGATGTGGTGGTGGAAGATGCTCGTCTTAGAATGATTGTCCACAGTGAAGATACCCATGTGGCCAATCCCTTTGAGGAACACGAGAATATCGAAAAGCTTCCATCTCCAGCACCCGAAAACACCTCTAAGGTCTACTTCCAGGGTAAAGGTTATAAGGATGCTGGTGTGTTCTTATTGAACAAAATGCAGTTGGGGGCCACTGTTGCCGGTCCTGCTGTCATAATTGATGACACCCAAACCATTCTTGTCGAACCAGACTGTGTGGCCACTTTACTTTCTGACTGGGTGTTCATTGAAGTATTGCAGACCAAGTCGCTTGAGTTGTCTGCCACCGTGGTTGATCCTATCCAACTTTCGGTGTTTGCCCACAGATTCATGTCTATTGCCGAACAGATGGGGAAAACCCTTCAAATGACTGCCATTTCCACCAACATTAAGGAAAGACTCGACTTCTCGTGTGCCTTGTTTGATGCCAATGGAAAGCTTCTTGCCAACGCTCCTCACATTCCTGGTCATCTTGGTTCCATGTTCTCTGCTGTTGAAAAACAAAATGAGATCTGGAAGGGTAAGCTCAAGCCTGGTGATGTGTTATGGGCCAATCACCCTTCGACTGGTGGTACCCATTTGCCAGACATCACTGTTTTAACACCAGTTTTGGATGAAAATAACGATGTCTTGTTCTGGACTGCTTCACGTGGTCATCATGCGGATATCGGTGGTATTTCTGCTGGTTCCATGCCTGCTGACTCGAAAGAAATTTGGCAAGAAGGTGCTGCCATTGAGTCTGAAAAGCTTTATGACCAAGGGGTGTTCCAGCACGAACAAGTTGTTGATTTGTTGTATACCAAGCCAAGTCAATACCCTGGCTGCGAAGGTTCCAGAGCTTTGGAAGACAATATAAGTGACTTGAAAGCCCATGCCTCCGCCAACAACAGAGGTATCAAGTTATTAAAGGGATTAATGGAAGAATTTGGCTATGATGTAGTCAAGCTTTACATGGAAGCCATTCAAAAATCGGCTGAAACTGCCGTCAGAGGATTGTTGCAAATTGCTTACGACAGATTTGGAGGAAAGCCAATGAAGGCCGTGGACTATTTGGACGATGGTACTGCGGTGGCCGTTACCGTTACAATCAATAGAGAAGACGGTAGTGCGGTGTTGGACTTCAGTGAAAGTGGTGAACAATTCTACAGTAACTTCAACTGTCCTACTGCTGTGTTGTACGGAAGTATTCTTTATGTGTTGAGATGCTTGATCAATGTCGATATTCCTTTGAACAGTGGGTGTATGGCTCCTTTGGACATCATTGTCAGAGAAGGTTCGATTTTCAAGCCTTCTTTCGATGCGGCTACCGTTGGCTCCAATGTCGAAACTGCCCAAAGAATCTCCGATGTGTTGTTCAAGGCTTTCCAAGCCTGTGCTGGTTCCCAAGGTACTTGCAACAACTTTACATTTGGATCTTCTGATTCTAAGTACGGGTTGTTTGGATACTACGAAACCATTGCTGGTGGAGGTGGTGCTGGTAAGAACTTCACGGGTCAATCTGGTGTGCAAGTCCACACCACCAACACTCGTATGACGGACAGTGAGTCTTTTGAGAAGAAGTTTCCTTGTATTTTGAGAAGATACGAGATCAACACTGGTACTGGAGGTCTCGGTTTACACAAGGGAGGAGACGGTGTAATCAGAGAGATCGAATTCACCATTCCATTGCAAGCCACTTGCCTTATGCAAAGAAGAGTGTTTGCACCTTACGGTATGAACGGAGGTCATCCTGGTAGAAGAGGGTACAATTTTTGGTTGAAGAAGTTGGACAATGGTAAGTACCAGAAAATTGCATTGGGAGGTCAAAACAGTGTGTGGGTCAAGCCTGGTGATAGAGTTCGGATTGAAACTCCATCTGGTGGAGGATGGGGTGCTGTTCCTGGAGAAGAAGATGGTTCTCGTGTTGAAGATGCCAACATGGTGGACTATCCTTCTATCGATGCTCCATTCAGCAAGCCTTCCATTTTGACTGGTAGTGTGGGTTTGAGAGTTCTTGCCCAAAACACAAACTAGATATTTAATTATTGCTTGTTATTTAATAGATGCTAATAGAAATTGTTAAAGAAGTAGATAACACAAACCAGAAACTGCTAGGTAGACCTTTAGTAGATGTTTGGATACTATCAGGTTATATTTGGTTGCGAAAGTTTCAGGGATTTGGGATGGAAACCAAATTACACCACATTTCAATTTCATCAGTCGGGGTTTTGGAACGGTGTTTGCAATCAATAATTAATCGGTCTTGCGGCCTTTTGCTATTATGTCAACGGTATTTGCAATCGAGGTTCAACCGACTTTCGGCCTTTTCCTATTCTAGTCTAAAACACCACTACCACAATCACAGTCGGTAACACAAACTCCGCTATTCAACTTCCCCGTTGGCATCAGCAATGGGTATTTATTTCTGATATCTCGTGATTGCAGGTGGCATTACCACGAAGCCCAAAAAGGAAAAAACCAGTCGGATGCGATAAGCTCATATATTTATAAGCTACAATTTCTCGTAGTTGTGGCACCAAGACCGAAAATGGTGGTAGAACAGTCCATAAAGAAGATCGCCATCATCGGAGGCGGACCCAGTGGAATGGCCCTGGTGAAGACGTTGAACACAGAAAAATGTGACTTTGACATCGACTTGTACGACTCGCGAGCCAACCTAGGTGGCATTTGGAACTATTTCCCTACCAAGTCCCAATATAACGACGACCATGAGCTTGTGGCCAACGACGAGTACAACCACTCTCCTTTGTATGCAAACTTGGAAACCAATATTCTTTACAAGTCAATGGAGTTTACCAACTTCCATTTCCCTGAAGAAAGTGTTGACTTTCCGTTCAGAACAGAGGTGTTGGACTACTTAACGAAATACTCAAAGACGCTTGGTCCCTACAATAAATACTTGAATACCAGAGTCACGGGCGTGGAGAAGAATGGTGATTCTTGGGAACTTGTCAGCAAAAACGTGGTTTCTGGGGAAGTGACTACAAGACTCTACGATGCGGTAGTGGTTGCCAATGGCCATTTTGAGGTCCCACGGATCCCTGAGGTTGACGGGCTCGATGAGTGGAAGAAAAGGGATCCTAAGTCAATCACACATGCTAAATTCTTTGATACACCCTCAAGATACAAAGATAAGACGGTCTTGGTGGTGGGTGGAATTGCCAGTGGTAGCGATATAGCTATACAATCCAGTGCTACAGCTAAAAAAGTGTATGTTTCCTGTGATGAAACCACCATATTATCCAACATCAACAACCCATTTATTGAAATCATTCCCCGTATCGAGAGTTACGATGTGAATACTAGGTCTGTGTCTTTTGGCGGTGAGAAGGTCTCTGACATCGACGAAGTCATTTTTTGCACAGGATACTTGTATGACGTTCCATTCTTGAAATTGGATATCTGCAAGAAAAGATACATCCAAGACTTGTATCGCCAGATGTTTTATGTCCAAGATCCTTCCTTAACATTTGTGGGGTTGGGAAAAGATGTGAGTCCATTCCCCTTTGCAGAAGCACAGTCTAGTATCATTGCAAGATATTACAGTGGGAGGTTGAAGCTTCCAACTAGCGATGAAATGAAACTGGTGGCTGACGAGGAGTTGAAGACTAAAGGTGATAGACTCCATGGTTTAAAGTTTCCCAAGGAAGGAGAGTATATCAATGGGTTGTTTCAGTTACTTGAAGACAGGGATCTTCTTGACGGGTTTGTGTTTGAGAAATACGAGGGGGAAAGGGTGGAACGGAAGAAGAAAGTTCCGGAGGTGAAGCTCAAGAGAGTTATTAACAATAACCAGAGGATACTTGATGAGAGGGGAGTATTTGGTATTTAATTGATCAGAATGAGAATTAAAAAGTAATAAAGAAGTAGAGTATAGTAGTACAGAAGCACAAGGGTACATAAATACAAATGTACACAAACATAAAGGTACACAAACATAAAGGTACACAAACATAAAGGTACACAAACATAAAGGCACACAAACATAAAGGTACACAAACATAAAGGTACACAAACATAAAGGTACACAAACATAAAGGTACACAAACATAAAGGCACACAAACATAAAGGTACACAAACATAAAGGTACACAAACATAAAGGTACACAAACATAAAGGTACACAAACATAAAGGTACACAAACATAAAGGTACGCAAACGTATAGGTACACCAACTCAAAGACAAAGCACTTCACACAACTACAAGGCATCATAACTAACTTTCATTCACAAAACTAAACACTTTCCTTCTCTGCAGTAATTTGATGGCTCTCCTGCTCGTCATCTTCCACATATACCTCATATTCATGCTTATTCTTGAGAACTCCCTTCTTCTCTAAGTGTTGGATCAACGCAATTGAGAGAGCACACAAAGCTTCAATAAGAAAGAACATAAAAGTTAATGGATAAGCGTATTTGTACCTTGGAGCCTCGTCTGCTGGGTACAAATAAAGGGGGACCCACGCACTAAACGTGAACGAAACCGTCTCTACCAATCCAATCAACAAGTATCTCTGTTCAACATTTGTACTCATCGTCTCAGCGATCCAGGAAATGAACAAAGCTCCAGCCCCTGTTTCAATGAACAAGAGATACCAACCAGCAAACAATGCAGCACGATTATGCTCAGGCCACACCCATAAAATTATTGTTCCGATAATGGCAGGCACCGTGGCCAACGTCACCACCGGCCAACGCTTGCCAATACCATCAGACAACCATGCCCAGCACAAGGTGAAGAATATCTGGGCTCCGTACCCAGCGGTAGGAAGATTATTGAGCTGTTGCACCGAGTAGTCACCAGTTGATTTAAGCCACAAATTCATATAAGAGTATAACTTGATTCCCAACACATGGCCAGTGAAAGCCAAACTAAAGATCCAGAATGGCCAGTCACTGATCAATGCAACAAGATCGGACACTTTGATCTTGGGTTTGGTGTTAATCTTTCCTTTCCTCATTCTCTCAGTACCAATCCGTCTATCTTTTTCATTAAACCACTTGGCCTTTGAACTAAAAGGTTCATCAGGAATGGCGAAATATCCCACAAATGCAACGGGGAACGTAATAACACCGTCGAAAATGAACAACCATCTCCAGGCTGCAAGGCCACCTCTTCCGTTCATTCCGCTGTACAAAGCCGATTGTAAATATCCCAGGAACATCTGAGCAGCACTCGAAGAGGTTTGGAAGATACATGTTCTCTTTCCCATCTCTGAAGGAAGATAGAAGTTTGAGAGAAGTGTCATAATCCCCACGTACGCGGTACTTTCAAACAAACCCACAAAAAAACGGAAGCAGTATACTTGATGCACCGTGGTAGCACCGGCAGTGGCCATCACAAACGCCCCGTAAAGAATCTCCATGGTTGGCAACCAAATGGAAGGCCGAATCTTGTTGATCGCGTATTGAGAAGGCACCTGGCCAATAATATATCCGATTGTGTACCAGGTTGACACCCAGTTATACTGTTTTCCTCCAAAACTTAAATCTTCTTTCATTCCTGACACATAGGCGTTGGACACGTTGGTGGAGTCCAAGTACTTGACAAAGTATGACACACAAACATATGTCATAATCCAGCAGTCGATTTTGAAAACGTATTTTCTTTCTTCTGGTGACTTATCTAAAGAGTCCCATACTACTCTTTTGATCTTGTCCAAAGTAGACGCTTTTGGTTCTGCCGACGATATGGGCGACACCTGTTCGGCTGTAGCAATACTAACGGCTTTATCACTCATGGTAATAATGGAAAACTAACCTGGAGGTAATCCTCTTATATGCTATTTGCAGTCGGATTGTGGCTCTCATCTAGGTTTTGACATCGCGCTATATGGCATCTCATCGAGATAAACAAAGTCCGCTACCGTTTTTCCGCATTGGGGAACTCCATCGATGTCATTTCTGCTTATCAATTATCTGACTGTGACATCGACCTGGGAGATTGGCACTTGAACCCCGACAACCTCCTACTTAGATGAGTAGCTATTCTCCCTCAGTGAGCCACCACTGTCACTGACTTGGATGGGTGTCAAAATGTGGCATTTGCACGATTCCGTTCCGAACTTGCCGTATAAGGAAATGTGCGCTCCAGGTGATAAGATGCAATCGCCTCAGAAGTATTTAAGCACCATCACTGAAAAATTACTATCTTCACCATGGTATCGGAACAGGAAGCAAGACAAATATACAGAGACTCCATTCACGTTGATGGGCTCAACATCTGCAACTTTGGGGAGGATATCTTTAGGGCCTGGCACCAGGGCGGCATCACCGCCGTTTCTTGTACCTGCGGATTATGGGAAAATTTCCATGATACCATTGCAAATGTGATCCAGTGGAAGAAATGGTTCGACGAGTTCCCAGACTTGATCATGCAGGTGCACACGGTAGAAGACATCAAAGCTGCCAAAAAAGCTGGCAAAACCGGGGTATTGTTATCATGGCAAAACACTTCAGGTATTGAAGACCAACTTGGATACCTTAGAATCTTCAGAGACTTGGGGGTCCGCAAAATGCAACTTACCTACAACACCCAGAACTACTCGGGAGCCGGATACACCGAGTTGAAGGACTCAGGACTCACTGGTTTCGGTAGAGAAGTGGTCGATGAGATGGCACGGTTGGGTATAGTGTGTGATTTATCGCATGTTGGAGAGCAGACCACGAGAGACGTAATTGAGTACGCATCCAAGCCACCATGCTTCTCGCACATCTTGCCTGCTGCCTTGAAAGAAAGTGGTAGAAACAAGAGTGATGAGTTGATCAAGTTGATTGGGAAAAAGGGAGGATTCGTGGGAATCAGCCAGTTTGGGCCCCATATGCCCAAGGGTAACGAGTCCACCATCGACGACTATGTGGATGTGGTGGACTACGTGATCTCGTTGATCGGAGAAGATTTGGTGGGAATTGGATCGGATGCTTCTGAGGGCCACGGTAGACCTTCGCCTTTCATGGAATGGTGCAACAGAGACAAGGGATACGCCAGGAAAATGGCTCCCTGGGGCTCGCAGAAGGTCGTTAAACCACTTGGTCCTTTGGCTGATCGGGAAGAGTTGGCGGTGGCCATGGCCAAAAAAGGGTGGTCCCTGACCAAGATGGAGAAGGTGTTGGGATTGAACTGGATGGCATATTTGGAGACTATTTTTGATTCAGAGGCCTAGTTAGATGTGTATATACCATAGATATAACATAGATACAACCACACAGCCACAATTGTCGTCCATGCACCTGTTACTCAATTTAAGTGTGATTTCATGTCATCAATCTCTCCTCTATAGATTTCCATCTCAATTTCGCGCGCAGCTTTAGATTTCGCGGCCTACCTCTACTTCTTACCTATGGACTCTAATTTGGTATCACGTTTTAAGATCCAGAAACCCTCTTCTTACAATAAGGACTCATCCAAGAACAGATACTCATGCACAAAATGCCGGCAGTTGAAGAAAAAATGTACCAAGGAGATTTCGGGGTGCTACAACTGCCTGCGGTACTCAAGACAGTGCACCTACCTTGACAGAAAAGCCTCAATTCCCAAACCGGTACCAACTGAACCGTCTGCTCTCCTTGATGAAACTGCTGCATACCACGAGAAGCCCTTTCTCGTACCGTCGCCTTCATCGCTGCCTAGTGCCTCCGAACTGCACCTTTTGCTCCAGTCTCTAGGGTTTTCTCAGTGGGTGCTCAACAAAACTGACACAGTCGTATGTCCGCCCATCACCAAAGAACTAGCGCTGAAATTCGTGGAGGCGTACTTCAAGCATAACCACAGGTCGTATCCTTTCATCTGCCAATCAGCTTTCATCCAGGAGTTCAGCAAGTTGGAATCTTTGGAAGATTCTGTCACCAACTACTTCGGGTTTGAGATCTTCATGATCATGGCCATAGGATGCACCACGCTCTCGAGAGTCGGACTACTCCGACAGGAAGATATCTACAGCAAGTTTTTTTCTAGCCAGTGTGTGAAGTTTTTGTCACAAGGTATCACTTTCACATCGGTTGAGACCATCAAAATGCTTCTACTTCTTTGTATATATTCGTTTTTTGAACCCCAAGGACTTCAGACCTGGAATTTGTTCGGACAAGTCGCTCGGGCGACCATCTCGTCTGGCCTCAATAAGGGCGTCAAGGGTGGTGGCTTGGATAATGAAATGAAAAACCGGTTGTTTTGGAGTATCCACAATATGGACAGGCTTTTGTCCATAAGTCTCGGAAGACCACTTACTATCGATGAATATGACATCGATGTGCCAGTTCCCGCCAAATTAGACGACGAGGAGAACTTCACCTACAAAACCATCGTGGCCATTATCAATCTCCGGCAGATTGAAGGGTTAATTATCAAGAAACTATACTCCATACGAGCGAGGGACATTTACCAACAAAAGGAGATCACCCAGATCAACGACCAGCTTGACCAGTGGCTTAAGCTACGGCCCAACAGGCCTGAAAACTTGAAGTTTTTCTCGTTCCACGGATCCGATGTCTGGTACTTGGCTCGATATTACCACAATCTTATGCTCTTATACCGGCCCAGCTATTTGGTACCGAGGCCAACCATCACTGAGTTAAACCTGTTGGGGGATTACTGTCTCCAGAGTCTTTCTTACACACATAAGCTTTTCGAGGCGAAACTTCTCCCGTTAAACTGGATCACTTTGTACAGGTTCTTGACGGTGTGCTCCAGTGTGCTCTATTGTCTTTGCAATTGGAGCATTGACCTCAACGAGTCGAAGGCTGAAATCTATTTTTTGGTGGAGATTCTTGATGCCTTCAGTGCCAACTGGGTGTTTGCGTCCAAATGCTCGAAGGTGGTTAAAAATATTGTTGACAACATATTGGAGGTGTCATTGACTGCTAGTGGAGATGAGTTTTCGAATGTGAAGTTGCTTTCGAGTGAGTTATTGGGAGCCAGCAGCGCCTACCACGAGATCTTGAGTGACAACTCCATTGACATTTCGTTTCCCAGTTATTTATATGACGAGCTTATACCCTGACTGTTATTTAATAGTCTAGGTGCGTTTGACAATCATTCAGTTGTTGATGTAATTTTGGCAGTAATTGAAACAGTAGTTGCAATTACTATTTTTCAATTCAATAGATGCTTGGTCCCATTTCGACAGACCATACTAAATCACGCAAATACAAACGACTTCCGCTTAGCTACACTTTATCTAAACCGCTCCCGAACCAATAAATATATTTAACGTACAAAAAACGTCTGAATGCATATATGACACTAAATGTCCTCACCAAACCCGTCGATGGTAATAGCTTCGCCTGGCTTAAAAGGAGGCATGCCCAAGAATGGACATCCGTCACACCTGAAGGCATCTCCCAAGGAACACGAGCCACATCCTCCAGTTTTTCCCTTGATGGTAAAGTCAATTTCAGACATGTCTGTCTCGGTAAACTGGACCTTGTTCTTGAGCTTTTCCTCAATCTTCATGGCTTCTTCGGTCGCCAGTCGCACCATTTTCGATAACAACGAGGTTTGCAATAACAGTTGGTTCTGTAACTCCATTTCCTCCTGCTCTTTCAACCCACACGTACAGTCCTTACAGGCCTTTCTTCTCTTCTTCCCAGAGGTGTCACACTTCCGTGGAACAATCAAGTTGTAGTTGGGCGACGAGGCTTCCACCAACTCGTTTTCGTCGATTTCCTCGTCATCTTCATCCGAATCGCTAAAGTACGTCAATTTGGTCTTTTCCAATTTTCTCTTATTGCTCTCCTCCTCCTCATCCGAGCTATTGGCTGACGTATCCGTCAAGCCCACCGAGGGTACAGGTGACACGGCACCTAACTTTTTAAACTTGTTGAGTTTCAGGTCCAATGACTTTCCTTCGGACTTCTCTGGTTTTTTCTTCAAACTCATCACAGCCATCTTCACGGGCTTGGGCTTGACCCACTTGCCATTCTCAATCATAAATCCGTTCATTAACACATCAAGAGCTTGGTCTTGGGGCAAGTCCCCTACAACTTCTCCTCCTTCTTCATTCAAAAGTCCAAAAAACTTGGATATCACTGCATCGGGCAACCCTCGCTCGTCGGTGCCGGTGTTGGGATTTAAGTAGTAGATGATGTCGAACTTATCGGTGATTTCCACCTTGTTGTTGGCAACTCTATCGATGATGTGCTGAGTGATGCGATAGTCTGCTAACGATTGCTTCGTCTGCACCACCAACAGTTCGTTGGTGACAACGGTGGGGTGAATCAATAATAAGACGTTTCCGGGCATTACGCTGGTAAGGTACTGGAACCGAGAATGAATGTGGTATATTAGTTAGCTGATGAGTAGAAAAGATTTGTCATCTACCGCAAAATCGCATCAGAAAAGTGGGTCGCGCAAGCGTGCCCATACCGTCTCCTCCCCGAAATCGGTCCGCCGGTCTCGTTACAGTAATAATTGGTAATTGAAATAGCCGGATAGGCATTGGTTAACTGAATTAGTTTATTGAACCCCTAGTGATGCTATTGTCATAGTGATAAAATTGCCATATTCTGTCGTGACCTGTTTGGACCCCACACTACCACACACATGCTGCCTCGTCAAGAGTATCAGTTCTGTCTTCCTGTTCTCCACTACAAAGTGTCTTGTTTCAGACCACTTTTATAGTATCACTCTATCTTTCTGTCCAAACAATTTTAGCAAATTACTACTCTAATTCACTGTCCGTCTGTACTTGACACTTGCTTCAGGACAAAAAGTTAGGCTGGGGGTTGAACTATGTATTCTTTGTGGCTGTTGGTTCAAATGCCTTCTTCTTGAACTCGTTTTGGTTGAGAACTTTTGTCAGTAAGTTCGATAAAGGTTTGGCTATTGGTACATCAATTTCGGCTGTGATAGTGATGGTAATTTGTACCTTGGTCGGAGTGCCAGGGTTTTTGGCCGTGTGGTCGGGCGATTTGACGGTGGGGGATGAGAACGGGTCTATGGCCTTTTTCATTCTTCTTGCCAAGATGCCTGGGTGGATCATCGCGTTTGTTTTGATATTCACCATCACCATTTGCACTTGTACTTTTGACTCTTTGCAGTCTGCCTTTGTGTCAACCATCTCCAATGATATCTTTAGAAACAGGTTTAAGACCATCTGGGCTAGAGCAATGGTGGTGATAATGATTGTACCGATTGTGGTGTTGGCCGTCAAAGTGGCAGATAATATCTTACAGATTTATTTGATTGCTGACTTGATTTCGAGCTCTATCATCCCAATCATATTCTTAGGTTTGAGTGACCGGTTCTTTTGGTTTTTGACGGGAGTGGATGTGATGGTTGGAGGATTAGGAGCTTTGGTTGCAATTTTTATCTTTGGAACCGTCTATTATGGAACCGCCAAAGAAGGGGGGAAGTTGTTATTGATTTGGAACGGATTATATGATCCTGAAGACTGGGGTGCCTTTGGGGCGTTTGAAATTGCCCCATTTGGTGGGATTTTAATTGCATTAGTGTGTGTTGTCGCCCGAGTGGGTGCGATTTGGGTGTATTGCAAAATCACCAAAAAACCATTTAGGGCTTTGCAAAGACCCGTTCCGGTCGAGATTGTGGAAGAAGAATTTGACAGTGCCTATGGGTCCACCAATGCTAAGTCAGACGATTAGTGATTCACAGGACAATGCTTTCTTGTTTAATCACGCGCCTGTCTAATGTGGATCTCGGTTCCATCTTCTTATTCCCCTATTCTACTACTATACAACAGTCCTAGAGTCCTTACTGTCCCCGTTCACAAAAGAAGTGAATATTTTATCTACTATCCAGGGAAATAGTAAACTATACTTAATTATAATTACGATGACCTTTTATTCCTCATACTGTTGGGATTTTGGACATCATTATCAAGTGTGATTTCTCTTTGAGTTTCTTCTTCGAAACGGTTTACACTTTCTTTAGCAATAATATACAGATACTCAGGGTCCTTATTATGCCACACCTCGGAAAACTCTTTGATCCGCTGAGATTGGAAACTTTCAACTTCTGGCGTGTCATCACTTTCCTCTGTAGGTGAACTATAGTTGGAAAATATAAACTTTCCCCTATCCATAAACATATTTTCGTAGTTGACAGCAAATTCGGCTAAACCAGCGTTCTCCATGGTGATCAATCCCTTTAAACCCTTTAAATAATCCTCTTGTGTCTTCGGCTTCTTTGTCAACTTTGGCATGAATATAGTCAAACCTGATGCAATATAGTTGTTTGAATCTTTTGGTTTTGACTGATCTTTCCAGAAAGAACAAAACCCTGCATTGAAACTCGAAAGTGTGTCGATTTTGCACCTATGACTTTGGTTAAAGTCGTTTACCTTTTGGTAGTGTTCGATATCATTCTCAAAATATTGTTGAATATTGTAACGAACATCATCGTACTGATATTTATAACTCCAATTCGAAATAAAGTAGTAACCAGGGTCAAAAACTTTAACGACGATTTCTTCACCTGGTATGTCAAGCAGCAAGAATGTTGCGGCCAAATATTTGTTAGGTATGCAGAAGATTTGAGAGTATAAGCCAGGTTTTCTTTGGATTTCATCTGTTGTTTTCAAATCATAGTAGATATAAGTGTGCTTCAAGTGATTTAAGCTCTTCTTGAACCATTGAAAATTCCTGGTAGTCATTGTTTCATCAAAGTAGAAATCCAAATACGTTTTCTTT